GCGACGATGTGCACGCTGTTCGAAACGCGAATAAATTTCGTCCGCTTTTGTTTTTTGTTCTGTCCGTCTTGTCCGCCTCGTTCTCCATCGTCTTCTTTAGTTGTTGAGTCTTCCGGTTTCGTCATAGTTGCCGGTCTACCGACCGCCGTATACCCTTCTGGCTGGTCATCATCACCTTCTTGCCGAGCCCCCACGTTGCCAGCGTCCAGAAATGTCGTAGAGGATCCTTTAGGTGTGTCAGAAGGCTGCAACAGTTTCAACTGGTGTTCGCGCCGCACTCGGATCAGGTGAGGCTCTTTTGGTCAGTTGTGGGCCAGTGACGATCCGGAAACCGAGCCAGAGTGAGCGGTTGCCAGAGCTGATCTGCAGACGCCAGATGGTTAAATCGTTGACTGCAGCAGCAAAGTCGGCAGAGAGTCCGCGCACCCGGTCCTGCTACCCTGGCAGACCCATTCTTTTTTTTCTTCTTTCGAAATTTGGTGGAGTTGTTGGTGATAGGAACAGGGGCTGGGCTGGTCTCTCCTGGTGGTACAAAAACCGTACTGTTGCTTTTGAGGCCTGAGGGCTGCGAATCTAAGTCTTGGTTCTGATTCCTTGACTCATCATGATTAGGTTGGGTCGCTCCTGAATCGTGATCGGTTAACGAAGTAGGAGAATATCTTAAGAAGGACATCGTCAGGGAGATCTGTAATTTGCATGATGCAATGATTGCCTCGAGCCTAGGCGATCGGTTTCAAAAAATATTCGTGGCACAGTTACAAATCGCAGAGTCGTGCAAAAGAAAAATCTTATATTATGGGCACGCAACTGCAAGTCGTCGCTACTATATAGTTGCATATTCCTCTTAGAATCGTCCACCGCGGCCACGGCCACGACCGCCCCTTGGTCCTCCACGTCCACGACCTCGTCCTCTCGATGAAGTCGGTCCAGCTGCTATGTATTGTTTCAAATCAGAGACGTGCAAAAAGCAGTTGATAAGCAACATTATCATAAAAACCGACCCAATAATTGAGAACCACGCAGACGATGAATATTCGTACCAGCTTTCTTTTTGGATTTGCTCTTGGGTGAATCGTCAATCAACAATGTATCCAGTGGCAGGGAATCCGGAAGAATAAAGTATCGGATGTTGTTGCCACGAATGCTCAATGTGTCTAGACTGACGGGGTCCTTATTCTTGACCGTCATCTTCACAGCCCTCAGATGTGTGTTCATGCTCATATCCACTCCTAATTAGAAGCAGCATACACATAGCAGATTGTATAAAGGTTAGAACCATAAAACTTTTGCCCGCATCGTCGTGCTTCCAATGCTATCCCTTTGTTGAGTCCATACCTGTGACCGTGCCATGGACAATAGTACCGTTTTTGAGCTCGACTGTAACAGTCTCGGTATTGAGCTTCATAAGAAAACTAAACGATTGACATGGTATTCAGAACCAGGCGATGATGTTAGAGAGAAATCGGATTGATATAGCCTGATCATATGTTTAGACGCGTTGTGGTGTCGTTCTATCGTTTCATGCGTGTGACGCGTAGAAACATCGATCCTGAGCTGGCGCTTAAGCTGTCTTGTTGCCTCATGATTGTACGCCTTTGAATAGGGCTACAAGTTGCTCCTTCGAGTCCTCTTTGTATGGCTTGAATGGGTCACAGTCTGGAGGTAATCTCTCTGTTTCCAGATCTCATCTGTCACGCCTCCATGTTGATGTCCAGTTGTTGCTGCTTTCCTTCATGGACCAATTTAATGCTTTTCTTGAGATGCTTTTGAAAATGAGTTGTCTCATACCGAACCAGCTTCATGTTGATGTATACGGGATCGTGTGCTGGAGTGTTGAGAAGAGTAATGGACAGAGGTGGGGTCCAGATCTCACAACACCAGGTGGCTTATAGTCCTGTACTATTCGGATTTATTGGGACTACTGCGGGAATTATAGAGTGAGTATATCAAACGCCTAGCCCAAGACCTGATGAAGCAATGTTGGGTAACGTTGGTGGAGCAGGAGAAGAGACTGCTGTCTGGCCCTGTGATGGACCTGTAGGCCCTCCGGTATGACTGGTACTACTGTTAGCATGACTGAGACTACTGTGGACAATGTACGGGTTGTTGCTGTTGGTGAGAACCAACCCACCAACAGACTTGACAAGTCTCAAAAGATGAACATCGAACTGCTCGGAGCGGATTGGCATCTCTGGGTTCTGGAAGGGATTCTTGACACAGTAATCCGAATAAACTTCGTAGATTTTCTTCATCGTATGGTCGATCGAGGGCTGCTGTGGGTCCGCCACCAATAGGAACTTTGTGCCTGGTAGAATTCAAAGCGCAATGGTCAGAATTAGGGCCAGTTACGTTGCAGGTGCCATACGTTTCCCTCAGTTAATGCAGCCGCCTTACCAGTGAGGGTTTGGAAACAGTGTATCCTAAAGGTGTCTGTTTCCAGCATTTCAATTCCACTTGATCCGGGGACAGGAGAGATCTTTGAGGTGATAGCATGGACACTATGTTGTCGTGAGGTGAAGATATAGCATTCTCTGTCAGCAATTGGTTCCCGTGTATGCTCCTTCGCGTTCTGCTGGTTGATTCTCCGGTAGCCTGGCTCATATCGCGCTCATAGTCAAACTGATTACCCATGGAATGTTCCAGCAAGGACAAGGTATTCGTTCGACGTGAGTTTCGAGAGCCCCTCGGAGTAGTCTTTGTTGTAGACAAGCCCGCCAGCCTTGTTGATGATGTAGATGGAAAAGATCATGGTTGCCCTATGACGAAAAGTGTCGTCTTGTTTCTGCCTGCTCCACAGTGATGGCAAAAAGTCCTACTGTGTCTGTCGCTGATTCTCTTGGTATCCTGCGTCCAAAGTGCAAAAGTCGATTGGGGTGTATATGGTCAAGGCGTAGATGATGCTCGAACGAACGAACGCATGATGTGAAGCTGAAACCATCCAAACCATGTGGGGACTGCTTCTTGCATTTACCAACTCGTTCGCCTATCTGCCCAACTTGCCTCTCATTCACTTCCTCCCTCATCATTGCATCGCCTTCTCGATCCAAGGCCCTAACCAAAGCACACCGACATTAGAGATACTTGAGCGAGCTCATATTATGACCCCAACCTACGACGCCACCAACGATATCTACGGACCCGAGGGCCCGCCCACCATATCATCCCTTATTGCCAACAATAGAAGCGAAGGAGGGGCAGCCTTTCCCGTCAGCGGTGGTCTTCGTGTTGCAGGGTCTGCCCGCCAACCTGCCACATATGGATCCCGCACCATGACTCTAGATCCGACTCAGATCGAAGAGGAGGACCCAGCAGAGGAAAGCCATGATACTGGTGTTCTGGAACTCACAGGAGAATCAAGTTCAGGAAGGCGGGTCCAATGGGATGACGACGTTGTAGATAACGAGCATATGGGGAAGAAAAAGTCCAAAAGTAGGTGCCATGAAGAGTGTCGACTTTTACCTAAGACAGCATAAATGATGAAATGGTGCCATGGTGAGGTCGTTGACATTTCCTCTTTTATTCACGCACTAGTTTGCTGCATCTTCAAGAAACAAAAGGAATTTGGCGAGTCTTCAGACGAGTCATCGTCAGATTCGGATTCGGATTCTTCAGGGTCAGAGTCAGATGGTGGGCCTGTCTCGTCCAATCCAAGCAAAGGAAAGAGCAAAGGAAAAGACGGCAACGGACCCTGCGACCATTCCGATCCCAACCATCATCATCATCATGGATCTAAGAAGGCAAAGAAGCGAGTCCTGAACGAGTATGAGAGGATGCCAAAAGGTAATTACGACCGCAGCAACGAAGAAGAATTAGGATTGGTGACACACTCAATGCACGTAATCCTTGTTGCAAGTGGATTGGTACTAACAGATGGACCATATCACTTTTTCTGCAATCGATACTCTCATCACAGTGAAGCTTTCGCAGCCTGCGCCTGTCAATCAATAACAGGGACTCCAAGAAGATCGTAATCAAGGCAGGAATCCCATATGTATAGATTGCCAAACAAAACAACAATAGAATTGTATGCTACGATTTTTGATTGTTTACAGACCCTTTGTTGAGCATCGATCACACCAGGAGCAATGAAACGAAGTGCCATTCTTCTTGAACCAATATCTTGTTGAAAGACTTAAATAAAGAGCTGGGGGCCATCTGGGCTTTGCATCAAGCAATTGGGCGAAGCTCAAACGCACTCATGCATGCGTGACTGATTTTATCCGTACAAGGCCTTATGCTCATCGTCCTTTTTTTCGTTTCCTCAACTGGACCCATATTCGTACGCTAGAATATCTTTAAGAACAGACACGAACCCTTGGTCAAGCATATGGAAACTGGTAGTGATCATGATACAAATATGTTTTCTTCAACAAACACCGCTTACTATCCAACTGGGACTCAATATCTTCCATAACTTGCGGAATCAATTAACTCAGGTACCGCAACAAACAGCAGCAAAAGTGATGGTGTCCTGCAAGCATTTATTGAAGAGAAAGCCTTCAGCATCACAATTAAAGCAGCGCGGCTCGCAAAGATGCCGTGCCAATGTCCCACTCATGCAAGTATTCCCGAGATCTCGAATAGAGAGCTACAGGATACGCACCGCCAAGAGGACTTGACCATCTTGAAAGATATGCCAGGTAAACCACATGAAGCCCATCAATAGAAGGCCATATCGGGACTTATATCTAAGTTGAAGCCTTATTTTCCTTCGCCTCTGCTAGTAGAGGAACCAGCGTTTGAAAAGATGACGATTTGTTGCCACCAAACCATTGAACATCAAGCGCTCGCGTTATCATTGCCCCCCGCCGACGTGCAAACCATACCATGCCGCATCGATGGTGGTGGCCTTGCGATCGACTATCGCCATTTTGTGAACGGAGGGAACGTAAGCTTCTCGGTACTGCCTCAAGGACAAGTCGCCTCAATACTCCTCAATACCTCTGTAGGTGATTTTGAAAGGTGCATATTTTTAGGGATGCTTTGCATGTTCGTCCGCCAATACTTATATATATATATTTTCGTAGGCAGAACGACTGCCGTCGTGGTCAGTACATGGCGTTTCAAGGATAGTGCCCATCGACATGGATATCTCGGATGGCTGTTGGCGTAGGTTTTTTTTATTATTATTATATCGGATCAAGAAATGCCAGCAACTACAGCCCGCAACCAGTTCAACACAACCCTCCATTTCTATTCCTTCGCACTGTAGGCGGTTGGGTCCGTTTGCAATCCACAGGACTGCCTCCAGTACGCTCGTTCCTGGCACGAAACGTTCTGCGTCTTCTGACAGTCGATATCCGTTGGACAACCGCCGATCCAGAGACCCTGATAACCAGACTCGGTCAATCCTTCGTCCCTCCCACGACCCACTCTGCAGAAGCTATGGCTTGCATGATGGGCATGAAAGGTTTTCTACACCGGCTTGCACGAGAACATCCGTTAGTCTTTTCACCAAAGCAAGTCCAGCGATTCCTGCAGATTACTAGGCATGATGCCACGCTGGCCAGTTCTCTATGTCGCGTTTATGAACGTGTAACCAGCTCTCAAGTGAGGCAGCGTATGACGGAGAGTTTTGAAGTATGGGTGCGTTCGAGGCATTCAATTGGGATGTGTATCGTTACGCTCTTTCTGATACACACAAGTTTTTTCGCGTATTAATAGCGAATTCAGATGCAGTATACTGGCGTGCCTCCGGAAAACAAGCACTTGTTGATACAGTGCGCGCTCGAGAGCGCAGCCTACAAAGTGGTCATGAAAGGGAGGGGTTACAGAGGCAAAACAAGAATGAATGATCCTGCGGCCATGGATATGGAACCAGAGGGTGACCAGAACAAAAAGTACCAGAATACGTGGGACAAGGAAGGCGAAGAGGAGCCTGAGGAGGGTATGTTAACAGGGTCCGACTTTGCATTCGATGATGAGGTCGCAAGCGACGAAGGACAAGCACTTTCGATTATGCATTACAACTTTTCGTCCGACGAGGAAACCCTTCTCGAATTCCATCCGGCTTCGAGCGGGGCTGTGGAATATGGAAAGTGCAAGGGCGAGGATGAGGAGGGTCCGATTGAGGACGATCAAATCTACTCTCAAACCGCATCCAGACAGAGTTGCTACTCATTGTTTATGGATCCTGAACCAGGGTTTACGAGCCATATATGCGAGAACTACGACGACTATCTATCATCGTCCGATTTCAGCTTTGCACCCGTGTCCTGATCAGCCCAAACTGTATTTTTTCTCATTATCGAATAGTTCTTTCAAGGAGTGAGAAAAGCGCCTGGTATTGTTATTACATTAGCGGCACGAAGTATTATGATACATGATGACAAATAAAAGCGCAGTTTTCAATGTTGCTTGCTATATCAATTACTCAGAGATGACTTAGAAACCCTGAAAAAAATTGCGCCGGTCAACACAATGATTGACCGGCTCAGATGCCGCGTTTACACTTTGGACAAAACGCGCTCTTGGACAGCCAGCGATCAACGCAGCCGCGATGAAAGAAATGGTCACAATAGAGGTGTCGCAGCTCGTCTCCGTCCTCAAAGTCGAACAAACAGATAGCGCACTCCTCATCACCAATCGTAGGATAGTCTTCAGGAAAGCTAGCAGATGCGCTCAGACCAGATCCCAAAACAATATGGACATCGCTCCTGCTTGTGTGAATCAGAGAGCCCGAGCCTTGGTTCGAGGGATCCTCCTCGCTTGTCAAGGGAAGCCTATCGGGCAAAGAAAGGACGCTGACCTGGCTGTCGCTGCCACTGCTGGTGCTGATACTCTTGCCTACTGAGGAGTTCTGGTGCGCCACATGCGGAAGACGTTGAGCGGCTCTGGGACTCGGCATCGGAGTGGGAGGCCTCTGATGGGCCTCGGGTTCGGACATCTCTTGTCCAATATTGCATCGAATCGATGATATGGTGGACGAGGTCTGTGAGACATCATGGAAAGCAGATGGTGCACCGGCGATTTCTGGAAGAGATGTTGTTTTCGAACTGACTTCTGGAGTGCGGCTCTGGGGTGAAACTTTCGTCGGCTTTACCATCGCTGAGATACTGGCCGATGTCCTTTTGATGCGGTTGCTGGGGCTGTCGTTGACGGATAGGGGTATATTGATAATAACAGGTCGGTCACCGTTCACTCCAGAATTATTAGAGTGATCCTGTACGTATTCAGTAGATGGCCCCAATTGCTTCAAGAGAATATCTTTGGTCAGCTTATTTGAATCATCCACCACCTCCACCATTTCAGCAGATGACTGAAAGATGCGTTGCTCAGATTTAGTTCGTGTCTGATATGCAATGACAGCTGCCTTGCCAGAGTTTGCTCTCAAGTCCCCATCGTGGGCTTCGGATGTTAGTCCCACCGTTGGCTTCCTGAAAATGACGATCGGTATAGCTGCCATAGCGGGCGTCACCTTGACCCTATCCGTCCTGCCCAAGCCTCCCCCACCTCCTGCTTCACCGCTCTCTACTTCCTCCAATTGTCGTTCGACTTGTCGAAGATCGATGGTGTTGGTGATGCCCTCGCTTTGATAGCCCCCATTCCGACGACTAATCGCACGTCGTCTTGATAGACCGCACTTCTCCAAGGGCCATACCATGCAAATAAAAACGATGTAAAACGCGTAGATAAGAATCAAAGCGCCGAACCTCATGAGGAGGAGCGAAAAGAACGGAACTAGACCCATGCAAGCGAATGCAATTGCCACACCGGTGACCACAGGCGCCGCTGATTTGTACTGTTGGAAACCGTAAAAAAAGACGTAGCAAGATCCAAAGAACAGCATAGCATATCCATGCCAAGTGAACAAGTGGCTCGTGCTATGCGTGCATTTTGCAAAATTTGGTGATTAGTAATGCTGTGAGTGAACAGTTGTATCCCTACAGAAAATGAATGGACAAAAAAAGAGAGATGCATAACTTACTATATAGCGAATCTATTGTGGCGCTCGTCATCAATGTCAGGATCCGGCTCAATCAAACTCAAGGGTAGGCGATAGAGGGCACGATCCATCATCAGGAAGGAAACGAGCCATTTTCGGCTCACGAAGACGATAAGGTAGACTTTGAGATAGGTGCACTGTGCCTTCCAATTGACTGCAAGTGCGACACTCGCAACGACTGTCTGTTTGTTGCAGAAAGAAATATCGACGTTAGTAGATAACCAAGGCTTCTTCAACAGGGTTGACTGAAAAATTGCGGCAGTGCGAATTTAGCGCGCTCGCTTAATAAAGAGAACATAAACAATCGTCATGAAATCCATGCTATTGTTGGTATTTAATGCCCTTCGTTTTTCTTTGTATGCTTTTTCATCCGGTTCCCCAGAGAGGGCAGGTGTTTTTGGGGTTTGATTCCTTGGGTACCAGCCATCACAGCTCTGACTTACGCAAAAAAAACATGTGAACAAAGCCCATGACAGCGCGCATCTCATGTCCGAGGTTCTGTTTCGCCAGGCCATCCTAATCTGCGGAATATACTTGCGAGAGCGAGTGGTTGTCCGTGAAGGCGTTGTTTCTGCATTCGGCACTATAGCGTGACCATCGGTGCTAGCGTCCTGTCCAATGTAGGGAGTGAACTGCCGGTAGGCCGGCGTATTTTGATTATAATTGTTCATGTTGACGTCTGCCAAAGGCGGTGATGGAGTTATATCACTGGACCGAGAGATGTTGCCGATAAATTCTCGAAAAGGTATCCTCAGGATGTGATTTATTGCTCGTAGCCAGTAATGTGGCAGGCTTTCTGAGCGAGCAGAAAGGCGAGTAGAGAGGTGGCCTGCAGAAGTTGAAAGCGAAATGAGGGTATGCCCATGGTCTGTCGTCGAGTATGCATTGCCTGACTGAGTGCCGGGCTGTCTGTTGTTGCGTGGTGGAGGTCGCCACCATGGCCGCCTTGCAGCTTGTCGCTGTGCCTGTGCCTGTGCCTGCACTTGTGCTTGCGCATGTGCCTGAATGTGAGGCTGTAACTGTGGCGGTGGTGGTGGTGGCACCGATGCATTCAACGCAGGTTCTGTTTCCGGGGGCATTGCTGCTGATGCTGTGGTCCCTGGTGTTTCCGCGTTTAAACTGGTGGCAACAGTGGATGGCTGTTGCACTGCTGTGCTGGGTCCCTGCGACGATACGGATGCCGAGACGGGTGCAGATCTCAGGGAGGCTACGGCTGGCTCGGCTCCGGATGTGTCCATGATGGTGAGTGGTGCCCTTAGTGCAACAACCCGTCTGCTTTCCCTGCCCTGCCTTGGTTGTGCACGCTGGTTTTGCTCGCAGTCCTGTAGTTGTGGATGTGGATGGGGGTGAAGAAAGGCGGTCGACGCTGGCGGGTGAGGAAGGGGAGGCGTAACAAAGAAGAGAGGACTCATATTGACTATATGATGTATCATGCATCATGACAATGCAATACAAAAAGGGGGCTGGGTTGGGAGTTGATGGACCGATAGTGGACGGTGTTGACGTCGGCGTTGGCAATAGGGGTGGTAGGAGATACCTGTATAGTGCGGCTGGATAGGCAAAGAGGGAAGGAGGGGAGGACTGGGCGAGACAAGGGAGGGGATTCGTTTGCGGGGCAGACAAACCAACGTAAGCAGAAAGTCTAAGCAGGAACGGTGCTGCCAATGCACATCCATCGGAGGTAAAGGGCAGGGCGCAGCTTTGGCATTTCGACGCCCGCTTCACATGACACCAAAATAGTCTGCAGACCCCAATGGGATGCACCACCTTCGGCTCCTTTGAGTTGCAGAGTCGACCGCTAAATTATTTTCTAATTGGAGGGGAGAACAATGCATCACATCACATCTACTCCAATCTATTTTGTGTCCATGGGCTATGCCTCCAAACTTCGACCGACTACGCTCTAAAAAAAGGCGTCTCTAGAACAGCTCTCTCTATCTAAGGGAAAAGATGAGGTCAAAGCCTATGTGGCACGCCAGTTGTAATATTGAAAATGAGGCAAGCAGAAACATGGGAAGTGTCATCGTCATTTTTCCTTTTTGTCAGACAATTTTTTAAGCGTTGTCCAGCCTCCCCTCCTACATATGCGATGCGGTCGAGGTACGATCTACGTTTGACTCGTTCATCTAAAAGGCCACCGACTATGTCTTCCGTGGCCCGGCAGCCATGGGTCCATATAATACCATAGTGTTGGCCCAGTCAGATACGCTGTCGACGAAACTAAAGGCTGTCGAGTTTACTGCAAGGTCCAGGTCATGCTGTATCGAATTCGTTCTCGATTTGATTAAAGGGTCATTGTAGTCCATTGTTGCCGAACTATAACAGAGGCTGGGATGTATGACGCATAGAAACATACAAATAGAGTTAATGCAATTTAACTTCCATACGCTCTCGCTGGTGTAGTTTTTTCCCAGTCTAAATAGTGCGGTTATAATTTAAAAAGAAAAAAAGCCAATTGGTCACTTGGTTAAAATATGCAAACAACAGATGCGGTTTGCATTGCTTTCTGATCGGCTTTGGTCTACCACCATCCATTTTTTGTGGGTGGTCAACTGGTGTAACAAAATCCAATACAATGTATGAGCCGTAGATCATGTACCGTGGTTGTTGCAGCGTGCGGACCTAATTTATCACACGACCGAGAGAGATGCCGAACAAGAGAGAGAGAGGATCCAGACAATTGAAAAGCATGTAACATGCAGGAGGAAACTGCAGACAACTTTAGGCCAAAGTCCGATAGATTACCTCGCCAAATTTTTGGGAAACCTTTTGTTCCCGTTGTGGCAATACATCGCTGCGGACGGAAAATGGCGAGGACGTGTTTTTTGGAGAGCTCATTAACTCTAAATCTAGAGGACATGCATCCAGGGGCTCTTTCCCTCTTCTCTGAAAACCCTGCACGGCATTCGTACGCTGTTTGCTGCTTGATTTGTCCATGGTGTCCAATGAACGCATGCATACATGAGGACTCATTGCCATACTTTCGTGTACCTGTCGGTGTTGATATCTTGTCTCGTTCATCCATCATGCACGGCACTTATCCCACCTCCTACCTTTTGTGAGTCAAGTAGAATATGAGTGTGCCCAATTGAACTGAACAACACGATCAGCGAAATGCAATCCCACATCTCCTGCCCCTGTCCCTGTTCCTTTTCTCCTCGGACCATTTTTTCTTCTTTCAGTAGCCACATCCTTGTGAGCAGCAACAACGACAACAGCAACAACGGCGACGATGGCAGCAGCAGCGCCTGTGAGCTAAGGGTGTCGAGCAAGAGCAAGAGAGCAATGTCGTCGTCGTCGCTGTTGCTCTGCTAGCATGCCTTTCAGTCGTTCTTTTCCTTTTTGTTGTCCCTACTGCTCTCAACCGACAGGATCCCCAGCAGAACCCCCCCCACACACACACACACACACACACACATACACATACACAAACGCATACACATACACATACACATACACATACACACACACACAAACTGACTGAATGGCTGACTGACTGGTGCGGAAAATAGGGCCAGCGTGACACAAAAAAGGGTCTCTGTAGCGTGCACCCATGCTATCTTTACTATTCTTTTTTACTTACCGGCCCTTTTTTCTCTTCTACACTTTAAATACATCGCCGTTCCTTCCCTCCTCCTCTCGTCTCTTCTCCCCCCTCGTCCTCGTCCACTTCCCCACCCCGCCTCCTGACTACAGCTGCCGTCCTCCTTCCACCTTTTCCTCTTCTCTTGCTCTATCCCTGCGCTAATTCCACTCCCATTCTTCTGCAGTCTCCCGCGCACATACACGTACACACCGATCCCCCTTTCTTCATGGTCCATCTTCCTAAATGGATAAAATCCAGCCGCCAGACCCACTCATCCTCTTCCTCCTCACCATCTCCGCCTGAGACCCCATCCCTCACAGCCCCTACCCTCTTCACACTTTTGTCTTCCAAGGCACGTCAAAAAGCGCCCCAGCGCCAACAGCGCAGGATACTGTCTGCCGCACTTACCATCCCAGAGGTCGTCCTAGCCATCGCTGCATTTCTCAATCGTCCCTCTCTCCTCAGCTGTTCCTACGTTTGCAAGGACTGGTATCTGATCTTCCACCCCCTCCTTTTTCGCGTCGTTGAGGGCACTGACTTTGATCATCCGGATTTCACCAGGGCCTTCAAAGACTATACCCGTGCTGCAGCTTCGATCGAGTGGATCCAAGGGTCCTCATTAGTCATGCCCACATCTAAGCATCCCTGGTACCGACTCTTTTGCAAAAAGACCCTTATCCCACCCATCGTCACCAATGAAAAGCTGTTCTCGCAGCTCGTTTCCAGCCTGCTGGCAGGTCCGACTCCCAAACTGAAGACGCTCTCTGTCAGGATCCATAATCATGACCCAAACCTTGTCCTGAACCTTTCTGCAAAAACCATCTCCAATCTACAGATCAACACGAAGAGTTACCCTGGCAAGAAACCAAGGATGTACATGGAGGACATCCTTCAAGCCTATCCCAACCTCATCCACTTGGTCCTGGAGGGACTCTTCTCACTGAGCTCACACCGTCTGGAGAACGAACATTCGCACGGTGGATCATCGTCTTCCCCATCAGTGCCTCCCGCTATCTCTTCCTCCAATGCAGCACTATCAGTATTACATGTGCTTGGCGCAGGCTCATCATCGCAGATGTCCCAGGCCTCATATCGCACCACTAGCAATGACAACGCACAAGGAAATGGGATCAAGGACGAAGGCACAGTTCTTTCGTATTCGATCCGGACACTCAAGTTGCGTCTCGTCGACATATCTCAGGAAGGTCTGATTGCGCTCTCGCCGCTGCTGCCAAACCTCACAAGTCTCCTAATCGAAGAGTTCCTTGCGCCCAACATGATGGTTAAGATTTATCGCTGGACCTGGACTACCGAGTTTATTCATTCCCTCAAAGACGCTTTTCCTCACCTCCGCAGCCTACGCTTCGCCTTTCCGTTCGACAATATCAAGGAGGACACCATCATCGAGATCTTGAGATCCTTCCCGCTCCTGACGGAGGTGGGATTCAGAAACTCTCATTTTGGAAGGCGTGCTTTGGAGACACTGCAGGAGCACTGCAGACACGTCGTGAGCCTTGACATCTCATTCGCATGCCCAGAGCGCGGTTTCAAGGGCGCGTTAATTCGGTTCCTACAGACGTGGCCCCAGCTACGCGAGTTCATCGCCGATGGTATGATTTTCCATCTTGACGAGCCTGAGGACGATGGAGTGCTGAGAGTGCCCTGGGCATGTACCAACCTGGAGAAGCTTGTCTGCGGGTTCCACGGGACGGAGCCGATGATATTTGAGTACTTATCCGCGTTTCCGAAGATGTCCAACCTGACAATCTCCTATCCTCCCCTTTCCATCTCCCCGGTCGAGTCAACGCTGGCTTGGATAACAAAATCATCGAAAATGGAGTACTTTTGGTTCGTACAGCACCGACATCCCCCACTTGGCAAATCCAGTGTCCGCTGGATCCTCAAGCACTGGCCGAACTTGAAAAAGCTGCATGTCGCTGGAGGGACGACCGAACAAAAGGAAACCGTGAAGCAGTGGTGTCGAGATGCTCATCGACTCAGTCTTGCCGTGGAGTATGACCTATTTTAGGTGGGAACTGGTTGGTCCTTGCAGACGGAACTCATATACACAATCATATCTTAATATAGCATAAAATAGTATGCGTACCATCGTAAAGTCCTATAATGAATTCTTTAAAACCTTTGTTGATGATGGAATCTACAACGCCAATGATGGAAGCTGAGAGGTATGAACGATGGAAATTCGCCGTTCTACTTGCATCTCCAGAAGCTCTCGGGCGTTTCGATCTAGAGGGAAGACGCAGCCTTGGTATCGTATTTTTCGCAGCCTTGGAAAGACCTTCATGATAATCCGAATCTCATTTGCATCCAACTGCTTAGAAAGCATCATCCTCATGGCTGTGGAGACATAGTTTGCCGAAAACGTTAGCTCCTGGACCGACTGGAAGGAGTTCCAATTCTGTAAAAATTCGTCGATATCGTCCTCGTCGCGCCTTGCACGATGTCTCACATCATAATCCGGCCGCTGAGTCGATAATTGGATCGCCATTTCACTCGCGTCCTGCGGTTGGTCCTGGGGTTGGTGTTGGTCTTGATGCTCCAGATCATATCGAGCCCCATGCCTCTCCATCGACGCACTTGACGCCGAATGATCTGCTATAAGCCTACGGATATCGTCCAGTGAGATGCCAAAGGAAACCAGTCTCTTCATAAGCGCTAACCGGCCAAAGAATGCCTCGAAGGACTCTGGATCGTCGATGCACCTGTTCTGATACACATGCCTCATGGTCTCGTAGCAAGCCCAAGGTTCTAGAAACAAACTAGTCCTGTCTCTGGGTGCTAGGGGGGGTCTTGTGTATTCTGCTGTCCAGGTTAGATACTGTAGTGATGAGCATCTTGTCATGAACCGGTGTAGTGCAGGATGTGATCTGATCGAAGACTCGAAGCAAACCCGTTCCAGCGCTGCCACAGTTACCGTCGGCATCAGCTCGAGTGCATAATCCAGACCCATGCACCACTTCAGCTTGAAATGTCGCAGATCGGGCCGATGTTGCTGGAAGAACTGCTCGATCGAGCTGCGCGTCTCCAGATCCGAGTCCAGCCCCCAAATAGTTAAGGTCTGGAGCTGGAAACAACTTTCTGTAATGGCGACGAGACATTCGGAGGTATGTGCCCGTGTCAAGCTAGCGAAGTCCATGTGAAGTTCTTTTAGATGTGGAGCCTTCCTGAACATGAGCCCAACTGGCGCAGTCGAACATCTGGTATCAAATCTTTTAACGTGAAGTCGAGTCAGGTTTGGATAGATCATTGTGGCGTCAGGGAGATGGCCCTGCAATATCTCGGGTATCTTGGCTGGGATTTGGATCGTAGTGTCACAAACGAACTTGCGCCATGGCTCCTTGACCTTCAATACAACGGAAGGTGTGTTCGGGTTGGCTTTGCTATTTCTAATAGACAGTCGCCGCACCCATCTGCTGAGTGTGGATGTTGAGGGTGGTTCGCTCGGCCTTTTGGTAGGAAGATGCCATTCTGGTGCAATGCTACTATGCTTGGCTTCCCGTATCCCATTGAGTCGAAGTGATGCCAATAAGGGACACTCTTGAAGCGCATTCAGCAGGGCCATAAAGTCACACTCCGTACCCAGAGGTCCATCTCCACCGCCAAGCTGTAGTGTCTGTATTCGTTTCAGTCGAGTGATGGCCACAAGGTGTTTCATCTCAAAGGTAAAGGGGACCCGAAATATCAAGTCTCGGATATGAGGTAAATTGCCTGTAAATCTCTCGAGTCCTTTTTCGGTGGCGGCATTCCCGAGTTCGAGTTCGAGTCGTTGGACCAAGTGACAAGAGCCCGCAATAGCGAGCAGATCATGATCATCGGCCCAAAATGTCGTTAGGGATCGCACTAGGTGTCCATACTTGTCGAGGTTAGGTACCCCGTTGCGATTGAAATAGAGGTGGTTCCAGTAGTAAGCGCGGAAGAGGTAAAACCAGATCTTGGAGACGAGCATGCAGGTCTTCTGATCGCCGATAGAGAGATGACATCCGATAATATGTAGTAGCTCCGGAATCTCGATGGGGTTGATTTTGAGAGCGAGCGACATGAGGAGCCGTTTACTTTTAGTACGAGAGGGAAAGTAGGGAGGATGAAGGAAAGAAAGGAAGAGTATTCTTGAACGTGAATGCCTCTTTTTTTATTGAATATTCAGGTGGGCTGTGTCGATGTGGCGCTGGCTAGGGAGGACACGTTTGGCCCATGCCCTTCCGCGGGGGTAATAGATCTAGTCCCGCCGCTAATATTCAAAACGCAACAGCTTTTTTTTTTTACAGTCGTCCTTCTTTGTACGTGTCGATATATGCTTTCCCATGGACGTGTGCTGCCCTTGCTTTCCGAAGAACCAGAGGCAGGTCCTCATTCGGAATTGCTGTGACGATGGTATGATTTCATCGTAGGGAATTAAAGAGGTTCTTTTTCTTTGCCTCTCTTCCCCCTCTCTTTCTTCTGACTTCCTCACCACATACTCTCACAAGCAAGTCAAGCAATAGACATCTCAAAGCCATGGCAGACAAGAATAACTCAGCGACACACCACTACGATCTGCGGGAAAGCACCATCGCAGCATCCTCTGACGTTGCTGGCACTGACCATTCAAAATTAGCAGCACGTAGCCACCAGCACCAACAGCATCATCAGCACAAGAGAACACAGCATACACAGCACCATGGTCACAACAAGACAGAGCACCCGGCAGTGGCGCTTGCCACTGGAGCAGAGGAGAATCTAGAGCATCCTGTCCACCTGGAGCACGAACACGAACAAGAGCACGGGCACAGGCACAGCCATAACCATCAGGCCAATTAACGAGCTGCACATCTCTATGGTCAAATTTGCGAGGCATTACCACATTACTTTCTTTCTTTTCTTCTTTTTTTTCTCAACGCATTCCAGCCTCTTTTGATATACACTGCGATGATAATAAAGTAGTATCGGTTTATTGGAAAAGCTGTAGTATGTAGCACTGCAGACTGGAAATTCAATCAACCATCGTCACTTTTTTTTGTCTTGCCCTTTTATTTTGAGAAAAATCAAAACATGCAAGGTTTTTTTTTGTCATCACCTCAAGGATCCTCAACATCAGATCGCAGACTGGGCCAGGGGCATGCTTCTCATTCTATTTCGCAGGAACCCGCACTCCTCACTCGTCTCTACCGCTTCCTGGGTTCCTTCTGCTCACTCGCATTCCTTTTCAACATCGTCCCTCATCCAGGCAGGAAAATACATCTTTTACAAGAGGGCGTTCCAAAACACCGAGCGCAATAACACACCCTTTCTCAAGCAAGCCTATACTAACAACATAAAAGAACTCGCCGCCAACAACGCCTATCACCAGGACAACAACATCATGGCTACCAATAAAGATCGTCCTCTCATTGTCCAAGGGAAACTGAGCAAAGCAGAGCGCAAGCGGCGGAATAAAGAAGGTGGATCGGCCGCAGTGCTCGGTAGTGGCAGCGGAGCAGTTGATAAGTATTCGACCTGGTCTAGGGATGCGCTTTTGCAGAGAATCCGGGAACTGGAGGGAGCTGCAAATGGTTTTTCATCCGAGACGTCGACTCCTATTCAGGAAAGTAACGGTACCATCGACAACAGCGATGCAGTTTCCTCACGTCCAGACTCTCCAGCCCAAGGATCGAGTGCATCAACATATTCTTCGATCGAGACGCCTAAACGCAAGGATCGACGCCCCTTCGATTTTTCGAAATACGCCAAGCGACATGTTGCTTTCAAGGTTGCCTACTTTGGTTGGCCCTATGGTGGATTTGCTTCCCAGGGCATGGTGGATATCAAGACCGTGGAATCAGAGCTGTTTAATGCACTCTTAGCAGCCAGGATTATCGACGACCCATCAGCCTGTAATTACTCTCGATGCGGAAGAACGGATCGTGGTGTCAGCGGTTTGGGACAAGTGGTCGCCATGACCGTTCGATCGGCTCTACCAAAGAATTCACCTCATGTCATCCGGTCTGAAGGAGATGGATTCGACCCAGAAGCACAGAATCAGGATGTCGGATTGACTGTAGAAGAGCGGGAAGCCAAGGATGGTGTGTACTGGAAGAACGGTATCAAGCGGAACAAGGATGGCAGCGTCTTTGGAGAACTCGCCTACTTAAACATCATCAATCGCCTCTTGCCGCCTGATATCAGGATCATTGCCTGGGCCCCTGTCCCAGAAGACTTTAACGCCCGTTTTAATTGCGCTTGGCGTGAATACAAGTACTTTTTCCCCAAGGGCTTTATCGATATTGAGCGCATGCGTGCAGGAGCGGTCAAGTTTCTGGGCACACACGACTTCCGCAACTTTTGCAAATACGATGCTTCCAAGACGATTGAAAACTACGACAGGACGGTTTTTGCGATCTCGATCGACCCTGTTTCTGAGCACGAGTTCCCCGAAAAGGCAGGTCGCGAGTTCTATCAACTGACGCTCAGAGGATCAGCGTTTTTATGGCATCAGGTTCGGTGTATGATGGCGGTGTTGTTCTCGATCGGCCAAGGACTAGAGGAACCCGAAATCATCGATCAAATGATGGATCTGAAGCAGTGTCCTGCGAAGCCTAACTACGATATGGCCTCAGATCTGCCTTTGGTGCTGTACGACTGCCACTTTGACAACGTTGAGTGGCAGTACCAAACGGAGGTGGATCTCGTAAGCGACATCACCCCACTAAGACTTTACCGAGCTATGGAGGATAAGTGGTCGTGCTACGTCACAAAGTCATTGATGTACTCAAGGATGTTGCAACAGCTTGATCAGGCTATGCTATACAACCTACCAGAGAAGGGGGACAAGATTCTGCTAGGAGAGTATGTGGAACAAAATGCCACCAAGGAAAACAATATCTCGCTTGGTGGTGATTTACGCATGTTCATGGGCAAGAAATACGCTCCGGTAGGCGCACAGAAAGGCTTAAAAAAAATACCGTTTATTACTCTGCTATGGTCGTTCCACTAACATCTCTTTCTCTCTCAATTCTTCTACAGCTCCTGCAACGCCAAAAATGTCTCCCGACGGAGGTCAAATCCAGGAAGCATCAGGAAAAGAAGCGACTGAAGATGAGTTTAGCAGAGAGCGAGAACAATAGTGCGGACAATAGCGAAATGGACTCTCCACGACTTCCTTCAACGGCAAGTTTGGATTCCACGTCGCAACTACCCTCAGCAACGGAGTCAGCAGCAGGTTCTGCTGGGGAGGCGCCTTCAACATAAACACCGTAAAACACATACACAATCCTTTTGTTGGCAAAAAAATAAAAAAAATTGGTGGCGTTCCTTTGGTTCTGTTTGATTCTTAAGGGCAACACTTGCCCCACCTCTCAATTCAGATCTCGGCGAAGTGCCTATGGTGCATTTCAAAACCATTCTACGAACAGGAACTACAGTGATGAGCAGTCGATACTTGATGTTGATGGCAGCGGTCCCCGTTTGCTATTTTGCAGGATATGCCTATCGAGAATACTATGACCCCGACGAATCTGTCACCGTAGGAGAACCACAGCACAACTCATGACCATGGAGACCCGTACACAACAGGACTGAGAGTAACCAGGACTGAACATGCCGCTCCTCATTCATACTATTAGACTTTGAACCGGAGAGTAGAATCGTTATCGGATAGTCTGTAAGTGCGCCGTATCGATTTAACTTGACTTCACCTTTCGTTGACCAGTGATTTTTTCAACTCAAGGACACCTATACTGACACCAGCCATGCCCCTATTTTGATTTCTGTGGGTAGGATCACCAACCGCTTAAAGGCATTGGAAGAGTCCAAACGCAAAGTGGAACATCAGCTCCTAGAACTGGAGCAGCATCGGAAAAAACTCAAGTCAACTGCAGGCCGGAATACAGACATCCCTGGACGACTGTGGTGAACCAATATCGTTAATGTACTGAATAAATGGCTCTTTTTTTTACCATCTGTAATAGTAGGAAATCCATTTGATTTTTCTATGTGCTGCATTAATGGCCTGCTGCCATCGTCATCCCCACTCTCTCATCTACATCATCCGCTGTCTATTTCACCATGGCCAAACCAATCGAAAAGATGGGTGCGGACGAAATCCTCAACGTTAGCAAGAAGCTCTTCTACGGCGGATTCTGTCTCCTCCCCTTCCTTTGGGTCTACAATGTCCTCTACATCTGGCCTGTTCGGCATCGCAGCGACCTCAGTCCTCAAATCAGGCACTGTATGTGTTTCTGTGTTACTTTTTCAAGCAGTGTCGGTGGGTACCATCGCATGCCCCGAAATGCTTGATACTCACCCTTGAAATACTATATTACCGTCTGTTGTTTTGCCTTCATGAATATAGACCTTTTGATGTCCGGTATCCTGGCGACTTTGCTTTTCATTATCTTTTCAACATGGTTCGGGATTTTTGTCAATCATCGCTTGAGCTGGGGCGCTACAGGAGATCTTTTGACCGTGGTTTTGGTCAAAGGCGCTTGAACTACCAGGATGGACATCGACACTTGCATCTTGAACTGACAGCCAGCAAACCCAGCATCATGCACAAACAGCACACTACATCCTTAATACCAACTGGAAGGGGAGACTATCCAGCAATTGGCACGTCTTGAATGAATATACCCAGAGCATCTGCAATAGAATATCATGTGTTCTACACCACTATTATCCATTAGCTTTATTATGCTACCGGCTTAATAAAATTCTCAAAAAGAGACTCTTGTCAACTGCTTTCCGCTGGCTAATCAGTAATTACTCTTATACGCCGGTATGTGGAATAAGCGAGGCGTTTTGAAGATGATAGCTTCGTGCTGAGAGCTCAGAATACGGATACCACTTCATGAACAAAGGACTTGACGCCATCATGATTCGACCTCAGGGATGCTGCTCCTCCTTAACTATTGGCCCGATTTGAACATTAAAAGTAAATCCAGGATGCTGCTCTGCTGGTGTTATTGCTAGTCAGACGAGGAAGTAGCCCGACACTCTTCTGGTTTTGCAAGTTCCGTTGCAGTTGATCTTTCTGTGTCTCAATCATGCAGCCATGCATATACCTCCTTCCAATCGGATGGCTAACGTTGAGGTCGTGAAGGTTCTTAAGATGATGCATTTACGATTTAGTATTCGCTTGTGCTTCGGCTACAGCGATAATCGACTACATTCCGACTGCAGCTGCCAGATACAAACACGGGTCCTAGACTGGTCGTTAAATTGAGGTGCAGGTTACATGGTAGTTTTACAGCATAAAAATGAAACAAACATTCCCTTGCCTAGATATTCTTTTATCTTCAGCATCAGGCTATTCTTGTTGAAGATCGCCTTGAATGAATTGGTTGACGTTATGGCTGAAATAAAGCTTTCTTTTTTTCACTAAATCTCGATGCCCCGGCGTTAGAGCTCTTTAATGAGCGTCTTGAATAAAATCAGTTTGTCCACTTGGATTTAAATGTTGCCAGAGTCTAGGGTCTATCGACGGATACTCAGCCATGGTGATGTTAATGCATTTGAACACCATCAAGCTCCCATATCTCATTAGATCCGTGCTACGCTCCAATATCATTGCTTGGATGTGGTTGTCATTGTCAATATTATCAGCGCCATCCTATCCAACGCATGTTGCAGTCGTTGAACAGTTGTCCCAATGGTCAGCGTAACTTTGTCAGCGTAGCTTGGACCTATGGTGGAAATTAACAGTTTGCTGCAGAAAACTTGTCCGACAGAGCACAGCCTTTACAGTCTTCAACAGACTAACCACTTCAACCCACCAGGATGTGGATTCTCCTACATCGGCATCCCGACAGCATAATATAACAGCGCTATTGGAATGACAGCTAAATGTACACATTGAATACAGTGTTTACGTGTGCAGCGAGAGTCGAAGCCACTGCAAATGCGTTAATGTATGGAAGCTTGTAACGGTCCTTATCTGCCGCGGTTCAAACAGCGGCTCAGCAAAGATATTGTGGGAAAAACTGAAAAAAAGCGAATGGAGTAAAATACCGAGATAGGCAGAACGTGAATGAATAGATACTTCTGATAAGATCAGGGAGAATAAATACAGTCATCATTATCATCACCTACAAATTTACTTGCAAGTCTTTCATAGCACATTAATCGTTCTGCGTGGCATATACAGCATGTTGTCAAGTTGATTCACCTTCATTGGCGCGGAATAACAATGTCTTGCACCGTTTGTGAAGTCAGGAACAGTTAGCTTAGAAACCAAACAATAAGACGTGGAGGCATATGGATCAACTCTAGAGTCTATTGCCATGGATTTGAATTATGTGTAGTGAACAACTGTCTTTACTCTGCACGAGAAGATGGATACAGCATCGTGTGCCCAATGCATGTAGTTCACTGTTTGGTGATTAGTGTTTAGTGCAAATTTATTTATTTTTTAGACCAAGGCGGGCGGACTGCGCCCAGCGCTCGGACGATGTGACAAGGCCAGGAACACGAAAAATTAGTGGCAATAAAAAGACTGTTTGAGCACACCGCATACATTCTGTCTGCCCTTTCATACGCATTCATAATCGAACACCAGGGCGAGGCGAGTGAAGGCCTTCAGTGGTAATGAGGGGGGACCGGCCCGGTTACTCGAAGGACCCAACGGGTGCTCACTCCTTCATTCGCCTTCACCTTCACTCACTCGTTGACCTAGCCCTGCTTCCTTCTCTCTTCCCCTCCTTTGCCACCATCGGTGCCAGGTTCGCACGCTACTAACGTCAGCGCTCGGACCGCTTTTATGTTTTCTTTTTCCTTTTCTTTTTTTTTCTCACTTCCACTCCACACTCTCAGGTACATCCTTCATACTCCACCATCCAGCACATCATGCCACACCTCAGAACCCACTTTACTAACTTTCGACCCATTCTCCCACGGACCCACGCTCGCCCACCATCACCAGCCGTAGTCAAGACCATTGACGACGAACAACCGTGGCCGCAAGTAATAAAAGATAAGTTTATTTGAGCTCTCCTCCTTCGCCCCACCTCTTCTTCCCTTACCCTTTTTATTTCTGCTGGGCATTCTTGGCGACGTGAATCTGGGCGGTTGTCAGTTTTCTGGAGGCGCCTGTGCGGTCGGTGTGCTGGGCAGGGCCTCTTGGATTCTTGGAGTGGGGACGGCTACCTTTTCAAAACACGCTGCTCCAACTCCTAAGGGACAGCACAAAGCTGCGGGTAGGGACGTCATCCCTTATATCACTCTAGCTGTGAGCCACAGGGTACAGTCGGGTGAGGCATCCCAAGTCATGTTCAAACGAAACCGGGGTTCTTTGTGAGGCCTTTTTTGACAACATTAGTCAAGTGAACTGGGAGGGGGTAGACACCAGGGGGGTTTAGTCCGGGAACCGGTGCATGGGGTTTTTGTCCGTATTCTCATGCACTCGACCCCACTTGTTCTCTTTTTTTGTTCCTGCTGTTGCTGCTAGCCACTACTGGGTCCTTATGTTCTCGGGACCACTATAGAGGTAGTAGTCAGGGGTGGGGCCTGTGATAGGGACACAGGCTTCCGCGTTGTTCTTTTTTTTTTATTTCTTGTTGGTTCGCTGACACTACCGGGTTCTGACCAACTTTGCTGTAGTGTTCGGCATGTGGTGGGCAGTGTATATTATTCCCTCAATAGAGCCCCCACGTTGTTCTTTTTTTTTTTTTTTTTTTCTTTTGTTGTGGTGGTGGCTGGACCAGTCCGTTGAAGAGGTGGTACCAGTAGTGGGGCGCGGTGTGCACAATGGGGGTTTTGTTTGCATCCCCAGCGCATCCGCCAGCACTTTGTTCTCTCAATCTTTTGTATTACTTTTCGTGGGCGGCCCTCTTGGCTGTCTTCTTCTTTTCTGGTTTGCTTGGTGTTGTCAAAAAAGTCCTTGCAAAGCGCCTCGTGTTCATTTGGGACATGGCTTGTGGTGTCCCCTTCTGTACTCTAGTGGTCTTGCAGTCTGGGGTGAGTATAGGTTTAAAGGATGGCCTCCTCTGCCTCCGGTCTTTGTGTTCTCTCTTTCGGGCTCGGGTGGTGTTGTTTTTGGAAGGGCCCTGGAGCCCTTCAGGGGTTCAAGTAGTCTCTGTTTGGTATGCCTATCACATAGAGGTCTTTGGATCCTGGTGGCCAAGTAGGTCTGCGGGCCAAAATGTCTTTCACTTCGCTTTCTTTTATGCATTTTTAACGAATGGCAACGACAAGGGCAGTTGATACTAACCATCATCTTTTTCCCCCAGCTCTTTTTCTTTCTTCTTTAGATCCCTCTCGACCAGCACAGACGACCATGGCGACAGCGGGCACAACGGGTGCAACAGAACAGCAGCGGGCACAACGGGTGCAACGGGACAACAGGATCACGAGTGGAGGAGGAAGATGAGTGGGCCGGGAGACAGGAACGTATTCAAAAATAAACCATATCTATCATATCCATCAGAAAACTATATAACGATTCTTCTTGTTGCCTTGTCTCTCTGTGTGCTCGTCTATGTGTCTATGGCAAAGCATTCTCTATCATCGATGAGGTGCCCCCCTCAACTTGGAATGATCACGTGCAAATAGGGGCTATCAGCGTTCTCTGCTCACCCTCCCCTCTTCCCTTTGTTCTGCCACACCGCTTTCGTTTTATTACAAGGACAACCAGAACGCGCACATTCATTCAAAGAGCCCCTCAGCGTATTCAACTCAGCAAGTGGATTCATTCTCGCCATCTTTTACGAGCATCAACGGGACTCAGCTCCTCATCCTTGACACGCACAGTCACCCATGATGAGGATAGTCGCAAGCACAACAGTCTTGGCGCTCACGTTCGCTATCGGATCAACCTTTGCCAGAAAGTACCCCACTAGTGGACTTTATAACGTTGACTCAAATGTGAACCTCAAAGATATCCAGGGCACTGTTGCAGCGTTTGCGGACTTCAATGGAGACAAATAGTAAGAGCGACAACCTACATGGCGCTCTTTTCAGAATGGATATGCTACCTGCTACTAACCGTGCCAGGATGCTTTCCAATTACCGCTTTCATCGGTTGGAAAAAAATAGCACGGACATCATCACCCTGAAGGATGACCAAACTTCGTTCAGCGTATATCTCTGGGATCATGGTAACTCATCCCTTTGTGAAACACGATTCATAGATCTCAGCAGCGGGAGCACCGACCCTTTGTTAACCGAACGATATTTGGTCTCCTCTCCGCTTTTTTCTAGCCACATGGTCCTTCATTTTGTTCCCGTCGGCAACGGTCGTTATTGCCCAGACACCGCAGCCATTCATCATCACCAATATTGTTCCAGGGGACTTCAACCACGATGGCAAACTTGATCTCTTAGTTATGGGCCAGGCAGATCCCGTGCACAATCCCAATGGAGAACTGATGATGCGGGTATATTTAGGCGACATTGACAGTGGATGGGGTAAAGAATCGTTCTTACTTGCAAATATGCGGAGGATCCACCACAGTATCGTAGTACTGATTTTTCTGGTCTTTAATTTTTTATGTTAATGCACTAGATCCCAATTTCATCACAGTTCCGTCTGCAACCCCTCACCAGCCCATGGCGTTCGACTATAATGGTGATATGCTGACGGACTTACTGGGATATGCCTTTGAGGGATATCAGGCAGGAGCCAGTTCATTGTCTGTTTGGAAGAACGTGTACTCCCAAGCAACACCAGGAAAGATCTTTGAAGTGTAAGGAATTTGATGAGATCTGCGGTAACCACTCAGAAAATAAATGATGCGCCTCATATTTATTCTGATTTGCAAGCAAGGTACTTACTTACACACCCACTTTTGTTTTAATAGGGCACCAATGAATTTCACGGGCGAACCTGGACCAGCATGCACGCTCTCTGATCCGCACTCTAGCGCCTTTGTTGACATCAATGGAGATTGTTTAGCAGGTACGAGCGATATACATTGTCTTTAGTCGGCAACCTTGGGTTTTACTAAAGTGAAATATGACCGACACTTCTTTCGATTTCGAGAATAGATATCTTCCTAACATGTTACGATGCTGTCAAGGATCAGCACAGCTATGTGATTTATGTGAACAATAAAGACCAGGGCTTTTCATTCGGCGCGAGTGGACTATTGCCCGCAGGATCAGGACAGGTCGCATTTGCAGACATTGATGGCGATGGAGCAGTCGATCTCGTGGTGCCTGCCTGCGATACCAAAGGCCTTTGCTCCATTTACGTGTACTACAACCAGCAAGTCCCATTATGCACATCCAAGGGCCAGAAGGAGTGTCGTCAAGTCACGAATCTTTGTGTGGCGGATCCAAATTTCAAGTTCAATGTTGATCCAGATCACAATACAGATCCAGGGGTAAGAGTAAAAGGCTTTAGAATGCCCCCCCCCTTCGTGTCGATATTCTCATATTTAACATCTCCCCATCTTTTACAGGCACTTGTGCGATTCCCGCTGAGCGACGTGCTGCCTGAGGGGCAACAGTTGCTTCTGACGGACCCTGGATTCAAGGGCAAACTTCCAGTGGCGGTTCATGTGGGTGATTACAATCTGGACGGATACCCTGATCTGTTGGTTGTCAGTGGCACAGCAGGAGATAGCAATCAGCCCGCGAGTGCAACACTCTTGCAGTCAGTCCTGTGCTCGAGTGACGATAGCGTATGCATGCCTTCAGCTGTCGCCGCCAAACGACGGACCTTTGTTAAGGTCACAGAGGGAGCGGATGCGCTGAATTCCGTGCAGGACGTCCGCGCTGCCGCGTTCCTTGATCTCGATGAGGACGTAGGTGGCCCTTTTTTATTTCCTTGACGCTTTTCCATGCGAGAAGATCACACAAAATGTACCCAGCTAATCTGACTTCATCTCCTGCTTTGAACTCTACCAGGGCACTGTGGATATTATGTTGCTCAGGAGCGTGACTGGACAACAGGCGGCAGGAAGGGCTATCACCATGATCCACAACAACTACTTCAACGACGCCTTCTTTTTGAAGACCCTTGCCTCTAACGGTGTTAGCCCAACTTGGAGCGGCCAATACGATACGAAGCCCGCCAAGGCTGGGGCCAAACCCTTTGGAGTCAACTATCCAGGCGCGACGTTTAAGTTTACAGTACTTGACACTTCTGGCAAGAAGCGAGCGAACCAGGTGGCTCAGTACCCATTCTCGACCTATTTGGGTCTCTCGCTGCCATACTCGCTTTTTGGATTGGGTCGAACCAACAACTACGTGGAAGAGCTGTTTGTGGGTGTGACCAGAAACCAGCCTGAGCATTACACGACCTACGCAGGTGTCATTCCAAACTCACAGCTGATCATTATTCCGTACCAGGCGGAGGACGAGTCGCGTCCTCCTCAGCAACCGGATACAGATGCATATGGCTTGGCTCCCGGAGAGCAGCTCGGGGAGAATGTGTCATCGACCTTTGCAGAGAAGAAAGGTGGACCAGACGAGTGGACACTGGAGCTGTATGTCCGGCCAGGAGACTATGTTCCCTGGGTGTTTGTTGTCCTCGCAACCACTATTGCGATGCTGGCAGGCGTTGTCCTTGGACTCAATTGGATGGAGAAGGTAAAGACATTGTTAATTTTTATAGTCATCCTCAGAGCCGTTTGTCCCTTGTTTTGTGTATTCTGTTACTTATACTTGTTTCTTCTGGTACTTCGTCCATAGCGTGAAGACGAACGAGAGCGGAAAAAGGCACTGCACATCATCAACTTTGATGCCCTGTAAATACATCTTGGCCATAGCTTTTATCACATTCAATAAGACTAACAATTCGCATACAACGCTTGTTCAATTGCTTTATTTACAATGGCATTTGCAGCAAGACTGAAAATTTGTAAAGGAAGCAAGACTTCACTTCCACAAAGCCATAGTACTACAGTGCCATTAGCTGACTTTACCGTGGAGACTATGCTGACTACCGCTGTTCATCCTGGGTCGGATAAGCCAAAAGAACAAAATCCCAGCCCAGGAGACGGCGGACCGTAAAGACTTCCCGGATCCCATGCGGCCAAACAGTATTATCCATTACATCCTCCCGAGCACGGGCATGCTGGTTACCTCGACTCCCTGCACCGTCTGTTGGCAACAGCGTTCTTGAGGACGATGATGATACCGCTGACTGCTTGGGCGCATGGTAGTAGTAGTAATAAGTCGCCGAGCTAGCACTGGAGCCCGACGTGGACGAGACGGCCTTAAGGAACGATGGTCCGATCACATAGATTCTCAGCAGCAATCCGACCAGGAAACATGCAACAGCAGACCAGAACAGGTTCCTGAAGCTATATGAATACAGCTTACTGCCGCGGAATCGTGGGTGATCAGCCCCGTTTGTTGAGCCATGTCGTCGCACAACCGTCTGCCCACTTCGTCCGTTCTGATGCATCGAGGATCGGCTGCCGCGTCGGCGATAATGGTGGCGGTTCACATTCGAAGAGGTTGTTTCCGAATCTAGCTCTAAGCTGTGGTCACGCCCACGATCCCCTTCGCGCAACATATTCAAGGAAGATTGCTCATGTTCACGATGATGGTCGCTTGACACGACCTCTTTGCCTTTCCTTCTTCGGACCGAGCTGCTGTGTCTCGCCCAGTCAGAAATTTCCTTGTCCTTTCCCTCTCCATGATGCACGCTCCCGTGCGGACCGCCGTTGTTGTTATATCCATCATCCGAGTATTCTCCATAATCTTCAAAGACAATGGAGCCATGCAAACTCTCCAGATCGAGGTCGTGATCGTCATCTCTCCGCTCCCTTTCGCCGCCACCGCGCCTGCTCTTGCCTTCGTTATTACTCAGGATCCCACTGAGCCTACTTCTGATAACACTCTTGCTCGCACGAATTGTACGGTCGTCATCCAAGTCATCATACTCGACACTTGAATGACTATAATCGTCACTTGGTGCCCCGGTTGTTGGGTCATGATCCGCCTTGGATCCCCTAGTGGAGCTATCCCCCAACAACCCAACACTCATCAAAAAGTTGGACAAGCCATACATGGAGCTCGTTGGGCGCGTGTTTGATCCTGTCGTGTCTGTCCTATTCGTGCCTTCGTCAGAAGTGATTCCGGTTGAACTGCGGTGGGAGACATTGGCCAGCCCTGACTCCTGATTCTCATTCACGTTGGCCAATTGCTGTCGTCGGTGCTTCTTTCGACGAGTGGTAGTCTTTGGACCAAGTCCTTCGCCGTCTTCTTGGTTTCCAGACTGAGGCTCGTCGTCTTCTTCCTCGGAGCTCGGAGCTTCTCTACGCCTGTCAGAATACGCGTCATTGCGCTGCGAGCTCTCTTTCGCAAATGACTGTCCACGTTCTCGTTGCTGCCCTGAAGTTTCGCCATCATCCTCCATCATGCCGTCCAAGAAGCCAAGTTCCTGCCTGGACCATCCTGTGATAACCTTAGCGGGTATACCATCCACCATGACCTTTCCATCCCATTCTTTCTCGTCAGCTGCCGTGTCAAGGCTGTCCTTGGTAACTTGAAGAGCAGAGTGATCTAGGCTCTTGTGTTCTAGTCGGTCGATCTTGACGCCAAACTGGAACATCCGCGTCTCAAGATCCTGCCCCGCCTGTGCCGACTGATGAGTTGGCTTGGCAGCCTCTGGTGGGACTGGTGTGTTATTAGGAGAGAGCGCTGGCCTGATAGCCTCAATAGCTGAATCGGCGTCGTGAGAAGAGTTCGAGGACGCCTGATGACGACTTTGCTTTGAGTCAACACGATCCTCTGCGGAAAACATTGTGGATGTGGTGCCGCTGACAGAACCCGTAGTTACAACCGGTTTAGCAGTCGTTCCAGATATAATGTGCGGTGCGAATCCCTTTGATGCCAAAGATGCTGCTGCTGCTGCTGCTTGATACTGAGCGTTAGCATGTGTTACGCTCACTTCGGCTTCTGGGACGGTGATGATAATCAAATGCTTCCTTCTCCTCGAAATTCCCGAAAGTGAGGACGAGTGTGAGGGAGCAGGCGGTATGTCAATTACATTGACCGTAATAGGCGGCGGCAGGATCCTGATCAATGAGGTCGATGACGGTAAAGCACGCGGAACATTGGCTGAACTTCCAAGTACCGCTGCGATTCCAGTTCCGCTACTCGCAGCCTCAGAAGTTGGTGTTTTTGACCACCCAGAGTAGCCAATATCCCCATCATAAGAGACTTGATTGTTATTATCGATCGCAGATCCGCCTTCGTCAAATCCTCCAATAAATCTACTGCCGGCTGAGGCAACACCGGTTGTCAGCGAGGCTGCAGATGTCGATCCTGCAAGTTTGAGATTTGGTGTCAGGTTTGCCATCTGTTGCTGCTGCTTCAATCCCATGTCGCGCTGTTGCTTGTGCTGAAGCAAGAATTCGGGGTCAACTTTGATGCTGGTTATGATATTGTAGCCTACTGGATACTGCTTCAAATCCACCACCAGCTCCAAGACCGTCCGGTTCTTTGTCTTCTCCTCAGTAGCATCAAGAGTCGTCATCTCCGCCGTCTCCTGTCCGCCCTGATCCACATCCATCACCCGTCCCCTATCGCTTCTCAACTTTTCATGAGGTTTTTTGGCTTTTCTGCTACGTCTCTCGGTTGCCAAATCCAGTCGAGATGGATAAAGTCGAAACTGATCGAATAGAACCAAGATCTCAAAGTACGAGTCCTTCAGCCTAAATTCTCGTGTGAGGATCCTGTTGGTAGGCTGATTCCACGGTATGATCGATGGTAAAACGAGTGGCTTTTCCTGCCTGTTGTCATCGATTGAGAGGGCATCTACGTCTGAAATCAAGGGGAAAACGGTCAGATGCCACGCAGAACAAAGCACAAGCTGTATAGACGGTATCCATAGGAAATCAACGGATGATAAGGTCTTACCTATGGGCTGCCCAACAATCGTTTGCTCCGGAATCCTCACAATTGGTGGCGCTGCCTGGAGCTGCAAATAGTTTTCGACTTGGGTAATCATTTTCGGAAAAGTCGTCTGAAGCATGCCACTGATCCTTTGAGGAACCGATCCGCCCAGATCCAATGCCGTCATGTAAGTGACGCGGGTTGAGGGAATAGGATGGCTGGAGCTATATGGATCGATGCCCTCCAGAATCCACGCTGATAGATGCAGGTGCGCGCGTGGACGAAGATGCGGTGGCTTTGAAGAGGGAGGTGCAGGAAGACTGGGCGCAGCTTCCGAGGGAATGGATGTCGAGAGAATAACAATCTGAGGACAACGGGCGCTGGCGTCCGCTGAGGCAGTAACAGTTACGAAGTACAGATCTCGAGCACTAAAGAGAAGAAGCCTATCGTGAGGGAACAGGATAGTATAAGGTGTCCCAGGATTTGATCGTACTCAAAAAGACTTACGGGAGCGGCAGCGGGAAGTAACTCTTGAGCACATAGTGATATATGGCGCATCCTGCACCGAACGACTCAAGCATCTCGCCAGATTCGTATAAACCGTCGACTGTTTTTAAAGACGTCAAAATGGTCATTAACAAAGAATCTTCTGTACAAATGATGCGCAGAACAATCGATTAGGGGGGTTCAGTACTTACGTTTCGGTCGTGTTCCGAGAGTCCCGATCACTGTCGCTATCTCCTCCAGAGAGAAGCCTTCAATGACTTTTTCGCCACGGACCAGAGGAACTTGGTCAGAGATCTCGGTCGGCATGAATCGTTTGGTCACTCTCATACCACCTTTGCTGTCAGAAACAATTGTCCAACTGTCCTCAGCATCGGCTTTGATCCTTGTCAACAGCTCCATGGCTCCCTGTGCATACTGCAATGGCGTCAGAACTGCGGATGGCGAGCGCCTCTTGTCCAAACCATTTGCTGGCATTTGGAAACCCTGCACATGGCTGCTTTCTCCTGAAAGAGATACTGAAGTGTCCTTGTGGTGTGCTTTCGTGCCCGCGCCGTCATCGTCATCCTCATCTTGCTTCTCCTTATCTGACAAAACACCATCCACCAGCGACAATGTAAGTGCTCTATCCTTCTCTGACGACGGTCCCTTTCGGTGCGTCCATCCTTCTAAATGCTCCATAGACGGCATCTTGATGGCCACGCCATTGACGACGATACCGCAGCCCGGCTTTGCAGACTTTCGTGCCATCACAAGGACCTTTCCACCTGCTGGAACTGCGCGCCCGCTCGAGTGTTCGATCCGCAACCTATATCCAGTGCCATCGTGTGGAACGTTACTGCAAGTAACCTTAGATGGCGGCGGATCAATCATGATCTCGCAGTCTCCATTCCGGGCCCACGCTCGAGCGTCCAAGCGTATCTCCGCCAGCAATTTGTCTGTTGGTCCAATCTTTGGCGAACTAAACTGTGTACTTTCTACAGCTCTGACTCCTACTGCGTAATCAGCCGTGCCCCTCCTTTGAGCCTGCTGCTGCTGTTGCTGATGCTGCTGTGACGATATCCTATGTCCTGAAAAGATAGGATTGCTGTCCTGGACGTATTCCAGCCGAAAAGTCGAGTTCGCATGCGAGTAGTCGACACCCAGCGCGCGTCCCCTGCGAATACTGACCAGCGTGGGTGGGCTACCATACGTCTCTAAGTATTTAATCACCTCTGCCACGCAGAGTGGCATCTCGGTCGTCATAGCGCCGAGGGCCGTTCCCGGTACTACCCAGCCTGTGGGTGAGGCCTGCGCAATATAGACGATACGCACGCTCTTAGGCTTAACCGCTTCCACATACCAGCCAGAGACAACGACCTCTGAACGAACAAACGGAGAGACTGGAGGCGGAATCGACGGAAACTGATTTGTATCATCTACGGAAGTGGTGAAGTAATGAATGGCATCCTTTGTAACAAAGGTTGTGTTCAGGATCGCCATATCCTTTGGGCTATGAAGAAGATTATAAGTACAAAACGACTCTGCTGTTAGATGCTCTCATCCGCAAGGAGGGGCAATGTTCAAGGGCTTATGCGTGAACATCGTTGCTGAATTACCTTGTAGGCCAGAATCCTTTTAATCGTACATAATTCAGGGTCGAACTCGGCGTGGCTTGCATGAGCATGTGCGATTCGTCAAACATCTTATCCCCTATGATTAGAATAAACACACATGTCAATAAATGTTTGTCCCCGGGTTCAATACCAACTTACACAAGTAAAATAAAATGGCATAGAAGGGACATACAAATCTTTCGCGCTGAGGCACAATCCAGCGCCGCTTTGATGTCCCAGATCGAGTAGTCCTCAAAGACACCCTCGCCTTTGACGATTCCATGTGCATGTCCCTGAACTTCGAGCTTTGAGACCTGAACACCGCGTTGCTTCACAATTGCCTTCCATGAGGATGCCGGTTCATGCAACAGAGAGTTGAAGTAACTGTAACTGCTGTTGACCTTGCTAGGGTTCGAGTTTCCAGGCGACATGGTGCTGGTGCCGTTGCTTAAAATACTTTGGCTACTCCGGTTAAGACTCTGCCTCGTGATCGACATCGAAGATGACATCAGGAGCAATGGTGATACTGTCGTCCTGCTTTCCAGTCCATCGTGGCTATCGGAACCTCCGCGCCAGTGGGATGGACTATCATCGACCTCTTGCACAATCTGCTGACTGAGCTCCAGCTGTTCCTGTAACGACATACTGCCTCGTTTGACGCCCTGCATGGATGGTCGATGAAGAGGCAAGATGTTTTTTTCCTGGCCATTTACCGATACAATCATTCCGCTCATGTCACATGGGGTAATCTGATCCTGGCCCTTCTCTTGATGTTGTTGGTTTTGTCGCTCCTGTTCCTGCTGCTGACGCTGGAATCGAAGTTGCTGATGACTGAGGAGATTAGTCCCTCCCGAGTGCTGCTGCTGCTGCGGTATCCGCTCAATCCGAAGCTTGACGTTGATGGCGCCCTGGTGCGAGTCAATTTCCGTATGCTTCATCCGGAGAATATAACGATCTCGGCCCATGTATTTGAGACACTCCACATGTTCTTGAACGAACTCTTCATCTTCAATATCATTCATGAATATGTGTACGACGATATCGGTGCCCAGACCCCATTTCTCGCCATCCAGCTCCACGTCCACATAGCCGGTCCGTAACGCTTCGTTGGAATGTTCATTATCCAGCTCGTCTATTTCGTCCTCATCTGATAACAGCAATTCTTGTGGTATGTTCGATGAGCTTCGGCTTTCTTGAATCAGTTCAGGATCTTCCTCGATGAGAGGGCCACCCAGGCGAAATTGTTTCACCGCGCTCGAGATAGTCCGTCGCTCCGTCAACAAATTGTCCGAGTCAGCAGGAATGACATCGTAGCGAAGTTCGTAGATTCCTGTTGTAGGATCATACTCATTCAAGTCCAGCTGTATCCTGGAACTGTGTCGGCTGACATGCGGTGGTACTCCCTGGCGTCTCAGTAATCGATAGACATTGGCGATACACGACGGAACATGCGACTGCATTGAGACTGAAGAATTGATGGCCCATCCTCTCATATCAATTTGGTAGTAGAAGCTGACCCGGATGGAATGGCGAGGCATCACAGGTTTGTTTTGCGAGGCCGTTAATGAGTTGAAGGACGTGAAAGAAGCCGTGTCATCCAGATCTGCAGGAACGAGTTGAATATGCCACACGACGAGCGGCAGATAGGCGCGCACATGTGGGGGCGAGGGTCGCAAAAAAATGGGGTCGTCCTCTGATGGTTTGATCGACGTGGCGATGTGCAACACTGCGTTATGGTCCAAAAGAGTTGTCTCGATGAGAAGGGCATCTCTAGGGCTGTAACTCACATGCAATGCATAACAGCGATTAGTGAGCATAATTATCTTAGCTCCACTTGGTTCCATGGATCAGAAAGCATCATCCAAGGCCATGTGCTCGATTTGGATTGAAGAATCCATACCTCGTTGGCCAAGTTGTCTTGAAGAGTGTTTTTGTTATACAAGTGGAATCATCCAAGGTCATCAAGACCGATGAACTCTCCACCATTGGATCCCCTATCCATCAATTGCATCAAATAATAAGGGTATTTCAGAAAAACAATTCGAGAGAGGCGTAATGTTATCTATCTAGAAAAAAAAAAATCTTGATTCTTACAGATCTTTCGGGCTCCAGTACACTCAAGCACAGCTCTCCAGTCCTCGAGATCAGTCTGCTCGTTTAATCCTGGGAGTGTGATGCTCGCCCTGACAATCTCTGCTGATTTGCCTGGCACACTCTTCTTAGACACTGAAATGGACGGCAATAGAGATTCGATTGCAGCCGAGGCTGCTGACCCCCCGGTCAGGGTGGCACTGAGTAGCGATGATGATGCCGAGCTGCTGCCTCTTCTTCCAGTGCCTGACGATCCTGGCGTACCATTTCCTAAAGGACGAGGAGCAGGATAGGGAAGTGTGAGACGACATAGTACTGATCGGGCATTGTTTGTTTGAGTATCTGAACACGACTGTCAGTTATGCCATACTTGATGGGCGGACAGATGCTGACGAGAGTCGTTTCCAGCCAGCACTCGACTGTGCTAGCGAGCTGAAGTAGGTAAGGGCCGAGTTCAAAGTCTCGGTGTACCGTTCCGTGGCACTGTAGTCGAAAAGTAAGTAGAATGGATACATTTAACGGGCGAACCGAAAGTGTTCAAAAGGGCATCATCCTGAGCGTGAGATAACCAACTGACCTGTCGTGGTTGAGATCCATGATGCCAGCACTTTATTATTAGGGATAGTACAGGTGATATTACAATGCGTACAATAGAAAGCAGAGACAGAGTGAGGTCCGAAAGAATGAATGGTCGCAAGGGGGAAAAAGTAGAGCGTCATAGGAATAGGGAAAGAGGAAACAGCTCGACTGCTGTTGCTTTTACGCTGCAGAGTTGCACCACTGCAACGACTGGCGGAGGAAAGGAGCTGTGGAGGTGTGTTATGGCGAAGTGAATGGATGGACTGGAGAGGATGCCATTCATGTCAAGAGATGGAGGGACCGAGGTTCGGCGTGACAAGCAACACTACTGAAAGAAGATCGTGCAATTGAAGAATTGATTGACCTTGCTCTTAGAGAGTGCTCAACATGACTCTTCGAAGGTCTTCGGGCTCCCATTATGCCTTAGACATGGCCCCCGAGGCCAAAACAGCAGCATTCTACCTAAACAATGTAGCCGTCGCGAATCGATTGGCGTGGTTGCTTTTGCTGGATGAATAGATCGCGAATCTTGGTCATTTCTCCAGCCTGGGCCTTATTCTTCTCCACAGACTCTCGTCATCCATTGGCTGTCGGTCAACTGTTACACAAGTCTACCGTGCGATTGATCATTGACTGCTGATCGGCATCAAGAATGGTAGAATGGTGGGAGCTCGTAGCCTCGATCACGAAACAGAGGGAGATGTGCACATGTCTGGGCACCATGGATCTTCGGACTCAGATATTGCTTGCATCGTGTGATTCGACCTTATTGATCCTTTGCAGCTTATTGACCTGGCCGAGACAAAGAAAAACTGGCAATAAAAAAATGTACTCTGAGTTCTTACGTGAATTCAGTGCGGGTAGCCTTGGCCCTTGAGGCCCCAGAAGCTACAGCAAAGCTGTATCCACGCACACAAACAGCAGCACCATGTTAGTAGAACCCCCCCGGCTCTGCATCGACCCACAACTCGCTAGACCAGCTCAACCTACCTGGCATTTGATAGCTGTCATGAGCATACCCATCAAACCGCAGCGAGCCTCTAAACCAGATCTGCCTCATATTTTCATTCGCTTGCTTCACCCATCTGTCAGTTCGACTACGGTTTCATCTTCCCAGCCTTCTTCAGCTGCCGCCACCGCTACCTCTTTCAGGGACCAACAATAGCCGCCAAAAAAAACACGCGTGCGAAATAAAAAAATCATCAGGCGCTCCCGCAGGAACAGGAGGGATTAAAAAGGTTCGCACGACATGCTCAACGCATGTATGGGCAAGACATTGAAAAAGAAACTCGGCGATATGTATCGGTTTTCTTTGAAATGACTCATGCGCTGTGCGCCGAGAACCTGCATGCTAGCTAAAGAGTCTTTTTTATCCTTGGGCCGTCGTCCTTTGGTCGTCAAGGCGCTTTTGTCCTTCCTTTTGTTTTTGTCTTCTCTACTTACTTTATCGTCTTCTTCTCCCACTTGGATCTCTTAAGCTCTAGGATAATTTGCGAGAAAGCACCAGGCGCGCGAGGAGATCAGCTTGAAACTGTCCACAGGTGCCGAGCATGTTTTTGTTGCCATCAAATTTTTGGCTGCCTAAAAAAGCCAAAAGCAGTGGTGTACTGGGCACAGTCTGAATCTGAACTGTCGGTGGAGTACATGCATTGCATTGGGCATATGCTATTTTACATGGCAATGCCCACGCTGTTGTATCCCTTCATGAGGTAAATGCGCTTCTTCGTTGCGCTCAATGCAAGCCCTTCACAGCGGACACTAGGGGCTGCTATTTCGTGAAAAAATATGGTCTTTGCTTTGCTCAAGAATGGCCAATGACCCTCCTTTATCAAACTTATGCAAATCTACTCCGACTCGAAAGAAGATAGGTACCATTGACCATACCAAGCTTGAGCAGCACGCAGTCTTTTTACGGTGGATTCCAAGAATAAAGGTCGGATCGTCGGACGTGTCTCTCTATGTACAGTATTGGTCGAGGCCAAATTAAATGAGAAGCCGAATAGGAAAGCTCAGCACCGGAGATTAGTGCGTTAATGTTCCGGGACGTTTGCGATGGGTTGTATGAAGCGCAAGAGGCGATGCGCAATGAGAGAATAAACTAATGGGGACAAATTGACAGATGAGGTCTTATTCCGCCCTACGTTGATTGTAGCCGATGTCCTTTACTTCTTCTGAAAAAGCGGGCCAACATCTCGGTCCGCCTAATAAGGATCGCCACCGTCTTCAGTCTCCATGGGCAAAAGTGAATCATATGAAGAAGCGCCACCACCCTGGGCCATTTCGGATGAGTGTGAGGCATCGGCTTCGGGCCACAGATTTTCCCGGAACGGCTACATGTTCGAGCAAATCGTTCAGCTCTCCGTCGTCGCGAATGCTGAGCTGAAGGGGATGGGAAATAGTACAAGGTATGTTGCTGCCGCGGGTAGCGTTACCGGTGACATCGAAAATCTCAGCGGTCAAGTACTCGAGGATAGCTGCAAGAAAGGCGGACGATGTATCGGAGACATGGTCTGAACGGCCGACGATGTACATTCGGCTATGAATTCGATCTACTAAGAAAAAATAGGCCAGCTCTTCTTAGTCGGGAGTTTCGCCATGCGTTCATGTCCCAACTTCATTCGTTGCCTGACATGGTCGATGTGAGAGGGAGAGGTTCGTGGAAGAAAATGAAGGAAAGGAGTCAGAATGAATTGAAGACAGATAATTTGATATATTCGACCGCTGTGCGTACGTAGACTTTCGCATTCAGGTCCAATAAAAAAAAATCAAGTTGAATTACTGCATATTTATCGAGGATCGGTATCTGTAAACGACGAGCAATGTTCAAAAATGAGCGTCTTCTACACAGAAGCGCATTCACGAAGTCTGCATGATCAACTAGTCATTTTCTAGTTGTATTGGATGACAGTGTAAATGAGCAGAGCGCGAATGCTGACCCAAATATGTGGAGAGGATGGCATTTTATTGGTTGACCCACATTCACACCAAAATGTATATCTGGAGCGAACATAGTGAAGCCAGCGCCATGAAACCACACGCGCACGGAGCGTAGCGTAGGGAGGTACTGCCAACGCTAAACCACTGGTGAAGGAGATTTTTGAGTAGCATGTTTGTATTCCGCGATCGAGACGATGAAAGCTTTACGCCGCATGGTGAAATGATGGACATGCAGGTGACTCCTGCAGGTGTTTCTTTGTTAGTCATCCTGTACAACGTGTATGGCCTTGCATGTCCAGTGCGACAACAACCACGGGACGAGGAAGGAGTTTCTTACGCATGCAACTTGTACATGTGCACGTACAGACACGTTTAGGGATTACGGGACCCATCGCATTAAAAAAAACCTCCTGAACACCACTTATTTTTCTGCCGGTTACCAGCGAGCCTGGTGGCCTAGCTCTCTGGCCCTCCGTCTTTCATCATAACGACTCCGAATATGAGTGGGCGTCTGTTGACAACGAAAGTTAACAAACCTCAGTCCTTCCGTTCGCTCAGTTCGTGTAACGATGCATCTCTAAAGACACCACTCCCATGCCTCGCCCAACTGTTTGCCCTCCACGTCAATCGGGATGAATGAACAAAGTGTACGTGGTACAATCTTCTTTATGGTCGTGGCCAGACCAGGATGCATGGGGTGCATGGGGATGCATGGGCGGAAAGTACACAAAGATGGGGAAAAGGGAGAGGAGAGAGGGCACCATTCCTCCCGTCCTCCACACACCCTGTGTACAGTAACTTCATTGCTAGGGTAATAGTGTCTGCAAGTGTAAAATAAAGTAGAATGACAAATGGACAGGTAGCCCTTTGGGATTTGAACCGAAATTTCCGACCCAGGGCCTGGATCTCAATAATGCAATTGACACATCTGTCATCCGCCACCATCCACGGCGACAACGAGGACATCAAAAGGAACTTGAGCTACCAAAACCTTCCTTCCGCTGGCTGCTCTGCAACCCTCCTGTCCTGTCCCTCTTCTTCCTTCCCCCGCCTCTCGCCTTGTTCATTCATCCTCATTCCCCCCTCCCCCATTGTCATCTACTTCTCATCCCACTCGCTCGATTTCGTTCGTTAACATACCATAAGAACAAGCAGAGTGTGTCTGCGAGCACGTCCAATAGAACACCACTGCCGGTAGGCTTCTCGAACCCAGTTCTCGCCACCCAGGGTTATTTTGGGTTTTCCTTTGCCACCAATTGCCCCAATCTCCCCTTCTCCGAAGCGCGACTTTATCCCTGTTTGCAACTCTTGCAAGACTTTATTAAAAACGAAGAGCCGTCTCCATTGCTGCGCTGACTACAATCGGTATATTGCTCAGTAAGATCCGATCGTGCCTGCTGTTTGTTTGTTGTCTTGAAGCATGTTTGTTATCCTTCCCATTTTGTATTGACAACAAACAAAGTACAGGGCGTCTAACCACGGACTACTGTAGTTTTATGGGCAAAGGTCTGCGGTGCTCAACAAACTCTTGGTCATCTTCACCTGGAGGGAATTCTTGTCTTCTATACGTCGGGCACTAAAGCGTGCGGAGTAATGCTTTACAAGGGTTTCGTGTGCGTTCAGCATCAGTTTTCATTTTCTCCACAGCATGTATTTTGAACCCCTTTGTCCTTCTGCTCTTCCCCCTCCTCCTCCTCCCTCGCGTCATTTGGTTTCCTATGTCATGTCATGGACCAGTGTTCCAGGGTCACTCTTCCCTTGCAGGGGACACAGACGTTGGGAACCCTTCTCGTCCTACACATGAGGATTGAGCTGTGCCTTAATGTGTTGGGTGTACAGCCTACAGGTTTTTATTGTATGCACAAGAGTATTTGTAAATTGCATGTTCATTAAGAGGGCCACGCGAGACGTCAAATTTCCGAGGATAAGTCTGTCGATGTTTCTATTTCCGCTCTTTGAGTGCGTCGCGTGGCTGTTGTCTTCAGGAGATCTCCATGGACGTGGTTCCATGCATTCATCAAAATTCTTATTTCAGGGACCGACAAGACTGCAGACTCACCCCTTTCTCCACTCTGCTTTACTCCACCAGGGCAACCGTAATACGTCTGCAATTGACAGAGCAAGACGTGCCAACTGCATCCCATCGACCGGGTAAGGCTAACTCGCATTTTTCCTACCCCTACTCCTATCGCTCTTGGTGTTCTTCAGCGGATCTAGGCCGAGATCCGAGTCTTATTCATTTCTTCGCCGTGTTACATCTATATTGTCCTCCCGATGCTCTCTGTCACTGTCTGAGCACTTGTCTGGAGGGGTGTCCTGGTGACACACCGCGGTATCCTGCAGCATCTATTCATTGATCCGTTCACTTTGTTCATTCTTTTGCCCTGTTATTCGACTTGCCACGTCCTTGCCCCCGCCATGCTCAGCGTATTTTTCTGTATTCAGTTGCCCTGGTCTCTATCATCATCCACAAAGTATTACCTTTGAACTAAAATCTACAACAGCAACAAAGTAACAAAATGCAGTATACAAACACTACACAGAAGAAAAAAAATGAAGTGCTCTCCTGGCTACCGCCCAGAACATGGAAACACAAAGATATCCCGAAATATCCTCTAACCTACGAGGTCCGGTTGCACAACGTCTGCTGGTTTTCTCAATGGCAATTGCTCTTCTTGGCATTCGCTAGTATCGGGCACTGTGGTTTTTGCATGCCGCAGGGGTTGCTGCGTTCCTAACTATTCTGAATACCACTCTCTTTAACGGTAAGCGACCACGAGTAAGAGTCCGGCCTTCGGGATCAACAGAAGATTCCTATAGCACCATCGGGCGGGTAATTTACCGCACGGAAAAGCAGTTCACAAAGGCTTTCTGTCCACCTCTGTTCATGCGGGTCGCTCTCCCCTTTCTTTCTTCCCGCGCTAGGGAAGTGGATGGCAATATTAGTCTATTGTCCACCCGGACTGGGTCTTTACACGCCTTTCTTTTATCTTGATGCAGCGCCTCAGATGGATACTGTTGCAATTGGCGTTACCCAAACGTATGGACGATTCCCTTTGAACATCGTATTTTGGTATTCTATGCAGTACGGCATCTGCTTTGGGATCATGGGGACCGAGGCACTCTGCATATTGCTTACGTTTATTTGACCGACATCATCACCACTGCCTCTTGCGAAGGAGGGACTCGCACAACAGGGCACGTACCCCTGTTCATTCTCTTCACTCTTTTGGTTCTCCCACTTCATTTTGACCCCTGCGCGTCGTGTTGTTGTTTTTTCCTATATGTGTACTTTACCTGTGCTGTATGTTACCTGTTCATCTCCCCCCCTTTTTTTTCATCAGCCTTGGCATGTCATCTTGTCCTTTCACAGGAACCGGTGCAACAATGAGAGGAGAATAAGACAGGGGAACTTGGGCAGATCGAATCAGGTACGAGAGCAAGGAACAAACAACCTCCTCTCCCTCCCCTTTTTCACGGTCGCGTTTCTTTTATTCTGGCCCTGTTACTCTAATTCATTACACATACTTCATACTTGATATTGCATCTTCGGGCATTTTCAGACCATGCACAACAACAAACAACAACTGAGAAAAGAGGGGAGCAATTGCATGTACAATTACTGTTGCAGTGCTGCATCTACCTTTTCCTTTGATCTACTCCACCCATTTACGCAACCTGTCTATCATCAAAAAGAAAAAAAGAGTGGATAATGGATGATCGCATTCTTCGTACTGTAGCTGCAGGGATGGACAAGCGAGAGGCATGCGAGGCGAGATTCAATTGCATCCATGAACAAAAGAGAAAAAAAACCTAAACTTTACGCGATGGTCGAGTGTATAGACTTATCCAGCTCCACGCCCATTTTATAGTGTGTATTCATTCGCAAATTCATTCATTCGTGGATTCATTCATTTATTCATTCACTCATTCATTTATTCACTGTGTTATGTGTTATACACCATTGAGCCTACACCAAGGTCTTTGTCGAGTAAATGAAGGAGTCGAGTACGCGCGGTTGACCTTCCGCTAAACGCCGGGTAGTCTACACGGTGTTGTTGTTGCCCCTATTGCTGCCGGTGCGTCTGTTGCGTTCGTCTCGTTTCTGGTTTACTCTCTCTTCTTTCCATGAATATCGTTGGCCACCCCTGTCAACTTCGCCACCCTCGGACGAAATAAAAACTAGCAGCAGATTGCACGGCATCGTATCGATTCAGACTCTACTCGATCAACCTATCGAGCAAAACCATAAAATCATAAACTCACTCTTTGGCCGAACGAGAGAGGACCAAGCAGACGAGCGAGAAAAAAAGAGAGGGAAACTAAGGGATCTTTTGTGTTCTCCCTTTTCTTCTCTTTCTTGTTTCTTTTCTCCATCCTTCTGTTTACCATCCACCACTTCTTTATATCCTTCTTTCGTCCTTTTCTGCCTTTTCTGCCTTTTCTGCCTTTTCTGCCTTTTTTTTCTTTCTCCCTTCTCTCTTCTCTTTTCTGTCCGTAAAAAAACAACAAAAAACCATAAAAACCCCACCTCCTTCACTTACCAAGTCTTCATTCTTTCCTTTCCTGTAAAGAACTACTACCATCCGTAATTATTCTATCAGGCTGGTTCACAAGTAGTCATATGCCATCCATGATGCTCACCTAACACTGCCTGCCTACCCTTTTTGCTGCTCTTCACTTGCCTGCTCTCCTTTCCCTTCCTTCTGCCCTTCCTACTCTTACCTGCGTGGCCTTGGGGTGTCGCTTTTATGAACCGGTCCCCACAGCCAACCTCGCCTTGATTCTGTGTCGTAACGATCCGTCTTTCTTTCTCTCACGTCGTCCTCCGCCGACTTTCCTTCCTCGTCCACCTCACCCTCTCACCTCTCTCTTCCATCTTCCATCTCCTATCTTCCAGGAAACACGCTCCTCGTCCCACTTTCAACGACATATGACGAAACTGGAGCCCAGCAACCCAATGCCTTCTTCCAAAGGCAGCAACAATCAGTGGTCGCAGCCCATCCACGATGCCTCCGCCACCTCACTCAACTACCCTCCTTATTCGTCAAGCTTTCCAGGGACCTCCCAAGGTGTTTCCAGACCATCAGTTCCTGGACATAATGCGGCCACGTCCATGATGACAGGCTCAGGAGCTGGCACAGGAGGTATGTTCCGCACTCGAGTTGTCTTTGTTCGCGCACCTGCAGAGAGCACATCTGGTTTGAATTGCACACAAGAGGTGGACCTTCAATCTGCAGCTTCAACACTAAGGAATAGCCTTTGGAAAACGCTACCGATCTCGATCATTAATCTCATGACCACGCTCAACTGTATTATTATTCACTCTTGGTATTCGTCCATCTTTCTGCCATTTTCTCTCCTGGGTCCACTCTCTGTCTATTCGATTCTTGGTTAGGCGCACCAACACTCTCCCCTTCGCTGCCTCCGCCGCAAGGGTATGCGCAGCATGATCCATCCTCGCACTACAGCTCGTACCAGCAACAGCCGTACCAATACTATACGCATCAGCAGCACCAACAACAGCAGCAACAGCAGCAGCAACCGGCGTCTTATCCTTATCACTACAGCTTCTCCTCAGGAGGATCCGCCATGACCCCATCTTCGTCCTCATACTCTTCTCCAACGCATGCCCACACTAGCCTCTCTAGCTCTCCTCCTCCGGCGTCCTCGGCTGGTCCAAGCCTTGGTTCAATGGGAGCCCTGCTCTCTCCAAAGTCTGACTTTGCGGGACAGGACAGTCATTATCACATCAACAATACCAATAGCAACCAGCCATACCCATACCACCATCCCGCTAATGCCCTCACGAAGGAAAGCCCGCGAAACAGCAATAGTGGTCCCGGCAAGAAATCGCGGTCTCAGTCAGCAGCCTCTGCAAGTTTTCCCAGTCTCTCAACAGGCGCGTCAACGACCTCTATCCATGCGATCGCCTCGGCCACAGCCACAAATATCAGAGGTGGCACTACTGCTATTGCTGCCAACATGTCCCCCCCAACCTCAAGCATCTCGTCCGTGTCCGCTGCCTCGCCCCCTTCTTCGGTATCATCGCCAACGAGCCCGAAAAAGAAGGGGAGCCAGGGTGTCAAGAAGAGCCCGTCCTCATCTATGGGGATGGATGGTCTTCCATCAAAGCACCCCAAGCCCACGCAGTCGTACTCATTCCTTATCACGACAGCGATCCTCGAAAGCCCCAACAAGCAATTGACGCTAAACGACATTTATGAATGGGTCATGGAGCATTATCCGTGGTACCGCACCGCCATCAATGGCTGGAAGGTAACTTGTTAAATGATGCATTGTCTACATTGCTGTATTCTCCTCTTGATGTTGTTCTACTCTCGGTCTGTCGTTCGCTTTTTTACTCAATACTACAAGGGGTTTTTAAACCTAATGTGGAACTGCGAACGCAACAATCGATTGCTTCACACTGTTGCTGTTGTCGCTTGTGTTGTTTTTGTTTTTCCTCCCACTACGCATGGTTCAAACTAAGCTGTTGGAGTGAAACCCTACTTGTCCAGAGCATTACTTTGAGCGTGACCTTGATGAGCAACATGGGAAAAAGCCAACCAAGGCTTGAAAGTGCTCTCGCAAAAAAAAAAAAAAAAAAAATCTAGAATGCGGAGGAAGAGCACCTTTTAGGTATTTGGTCGCACACTGGTTCTAACGATAATTTGTAAAACATTCTGTGGGTCGCTTAGAATTCGATTCGCCACAATCTATCCCTGAACAAGGCCTTTATGCGCGTGCCGAGACCACCGAGCGAACCCGGCAAGGGCTCCTACTGGAAACTGGATCCTAATCATCAACCCAACGCGGATGGCAGTCATGGCGGAATCCCGGGTGCAGGAGGACTAGCAGGCGCCAGTGCAGGAGCAGGTGGTGGGACAACTCGGACGAGCAAGGGCTCGCGACGTTCCAGTGCCGCGAGAGGGGCCGGTAGACGGGCCATGAGCGATCCTAACTCTCAGCCACTGTCGCTGCCTGGACCGACGGCGCAACCAGGATCTCATGGTATACCCGATATTCCTCTTGCGCCTGTGTCAGTCCTCAGCAAGCGAAGTGGAAATGATGCCGACCCGTATCTGTTCAAAATGGGGGCCCATCCAGCCTCGACCATCATGACCGGGCCAACTACCTCGTCTTCTGTCAACAGGCGACATTCCCATCTATTGAGCCATGATCACGATTACACGTCTCAGCAGGCACAACAGATGCCATTTCAGCAGCAGCAGCAGCAGCATTCGGACCACCAATCTGGACAGTATTCATTTGGCCTCAGTGGCCTGAACGCGCAACAGCAACAGCACGGAGCGTTCTTCTCGCCGACTTCGCCAGCTGGTCAGGGGTCTGGCGGGGACTTTGGGCCTTCGGCATCGTTTTATTCGAGCGGGGCGCCACCGAGTCTGAACGATACCAACATGATGGATTCGAGCTCGGATTCGTCGTCCTTTTCTCGGTTCTCCAATCAGGGGCTGTACTTCCCACCGGGCACTGGAGGTACCTCAACTGGGATTCCGTCGCTTTCTAGGCCACTATCAGTTGGCAGCCATGGAGCCCAAGGCGCATTCGCATCAGCGTATGGAGGAGCAGCAGGGGTAGGAAGTAGCGGAGCCACCGGCAGTGGCAGTGGGGGCCATGGCTCCCATGGCTACGGCGGTGTGGGCCAGCAGAGCGGAGGCGCAGGCGCACCCTTTCATGCTAGCTCAGCAGGCTATGGATTCTCACCATTCAATCGAAGCAACAGTGGTCCCAGCGGTGGCGGTGCAGGAACGACTTCGAATTATCGGGCTCCAGGCGATTACGGATCTGGATCGCCTGCAGGGTATAGCAGCACTACAAGCTCAGGCCCACGGTCCGGGTCGGTGGTGGGCTTTTCGTCCTCGATGGGATCGTCGATCATGGGCTCTGCCACATCTGCACCTCCAACATCAGGGTCGTTTTCAATGTCACAGGGCTTTGTGTCGAACGCGGCTAATGTGATGAGCAACCCGATGTCGCCTGGTGGTAGTGCTTCAGCATCGGCAGCGACATCTTCAGCAGGCTCGGCGGCGCCGGGCTCTTCGCGAGCGCCCTCGAGCTCAATCACGATACCCCAAGAACCGCGCAATTCGAACATATCTGGAGGCGGTGGCGGAGGCGGCAATGGCTGGTGAAAATTTTTTAATATCTTTTTTATCGATTTCTTTGACGACATGATGGATACCAATTGAAGGGGGAGGAAGTTTTGGTTATTATTCTACTTAATGATGACAACAAGAAAAAGTATTTATTCGACAACAATAACGATAACGAACGGTGTGTATTCGTATAAGAAACACATTGCAGAATACATCTGTCCACGTAATTCTTCACTTGATGGCAGTTGCGGTGATAGATGGAGCTGCTTTTTTTGGTCAGGACGACTTGGATGAAAGGGCACGATCACCATAAGGTAGCCAGCCCATTTGCTGTGCGTGTCATCTCCTTCTAGGCTAGGGCTGTGTGTTGCGTGCTTCTGCTTTTGTCTACCTTGCCATTTCTAGGTAGCTCCAACCGGTGCATGATAGAGCTCCTACATCTACCCATCTATTCATGTCCATTAACCTCTTTAAAAGAAACTAACACACTCCCCTCTTTTCATCCACATCCATTCATTCATTCATTCATTCATTCATTCATTCATTCATTCATTCATTCATTCATTCATTCATTCATTCATTCATTCATTCATCCCTCTCCATCCATCCATCCATCCATCTCCATTGCTCATCAACCTTCCTCATATTCCTCGCCCTCTTGCCCTGCTATTGCCCTTAATACCCTTAGCCTATTCATACGAGTTGTTCACGACCTACTCCCCTTCCCCTGCCTTTAAACCTCCTCCTTCCTCGCTACTTCCTGTTTATTGTTCATTCCAACCCACTTTTAGCCAGCACTCACTGGGCACAACAACCAAACGGGTGCCTGTGCCTGCCCCTGTGCTTCACACACCACCTGCTCCTTCCTTACCTCGCACACACACATTCATCCCTTCTCTCCACATCGATAAAACGTCTTCTTTCTCACTATGCGGCTCAAGGACTCGTCCCTGTACCTGTGTTTGAGCATCCTGCTCTGCAGGATACCGCCCCTTGCCCTCGTTGCAGCACGCGGCGCAGCCTCTCCCCACATGGAGATCATCCTCCCACCAGTAGACACCCACCACCTCGGCGACATCCCACAGTTCTCCTCCAACAAAGCCTCTCCCCACGACTCAGCCTCCAAACCCCTGGCACTTTCCTCACAGGGCAGTGCGGCCGCCGCTTTGTTCTTGCACTCGAGCAACTCTAAAGAAATTGAGGCCTCCCGACCCGCAACAACAACGAACAGCAAGCTGAAAAAAAGGTTTCTCGACAACACAGGCCCACTGATCCAAGCACCAACACCAGAGTACAGAATTACCTCCTTGGCCTTATTGACAACCGTTGATGGCAATCTGCATTGTATCGATACCCGTAATGGCGAACTCTTCTGGACTCGACCGCCGCAGGCCGTTGGAGCCATCGTGTCAAGCAATGTCACCAAATACACCAAGAGCAGAAGCAGGGGTAGTGACACTGATATCTTTGCTAGCAGTAGCATTGAGGGGGAGCAGGACGGAACAAGACCTGCCGGTCTGTTGGACGGCGATATTGAGTACGATAGCGAGGATTGGACCTTTATTGTCGAGCCAGCAGAGATACCAAGGCTCTATGTCTATTCTAACTCAAGTGGTCTTCAGGTAAGGACGGCTTCTTTGTTCTCCCGAACAATTGAGGAGCAATAAACGAACGAAGCATCGTTGCGGCGACAGCTAGATTGCAGGAGTACAGGACTACGACAGGGATTATTCTCCTTGTCGATCGATGTTCATTCTTCCATTTCTCGGCTCGCTGCCCACACCATGGTAGAAACCTATGGCAACGGAGCAATCAACTTTGCGCGGTGAATGTATCGTTTGGGCGACAGAAAATAGGGTTGCTTGCATTTAGAGGAGGTACGCTCTCTCGTGCTTCCACGTAACAGCCCAAAAAAAAAAATTTAGGTCGCCATGGGCTTGTACGCCGGCGTGCTTGGTCGCTCCTTGTTCAATCACATCATCGGAGAGTGTCTGTGGAGGAGGGCAATTAAAGAGACTACACTAATTGGGTTGCATAACAGATTCTCGATCATCCACTCACCAATACCAGCATCCTGTATATGCATTCATAGCCCGTCGGATCATTGGTGCACCTGGTCACCAACTCGCCCCAGATCCGGCCCGATGGAAAGAGGATTACAGGCGGTAAGAAAACCAGTCTCTTGGAGCTGGACATCAGCACTGGACAAGTCGTCAATACATTCGAGGCTCCCAATGGATGCACAGGACCGGAGGGCATCAAAGCATCAGGACTTACCATTGTCCTTGGCCATGCTGGTAAGTTTTGCCGCATGTATGCCGTGAATTTATCATGGATTATGCGGGATGGTCTGCTTTCCACAAATTGATCCCCATGGCTCTATTCTGATAGAATATACGCTGTGTATCGCGGATCCGATATCTGGGATGCAGTGGGACATCTCTTATAGTGAGTATTTCCCGGTGACTGAGAATCCGAGCGTTGTCAAGGATGGACCGATGACTTGGATCGGAATCGACAAGGACGGATTGGTGGCGTTCTGGAAATCGGATGCTGGTATCATGTGGCGCAAAAAGCTCGCGTCGCCCACCACAGCTGTGTTTGAGATCTATGTCAATTTTAATACTCAAAAGGCGGTGTTGGCACGGCAGAAGCGGCTGCCTGGGATGGACGAACTTTCACCAATAGCCCATGTGAGGATGTACCAGGATCAGCTCTATGTGCTCTCAGAGCAGAACTACCCGTTGCTGGGCAAGCCGGATCCGGAGAAGGTACGCTTGCCCTATATGGGCATTGAAGGCTCTGGTGAGGATCAACCGAGTTGTCGAGCAGGATCGCCCAACTTTCCTGGATGTATAGTTGGCCCACATATGGTCGGCTTTCCCTTCCGACCGGACGGTTTCTTAACTGTGGATGATGGATTGGATATGGACAAGGACGAGGAGATTGTTACTATGCCGGAGGGTAATGATTCTTTTCGATCCAGATCAAATACCCACGACCCCTTTGCAGATCCACCGCCCATCTCGCGGGCGACTACAGTTGTTGGATGGCTGGTGATTTCTGTCGGCATCTTGACAGCAATTGTGCACACTAAGGGGATCAGCAATCTGGTCCAACCCATTGACAATTTCTTGGAGCAGAATAACATGCAATTCAGGGTCTATGGACTGGTCAAGGCGGTCATTCAGGGAGCAGCTGTCGCTAGCACGGCTGCATTGACCGTCGCCTCGGCAATAGGCATTAGTAACAGGGACAATCGAGACAGTCTGCCGGCGTTCAACGACAAGTCGATGGTATCGTCTATACAATTAGAGCTGGAGCAGCGGAGGGATGAAGCAACGATTCGAGAAAAGTCCGCCGGGCAAGTGAGCGAGAAACCCGAAAAAGGCGGCAGGAAGGGCCCGCGGAACAAGCCATCGAATCAGGAAACTGCAGAAGGGAAAATCAATGGTGCAAACGGTGCAAACGGTACAGGAGTTGGCACAGGCGGGAATGGAAGTGGAGGGCGCAAGAAGAAGAGAGGCACTGGCGGCAAGAGTCAGAAGGCGGCGGCTGCGGCGGCTGCGGGGACTGCAGCTGCACCAGCCGAAACGGGTGATGGAAACAATAATTCAAAATCGACATTGGAGCACAAGGACGAAGTATCTTCAGAACCAGCAGGATTCTTGGCTGCTGGAAGGTCAAGTGAAAATGATGGAAGGAAGAGTGCTTCGAGCCAAGAAACCGTTGTGGATTCAACGTCGAGTTTGACACCAATCAGACCACCATCGAACGCGCCGGCACTAAAGTCGATTCAGGTGACAGACATCGTATTAGGATACGGAAGCCATGGAACGGTGGTGTATAAAGGCACGTATGACGGGCGCGCCGTGGCAGTCAAGCGACTGTTGATTGATTTTTATGATGTTGCGTTTCACGAAGTTCGGCTGTTGCAAGAGAGCGATGACCATGCGAACGTGGTGCGCTATTTCCGAAGTGTAAGTTGACGATATGTCCAACGGAATGTTTGATCCGCATCAATGTCAAGCATCTTTACTTGGACTAACCAGTTGCTGATGACCCTAGGAACAATGCGACCGATTTTTGTACATAGCACTGGAGCTTTGCTCGGCTTCCCTGGACGATATTATTGAGCGCGGACATATGCAGCCGTATCGAGATCTGTCAGCAACACTTGAGCCGCAAAAAATTCTCTTCCAAATTATCTCTGGTATCCATCACCTTCACAGCCTGAAGATTGTCCACCGGGATATCAAACCTCAGAACATATTGGTCGGCGAGCCTAAACGCAAACCCAAACCATCGAAATCGTCACTGTTATCAACATCGAGTCTTTCAGCAACACCACCACCGCCACCTTTGGGATCCAGCGGAATGATCACCAGTGTTGTTCGTGCCAACTCTGTCCCCTCCCCAGCACAAGATCTGTATCCTGGCAGGGTTTTGATTTCGGATTTTGGACTGTGTCGCAAGCTTGAGAACGATCAGTCGAGCTTCCATAATACGACTGTGCATGGCGGGCGAGGCGGCGCAGGAGGAGGGACGATTGGCTGGCGTGCCCCAGAATGCTTCTTGGGCATGGATCAGGACGATGAACTGCTTCAGGCGATGGTCAATGGGACCGTTAGTGGTACACTCGCAGATGATTCTTCGTCGTCTAGCCAAGAAGTCGGCGGTTCCGGCTCATCCGGAGGACGCGCCAACAGGATGACCCGTGCGATCGATATCTTTTCTACAGGTTGTGTCTTCTACTATGTTCTGACGAATGGCGAGCATCCCTTTGGGGATCGATATTCTCGTGAGCGAAATATCTTGCTGAACCGACCGAACTTGAGCGGGCTGGATGCCTTGGGCCAGGAGGGCGTGGAGGCCAAGGATCTGATATCGAGGATGATTGCGCACGACCCAGCAGATCGACCGGATGCATTTACCGTAATGCACCATCCATACTTTTGGTCGGCAAATAAGCGGCTCATGTTTATGCAGGATTGCTCGGACCGATTTGAGATTGAGGACCGGGGCGTAGACGCGGACCTGCCGAGTCAATTGTTAATCAAGCTGGAGCAGAACGCGAAGGAGATTTTGGTTAAGGACTGGTATAAGGTGATCGATCGGACCTTGGTCGAGAACTTGGGCAAATATCGCAAGTATGATGGAAACAGTGTTCGTGATCTTTTGCGTGCCCTTCGTAACAAGGTAAAAAAAAAAAAAGACATTCGTGTGTACGGTATCTAGTTCGGTCTCGGTAATGAATTTGAAGATCACAGAGTTTATAACGCACTGTTTACTTTATTCTATCAAATCCATAGAAACACCATTATCAGGATTTACCCCCGCACGTCAAGCGGGCACTAGGAGATCTGCCGCACGGATTTTTGAACTACTTTACGTCGCGGTTCCCAAAGCTGATGTTGCATCTGTATTATGTTGTGGCCAACGATCCAGAACTGAGGAACGAGAGCATGTTTAGGCATTATTTTGTAGATTGAGAGCATTTGAACAATGAACAATTAACTTAACAAGCAAACGGCCAAAACGAGCATATAGATCAGAGTGATTGCATATTATTGAATGGGAAAATGCAAGGAACAACAGTTGTTTATATTGAACATGTTTTTGTTTTATAATGAGTACTAGTATAATGTATGGGCGTTCTATGCAGAGGGATAATGGTTCAATCGGTAGAGCAAGACCTTGCCCTTGTCGTTTCCAATAGCGAGGTATCCGCTCCTTGGTGAGAATGTCAGGCAGGTGACATAGGAGAGTGGGGTACCGCTAGTGGGCCAGTTCGGGAAGACCTTGAGTGAGGGGATATGAACGAGTCGAAGCTGGTCCTTACGGGCCTTGGAAGAGATGGCCAAAATCTGAGAGTCGTGGTTGAAGCGCATGGTATGGATAGACGTGGTCAAGTTGCCGATCGCACGGAGGGACTTTGGCTTGTACGTCGTTAAGCAAGTGCGGTCGTAGACGTTGACGATGCCGCTCTTGGATCCGACGGCCCAGAACTGGTCATTCGGCGAAATCGCTATACAGGTGGGCTTGAATCCGCCCTCGTCCAGGAACCGGTGGAGACATTTTCCAGAGCTGATCTCCCATTGATAGATCTCTGCATCGCCTCCGACAGAGTACAGGTAAGTGCTGTCGGAGGACCAGGCGACGGCGCGTACGTTACCGTTCATCTTCATGTTCTTGACCCATTGCTTTGTCGAGCTCGAGACGAGGATGATGTAACCATCTCGACCCATGAAGGCGATCCACCGACCGCACGGCGAGAGTGAAAACTTTTCTAGACTCTTTTCCTTTCGTCCATAGATACCGTCGCTCTTATCCACTTTCCCGGCCTCGATGTCATAGGTATAGAAGTATTTGCGCCGTCCCGAAGCCACGACCGCGTTTCCAGAGGCTGAAAAGGCGGCCATGTAGACCGGCATGTCCTTATAGAAGACCGACTGCATCATCTGGTTCAGCTTGCCGTCGATTTGGAAGAGTCGCAAGGTCCTGTCGAATCCAGCGGTGAGCAGCATTTGGCCGTTAGGGTGGAACTCCACGGATTGGATGACGGATTTAGAGTAACCCATCTGATTGGCGTTCTTGACGCGGGTGACAACGATGGATTCCGGAGACATAATCCTGAGTCTCGTTGATTTCTCGAGGAAGCCCTTGCTGGTCGTCAAGATCGAGTTGTCCTCCTGCTCCAGTTCCTCGTCCGAGTATTCGTCAGAATCTGATCCTGCTCCTGCTCCTGCTCCACGACGACGACGTTTCCGCGAGCCTTCTGGAAGAGCCCAATTAGGAACTGGGTACACCTTTTCAAATCTGGGAAGAACGAAGCAAAGAAGAGGCTCCATGTGAATAAGAAGACAGGACAGGTATGCATGGGTGCGCTCCGCTTGGATGCAATTTGGTACGGCATGTGGGAGTGAGTCCACTTACTGTCTTCTCAATCTCTGCTCGTAATCGACGCCGTTGACAATATCTTCGGCCTCTTCCTTGCGTAACTTCTTCAACCGGTTCACGGATTTTAGCGAGATCGACAGAGTCTTGTCATCCTCGTCCACCCATGCTGGCTTTCCTCTGTAGATTTCTACAAGGCGATGCAATATATAACACGACACGATTCGATGTTAGTTTTTTCACAGTTGCTCAAAATCGAAAAGTAGAATTCTTCTGACAACATCCTTATTGAAATGACAACGTACCTGAGAGTCGGTCGATATTTGATCCCTCATCCTCTGAAGCGTTCGATTCCTCCTGATCCTTGTCCATATCCTCATCCTCATCCTCATCCTTGTCATCCTGCTCATCTTCGTCAATTTCTTCCCTCATTACGGGTGTTGGTCCTGTATCCATAAAGAACATATCCTGACCACCCGCATCCACTTCTTCCTCGGCATCGTAATCAAACTCATCCAATGCATCGCCTTCTTCGTCGCTGCTCAACTCGTGTCCAGCCCTCGAGAGTGTCTCACCAATCAAGTCTTCATTATCACCAAAGATCAAGTTCTCAAGCTCGACCTCGGATTTTTCCTTGGGTTTCAAGTCATCATTGTTGTTGGGTTTGTTCTTGGGTGTGGCATAACCCCGAGCGGTGAAACGGCCTTCGGCCATGTGGGTGGCAGGCCGGACGTTGGTCTTCCCCAAGTTCTTAGTTGATGACGACGACGACTCCGTCGAGGCGCCCTTGGATTTTTTTGCCTTGGGTGCCATGGTTGTGAGACGTGTGATATTCTGTAAGGGCCTGTATTGATATGATGCTTCTTTTCCCGAGGGACAAAAGGGGTGGGATGGGCGTAAGGATGTATATAGGATGCCGACGAGCGGTCGCTTCAAGACTGCATGCAAAGGTTTCTATGGCCTCAAGAAAAAAAGAAAGAAAAAAAAAAATATAAACACTGCCTCAAGCCACAAATATGCAAGTCATCACTCATTTTTGGTGGCAAAATAACCCCTTGACTTGAATGAACCAAGTACGATTTTTTTTTATCATTGAAAGACATTGCATCGTTCTTATTAATTGCATGAGACATTAAATGGACAGCAAAAAGGAGTAAAAGGAAAACGTGGTGGGGAAATATTAAGCGAAGGGTGGTATAGCATAAAAAACGGTCTACGAGAGATATGAAGCCATGACCGGCACGGCTTTCATGCTAAAAAAAATAAAACGTGAAGGCATAGTACACTAAATAAAAGGAAGAAAGGAAGAGGAGTGTTGCCTGCGGATCGCACGACCGCAGACAGATTGTAACCATCAAAATGGAGGGGGTAGGGGGTAGGGGGGGGGGCTCGTGAGATTCGTCATGGCGTCAAGGCTGGTTCCGTCCTGCATCGTCTTTGCACTTTTAGAACCTGTCGGTCGCCACATGTTCATATTTGTAGGATCAGTTCGCGAGCACTATATATTTCAAAACAAATAGGATTATTAGTCAGCAAAGCGGATACCGTAGCATCCCTCTATCAATGGTACCATGAAAACAAATTAGTGTTCTGTGCCTCTTTATTTACCTCCAATCTCCGAGGATCGATCAGGTCGTGTGCGATCCATCTCGTATTTCATAGCCATCTTTTCGTCTTCTCCAGAAGAATGGGCGTCGTCTGAGTGGTTCTCGCGAATAGAATTCCTGACGTATCCATTGTGCCCATCCTGTCGGGGAGACCTGTTGGCTGTCGATGCAACTGACCCAAGTGGTGCCCTTGACGCTGCTACTACTGCTGCTGCTGCTGCTGAAGGTGGGGTTGACGAGCGTGAGCGGCTAGAGCCGATATTGGCAGATGTTGGGGTCGACGGTGAAGCGGGTGATCCTGATAGAGGCATCGGGACACCCTCAGATCTACCCTCAAAGCTGTACTGTCTTGATGGACTGGTTGCAGATCCGTACTTCGACTTTGGACCAGCCATTGTCGATGCGCCGTTGCCATTGCTGCTCTCTACTGCCCTTTTGGATCTGTCGGGTGAACTGTTCTGACGCTGCACCCTGCGACGGTGTGCAGAGTCCATGCTCGCCTTCTTGTGAAGCTGCTCCCGTTGCTGTTGACTTTGCCCTGCATTTCGAAGGACCTTCGCTCTGACGGCGTCCATGACTGCATCGTGGTGGATCGACTTGCGCTTCAAATTTTGGCCTGCTGCTGGGGACAGGGCCGACGTCGGGGAAATATCATTGTCCTTGGGTGTCAGGGGAGGTGGTATATGGGATTGATAATCCAGGTTCGTCACGGGCGAGGACTGAGCGGACGAAGATGAGAGAGCAGGCAAGGCATAATGTCGCCCAGAGGCCTTGCTCGAGGGTGGGCCTTGCTGAGGCAGTGGTAGCAAAGACCCAGTATGCTGTGGAGAAACTCGTTGGGAGGAGGACGGATGCTGCTGTTGCTGTGCGGGATAGCTCTGTCTCACTGCAGTGTTGATTTTGAGCGACGGAGGTCTGCCCTGAGGACTGGGTTGCATATGAGCCTGATCCTGGTATGGGTGGTCATGCTGCAACGACTGCCGACCATACTGTTGATGTGAGGACTCTGTTGCGGATGGTGTGGGATAGGCCGAGCGATAGGGCGCTGAGGAGGCGGAATAGTGGGCACTGGTCGAATCTGTGGTACTTGCGGGGGCGTATGGGCGTCCTGGAAGATGCAGGAAAGACAACAAGAAACAAGGGTCAGCTTAGCGTATCTAATAAATTAAAAATGAATGCCCCCCCCCTCCCCCCCAATGATTCCCTCCCTTTTTTAGGTGCGTTTTTTGTACCTATACGCCGTACAGGGCGGAAAAACGATGCAAGCGAAAGGAAAAATGGGCTGTGTAGCACGTCGAGTCGAGCATGCATGTGCATCTCGTCGTCAGCTTTGACCAGCGGCTCTCATTGCCACCTTTGTATACAAGAACAAAAAGGAGGTGGGGGGAGTACCACAGGAGTGAACACGTTCACATTCATGGAAAGAAAAAACAGGCCGGATATGTCTATGAATGGTGCTGGCGAAGAATATGCCAGCAGCAATCAAGGCACCCCTTTAATGCCAAGAGCGTGGCAAACGTTCTATTGCATGGAGGGGACCAAAGGCAGAATAATACAGGCGGTACTTGCCTGTTGCTGCCACTGTTGTTGCCGCTGCTACTGGGGGCGATCCCCGTCGTTTCTCCAATGCGAGATCCAGTTCCAGCTGCTTGGACTGCAGACGAATCTGCTCGGTCTTGTAACGTTCCTCCTCAGCTTTCCGCTAATCATACGGTCAGAAGACATGAACGTGTAGAGATATAGGCGTCAATGGTCAATGGGGCTGCTGCAGACATTGGGTCATCCTTGATCATTCTTTCGTCGTTTGAGACCGACAAAGGCGTGTCTGTCTGTGTCATGCCGCATTATTGTCATTTAAGTAATGTACGCCCATTATTGCATTTGCGTTTGTCCTGTCACAACAGGGTCCCCGATCCAACCCATCCGTTTCAGGACATTTAAGGTCCCTCGGACACAATGGATGAATCATCCTGAAACAAAGAGACTCAAGCCCGTTACCTCGTCTTCCTTGGCTTTGGCGTTGAGGATCGATACCAAAAAGTCTTTGTGTGCATCCTGGTACCGTTCCAGGATGTCAGCTACAGTCATGTTGGGGTACGATGTTGCCCCGAGTGTTGGGCGAGGACGATTGTGTAGGCTACCGTGGAAGCTAGGGAACGCGCGGTGGCCCTCGATGACACCTGCAGACAGAGGGCCCTGGATATCCTGGTGATGGTGGTGATAGGCCCTCTGAGTGTGAGAGGAGTAGTGGTTTTGTTCTCGATGCGATTGCAGGTGCTGAGGATGCAGCTGCTGGCGAGGCTGTTGCTGCTGCGACTGAGACGAAGACTGGGACGAATGGTGGTGGTGGTGTTGATGGTGCTGGTGCTGTTGCTGCTGGTGCCTCTGGGCGCCAGGATAGGGCTGGGCAGAATGGTCAGGATGATCGACCATGACGAAGTGTGAAGAGGGGGTATAGGTCTGGTGTAGGTGTGAGCAAATGCTATCTGTAAAAGCAATTGGGGAAGTTAAGGTCGGCAAAGGTGTTCGTTTTTAAAGAATCTACGTGGAGTGCACGCCGCAATGGTTAAGGAGGTATCATAAAAGAAAAGGTTACCTCGGTCGTTTTTTATGTTGTTGGTTTATTCAGGTCTCGGGTTACTGTGTGGTCCTTTCTCAGGTGAGATGATCATATAGGAGGTAAAGAAAAGACAGATGATGGGTGGATGCGTGAGGTGTGGATCTTTTCAAAAAGTCATGCGGAGCGTTGGTGAGATGGATGTGGACGAGGGATGAAGCGAGGGTAGTGGAGTAGTCATGCAGAGAAGGAGGAAGGAGGAGGAGGAAGAAGGAAGAAACAAAGTAGCCGGGAAAAAGAATACTTGTATGGGTAGCCTCAATGGGCTGACTACAATGGCTCCGTGAGTGTCAATATTGATATGCTATACCACCTATCAAACCACTACCATAGTCTCCTTCCATGCACATGTGCAGGTGAGCAGAATGCTTTTCTTCAGACAGCCTAAGGCCCCATCTCTTTTTTTTTTATCTTTTGCTCCCTGGAGCAACAGCCTCATTGTAACGCCATATTCGAAAAAAGATGAGAGGAAGCTAGCCGGAACCCACGAAAGAGGAGTGCCATGGAAACATTGGTAACGCAACGGTTGTTCCTGAGAAAAAAAAAAGGATAGGACGCGTGTTATTCGCGTTTGTGATACTTTCGGATGATTTTCAGGAACCAGGAAAGAAAACCCCGCGACAGGACCCTCATTCCCGCGTTGTTACACTCCAGTCCTAGCCGTGCAAACGATAAAACGATCAATTATACGCTGCGACTGAAGTGGCACTAATCGAATATCAGCTCCTCTTTTTTCTGGAAAATGGCTTTCATTTGTATCCCCATTAACCATCTTGCATCGCAGCTCTCATTGCCCATCTCTTTAATCCTCTCTTTGCTCAGCGTTTCATGAAAGTGGCACAAGGAACGCGCATGCATGAACATGAATGTACATTCATATCTCGATGCCATTGGGATTGAAGGGTAAAAGACCGTGTGCTCTTATTTTCGAGGCTCTTTTTGTCCAAAGGAATGAATAGCAAACCTGTGGGTCAATTTTAATGCAATTTAACGAGCCGCTGAAGTCTGGTAGAGAGCACTAAGACGAAACAACGACACCGGCAGCATCGCACTATTGCTCAATTCAAAGGCAGATAGAACAGGCTGGCCCACAAAACTGTGTCCTTTGGTCTACAAGCAACTCTCTCTTACCCGCGAGCTGTTAGTCCGAAACCCAATTGACTGCAGCTTTCGCGCCCACACAACATTGCTCGTGGAGCCAGGTCAAGAGCTACCTATCGCATCCAGGCTCCCCATAATGCATTGTAGCGTAAAGATAAAATACAACCTGACTTCTTGCAAAGCATAGATTCAGCGCGGTCTAGTTCATCCATTAAAAACTTTTTTTTCATGCCGAACTTTAACTTCGGTCTGACGTGTGGCGCACCGAAGTGATAACTATAAACGCTATTCAGACGATGGTTATCGCGAAAGGACGCGTTTTTATAATTATTATTGCGATATCTTTGTTTAGAGATCTGAATGGATTATCTTAAAAAGGTTGTTGTGTCCTCACTAACCGTGCCTTCTTTCCGTCTCTGCTCTCTCGAAAAGCTGGCGGAGAAAACTCGGTGATACATCGAATCGGGAGTTCCTTCTGGTAGAGCCAGGAATGTTTTGATGTCAATTTGAACCCTGTATTTGCGAGTAGATATTGGCGACCTGCCTGTCGCTCAATAAGGAAGTATGTAGCCCACCATTCTTTTTGGGGGCCCAGCAAATGAGACCTGAGATACTGTGCCATGTCTTGCTCATCCTTGACACACAACGCCGAGAATACGTCTATGATCGCCACAAGGAGAAAGACAACAGTCAGCGCAGAGGCCACTACATGTACTGTACGACAATGTATAACGTCTTGTTGACCCTGTATTCGATGCATTGCTCACTCGTATCTGTCAACGCTAGCGATGCCATAAATACCTTTAGGTAGCGATCGACGTCCAATATGTCAAGATACATATCCAACTCTGCGAAGGGATATCAAACATGAACCCGCAGCTGCCGAGACGGTGCTTTCTTTAGGACGCCAAGAGATCAATCATCAATTTCGAGAATCATCATTGGTCCGTGGAGCGCGCCGTTCTCAAGAACGACCACACAAAACGCATTATTTTCTATAGACATCCAACAATAGCAATCAGACCTGGTCAGTGTGGATGTGAAGAACCGTTTGGATGTGCCTTTTCTATTTATTCGGCAAACAAAAGGACATTAGAGCCATGTTCGTCATCCCCCACTCGCCATCGGGCATTCGCTCTTTTTATTCTTTATCCAGGGGTTTTATTGTGTCCATTGGGATCTAATTTTTATGACGAACCCCTATTTTGTGGGTGACATGACCATGCGAGTCACTGTCGTAATGGTAATGGTACTTCGCCGGGCTATGACCCGACCCTGACCTGGCATGCCCTGACTGAACACTTTCTTTCTTCTTTCTCTCCTCCTTTCTTCTTTTTCCACTAGTCTCCATCCCGATCCACCTCCCCGCTCCATCCTCGCTCATCCCTCCATTGCGAATCACCTCTTCCAACCCTGCCCAAACCAACCCAACCAACCCAACCCAACTCACTCAACTCAACTCAACTCACCTTACGCAGTGTCGGCCTTGCTCCCCCCTCATCCCCCCTGGCGACACTCTCCCTATCCCCTCCTCTTCCACTCTACAGAAATGTCATATATCACCAAGGACCAGCTCAGTAAGTCCTCTCTCTTAGTGCTACAGACGCACCTCCATATTATGAGCACTGGTTTTGTTGACACGAGATTTATGATGTCATTTTCAATAGACATGTACCTGCAAAAGGTGCACAGCCAGTCCGGAGAACTGGGCACGAATGGCACTACAAAATCCCGCTCCACCCTCACGGGCCCTCGTCCCCCGACCTTCGGTGCCATGGCCAGCAGTCGAAAGATCTTCCAGAACAACAATTCCTCTACAAGCCTTGTCTCACCAATGACCCCAACATCCATACAACTCGACCATGCTGTCAAGAACCTCAGTCTTTCCTCCACCCCCACCACCGTGAGTCCAGGATCCTCAAGCCCTGTCTTAGAATCTATGGGGGAGACAGGTGTCGAGCCCGTCATGGAGTCAATGGGCTCGGATAACTATGGACCAGAGGATCCCCTGTATCGACAAAGCCCTGGCATGGCCAATGGCCATTCGCAGCATTTTGGAGCCATGCATGGACAGCCTGGGTACGGTCCAGGACATTCACAAACATGGTCTACCGCAGGATATGGCATGGGAGCACACTATCAACAGCAACATCCAAATGGATATGGGGATCATCACTCGATCCCTCAGCAGTTTTACCACAACAGCCAGAACCACAATCACCAGCAACAGCACTCTATGCACCTCAGTCAAGAGCAGTATCTGCAGTTGCAGCAGCAGCAACAGCAGCAATATCAACAACAGCAGGAGTATCTTCGACAGCAGCATATCGCCCATGCAGCAGCCCATGGATACCAGCCTTCACCGACACCATCGCCCCATCATCAGAGTCCAATTGCATCCCATATGCAAGTCCCGGCTTCAGGATCACCAGCCTCGAAAACAATCACGCCGCGGATTGTGCCTATTGTCGACATCCCAAAGTACACGGTCGTTAATCCGCCCAGGGCTGGAATTGAGAATACGAACGATGACCAGGAAGGCGATTGGGTTCCAGACCCTCCGCCAAGAGAGTCTCCCGTGAAGAGTCCATCGCGGCCATACACACCCATCGAAAGCGTTACACCAGTAAGGTCCCATACCCCCCAGCTGGATATCCACATGAAAAAGCCAGCTAAACCCCGGGATTCACAGGTGAGGCCACCAACTACAGCAGAAAACTCAGAAGAAGAGGATGACAGGGTGCCCTTGCCTCCACCAAGAGAATTCCGACGCAAGAGCGCAGCGTCACCTATACTTTCCTCTGCCGCTAGCACTCCATCGATGCGGTCCAACACCAATGGTGTCTTCAAATTAAATCCTCCATCCAGCTCAACGGTTATGGCAACCACCACCTCATCCAAAAAACCTGTTACCGCAGCCCCTGTAACTATGCGAGACAACCCTGCAAAGACCAACGCCATCGCTACGGACGGAAAGGAGAGTAACATGTCCAGTCCAAAGACCGCTCCACCAAAGACTACTACCAGCTCTGTGATTAGTCCGACGGGTATAGCAGCGACTACGACTGCCAAGCCTAATCCCTGGACGACTCGCAAAGCCGTCGGCACTCTGAACAAGGATCCTGCTTTAAAAAGACCAAAGCCAGCGACGCTGCGTTCGGCTACTCCGACTTCGAGGAAACCACTGGATATGGGCGTGGGATCGGCCTCACAGAGCCCAACCCCAGTGACGACCACTCCGGAAATACACCTGAGTAGGGAACTCCCACAGACCAGACCGGAAACGCCACCATCACACCCTGCTGCGCCCATGCTGCAGATGTACAACCAAGGCCCTGCACAGATCGATATCGAGCACGACAGCAAATGCATTGCCGAGCAAGAGGACCTGCAGACGATGATCCCTCTGGCAGAGGATACATCCAAGGAGATTCTGGTCGAAGAAAAGCCGGTGCCAGTGATCGATACGACGCCAACATCGTCTGCAAACCCGTCTCGGAACAGCAGCTCTGGCTCCAACAAGTCAGGATCAGGGGCAAGAGCAAAAAACCAGACTGCATTCACTTGTGCAAGTTGCGACGAACCGATTTCGGGAATGATGATCACAGCGATGGGCAAGCGCTGGCATTCAGATCACTTTGTGTGCTGTGTGTGTGACCAGAACTTGGAGCATGTTCAGTTTTTCCAAAGGGACGGATTGCCGTATTGCCACTTGGATTACCACGAGAAGTTCAGTCCCAAGTGCGGACACTGCAATTCTGCCATTGAAAACGTAAGTCGCTTCGAATCCTTTCTGTTAATTGATGCGATGACTTTAATTATCGCTATGTTAAGATGGTGGGCATGGATTTTTGTAAACGTGTCTGATGATGTTTCTTTGTTCACATAGGAATGTTTGACGGCGTTAGGAAAGAGCTGGCATCCGGGTCACTTTTTCTGTCGGGAGTGTGGTGATCCATTTGATGAGGATGGATACATGGTGCATGACGATTACCCATACTGCGAGAAAGATTACCTGCGACTGTTTGCGCCAAAGTGCTCGGGATGCCAGGGTCCAATCCAGGGCGACTTTATCAGCGCCTTGAAAGGAAAATGGCACCGTGATTGCTTCGGATGCACTGTAAGTGATGTTCACTGGTCTATGCCTTTTGTAAGCTGCTTGTTTCTTAGGACGATTTGTTCACTCGTTTTCTGTCTATGCATCTCATTGGCTCTGTAGGTCTGTCATATCGGGTTCGACGGTATGTCGTATTATGTCGAGAGCGGAAAACCGTACTGCCAGACGCATTACAAAACCGGGAACAGGCCATCTGGAGGCTCAGAAAGCGGTAGCGGCTCGAGCTAGTAAAAAGAAGAAGCATTAGATCCGAGCAGATAGGTCACATAGATTCTTGCTCTCCCTTATTACCCATTCGTGTCCTTGCGCGCTATACATGTATCGCATAATAATATGCATCTTCTCCAATAAAGAAGGTTGTAGATCGAATGTTTTATTGAGCAGCGAAGAAATAGGGGCTGTATGACTCGTGTGTGCGCGCGCGTTTTAGACCTTCTTGGGGCGTTCGATGACAGGGAACTTGAGCTGGGAGAGGATCTTGCCCTCGGTACCAAGTTCGCAGGCGACGGTCTCGCCAGGCTTGATGGGACCGACACCGGCAGGGGTTCCTGTCAAGATGACATCGCCCTCTTGCAGCTTCATGATTGATGAGACATATTCGATCAGCATAGGGACCCTAGCAGCAACAAGCAACGGCGAGACACGTTAATGCAATTCAAAAGGTGCATAAAAAAAACATAGACACACACACACGTTGTGTTGTGTTCGCGACGATGAGATAGATTTACTTGAAAATCATATCCTTGGTGTTTCCGTTCTGCTTCGTGATCCCGTCGATCGTGAGCTTCAAATCGACATTGTTCGTATCCGGAATCTGCTCCTTCGGGATCAACTCTCCCACGGGCGTGAAAGTATCATAGCCCTTTGCTGCACTCCAGGGCAAACCCGCCTTCTTGGCGACATCCTGCAGGTTGCGTGCAGTCATGTCTAAAGCCAGGGTATACCCCGCAATATGCTTATGCGCCTCGGATGCGGGGATGTCCCGACCGTCTTTCCCGATGACGACACCGAGCTCAACTTCGTGATGGACTTCACATCCTGCGGGGACCTCGATCGGTTGGAGGTTGGAAATGTAGGAGGAGGTGGGCTTGAGGAAGAAGAATGGGGCCTTGGGAACGGCGTTGCCGAGCTCTTTAGCGTGCTCGCTGAAATTGCGGCCGATCGCAACGATCTTGCGGCCGTGGGTGATGAAGTTTCGAGAAGCCATTGAAATGAGTGTGAGTGCGAGGAAGAAGTTGAAGAAATAGGCACGAAGTAACCAATTTCAGGTACAGTCAGCGTCTCATTCACAACCACTCAACGGCAAAAAAAAGGAGGCAGCCGTTTAAAACGGGCAAAAAAATATACTTGCGACTTGTGTGGATTGAACACACGACCTTCAGATCTTCAGTCTGACGCTCTCCCAACTGAGCTAAAGTCGCGTTCGCCGAAGAACGACTGTTGAATTTTGGTCGCGGACACTCGTCTATATTCTCATGTATAATTTAAAGTTCACTCAACTCTGAACGCATTTTTTTTATAAAAACGACCACTAAAAAAAAAAAATTGCCCGATCAGGCAACAATGAGACTCATTGAGACCTGGAAGCAGCTATTTACCACCACCAAGTGGATTGCGACGATCATGGTGACAAAGTTCGTGAGCAGGATCGAAGAATTTGGCAGGACCAAGATATGGAACAAACGATGCGAGGACACTGTCGCCTGGGAAAAGTCAGTTGGAATCACCTTCATGAGCAAACGCGCCGGAGGACGCAACGGTGATCGGAGACACCAACGTAGTGTTGGTGATTTCTCTGATTTGAAAGGGAGACGGTTACTTGCAAAGGAGATCCAGAAAGGTAGACGGGCCGCGGATTATAGGGTGCTACAGCATTGCTTGGGGCGAGGGAAGTTGGACATAATGGAGGGGTTATTCGGTTTAAAAACAACTTTATTAACATTGGATCTGGATTAGGAGACGTGTATCGCGCAACAGGTCACGCAGGAGTTAGGTTAGGCTAGCTATGCGACATGGGTTATGAATTTGACGCCTCGAGCCAACATAGTTGGTAGGGGATGCGGCTCTGCCGTGCATGGAAGGCATCTATGGCTTCAAGGCCTTTGCGGACCATGCGTCGCGTGCTCATGGGGATTTATGTTAATAAAAAAAAAAAATTGCCCGATCAGGCAAACGGACGTTGCACTAGCCCTGCGCTGGAACCTATAAAGCCCACACGTCCCCGTGGGTCCTAGTTATCAAAAAAAAAAAAAAAAACTAGCCCTGCGCTGGAACCTGATGCAGCGGATCGGACGATACTGAACTGCCTGTCAAGGAGGAAGCGGTTGACAACCATGGAGGCAATGGAGGAAGATAACCTTTTTGTGACAAATAGTCTTCGGCTTTTAACATACTGATGTGGTATGGTAATTGTTGCACAGGCCCTTGCTCGCAAAAGACAAAAAAAAGAAAAATCACTGTCATGGTCCCAGAATTAACCTCATGTCTTTGAGGGTTCACAAATGTCATAAAAACATTCTGTCATGGTGTTGTATCTGTTTAAAATACTCTATCACTCTGTCATGGGAGTTGTATCCATAAATACGACCTTTTTCAAGCGAGAATAGGTCGACGATAGAAAGCCTACTTTTATATTCAATCCAATGAGTATAGCTAAATGACACCTCCTCTTTGTTCTCGTCCATGTGCATCGTGTCGATGTTATTTGAGACTATGGAAGATTTTAGCGGCGAGTGAGGCGATAACGGCGGCCTTGTGAGCGTGTTCCAACCGCCCGAATGCCTCGATAACACTAACGCCCTTCTGATCCCTGATCCTTCCCAGCGTCTTGCCTCCGTAGCCACCCTGCAGAGAGCGTATTAAAAAAAAAAAAAAAAAAAAAAAAAGAAAGAAAGAAGAAACAAGAAAAGAACAGAGAAAGGTATGGTAAAAAAAAATAAGATAAAGAGGTTAGCAAGGTCAGTGATATCCTTTTGCACCAGGGCAAGATTTCCGGTGAAACTTACGAGCAGGGCTCCAGGGACGCCTCCACAGATGAATCCGAGTGCAGCGCCTGAGGCCATGCCAAGGGGCGAATAGAAATTGGTCGGGTTCTGGACTTCGGGCCGAAGCAGCTCCTCAAAAACGCCTCCAAAGACCGAATCGGGCTCTGCACGATGTGCCGACGACGACGACCAGTTGCTTCTCGAGGCACTGTTCCGTGATCGTCTCGCATTGTCGTATTCCCGTCGTCTCTGTGGACTTGATAGCACATAGTATGCATCTTTAAACAATAATAAAAAACCAGTCTTATAAGAAGAAGGAGGAGGGATGACATGCACTCGCTTTGAATGCAAACATCGCCAGCCGCTCAAAGACGTCATTCCAAGGAAATGGAATGAGAAGCAGACTCATTACCTGCGACCTGTTGAAAAAGAACGGTGGCCTCCTCCTTCGACAGGGGTGCTCCATCAGGCCCACCAATGTTTGTGGTCCTGTCCGGGTGTGTCCTCAGTGCTTCCCGCTTGTAGGCCTCACGAATCTGCTCCGTTGTGGCCGTCTCCGAGACCCTGAGGAGAGCTATGGACGGATGGCGAGCGTTAGTTTAAAAGATGTCTGGTCTAGCGGATTCCTGAATCAACTGTAAGGGAAGGCAGAGGGAGTGAATGCACGCCGCATACCATAGTAATCCGGAAAGTTGCTCATGGTTGTGTGTGTATTCTTGTAGGGTCTGTTAGGTTTGGTGGTGTATATGAGGGGAGAAGAGAAGTCGAAGGGGAGAAAAAGAAGTGCGAGGCACAGGTCAATGCCAAGAGACTCCAAAACTCCAATTTTGGTGTCAAACCATAAAATGCGTGGCGTGCTCAGGCCAGATCCGCACGCGTCGTCCTCTAAGCAGCGTTACGGCGCGCGTTATGCACAGCGGCATGCTGCTGACCCTTTGCACGAAAAAGAGGCGCCTTTATCGTCTTTATTCATCTGTAATTAATGCCTGATCAAAGCATTGCATTCAAAGGGCTCCGTATGCAGACTTCACCGCGAACACCGAGTAAACCAAAGGAAAAAACACTCAATGCGGATGCTTGCAGGGCCAGGTGCCAGCTGGGCACTGGTAGCAGAACTGTTTTCCACAACGACATGTCATACGGTTGCAACCTGATATAGAATTTTAACAATTGAAAGCCATACGGTATTCATCCAATCAGTCGTTATCCAAAAAGAAAGTCAGTATCACTCTACCAATCCAGTGGAAACATACCTGCGGTTTTTTCGACCATATGGCCACATCCAGGGCACTGCCTCCATCTGTTCTGGGCCGCAAGTTCGTTAAACGATCTGTCGTGTTCTGCCACTGTCTCCCCCGCCTTGGCTTGTTCACACGTTTTCCCTATAAATATGAAAAAAAAAAAAAAAAAAGGCCGAGCCCAAGAAATGATATTAACAACAATACTGGTAGCACAAAAAAACACCACTTCAGTTCATTTCTCGTCCACGCTGACCTTTATGGGCATCCTTGAAGCACATCGCACAGAAATGCTCATCGCAGTATGGACAATTTGCGTTCACCAGCACCAGTTTGTGCCCCTCATCCTCAAAATCCAAGTCGTCTCCGTCGATCATTCTGTTGCACTCATGATTAGGACAATGAATCTATACAAACACGCGTGGAAAAAAAAACGCGTTAATGCCGAATGCTACTCGATGTAACACTCCAAACATGCGCGCATACCTGTCTCTTCACTGCTCGCTCGAGCCCGAGTTCATGCCATCGGATAGCCCTCTCTCCAAGGAGACTCTCCACCACATGCGCCGGTACCGGTTCTTCGCACGCTCCCGTAGGACACCGGATCGGCCAGATACCATTCTTCATCTGCGTATCAAAGTACTTATTAAGACACGGCGAACAGAACAGGTGACCAAGATCACAAGGAAGAGCACATCCAAGAGCCAGCGATGTACTCTGATCATTGTTATCGGCCCTTAGTTCATAATAATACGGCCCGGAAGTTGTGGGAGCCGTAAGACTTGCAACCGAGGACGAGGACGCCGAAGAGGATCCAGCTGCATTGGAACTGAAATCCAAAGACGAGGTGTTGAATGCGGCAAGGAGCTGCTCGTACTCATAGGCTTCTTCGTCCTGAAGCGGGATCCATTCGAACTTCCCGAGACAAATATCGCATGTCTCCACACGATATGGTAAATGTACCATGATCCTTGAACGAGGTCGAAGTTGGGGTCTTGAGCGGGCTCTGCGACGTTTCGAGGTGAGCAGAAATCTGAAAAATGCCAGGAGGGAGACCATATCGTAGAAAGTGTAGGAAGAGAGTAGGAACCGAATCAAGTCAGAGGACGAGCTTCTTTTTCTTTGTCTTTGTGTGATTCTCGTGGGCGTGAGTTACCTGATACTGACTGATGGCATAGAAGGTGCAGCAGATCAGTAGCTATACTCATCATTTCCATCGTACTTAAACAAGCGAAGCGCGTTTTCATCGGTTTGTTTCTTTTATTTATGTTTATGTCGCGTTTCGGTATTCGAAGGATTCAAGAGATATACAGGAAAACAAATGCGGAAGAACGATGACAATAATTACAGATAATACAGCAATGTTACGAAAGAGAAGTCAAAGAACAGCCCCTTGCATTTACGGCGTATTGGAGTGGTCGCAAGACTCTAGGCATTAGGGTCCAAAAGAGGTCGGTTTTCACCCTCATGAAGGGCCTTGGGAGGAGCGCACACATGGGGCTCGATGACTCCGTTGAAGACAAAGGTTCCATAGACCAGCATAGCAAAACCTATTTCCAGTCAAGAATGTAAAGAAAGTATTAGCGGTCGAGTATTTGTTACACAGTAAATCGAAATCAGGAACGGCCATGCATTTCGCCACTACAAGACACATACCGAGAACTTGCAGAGGGATGAACTTTTCCCATCCGAGATAAAGCGAGATGGCCCAGATGAACATAGTCCTGCAGGAATCGATAGTTGAGCGGGATGTTGCACAGATGGTCTTCGTGACAGAGATGCCGAAAAAGTTGAACGACGAGATACTGAACAACATAATGATCGCTGGGATCCAAATCTGGGGATACGTCTTGATCTGTTCCCATCCAGCATTAAGGTCAAACATCGAGCCGGGGTTGCCGGCTCCAAGCGTAAAGTGAAGGATGGGCATCGCCACCAAGACAGAGATCGTGCCAAAGAGGCCCTCGAAGCCGACAGCACGAAGAGGTGCGACATGGAATCCAGACAAAAACTTCTCCTCAATCACAAATTGTGCCGCAGTAAAGATCTGGGCAAAGAGAACGAGGTAGATGCCGAGGATGGCCTTAGCAGCCTCGACGCTCTTGTCCGAGTCGGGCTCATCATCGACGACTGATTTGCCATTCTGCGAGATGACCGAGGCCAGGCCCACAGTAGCGATACCCATGACGATCGTGAACAGCGCGAACCACTCGAATGCACGGAGACGCCTGCCCAAGAAGATGACCGAGAGAATTCCAGTGAAGATGACCAATGCTCCTCGCAACATTTGGTAGACAGACGCAGCGCAGTAAATCAATCCGACATTCATTAGCTATAGCGAGGCAGCACAGAGAGCGATGTGTGGTTAGTACGGGCTGGCAGCAAGGTTGATGGATGCAATTGGTGTCGATGCTCCTTGGTCGCAAAAAAGACCCTGCCAATCAATATCCGGAGAACCGAGATATAGTTGGCGGGGATCTCATCTCCTTCATGCGTGGAAGCGAGTGGGTCGATGGAAAAAGTCCGTCCTGTCGACTGCTCCCCGGATCTCCTGAGACCAATATTGCCATGATAAGGAAGAGAATAAATGGAGGCAGTAAAACGGGATCTCGATCCTCACTCGTTTCTTACCGTGCTTGCGGTCATGTCACAGAGGGTGGGCAACCAGAGCAGGAGGACATAGAAGCCCTCGAGCTTCCTCTTCTTGGAGCCAGCAGCGTGGCCATGACCAACGGTCGCAGGAGCGACGATGAGACCATCGGACTCGACTACGACGGGAACCTCCTCCTCCTCCTCCAGGAACAGGTCGGCCCACTTGGCACGGCCGTATCTTTCTGCGATGTAGGCAAAGATCGAGGCAGCGACCAGACAGAGGGTCTCGCCGACAAACATGTTGAGGGTCTGCCAGATGGGCTGCTCGAAGTGCTCATGGGTGCTGAGGTCCGGATTGTCGCAGTTCTTGACACAGGCCTTGTCCTGGTCTACAGAACGAGCGAGGAGAGAGAGGAACCTCATGTTAGTCCTGGTATCCACTTGGCTCGCTCCTTTTGCAGGGGGATGTGCTGGGTCACCCCAAAAAAAGATGAAGGGGGAGGGGGGCCCTGCAAAATACATCCCCACACAACGAGAAAAGGAGCTCCCAATCCAGGGGAGGGAGGAAGAAGGTTGAAGCAAAAGAAGGCTAGATCCCACCGACCGAGTACGCGCATACACCCACCGCAACGCACACACGGCATGGTACTATGATAATTCAGTCATCATAGTAAGGCCAGTTCCGTTTTCCACTCTGGTGCTGTCGAGCCATCCGTAACCACGACACCATTGTCCTTCTGAGGAGTGTCTGTTGAAGACCACCGACTCTGAGAGGTGTGAATGAAAGGAATGAAAGGAATGAGCAGAATGACATACACTTTGAAATGACCGTGTTGGCAGTTCCGGCGACCAACATGCCAACCACCAGACCGACATTGCTCCTGTTGATAGACATTGCTGTTGATATGGGTTTGTTGCCACTGAGAGAGAAGCTGTCTTGACTTGTCTGTCCTGTTTGATTGTCCTTGGTTGTCCTCGGCTGTTCTTGCTGTTCTTGTTATTCTTGTGTGGAGAAGGCGAGTTGGGTTGAGTAGAGTGGAGTGGAGTGGAGTGGAGTAAAAGAGAAAGAGAGAGAAAGAAGGGTGCGTTTTAAGCGCAATGATCGACGAGTAAAGGAGGGAAGAGGAGGAGAAGTAAGGAGACGAAGGAGGGATGGTGCGATGTGCCCCATCCACATATATCACATCTGTATATGTTACATGTATGTAGGACGGATGGTGCAAAATATCGAAAAAAGAAAAGAGGCCAGCTGGTCTTTGGCCAATGGGAGCCAGCTCTGGGTCGACTTTCCCATGAGCCCTGTTGCTGTCTGTCCCTTTTATGGGCCTCATATATCGCCTTTCATCTCCAGCTTCATCTCCGAGTCATCCTTCCTACTGCTGCTGCTGCTGCCGCTGGACTAGCGTGTCATTTGTACACCGCCAACGGCATCTGTATATGAGCATATGAGTATATGAGTATATGAGAAACAGGGTTTGTTGTCTGTTGCATTGCTGGGTTGTGCAACATGCAGCATGCAGTTTTGCATCCGGACTTCTCGACTCACTGCAGACCCCGTGACATTCCAATTACACAGGTCGCCTTCTCAACCCCCCTCTTCTCTTTTTCATGTGTCACTCGCACGTCGATCCCCACCCCCACTTCCCACTCCCACCATCGCGGAGAATAATCGTGCGACAACTCCGTTCTGTCCATCACCTCGCCCTCCATCACTCCCACTCCTCGCCCCTCCTCCTCTTCTTCTCTATCTTGACTCCACCTCTGCCTGGCGACATACACGATCTGCTCTATTCTCACATTCGAATCGAACGTAATAACACCTACCGTCCACCTGCATCTCACTTCTATTATCGTCCCTCCGTTCCCCTCGGCTCACTACCCCTTACTCGCTTCGGAACCATTGCACATACACGTCCACTCCACATATCTTCACACCGCACTCTTCGCGTTACCTTTCTCTCCTGCAGACATTAACATTGTTCTCTCACTCTCTGTGCTTTACAACGCGACCAGTGTAGCAGCGTCTATTGTTTCCCCTCCTCCGGCTCAATCTTGTTGCATAAACAGGATGGACTTTCTGAAAAAGTACGAGTCGTTCATCTTTAAGAATGCTTCCCAGGTCTCCAGTATCGAGAGCACCCTGAGGTCATTGACCTACATCCTGCCTGGTAAGGAGAGAGCTATCCTCCTGTGCTTTACATGTCTCAATCAGCCTTTTTCTTTCTTATGCCTGGAGTTTGATATTAACGAGTTTAACATGGTCAATACTTGGCTTCTTTGTCGTGTGCATTCATCGTTTCTAGGCCGGTTCGATGACGCCGATCTCGCTTCGGAAGCTCGTAAGTTTCAACACCAATTCACCATCCCTTCGTCTCTAGTTTCCTCCTCCAGCAGACCGAGCACGAAGCCGTTGTCAATGGCGTTGTAGACCCGGCATGCAATTGACCTGATCATATACACTGCTCTCTCTCTCCCTCTCTCCCTCTCTCACTTCCTACTAGTGTTCTCGACACTCAACTTGCTTGGCCTTTACCATGACACGATCCTGACCAAGCATATCAACAGCCTCCCACCAACACACCGACCCACGCCCTCACCCTTAAATCGATACACTCGGGACTGGCAGAGCTCTTCTGTAGCTTACAAGCGGATCGTCATGCTATTGACCATCATCCAGTACACGGAAGTGTTGATTGAGATGGGTATCCAGAAGAAGTGGGGTCAGCAATACAAGTGGCGGGTCATCACCGCTTTGGAGGCCATTAAGTAAGTACTCGAACGGCTCGCTTAGGATGACAACTCCAGTTTATTTGTTTAGGTTTATGGACCAACGAACCAACCACTTGTGTCACACTCCGACGACAATCGCATCGCGTCCATTTTTCAATGTGAACATGCCAAGGAATGAAACAAATATACGCCGCCAACTAACAAGCGCATTTTATTATTACTATTATTATTTATTTCAATAGGGCTGCTGGTCGCTTGGGACTGATGCGACTGACCAACAACAGGATGCTGATGCACCCTGTCCATGTCGAGCGAGACGTCGACCCCGCACAGCTCGCAGATCTGACAGAGGCCCAGCTCGCCCTCAAAGAGAGTCATTGGACAGGCGCCAGGACAGGAAGCACGCGTCTGCAGCTGAGTGCAGTCCAGAAGAGCAGCACCGGCAAGGCCGGCAAAACTGACGTGACCGAGTTCTTGCTCAGCAAGGTCCTCACGCCAGATGTGGTCCGGAGGCCACGGGACCTGGTGGGGATGTTGAATGGATTGGGTGCTGTGGGCGAGTACCTGTTTATTTTGAGACCTCTGATCTATGTGCTGGCGATGCGCAAGTACGGCCAAAAGTCGTGGTACCCCTGGTTCTTGTCCTTGGCGATCGAATTGGTTTCGAGGTCGAGTATTAAGCATTACTTGGCGAGCCGTGGTAGTGGACGAGCCGGGTCAGGAACACCGTTGGAGAAGGATGAGATGAAGCGACGGCTTTGGTTGTTGCTGTATTATGTCCTCCGAAGCCCATTCTACGACCGATTCACAAAGTAAGGACAGGCAACTTTTGTCGTTTTTTTTTTTTTTTTTTTTTTCTTTGAGCTTAATTCTGACATCTGGCAATGCTGCCTTGCTGATAACAATAGGGAACGTCTACATAACTTCTGCGAGTCTGCGAGCAAGAAGCCATTGATTTCGCTTGTCGGCGGTATCGTCCGAGACTACCAGCCCCTCTGGGAGTCCGTTTACTTTTACAGTACGTCCTTTGTTTCGATCATGTAAACAGCTAATGGCTCAAATGGCTCATTGAATGCCAGCTAACCCTCTCGACTTTCTTTTTCAATTGCTATAGCTGCGGGATCGTAAGGCGACACAGGCTAATTCCAAGCCCCGTGGAGCAGAGGATCAACGATCATAGTGTTGTTGCTGTCCGAATACGCGAAATGTAATACAGTGCAATAAAATTCCTTTTTTATGTTCTCCCATCTGTTCCTTGCACTCCCAATACCTTCACCGTGGCTTTCTTTGAACAGCAATCATGCTCCTTTTATTACTATTTTCTGGTCCAGCAAAAGTTCAACCTGAGAGCGAAATAAAAAATAAAATAAAAATAAAAGTGCCATGGCCTCCATGGCTCCCGTTCTTATTTTTTTTTTCTTTCATCCCCTCCAGTCTTCGATCCAAGATCAAAGACCGAATTTTACTCGGCGTGGTGAGCGGGGAACTCGAAGACGACCTCCTTTCCGGTCAAACGCTTGTAGACGGCGCAGAAGGTGTCGAGCTTGTACTCCAAAGAGGTCGAGTCCTTGGCATCCAAGAAGCTGTTTCAGAAAGACGAAAAGTAAAAATAAAAAAATATATATATGGCACAACATTAGATAAACTCTTTTGAATTCAGACATGAGCATCTTTCCTGAGAAGTACGCGAGCAAATTGAAGGGCACTTACACCTTGATGATACGTCTCTGGTCAGTCTGGACACGGGTGCGCTTGCCGGTGATCTCAGTGGGGTAGACCAAGTCCTCCAAGAGCTTCTCGTGGACCGAGGTAAGAGTGCGGGAACGAGGGCGCTGCTGCTTGGCACGGGAGGTACGGGTGGGCTTGGCCATGATGCGGCGCTGGGCAACAAAGACGACGTGACGGTCCGAGAACTTCTTCTCGAGCTCACGGGTGAGTCTGTTTGGCACGCAAAAAAGAGAGGGGGGAGTGGCAATGTTCAAGAACGATGATGGTGCATTAGTTTTGTTCCTCTGATATTCCAGATGCGTACGATTCCATAAAGGTCTATCATTTCCCTTGGGCAAGAAAAGGCAATAGATTGTGATATGTACCTCTGCTGGATCTTGTGGAAGGCCTTCAGCTGAGGGACGGGAACGAAGACGACGATGGCCTTCTTGCCGTTACCGGTCTCAATCTGACAGCATATGATAAAACGGGAAGAGTCGATTGATGAGTACTTCCGTCCCTATACACTCTGTCTTCGTCATTCAGATCCTGGTTCCATGTCGATAAAGTCGATTATACAGCAGAGTCGTGCGATCTGAGTGCGCTGAGGCAATGTAGGGTCCTTCGCTCTTATCCAGAGCCCTGTTTATATTCCACTAAAAGCTGTCGTTTGATGCACCTCACTTATCAATTGAGTGCTGATATGCGTTCAAGAGACTTGAATAAAGATTCCAGGTCTGAGGTCGTGCCTGAAATGCCTGTTGTGTAGAGATATTTGGCGAGAATGACAATAAATTGATCGTCCTTCCTGGGCACTGTATGGGCGTATGGAGGGAATCCTGATACCATGATCGGCTAGCAAATGCGAGGGGAGGGTTCCTGATCCACTGATACGATTCATCCTGTGAACAAAGGGCACTCAAAGTGAACGTTGTTCGCTTGTGAGGCACTGATCGCTGCCTTGATTTTAGTCCTGTTCATCACTGAATAGCTGGATCCCGATCGTTGCCAAACTCACCTCCTTGGCACTGGAGATCTGAAGGGGCTTGAGCTCCTTCTTCAAGTCAGCGACGTTGTTCTCCAAGTCAAAGAGAGCCTGAGCAACAGAGAGCTCGATCTCATCAGCAGGGCCGTTCTTGGCAATCTTGTGGCTGGCCATATTGTTCTGTTGCATGGTTGATTCCACGTTGGCAAGTAGTCGGATCGCAGATCATCGATATAAGCGTAAAGTATTTTTTTTTTTTTCGATCCCGAAGCAAAATAAGTGGTTGTTGTGTCGATGGGTTCGATTTAGTTTTTCCAGACCAGAAGTGAGATTCCGAGATCGACATCCAGCGATGCATTCCAAGTCCAGTTTGAGAATCGTTGAATCATAGGTTCCCCGTATGATGATGTATGTTCAGTATAGATCCCGATCGCATGGCGCCGATAGTGTCAATCAATAGATAAGTGAAGAGAATGAAGAAAAGTGGCAGCATGGGAGTTAGTTGCTTTGTCGACGGATGGATAGGCTGATGCGATTGCCGATCGATGGATAGGATGTTAATCCATATGGCCCTCAAAGGGATTCCCCTGATTGATGCGCGCGCCCCTTTCACTCTCGGTTCTTACGATTCTGAAAAAGGGAGAAACCCACTCTGCGCCAGTGGTAACGCGATAATAATCGCAAATCCGCACGGCCTCTTTAAATGCAAATAGCTGAATTGCCAGCAGGCTACCCTCCCATATTTCAATTTACACTATTTCCTTCCCCCCCTCTTTTTTTTTTTTTTGGAAATGAAACATTATTGTGAGCACCGAAGTCAATACACACCATCATACCAGCATGTATAATGAAGATCCTCACGGTAAGTTTTGGCACTCTTTCTTGCTCGGTGTTCGATGGGGATCGGATATGATCGCCTGTTAACCCAGAGACCTTTTTCACCTGCCTTTTAGTTCGTGCGAAGTAGGGACACTATGTAATTGGATCGAGCCTTCGCGCGAGTGTATGTGAGAGTGTGAAAGTGTGAGAGTAGTGTGAGAACAAGTAAGCAGCGAAATAGTGCCGCCGATGTTCCCGTTTTACTGTGTCCACTTCAGCCCTTGAAGGGAAGAAGGTCGGCGTCCGTTTGAGTTTTCTTGTGTCCACCATTGGGTCAACTGAAGAATCGACCCATTGACTTTCTCTCTTTCTTCCCCTGCAAGCTCTTTATCATTTGCTGTTAATGTCGATTTATGGAATGCTGTGCCTCATCCTCTTCCTCCGATCCAGGAACATGAACTGAAAAACTAATAAATTCTAAAGTGAGCGAAATATCGATGTAACCCTGATTGGTCCGTGACAAAAGCAGCCGGTGGAGGAGAGGTAAAGGTGGAGACAGAAAGAGCGACTTCAGGGTGCCATCAAAGGCTAATTGCCCGTCGCAACAGCAGCAGCATCGTCACCGTTGCGCTTTTATACTTGTTCACGACATTTACATACTCGTAAGGGCAACCTTGCATTTCCTTTTATTTTATTTTTTTCTCAGGAACATGAGTGCTCAATTCTTTCTCGGTGATAGTGTATATGTGTGCCTGTGTGTGCACAGCCTCTGTCCCGTTCTCCCCTTTGCTCAATCCTTCACCGGAGGAGGGTGCCAGATCGACAGCGAGCAATTGAAGGAGACACATAGGCGAGGAAGAAGAAATATACTGCCAAGAGGGAAGGTAGACAGCCTACATGGCTGCATAGCTGCATGGGTACATGGCCACCCTTCTCTCTTTTTTCTTTTGCAATGGTTCTTGCTTCAGCTAAGGATCCACAGCGTCTCGTTCTTGTGTTCAGGTAACAAAAAAAAATTACTTAGTAGAAAAAAGTTTCGCCCGTTCCTTTTTTTTACTTCCTCCTCTCTTTCACTTTATTATTTCTTCTCTCATTCACATACAAGCTGTTTTTTGCATGCCAAAAGGTCATTTCACTCACCCCACAAGGCTGCCAATCCCACCTAACCACCCAAACAGCAGCTACAGAGCTACAGAGGAGCTAGAAGAAACAGAAGCAGGCATTGAACCAATTAAGACCATACAGCCCATCGTAAGTAGGTAAAAATACCGTCCACAGTATCGTATACATTCTCTTGTGCTCCTTGCGCATGTCTGTCTTCCTCGCCTCGTCTTCTCTATCGCTGCAGCCAATGCCATAACGCTTGCGGTTAGAGAACAGAGCCATTCAACGGAAGACCTCATGCCGAGCCTTGGTCATTCCAACTGCAAAGCAATGCACCTTGCATCCCACAAAAGACCCATACCGAAGTCGGTCTGGGAGGAGGCCCAGCTGAGTCGTCGAGGCACCAGCCCCGGTTTTCACCGTTTGCTATTCTTCATATCTCACCAAGGGCAGGGTGGTCTTCGTTGGATACCCAATTGTCCTGCCCGATGCCGCTGGCGGCTGTTTTTTTTTTGTCTACAAGTCGAAACTCGACCCCCCGCCCCAGGTGCCTGGACGGTTCAGCTCTACGCTCATCTTGATGCAGAGTCGACCCATCCTGGCATCCTTTAGAACAGGATCAGATCGATGCAACGGATCAATTGCACAGGAGAGGATGAACGGAGGGAGCTCTGCAGATGGTTGCTACTTCCACCCGCCCTCTTCTCCGCCCTCCCCTTGAATCTCGATGTCGCTGAGGGCGATATCCAAAGGATCGGGTCTTCACATTCTCTTCCTTATGATCAATTGGCGATGAATATTTTAGGCTAACATGCTCGTATCTTCGCTTTATTCTCTCTGGTCCATTATGTGTAGGAAGATCGACTTGCCCAGAGGCCATGAACATACCTGCCTCATTATCGAAAACAACAACAGCAGGATAAAGAATACACCAACACCACCACCGTGAACCACTGGGTCAGCGTTTCGATCACGATATAGATATACCACGAGAGTATACCCCATCGTCATCCCCCTGTCCTTCTGCCGAACTTCCAGCCAACAATCAGTAGCAGTAGCAGCCATCAGTCTTCTTCACTACTGCTCCCGGAGACACCACAACAACACAAAGAACACAACGTTGCTCAAGATACAGTCTACGCAAGGATTATCAATGACCAGAGCAGCGGCGAACCGAAAGCAGAGCGCAGGAAGCACTACTGCAAGTTCAAGACCAGGTCCGATCTTCAGGGGCCGAGATGTTGTCTTTGTAGACCCACTCGGTAAGAAGGGAGGAGGGGTGTTTTTTTTTTGTTCAATGGTCTAATTTCGACCAGAGGCGGAAATAAGGCCACGCACTCCAAGGGAAGAGCAGTTTGAGAGATACTAATTCTGCTTTCTGTTTATTGCTGCAACATTTTCTCTCTCTCTTTCTCCCTTTCTCTCTTTCTCTGAACAGATGATAAGGAGAGCTACTGGTGGCCTGCCATGGTAATGGCCCTTCCTCTACCATTGTGATACTTGTTGATTTTGGTCGCTGCTTTTGTACCTGATCCCCCCGTTGGCGTATTTCCATATCAAGCGTATGGTTTTATTGATAACATGTGCACCTTGCTCATGCTCTCTTCGTTATTGCCATTTCTCGCCTGCACATCAATTGCATCGTGGGTCGTGGGTAATTCTCATCCTATATTAGATCGTTCCCGTGCCCGAGATCGACTCCTCGATGGACTGCACTGTCTTGAACCCGGGCGAGTGTCTAGTCAAGTACTTTGAGGATAACAAATATTCGGTTGTGCCCTTTTCAGATCTGCAGCCCTTTGTGCCGACAACTATCCCGTTTCTCGAGTTCGAACTCAAAGCCGGCCAAAAGTTCCTCAAGAATGGAGGCGTGGTGAATGCTCTCGCCTACCTGGAGTCGGGCAAGGTCAAGCGCAAGTTTTCCTGGCACCGCTGGGGTACCGCTCAAGACCAGGAACTGAGTCTCGATCTGAACAAACACAAGACCATCAACTTGCCCCTAGTTTCGGACGAAGCGTTCGTCGAGATCCAGCAGCAGCAGCCCCAGGGCGGAGCCTTGTCCTCGGCATCATCTTCGCCCACCACCTCGACCAAGAGCTATTCAAACAGCGAAGCCGACAGCAAGGATCAGACTGTATCGGTTACATCTTCCATATCAGGATCGGCGTTGAGCTCAACAGAGGAAAAGATGTCGTCCACAGCTCACAGTTCCCGTGGCGGGGGCCTTAAGAATGGACTACAGCGACCATTGGGCGGTATGGGATCGCAATCGTCCACTTTGCTTCCATCGCCGGTTAGCCTGGCCGATCTGGCGACAGAGCCGATGGACGAAATAGAGTTCAGTCCCCGATCGGCCAAGGCAAAGGGAGAGGCAAAAGACAGTCCTACCGCCGCCACGACCACTGCAGGCAGGTCACGGTCCCGCCGCGGGAGCCGAGATAACGAGAACAAGGCCTCGGCGACTTCCAACACAGAGAAGGATACAACCAAGCGATCCCGGAATGCAAGCGAGCAGTCGTCCAGTTCTTCATCTCCCACCGCATCCTCAGTATCTAGCGCAATTTCGTCTGCCACTGCGGCAACCGCAACGCTGACCCTGGACACGACCGCAGTTGAGGGCACCAAGCGGCGGAAAACGACGTCGGAGCCTGCTGCATCGAATGATACTCATAATGGTGCACCGCAAGCTGGACCAGTCTCGGCTCGAACATCCAGGCAAGGATCGGTCGAGCCTAGCTCATCACCGCGATCGACTCGACACTCTTTCCGCAATGCAAAGTCGTCCGAGAACAAGGATCAACCTGAGTCACCACAAGAAGTAATGGCGCCCATAAGACTGCAGACACAACGCATGACGAGACAACGATCTGCACCCAAGAGCGCGAGCTCGTTACCCTCGTTGCCCCCACCTTCACCCGTACAGCCTGACAAGGCGAATAGTATCAAAGAGGAAGTCATGGCTGAGCCGCCTTCCAATACCAAGAGCGAAAGTGATCAGGTTGACATGGCGATGTCTGCTAAGGCGGAGCAAAAAGACCAGGGCGATAACACAACGAAAACTGAGGGCGGATTGACTGCCATGGATATCGGCGTCCCAGATTTGACCACGAAGTCTGATCAAGAACGAGAACCGTCCTCATCTGCACCACCGTCCTCTCTGGTTTCCACTACGACGTCGTCCTCGTCGTCACCTTCATCAATAGGACTCGAGGAAGCAGGATCAACATCGTCATCCTCAAACAATGAGCTGATGCAGTCATTAGAGCAGGAGCGGCGAGAGATGGACTATAGCTTTGAGCATGTGTTGCCTACACTGGCGCTTGGATCGAAGGAGCGTGAGGCCTTTTATGAGAACTGCATGGATCATCTCCAAAGGCTACGACAGGAACACCGACGTCTGAAAGAAATTTTGAAGAACTCTGACTACATACCCAAGGGACGACGGGCGACGCGGTCTTCACCGCAGTATCATGCCCATCATCAGCGTCATGGTCACCATTATCATCTGGAGGAGAAAACCAATCGTCGGCATTCGCCTGTGCCCTCGAGAAACAACTCTTCGTCATCTTCGAACGGCCATGGCAGTGGCGCCGCAAACCATAAGGAGACTAAGGAGACCAACGGCAGCAATGGCATAGCTTCGAAATCGAAAGCGGCCGAGGCATCCGCAGCATCATCCACAACAACGGCGGCAACAGAAAAAGAACCGGCAGCATCAACAGTACTGTTCTATCAAGGATCGACGCCGTCGTCAGCGATCTTGACGTCGAACATCGCGACGACAACACGGCGATCTGCAGCAACTGCAGCGGCAGCGGCTGTGACAGCAACGGTGTTAAGAGGCCGACAGAGTTATAACAATAATGGCATCAGTCAATTGAATGCAGACAAGGGTACATCAGAGTCAGGTTATTCGAAAAAGCGAGGCACAGCAGCAGCAGCAGCAGCAGCAGCACAGGCAGCCGCTACGGCAGCAGCACAGGCATCCCAAGGCATGAGCGACGGTGTAGGATCAACTGTGACGACACGAGCCAAGCGACGACAGCGGTGAGCTAAGGGACGACAGCATTGGTCTATGGTACAAAAATAGCTGATTCAACCACAGGGGCACCATTCTTTTTCATTTTTCATTTTTAGTTTTTCTTTGCTGTTTCTTGCTGTTTCTTTTTTTTTTTTTTTTTTTTTTTCTCTTATGGAGGGGGAAGCGTACCCTGGCTTCTACGTTTCATTTTTTCATTTTTGCACATTACGTTTTCAGTTCTGCTAATTTTCCTTTTGGTATGGTCTACAACACCAACAACACCAACAACACCAACAACAACAACAACAACATACACACATTACTCATCATCGCAATAATAAAGGCGAATTGTCAGTATGCATATAACACGCGTCAGCATTAGAGATGTACGAAGAAAGATGTAAGGAAAGGAGGAGAGTAGAAAAGTGAGATGGAGCTGTATACAACGTGTGCAGTGGAAAAGATGACTCTGCTTTGTGCCGCAAGAAGGGCCTTGTTTCCCCGCAAATTCCCAAAAGGGAAGGTTGAGAGACGATGATTCATCTTTCAGTTCCTTATCTCTCGAAGATCCAGAACGCACACCTTTAAATACCCGCCCTCGCTTGGTTTTTCTTCTTTTTTCTTCTTACATACACACACCCCTCCCTTCCCCTCTTTCATTCGAAGACACGACCGACAGGCAAACATGGCAGCAACTCATAAATGGAACTTTGGCGCCGGACCAGCGATGATCCCTCGTCCTGTGCTGGAGCGCGCACAGGCAGAGTTCCTCGACTACGAAAACTCTGGTCTTTCGCTTATGGAACTCTCACACCGTTCGTCGACCTACGAGAACCTGAACAACAAAGCCCAGGACCAGCTTCGCGAGCTCCTTTCCATCCCCTCAAACTACAAGATCGTCTTCATGCAGGGCGGTGGACACACCCAATTCGCCGCTGCCGTCTATAACCTTCTCGGCTGGCGTCACCACCAGAACAAAAAGGCCAACAAGGGACCGGAGAACTGGAGGGAGATTCCTGTGGATTACATCATTTCGGGAGCCTGGTCCGCCAAGGCTGCAGAGGAGGCCAAACGACTCGGCGCAAACGTTCGTGTGGTCTGCGATGCCAAGAAGGCTCTGGGCGGCTACACGGGCATCCCAGACGAGAGCACCTGGAAGACCTCCGACCCGCAGGGAGAGTTCCGAACCCAGGATCGAGATACGTCCAACACGCCCGCATATCTCTACTACTGCGACAACGAGACCGTCAACGGCGTCGAGTTCCCTTTCGTGCCCTCGAAGCACGACCCTTCAGTCCCACTCGTCTGTGATATGTCCTCGAACATCCTCTCCCGCCCCGTCGACGTGTCGAAATTCGGAGTCATCTATGCGGGCGCCCAGAAGAACATCGGTCCTGCCGGTGTCTCGGTCGTGATCGTCCGTGAGGACCTTTTGCAGACCAGCGAACTAGCCGACGGGGTTGCGCCCGTGCCGTTGATGCTCGATTACAAGACCATGGTTAAGAACAACTCGCTCTACAACACCCCGCCCATGTTCGCGATCTACATCTCCTCCCTCGTCTTTGACTGGCTCTTGGATCCTCAGGCTCAACGTGTTCAGGATGGACAGTACTTTTCGAAGGAACTCAAGGGTATCGAAGCCGCTGCTGCAAGGAACGAGCGCAAGGCTGCAAAGCTCTACAAGGCCCTCGAGGACTCGAGGCTGTACAGGATCGTCGTCAAGGATGTCGCCGCACGATCCAAGATGAACGTGCCCTTCAGGATATCAAAGGCCCCCAAGAGCGATCCTAATGCGGTCCCCGATAAGGCTGAGGACGAGAAGATCGAGGCCGATTTTGTTGCTCAGGCGGAGGCCAGAGGATTATTGCAGTTGGCGGGGCATCGTTCCGTCGGTGGTATTCGTGCGTCGATTTATAATGCCATGACGGAAGAGGGCGTCGATGTCTTGATCGCCTTCTTGAAGGAATTTGAGCAGCAGCATTAAACACACACACACAAAACACACAAAACACTCATACCATCTATGCCATTCCACAGAGAGACGCATATTCACACACACACACACACACAGACACACACTCATAAAGATATACAGGCAAAAACAACTTTTTTTTTTTATTTACCTCGAAAGCAAAAATAAGCATGTAAAAGGATAATAAAATCGATATAAATACAAGTGGGTTGAGAGCAATGCTGTCCTCTAGACCTTCAGCGCGAAACTCTTTTTGTCCACAGGCACATTCTGCGCCTTCTCCTCCAGTTCTTCTTCCTCTTCCTCCTCCTCCTCCTCCTCCATGTCGTCCTCCTCATCCTCATTAATGCTTTCGTCCTCATCCTCACTCACGCTTTCGTCCTCATCCTGGCCAGACTTGCTATGCTGGCTTCTCCGGGTATCGGTCTCCATCATCGCCTCGTGATCCCCCAAATCATCCCGCACACCCTTCCCGTTCTTGTCGCCCTTCCCCTCTGCAGCCGCCGCCGCCGCCAACTGCTGCTGCCTCATCTTCGCCAATCTCTGGTCCTCCTGGATAATCTGCGCGTCCGAAGGTGAATACTGTCGCCGACAGAATGCAAGCGTATAATCCGGCAGCAAACATGCAGCCGGGATCACCAGCAGACCCAGATAATAAAACGGCATTGAATGCAGACCCGTAAAGACGCCGGCTTCGAGCAGGCCCACGACCTGGAGTCCACTAAACACAACCATGTATCCGACCATACTGATCCCGAGCGCCAAAAAGATCGGAAGGGTCCAGTGCGAGATCATCAAAAGCATCTTCAGGGTCACGGTGATCAGAACTAGCGAGCCGGCATAGAAGCTGACTTCCGAAGTATCCATCGCCTCCGAGTGACCGTTCACGATCCCATGTTGGATCGATCCGTATAGGCCCCCGAAGAGCGCTATAATGCAAACGAATAAAAGAAAAAAAAATTGCACCGTTAGATAAAAATAAACTGCATTACGGCTTGTCATACCAGGAACACAGGCGAGAACGATGAACCTTACCTCCAGAGTGCCAGAAGGAAGCAATGCCCCATCCAGCCATGGTCAGCGTGTTCCAATATAGCCCATCTTTGACCGCCTTATACAACTTGGGGTACCGCCCAATACTCTCCTCCTCCACATCCTTCTCAAAACAAGCCGTCGCGATCGGGAGCAGAGCCGTGAAGACCATATTCCACAGAGTCAAGAAGTTCTCGTCATACAACGCTCCACCGGACCATCCGTTCATGAACCCGAACCAGAACTGGACCGTGATCAAGCAGATCGACTTGTAGAACGAGAAGAAGATAATCTTGCTCATTCTCAAATACGAATAACGTCCGTGGATCGTCAATAGTCGCTTCAGGTTCTTGAACTGCTTGAAACTGAAGTCGGACGAACGAGCCGCCTGTGCTCCTTCCATGCCCTCGATACCAACACCGACGTGCGCGGCCTGGATCATCGAGATATCGTTCGCGCCATCTCCGATCGCGAGGGTCACCTTATGCAGCTTCTTTCGCACCAGCTTCACCACTAACGCCTTCTGCAGCGGTGTCACACGGCAGCAAATCACCTAGTGAAGACATATATTCAAAATAAATAGAAAGGAAGGGTCAGTAAAAGAAACGAGAGACAAAAGGGAGATCCTGTAGAGCGAGAAGGAAAGCACACTTACGGAATGGCAGTTGGTGCCGATGCGGAGGAACATATCCTCGTAGATCTCATTACCGAGCACAAAGGCCAGACTCTCGCCATTGACGACGAGCGCGTACCGATCCTTCTCTGGTGGCTCGATCCCCGGCTTATTCGACTGCTGATACTCCTGCCAGTAGCGCTCTTCGTCCCGCTCACGCTCCTTGATCTTCTCCACAAAGTACTCCAGCACCAACCGACAGTCGCGCTCAGCCTTCACATTCAGCACCAAGATCTTCATCGCCGGCGAGATCAGTCTCGAAGAGATCCCGATATTGATAGCCGTCTCCTGCTTGTCTCCTGTCAACAGCCAGATCTTGATATCTGCCTCCATCAGGTACTCGATCGTTTCCGGCACCTGATCCTGAAGTCGATCCTCAATCGCTGTACACCCTAGCAACCGCAGCCGTCCTTCGATCGACTCGCAAGCCGTCCGGATCAACTCCTCCCGATCCTCGGCTCCATCATCACCATCGCCGCCAATATGGCACTCGGCCTTCGAGTACTTCTCATCAAAGATCCTATACTCCTCTGGACTGAGCGGTCGCCAGGCCAGCATGAGCGTGCGCAACCCCGCAATCGAGAACCGTCGCACGGTCGAATCCAACTGCTGCATCAGCAACGGGTCGTTCTCCATATGGTCTGATCGTGCCAGAATCACATTGTCGGCTCCCTTGCAGAACAGCTGGATTCCCTGAGGCGTGTCGATGATCACAGACATGCATTTCCGGTCCGACGTAAACTCGAGCACCTTCAGAACCTTGTACGTCTCCGTAATCAGTCCAAAGATTTCGACCGTAACCGAGTCCTTGGTCTTGGCCTTTAAAACCACACCGTTATCTCTCAGTGCCTCCAATAGTGCTGACTCGTCCGGGGACTGGGCCTCGTACAGGAGCTCTCCCGTCTTGGAGTCCTCGCATGGCAAGACAGCATGGCAGACCGCAATGTTGCGACAGAACGCCATCAGCAGGTCATATTCCTCGTCGCTGATCGAAGGGTCCCGCATCCGCTGTCCCAAACTGCCGGGCTGTTGGAGCTCATGGAAGGTCCGACCCCCGATATGCCACTTGGAGAGCTTCATCACGTTCCTCGTCAGCGTCCCTGTCTTGTCTGAGAAGATATACTCGACCGCGCCCAGGTCCTCATTCAGGTTCGAGTTCCGGACATGCATCCGCGTCCAAGTCTTGGGTGCCTTCTTCTTTTTCTTCAAGAACCCAGGCCGGTGCTTCTTCCAGAACTTCGTCGGCTTTTTCGTATCGTCCTTATTGAGGGTCGAGACGTGGGTCGATTCCGAAAGCGTCTTCATTAGTTTTCGTCTCTTTTCCTGCTGCCCAGTTGTTAAAGTACCATTATCGATCCCTTGCTCGGCCGCAATTTCCTCCAGTTCCGCTTGACTCAGGGGTCCGTCCGCATAGCTCCTCATCTCCTCGTCCCAGATCATCCAGAGCGCCTGAACGACTCGACACACCTCGACGGAGATAAAGACCGAGATCGGGATCACGAACGTATAGACCACATAAAAGTTCATCAGCTGGCCCACAAACACCCTCGCGCTCGACGGGGTCGAATCGAATTCGGGACCCTCCTGCGTGGTATACCAAGCCAGGGGCGCCCTCAGGTACTCGGACCGCAGACCGACATAGGCAAAGCACATGGAGCTGACCAGTAAGAAGGCATTGAACACAAAGATGGCGACGATCATCCTATTCAGCCTCGTCTCCATCGTCGAGAACTTCAGGCCTGTGTTCTTGAGGTTCCGCATCATCTTCGTGTCGACGCCCGCATACAGGACCACGCCATAGACCCATTCCGTGTTCTTGAGCCACGATCCCCTCAGCGCCACATTCGTCATTGTCACGGGCGAAACCTCATCCATCTTGAGCCGCCCATCACCAGGATGGTTATTCTTCTGTGTTGTCCTGACCAGACTGCTCGAAATCCGACTCGCACCCGACGTCGAGATCGACGAGGCAATCGAATCCAGACTGTTTTGGCTCCGATCCCTGACAACATCCCTCGATATCCTCCCAGATGCTGCGGCAGTGGCGGCCTTCTCATCGTCCTGCAACGTCTCAAAGTTGAAATCCGCTCCATCGTACCGCAACTTGACCCTTCCGTCCAATCTCGACAGCCGCTCATTCGGCATCTCCGTCGTGATCTTCCCGGTCAAGCGCGAAATCTGCTCCAGTCGGGTCAATTCCGAAGTCAACGTCAAGGCGGTCTTGCGTTTCAGGTTCGTCTCCCCATCGAGTTCCGAGGTCTCGACGAAACAGGCGCCCTCGTCCATCGAACTGGAGAGGATGACCACGTCCGCGGGGATCTTATCGTTCTTGGAGATCTTCAACACATCACCCGGTCGGATATCCTTGCTCATGATGGGTATCAGCTCACCGTTCTTCACGAGTGTGCATCCTAAACTGTTTGAGCGCTTGTCCTGCTGGTATCGTCTCTGTAAATTTCATGAGCAATGGGGATTTTGGTTAGAGGATGAACGCCGTTTTTTTTTTTTTTTTTTTTTTTTTTTGGGGAGGGGGGGTTGGATTTGAATTGGATTGACTTGACTTACATAGTCTTCAAGGGCATCTTTGACGGCAGTGATGGTAAGAACCAGGGTCAAGGGTAGGATCTCGGTCACGGGCGAGAGCGATGGCTCTGCGCAGACAAAGATGGCGGCGCAGAGGAAGTAGATGTTGTAGAACCGCTTGAACTACGATTTCCGTACGTAGGTTGGGTTGTTACACCAACAAAAAAAAAAAAAAAAAAACCGGACAAAGCAAACAACATTACGTGTCATCCACATCATCCAGTCCATGGACAAACAGAGACAATCGACAGCAAGGACACGCGACAAAAAACAGCATGCGATGAATGATTAGGGGCGAGCATTATGCGACCGTAAACAAAGTTGCGTAGACAAAAAAATAAAATAAAAAAACACCCCGAGGAGAAGAAGGCGATAAGAGGAAGAGAAGGCGATAAGAGGAGAAAAGGGTGAGATAGAGAGAGAGAAGAATGGTTAGAATGGTTGGAATGGTTCCATAGTTTGGCAAAGTTGTTAAACGCATAGACAGCCGCTGCTCTTTTTTTCCTGAATAAACAGAAACAGGTACCGAAATAATTCAGGAACAGGAAACGGGGCTCTCCTCTCCAATGAGCGCATAATCCATTTTACCGACAAAAGGTTTCTTTTTTTTTTCTCTCCAGTCGTCATCATGGCGATCACTCGAAGAAGTGCATGCAGTCTGTAACCTGTATGTGTGCGTGCCTGTGTACCACCGGCCAAACGACAAACGCATAATGCCTTAACGAGAATAAACTAAAAAGTAGTACTTTACCTGGAACAAGAGATTGACGGGCAAGAAAGTCACCAGCGTATACTTGGTCGTCTTGATATTATTCGTCGGATACTTATACCGTGGCTTTCTCGTCCTAGGATCCAGGTCCCTACCCGGGAACCCGCTCCTGAGGACCTTCCTCATCCTTCCCAAAACCGTACGATCCATCCTCCTAGCCTCCTCCTGAGCCGGATCCGGAGGTGCATTGAATTCTACCTCATACAAATCCTGCCGATCCTCTTCTGTGTTCGTCCTCATCGGATCAAACGACCGCACGCTTCCTGCGATACTCGACCCGGCTCCAAACTGCAACAGGTTCGTTAATCGGTAATCAAAAAACGATGATCGGATCCCGGAAGCGCTGTTGCTGAGGTTCGCGCTGCTCTGCATTGGGTTGTTGATCCCTAACACATTCGAGGATCCTGCATAACTGTCGGACGATGTCTCGCCCTGACCCTGCTGTTGGTTGTTATTGTTATTGTTCAGTTGATGCACAGATGCTGGACGGGAGGGCGGGATGAAGGCCCTGGACGAGAACGGCAGCCGAAATCGAGCTGCCAAGGTTGACGTCGCCGGCTGAGAAACCGTCGCGTTTGTCGTTCCAGATTCAGCTATGTTCAGATTGAGAGCGGAGGACGAACTTGTTGAAATAGATGTTCCCGGTCGCGTGGATGAGCCGGATACCGTAGCTGGGATGAGCCCTGCACCAATGCCCAACGAGGTCACCGCCAGATAGTCTGTTGCACCCATCATATTCGCCCTCAAAAACTCGCTCATAGTCTTTTCGTTGGGGCTGCTGCTATTACCACTATTACTGTTGCTGTTGATATTGCTGCCGCTGTTGCCAATGTCGATAGGACCGCTGATTGTGGGATTCGAATGGGAGGAGGATGTTGTCGACTGTGAAGCCATTGGGAGGGATGTATCCGATCCAGATTCGTTCTCCAACTGCTGCTGCTGTTGTTGCTGTTGCTCCAACTCAAGTTGCTCTGCCGCCTCTGCAGCTGCAGCTGCCTCAGAAATATCCGGGATAATGAGGTTCAAGACTTGGTAGGCCGAGACAATCTTCTCTTCCTCCTCATCATGATGACCCATATCTTCCGTACTAGCATTCTGGTCCGCATCCTCATCATGGACCAAGATATCCGGGATCACCGGATCCCAAGTCTCATAGCTCTGAGGTGGTCCCTTATCGAGCGTCAGGTTCAATTGCTGCTGAATCAGGTCCGCATCCTTTCCATTCCCACTCAGAACTGCCTTCTTCCCAAACTCCGCGTTTGACAGCACCGGTGCAGCACTCCCACTACGCGGCCGACGAACCGTCGTTGAAGTTGCTCCACTTGATGATGATGCGGTTGAGGAAGAAGGGGCTCCAGTGGTTGTGCTGGGAGAGAGTGAAGGCGAGGGAGATGCTAGGAGGGACAGATTTGCGGGTCTTGGGGTGGTGATGGATCCACTTCTAGATCGACCGCTCGTTGGGGTTGTGACGGAGAAGGTTGAGTGCGAGGTGACATGGCGGAGCTTGGAGGGTGATGAGACTGTAGAGGAACCACTCCTTGGTACGATATGGAACGGTGTCGGGGAAGTGGAGGAAGAGGAAGGTGATAGAGATGAGGATGAGGAGGATGAAGGAGAGAGAGAGGAAGAGGAAGAGGTTAAATTGGGTGTGTGATCGTCAGGCTTGACTTCTTGTCGGAGCGAGGACGAGGCAGTGGGCGGTCTTGAGGAAGGGTGGTGTGCCATGGGTAATGATCCGCTCCGAGGCCGAGCGCGGAGTGGGGTCGAAGGGGCGAGAGATCTGTTGGGAGAGGAGGAAGAGGAAGTAGCAACAGCAGGGAATGGTGAGGAGGAAGGTGTTAATGATGAGGGTCCTTGGAAGAGGGAAGAGGAAAGGGAGGGGGACGAGGAACCACAAGGTGAGAGTGAGGGTTGCTGTTGCAATTGTTGTTGCGGTTGCTGGTTATGTTGGCTCTGTTCAGGTAAAGAGAGGGGTGATTCTAAGGAAGAAGAGGAAGAAGAAGATAATGAAGACGAAGACAGGGGAGGAGGGTGTGAAGGTGTAGTAGTAGATGAAGGGCTTCCTGATGAAGTCATTTTTGTGAGTGTTTGCTGTGTATGAATGGGTACAAGGTGCAGTGCACAATTACAGGTTGTAAGAAAAGGATGTTCCTGAACAGAGTTACAGAAAAGAAAACCTAAGGTTGAGGCATGCAGCCAACGCAACCAAGCCAAACAAACAGGAAGAAAGAGCAAACCAGGACAGAGAAGAAGAGAGAGGAAGGTGGTAGGTCCTCTTCTTATAATCTGGTTGTCCCTGGGATAGACAAATAAGTGAAAGGTGTGCGAGCCGGATTGGTGGAGAGGCTAGAAGGAGTAGAGGAAAGATGGCTGCAATGGAGTGAAAGGGAAGTGTGCCACCAACTCAGAGAGGAAGAAAAAGAAAATGAAAAAGAAGGAGGGGGAGGAGGGATCTCCAGGTGTCCGGGTGTCCAGAGGGTCAGGCACCTTTACCAGATAGCCAGTGCGGAGTGGGGTGTGAACAACAGTAATAAACAATTAAGACCTGATTCAAAACTGAAAACTAACCAACCAGAAAACGCCCTTTTGCTCCAAGTCTGAAGTTTGAGACGGATAAAGGTGTGATATCCACTGCCAACCAACGGGAAAAAAAGGGTCTCCTCGATCAGTACTTGGATAAAACAGGCAACTGACTGACAACGCCCTAGTGGAGGAGACAAAGAGATGAAGAGAAGAAGAGGGGATTGAGAATGAGGATGATGATGATGATGAGCGAGAGAATGTGAAGAGTATATTTGGTTATATAGAAGTATATATATAAAAAAAGATTATTGTATACAGCTCACAACTCAAGACATGTTCAACAAGACATCATCACCCATAAGAAGGCACAAGGTGTCTTTGATATACCCCTGCGAACAGTCCACAGCTGCTGCTTGTTGTTGTTTTGCTGGCGTTGGTGGTGGTGAACAAACCCGAGGGGCTAGGGATGAATTTGAAGGTTGGTCAAGGCACTGCACTGCAGGGCCAAGTTAACGCGAGCAGACCCACCCATTCGCCCAGCACCAAGAATGAAGCATCAAGGCACAACAACAGCCCACATCCATAGACATCAACCACGTCTTTACTTCTATTGTATATCAGTACCGTCTAAATCTTTGATCGAGCTCTTCTCGTACTTAACTCTACTCGATTTTTACTTCTAGACAACGCCGCCGCACCCACGCATCCCTCTTGCCATGACACGATATTTACAGACGCGTTTCTGAATAATAACACACATCAGCTGAGGTCACTCACTATACACGATTGCGAAATATATACTTGGTCTCGGTACCTTCCAGGACTAACATTTTAACAACACAGAAAGCGAGCGGGGAAGAAGACATGAGCAGGTGACGACACCATGACAGATCAGACTTCATCCGCCGCCGCCATCTTGGATTCGCACTTTCTATTGCCAGCCTCGCTCCACTCAGAAACGAAAAGACTTGCAATGTAGTCTATTGAAATGGGCGCAATGCGGCCAGCAGGATCTTTGAAGATATCAGGAGGTGGCTAGGCATTCGGCAGTGGCACACGCTCCCCTCCCTCCTCTCTCCTCAAGCCAAGTCTGGTCTGTTTGTTCTATTTTCTTTTGGTGTATACAACCAATGCGCGAAAGGGTGTTTCCTTCACCTGTTGAGCACGACGCGACTTCAAGGACCATGGTGTTGAAGAAAAAAGCAACCTGCTGCTGTACAAGACTCCTTGGTCCGATCCGCGTGGCCATCAACATGTGCCGCTAGCCTACAAAAACCCTTTACGATCCCACATGCAGTAACTTTGGACTGTAAAAAAAAAGGATTTGCATTCATGTCCAAAGAAAGGGTGAACGAGCGATCCTTGTGGATCGCAGAGTAGATCATCTGCTCTTCGACTTTTTTTTATCCCTTGTTTAGTAAAGATATCAAAGGAGAAAGCAATGAGAATAGACAAAACAAGTACCAGCAACCAAAACCGATTCGCTGCCTTCGAGGAGCCATGTGTCGATGAGGTATCAAAAGATACCAACCGGAGTACAAGCGTACAAGACGTCGGCGTCGTAAGACCATCTTTGTCCTATACACACCTTCGTTTCATTAGCAATTGGGGGTAGCCTCCGAGTTTTGAAGGTACATTTCTACGCTCGGTCCAAGAAAACATAAAAATAAATGCCTCCGACGCGTGTTGGTGGCGCACATTTGCGACGTCGATGACCATAAACTACTTAAGCTTTTGGTACGTTGCATCCGGTGGTTTGTGCCTCCCCTTGCTTAACGATACTTTATCCGTCCCCTTTCTACTCTTCCTGCCAGAGAAGCAAAAAAGTCAGCGTGGTCTTCCTCAAGGCGTTCTTCCTCTTTGACCACATACACAGCTCTGTCGAATGCAGGACTGAGAATGTGACAACGACGACTAGCATCTTTTTAAAAAGGAAACGCGTCTAGACTGTCCAATCGCGTTTCACCATTCTGCCCCTACGGATCTCGTCTTCATATCAACTTGAGCGTTTTCACAGACAAGAGTATGTGTAGGAAGTACATGATTGTTTCTTTTATTGCTGCTTCTTGCGCTTACTATCCTTGAGTTGTTCCCTCTTCACTTTCACCAGCATCTTCACCGTAGTTCGAAGCAACAACAGCTAACAATTCAACAAAATAAATAAATAAGAATAGCAATAACAATTAGCATTGGATGCAAGTGTCCATGTCCATGCGTCCCAGGGCGCCCATGAACAACACGGACGAATAGGTGTTTGATTTTAAACTTGCCACTGCGAGGATCGCGTTCGTGAGGAGAGGAGCGGCCCAGACAATACTTGTAAAGACTCCATGAGCGTCAAAGTAGTTGTCGTCAGAAAACAGTTGCCAATGGCGACTTCCAATACTATTCAATGGCTCAGATAGAGCAGTCAATACAACTTAGTTGGCAACAAAAAGGCAGCATACAAGAGGGATTAGAAACGTGTGTTCCTGTTCAATGTCCGTTTGGAAACTGATAGATATGTCAGCAGCAATATTGACTTACTGATACAGAAGAACATGGCAGCCAGAGGATTGGGTTTGTTGCGGAGGAGGATAATAGCAATGAATATGATCAAGTGCATGGCAAGAATCAGCTGTATCCACGTCTGCTGCCACTCGATCTATGAAAACAATGGGTCAATTGACGCATCATTTCTTTTAATGCCTGTAGAGGCTCCCTCTGTGTATCTTTCTTCCGGTGGTACTTGGACGAGCATGTTAAATGAAAGCAAGGTCCCTTACTGAAGAAATGAACCCAGAGGTTGCAGACTTAAAGTCGATCCATGCAGCTTGGACATGTTCCAGCGGCGTATTCGGGTTGCTCTCATGGTGATACGTGCCCTTTTGCAGCCCGCGCCAGAACTTTTCAAACGAGGCCTCGTCCTTGAAGTGCCGTGTGCCACCTGCACCAGTTCCAGCTGCAGTTCTAGACTCAGTTCCAGTTGGTTGTGCCTGTGTCAGTGGTTGTGGTTCTGGCTGATTGCTGTTGCCGCTGTCGGGGAAGAGGGAATCAAAGAAGGTGGATGAGAATGGATGAGTGAATTGGTGGAGAGTGTTCCAAAAGTCGCTCCAGAACTGAGAAGATCCTTCTGAGCCAGCTGGCATTGCCGGTGTTGTTGTTGCTGCTGCTGCTGCTGCTGCTGCTGATGCCATGGGCGGTGTTTGATGGGTGAGAGTGCTTGGTGTGATGAAGGGAGTTGTGCACCAAAAAAGGGTCGGACCACACTTCGATTCCCGGACCAAACTCTGAAGAGACCCGTGAGAAGTGACGTTCACGCTGTCGTGTTTCCTATTCGCCACGGCGCATTTTCTTCGTATATTCTTCCCTCCGCTTCTTCTCCTCCTTCTTTCCCACACTCATCCCTTCTCTTCCTTTTTCGTACCAACAACCAGCTACAAGAACCCCACCATGGACGCACATCTCAGCCAGTTCTTTGCCCAGGTCGACAAGGACCAGGACGCCTATGTCCAGCGTCTTCGTGAGGTCGTTGCCATTCCCAGGTACTACATCCATGCCTCGTGGGAAACCCATACTCAGGCTCAGACTCGGACTAGACTAAACTATGAGCCAGGATACAACACAGAGCAATATACTGGATGGACTTGGACCAACTCACCTTCTTTCGACCATCTGGGTTGCTGACAATCGCAGGCAATTGATGCCTGTGTCGGCAGCAGCACGCCACTCCGTCCCATTTCGACACCTTCGCTTTTTGACTTCGGAGCCCTTGACTAATTCACAAAATTCCGTGTTATTTTTTTTTTTTTTTTTTTCATTAGTGTGAGCTCCGACGTTTCGATGCGTCCCCATGTCTTCCGCATGGGTGAATGGGTCCAGAAGGAATTGAAGCGCCTCAACGTGGAGTAAGTCCTTGTGCCGTATGGAGTCCGTCACTTCACAGAACCATCGACGCAGCAGAGCTTGCACTCGTACTTAATCAATTGCTTTTTTTTTTGTCACATATAGATACGAAATTCGCGATCCCGGCACCCATGTCATGGACGGACACACTCTTCAGCTGCCCCCTATCGTCTTGGGTGCCTATGGTCGTGATCCCGCCAAGAAGACCGTCTTGGTCTATGGCCATTACGATGTCCAGCCCGCTCTTAAGGAGGATGGTTGGGCCACCGAGCCCTTCGAGCTGGTCGAAAACGAGAAGGGCGAGCTTTGCGGACGTGGCTCTACCGATGACAAGGGACCCATTCTCGGCTGGTTGAACGCCATCGAGGCTCACCAGAAGTTGGGTCTTGAGCTCCCTGTCAACCTCCGCATGTGCTTTGAGGGTGAGTCCGAAGCTATTGGACTACTATGGATGATTGCCTTCCACCAGTTTTTCACAACCACTGACTTGTATTTCATTCATGCATGTAGGTATGGAGGAGAATGGATCAGAGGGCTTGGACGATATTATCATTTCCGAGGCTAAGGGCTGGTTTAAGGACGTTGATGCCGTCTGTATCTCTGACAATTACTGGCTCGGCGATAGCAAGCCCTGCATCACCTATGGTCTTCGTGGAATCTCTTATTACAAGCTCGTCATCAAGGGACCCGGCCGTGATCTCCATTCTGGTGTCTTTGGCGGCACCGTCCACGAGCCCATGACCGATCTGGCCTACATCTTCTCCAAGCTGGTCACTCCTCAGGGTCAGATCCTCATCCCTGGCATCATGGACGATGTTGCTCCTCTGACTGGTATGGCGATTATTACCTGTATACTGCAAAATGGATATGATATTGTAATCGGAAAAAAATTAACGTTGGCCCGCTCTTGTGATTTCGATTGATGTAGATGCTGAGGAGGCCTCGTACCCCCCTCTGGACTTCAATCTGAGCACCCTCCACAACGCCATTGACGCCAAGAACACCATCCACGACAACCACATCGATGCCTTGAAGGGCCGCTGGCGCTACCCCTCCCTCTCCCTCCACGGAATTGAGGGCGCCTTCTCTGCTCCTGGCGCCAAGACCGTCATCCCCGCCAAGGTCATTGGAAAGTTCTCGATTCGTTCAGTCCCCAACATGGTCCCCGAGAAGATCGACAGCTGCGTTGTCAAGTACATCAACCAGGAGTTTGCCAAGCTCGGCTCCAAGAACCAGGTCGAGGTCGAGTGCCTCCACGCCGGCAAGCCTTGGGTCGCTTCCTTTGAGCACCCCAACTACGGTACGTTAAAGTCGCTAGGCTAGTTCGTGCATTAATTATCTGAAAGTGAGGCGTTATTTTAATTGGAATGCTCGCTGGTTTCGTTAGTCGCTGCTGCCAAGGCTGTTGAGCGCGTGTACAAGGTCAAGCCCGACTTGACTCGTGAGGGTGGCTCCATTCCCGTGACCCTGACCTTCCAGGATGCCCTCAACAAGAACGTGCTCTTGCTGCCCATGGGCCGCTCCTCCGATGGCGCTCACTCGATCAACGAGAAGCTCGACCGCTCTAACTACATTGAGGGAACCAAGCTCCTTGGCGCCTATCTCTGGGAGCTCTCGACCCAGAACTTCTAAGTGGTTTTTGAATCCTGTCGTACTCCCACTTTCTTAAAGATGCCTCGTGGACTCCTTTCTTGATCCAATCAATCATGCATACAGGGCCTATGAATGCACCTTCTATGTAGCATATCCTCACTCTTGAACACCATTCAACGACACAGAACATCGATTTCCCAATAAATGCGCGAAGCGATTCCGAACCCCAAGCGCGTTTAAATATAATACTTTTTTTTTTTTTTTTTTACCACGGATAGAAATACGATATTGAACATTTATTATTGCATATTCGCCTTGAATAAAAAAAGAAAGATCATTTTTCAAAAAAAGACCATGCCCATCACGCCTTCTTGTAGTAATATAGAGTAATATAAGCATCTCAGTCTAGTCCAGCTTTACATTACGGTATATCCTCATGATGAACTTGTTGGCTGCATAATGGCCCACAGACCCTAGGATTAAAAAGATGGCCATGCAGGCCAATGCAGTGTTGCCAAAGTAGAAGCTAGTCTGGAAGAGACCATACATCCTAAATGTCGAGAGGCACAAGAAGACAACATCAGCATATGCTTAGCTCTTTCATATACCACAAATGACAAAAAAGTAAAGCAGTGGCATTAATGCTTACTTTGTCTTTTGCATGAAATAATACACCGCATAGATGTAGACATAGGCGGCTGTCGATCCACATGTCGCCATGCTCATCCAGTGCCATCTGTAGTCCTCTGTGTTGATCACAAAGTAGGTACTCACGACCGTGACCGAGGCCGTTACCAGCATCACGATGCAGAACACGAGCAGTCCAAAGCCATAGACATAGTAAACCTTATAGGACCAGAACGACGTGAACAGGAAGTAGATCTCGATAAAGATCGATGCGAACGGAAGGATGCCCCCAAGCGCGATCACCACAATTGGTTCGGCGTACCAGATCTTTTCAGGAATTGGGCGAGGGATCGGGTGGACCCTGCATGGAAAGTCGGCCTTACCTGCCCAATTCTTTCCGAGGATCGTACCTACGAGTGTCAATGGCAGTACGATACACAGCCAGATGAAAAGAAGTGCCATCTGTATAGCAAGGAATGAGAGAACCACGTCTTTTCGCATTAATGCACAGCAATAGAGGATACCAAAGCAGGCACAACAATGTTAATGTGAACATTATGAGGGCAAGGGCCCTACCACGGTGCCAAAGGGAATAGCGCGAGAGCTGGTATAGTAGATGGCAATCGTATTGTTCAAGCTAGTGACGATGGCGACCGAGGCAGGCCAAAATGCCGCTGTCAGGAACATGACGCGGACCCAGTCCCGACCTCCGTACTGTGCATATTGACTGCCACTCGAGTATCCTGAGATCATGGACGTGAGGGCATAGATAAAGATGGTTGCTGTCATGATGCTGGCGCGCTCAGTCCACTCCTGTCCAAAGATCGTGTACAGGATCACAAAGAACGACGTCCATGCCAGGTGGTGACCAGTTCCGACAAAGGCTGCAAATGTCATGGGGTTTACTGGCGGTCTGAACACGTCGCCATGAATCTGCTTCCATCCATAGTCATCCCCCAGGTCATGGTCCTGTTAACGTTTGCCACAATGACAAAAGAAACAGATAAGATAAGTGTCAATTATCATAATCATAGATATCTTGGATGATATAATCCTTGCTTCCACTTACAAAATCATTCAGACCAGCCTCCTTGTCGTAGCGGGCAAAATCCCGGCGAAGATGCCGGATCCACATGGCGCTGACGAAGCCCGTCAAGAACAAAACCATCATCAACGAGTTGAAAATCGAGAACCAATGGATCTAAGTGTCAATCATGTCCATGGGAGACGTTATTAGTGTTAGCTGAGTATTTGCTTTTCAGGTATTATTTGATCTACTGGTCTTTTCTGCAAGAGTCGCACAGTGGCTCATACCTTGTTTTCGAAAAAGTCTGAGTCCAGATAGCGCTCGAATCTCGATTTGAACTCCTTGTCGGTTGACTTCCAAATGACGGAGTACGTAAAGTCGACATTTAGTCCTGCCTGCGAACTGATCAACGGTACCGGTTGACCTGGTGTAACCTTGGCAGAAATGATCTGGTCGCCATTGTATTCAAACTCGAAATTCTGGTGAGTGTATAGCGACACTTGCTCCGTCTCTTTGTCCCGGGTTCCAACCATCCCTGCGAATAAAAGAAGACATTCAGTTGTTAAAACAATGCAAGTCTGGAAGAGGCGCAAAGACGGTCTGAATGCCATGCTATTTTTCGATACCTACCCCAGACAGGAAGATCATCGATAAAGTATTGGAACCAGTAATCGTGAGCGACTGCATAACTGAAGGTCTTGACATCCTGCGGCGTCAGTAAGCGCCGTGAACAAATTGGCGTGACAGCCTTGCTCTCTAAGCGATAGTTCACAACCGCGCATATGGTGAGTATAGCTGCATCTCCTGAGGATAAAAGCGATGCCTTGTAATTCTTCAAAGCAGCCGATACGCAATTGGTCACTCACGTCCAAAACGAATCGAGATTCCAGAATTAACGAGCTCCATCCCGAGCAGTGCCTCGCCCAGGGTCTCGTGGCGATGCTCGACCTTGCCTTCGCCCTTACAATACGGCAGCTGGAAGTACTCGTATGTCTCCTGTCGATTACTATTAACGTAAGTCCGCAACGCAGTCTGTCAATTTTTCTGTCACTCTCTCCTTCGTCTTCCATTCATCCAGCGGTATATCCCACAAGATGATCGCATTCCTGTGCCCCCTAACTCACCTAAATGGCCCAACAGAGTTGGCCCATACGACGACCTCCTCCAGCTCGGTATACTAAGAGATCACATCATACAAGCAGAGAAATGCAATTGGTTAGCAGCGCACATAATTATGGACATGGACACGAAATTACATCGGGCGCTGTTCATGCTACTGGGTGCTGTCGAGTGTTGGTTGTAAGCACCTTGTGTGAGTGCTCATCAGCCGTGACCAAGGTCGTAGCTAAGGTTGCAAGCAATGCTAGCGAGGAAAAGACCTTGGTCGTCCATCCTTTCCTGACCAACATGATGGTATGGAAATGTGCGCGGGAACTATGTTTTAACGGCGCTATTGCTGTTGCTTATTGTCTCCCGATTCCAGGTGGTGATGTTCTTTGTAAGTTGGGCGATGGGCAATGCGAAACTATTCGAGGTATCGAATTTAACCGCTTGGATTTATTAAGGGGCAGTAGAAAGAGAATATTGTACATGCTCAAATATGAATGCAAGAGAAGTATGGATAAACAGTGAAAAGCAAAGCAAAGTAATTTGCAAAGACCAGGAGGGTCTGCGCGAGCGCCAGAAAGCTGGCCAGATACGGCAACCCAGAGGCCTAGTAGCGGCGCTGTTGGGTGTAGTCGAACTTCATCTTGAGGAGGTAACGCATCTTGATCTGGCTGGTGTCGTACACAATGTACTCGTTGTATTGGAGTCGGTATCCGTAACCGAAGCCTTGATTATTCACCTCCGTCTTCAAACGTCCGACCTGGACTTTCACATCATCGTCAATCGTCACGTCGTCGGCCTCGTCGGGGTAAGAGAGTCCACAGCCCTTAGTCGAGTGCTTCCTGGCCTTCTGCGAGTTTGTCTTAGCGCAACAGTCCGACTGTTCGATCTTAAACATATCGCCAAGGGCAACCTCGCATAGAAGCATAAGGCTAGTGTCGTTGGTGCCGCTGGTGAAACAGTAGTTAGCAGACTTTGACACGCAGTCGGCAAAGTATACACCCTTGTCGAACATGTAGCCACTGACCGGGGCTTCTGGAGGCGCGATGCGAAGGCCCTGGCTAAGGATACCAACATAGTTGGTCAGACGGCTTCCATGCCAGAGCAAGCGACGGTTATGGAGCTTGCTGTGTCCAGAGCTGTTGAACCTTTCCAATTCGCCTTCGCGGTCCAGATCAAAGACCTCATCAATGACAAGGCTGTACGCCGAATGGCTCGAGCCGTGGGTATTCTTGACAAATTTCTCAATCAACTTGAAGCGCTCACTCGACTTGTCCATGGGCTCCAGCTTGTTGAGTTTCAAGGAGGCGAACTGCTGATCCAATGGGTTGATTGTGATAGTCTCGGCGTCCTTCTTGTTCTCCTTCATGATCTTCTGGGCAATTTCAATTTCTCCTAAGGCTTCGAGCATCTCCAGTTTCATCTTAAGCGTTGGGGCATCCTTGATGACAGGAGGGACTCTGCGGCCAAAATTATGTGGGATGACGGTATAGAATTCGCTCGAAAGATTGACCAATTCGCTGAAACTGGGGTTCTTCGTGTCGAGGATGGCGCCGATCCGCTTGAGGACCTCGTATCCGTGAAGAATGGTTGGCTTGGCCAACTTGCCTAGTGGCATTTTGTCCGCGTCGTAGTCGAGCTCCTTCATCTGATGGTTCATCATGCTAGTGTTGAATATGACTCTCATGAGTTCCTGGACCTTGGGGTGGAGCTTGGATTCGGGGACAGGCTTCTCCTCCTCCTCCTCCTCCTTCACCTCCTTGAGCTTTTTCCCTTTAGTGTTGGACTCATCTTCATCGTCCGAGTCACCGTCATCTGGAGGGAGCAAGTGGTATTTGCCTATATGTGGCAAGAAAACGAAAAAGACACATAATGCGTTAGAAATTGTTTTTCAGTATAGACAAAATAGAGGCAGCAAACGCAATGCTTCGTGAGCTTACCAGCGTGCTTCATAAATTTGTCACGGTCCGCCCAACTGTTCTTGGTCTTGTCCCTGAACTTTTTCTCAAAGATAGATTTAGCCTGATCTATGTCGTACAGCCTGTCGGTAGATGTCTGTCCACGAGCGCCAACACGGCCCCAATGGCAAAAGACGGCGTACTGTTTGGTGGGGGTGTGAAGCAGCTGAATCAAATAAAATTTGTTGTTGTTGTTGCCGATCTCTGTCTGATTCAAGCGCGCATTCCATGCAACCTCCGAATCCACGTAGACGGAGAAGTCACGAGCCAGTGTGCACGCCTGATCTACCTGGGGTTGTCGGATCTTTACAGGTGCATCTGAAGCCTTAGCCACCTTATCTTTGAGGACCTTGATCTTTTTCTCGACCTTCTCGTCCTCGTCCGCATCATCAGCTGCCCTTCGTTTTGCATTGGTCGCGGATTTGGAAGCTCGGACAGGACGGGTACTTGCAGCAGGCACAGCAGGAGTTGCCAAGGAAGGAGAGGATGAGGCGGTGGTGGTGTTAGAATCCAGTCTGTAAGGGGCGATATCGAGGCGCTTCTTCTCCTTGAGCGAGCCCTGGATCCAATCGAGGGTGACCATGGTGACGGTGTCCATATCTGCGGCCTTGATGATCTTGGCTGTTGCTTTCTTGATCTCGTTCTCGGTTGTGATGAGGTGAGTCACTTTTTGGGTGACGCCTGGAGCGATGGTCGCGCCCGAGTCGGCACCGGTGAGTAGAGCGGCGATATCGCTTTGCTTGAGGCCAGGAATGGTGCCAGCGATGGCAAAGACACAGTCCGAAAAGAGCGGGGTAAGTGGGGCAGCAGCAGCAGCGCCCTTGGCAGCACGTTTGGGAGGCATGTTTTGAATATGAGAGTAGACGCGCGCAAGCAAGCAAGGAACGATGCAGTGGATGGGTGGGGAAGAAGGCAGCGAGCGCAGAGATGTACTGGATAAAGAGTGTACGGTAGCAAATGAAGCTGGTTATCGAGGATCAAAGGGGTCGAAGGGATGAAAAAGAGCGAAGGAAGCGAAGAAAGGAAGATGGGGGTTGGGAAGAGGACAAAAGGACGTGTGGAGTAAAGAGAGAGAGAATGCGGTTTGGAGGTGCGCTGTACGGTCTCTTTATACTTTCATACGAATTGTTTGGTGTTTGCCACCGTCGAAATAAGGTTTAGGCGGGGAAGACCATTTTGACGTGTCAACTGGCGCCGTTTTTGCCACCATTCTTTTTTTCAGGTCTATTCTGAAGTTCCCATTGGACTCATCCAATTGAAATGATCAATATGGGCACACACGCACACACGCGGCACCGTCAGATATAGCCATGTCTCCGGTTTTTCTTTATTTCCACGGGCACATCCTGCGACCTTGAAGTAATATAATGAGCTATCTGCCAGCAGGCCAAGCCGAAAGAAGTGATGGATAGACAGATGAAGCATGGGATAATCTCTGTTGAACTGGCATGATCGTAGAGCGTGCTCGGCAGTGGTGTAGCCAAAAGGAACCCAAGCGCAATGGATATGAACCCAATTGACCGTGCGTTGTTGTCCGGGATGCTAATCCACGCTCAAGGCTCGGGTTCAGTTGGATATTCAGCGCTGCCCTTTCAATCGGATGCCAGGCGAATTTGGATGACAGGAAAGAAAGAAGGGGTATCGTGACTTGCGGCCAGACCGCGTCGCTGAACCTTGACAAGGACCGAAAATGCATCATCTTATACCCAACCGACCGCACAACCGCCCAGCACCAACACACACATAAAGTCATGGCCGAGTTCGACATTCAGCAGCTCGTCCTGGTTTCGGATGCGACCAACGATGCCGAGAACCTGGAACATCTGGGCCCCACCATGAAAGAGGTCTACCGCAACAACAAAATGAAGCCTTTCCTCGACCAGCTCAGCGCGTTCATTCGCCGCAAGGAGATGGAGATCGAAAAGATGTGCAACTCCAACTACCAGGAATTTGTACAGTCTGTCGACCGACTTCTCAAGGTCAGGCAGGGCACCGTCGACCTCAAGGACAAGATCCATACCCTCAATTCGGACGTACAGCGTGCAGGAACAGAGCTGACGGCCAAGGTATCGCCACACCCAGTCCTTCGCAACACCATTGGGATCCATTATTCACGTCACCAGCGTCGCCTTTACGGCAACTAACCCGATGAACCTGCATTGTATTGCATTGAACAGAAACGCGAGTTGATAGAGTCAAAAAAGATACTCGAAAATATTGCGACAGCGACCGAAACGCTACGTAGATGTATCAACTTTTTGGATCTCGCCAACAGGGTCAACGTACAGGTTGAGAACAGGAAATACTATTCTGCATTGCGAGTAAGTGGATCAATTGCTTGTCTGATACGTTTCCATGGAGCAACTGCTGCCCGTGGTGTAGCAGGAATCGGGATTCTAACTGGAATGCTCTTCAACTCTGTAAACCCCCCTCCCCCCAAGATTGTAGACGAGATTCAGGTCGTCCACCTTCGCAGTGTAATCCAGTTCGAGTTTGCAAGACACATGCGTGAGTTATTCTACCATTTTACTTGCCGTAATGGCTTTCAGTGGAGCTACCAGCAGTAAGGAATGCTGACGAACTGCTTTGGACCCATGCCGCAATTAGAGGATTGTATCCCTATTTTGCAGTATGCAATCAAGGATGCTGTTACGACAGAGATGAAAGAGTGGCTCTTCAGGTATGGTGCTACGGAAATTGATGTCAGCTCAGCGGTTCGATTAGTCGTAAATATCTATACTCATTACTTCTACTTTATCCTACTCGCCATCAGCATCCGTTCAAGTCAAAAGACAATGGGAAAACTCGCTATGGACAGAATGGCAGCTCGACAGCAACGGTGGCGCGAAAGATCCAGTAAAGGATTACGCCTCAAAACAACACACAATGTCAACTCGGCAGTAGAGGAAGCTGTTAACGAGGAAAATGAAGGTACAAGAGATAAGGAGGCCTTGATGTGCGTGTAAAAGAAATGCCTGTATGACCTAGCTGACCTCGTTGTGCAATTGCTCCCATAGTGGATATTCTGGAGACTGCTCAAGTCGAGCTGGACTTCAAACCCTTATACCAATGTCTGCATGTCTATGATGAACTTGGCCAGCGCGCGGGACTCAGAGCCAGCTATGCTGAGGACAGACGGGCCCAAGCAAAGTTGACGCTCTCTTCCATTACCTCTTCCTTCAATCTCAAGGACCGAAACACAGACAATTTTGAATCGTTATTGCAGGATATCGTCGGATTCTTTATTGTGGAGCACATCATTCTGTATTCCACAACAAACTTTCGAACACAGAGTCAGGTAACATCCATGATTGTTCGATACATTCACAAGGATCCTGGAATGCCTCAATACTGATAGCACCTCTTTGAGATTATTTTTTTCTCTAGCTGGATGAACTTTGCGAGTTAGTGACGAATCTCTTGATCAGAATGCTTTCGGAGGGACTTACCAACTGTCAGGACCCAGACATGTTTTTGAATATCAAGCTGCTTCTGATGTTGTACATCCAAACCATGGAGGTAAGCAAGCGTAGTCTACCCTCTTGTGCCACGATTGCTAGATTTCATCATTAAACTTGCTTCCATTAGTCCTACAATTATCCAGTGAGCAAACTGAACGACCTGCTCTTGACCCTGTTCCGCACTTATGCCGACCAGTTGGAAAATAAGTTCAGTGCCAACTTTCACAAGGTACAGCTATTCACCATGAAGTTGACATGAATCGGCCTTTTCTGCATGCTTATATGAACCATCGCAATGACCTCCATTTTGTTTCCCTCGAATAGCTGGTTGACGAGGATGACTACACGCCTATGCTTGTCGAAAATCAGGACGAGTACAATCTGCTGCAGATGTCGTTCCGCTTCAAGGAAGACCGACAATCATCACGGCAAGGGTATGTGTTCTGTGTCTCCGAGGAAATTATCCTGCACTCGGAGCCACTTGTTCATGGCGTGTTCCTAATCGAACTGACACGACAGATTTTTCGTTAATATGGATACAGATTCCCAAGAACATTGCCCTTCTCCAAGGTCGTTCCTTACTGCTGCGAGGACATCCGGCAGTTTGTCGGCCAGTTCTATCGCTTTGTGGAAGGTTTCAATCAAGAGCAAAACGAGATGGACGATCTTGTCAAGGATGTGAGTATCCGCGCCCTAGGCGCCGTTACCGTTTCCAGGTCCAGTTTATCGCGCACGAAGATGGGGACTAACAGTAATCTTCTCCGTTATTGACACCCATTTAGAGCCTGGATACGTTGTTGATCCAGCACGTTCATTCCGTCTGGCTAAAGAAATTGGAGTCCAGGAACCTTTCTCAGATCGCTCAGATCATCATCAACCTGGAGTACTTTCAGGGTGCCTGCAGTGATTTTGAGCAATTACTAACGGAGATGAGGTGTGTCTTCAAAGTCATACATGTGTGGATCATACTCTAGTGTATTTATACCCTGTATCTAACCTTGATTTGTGATTGCTTAGATCCACATCCGACTCTAGCAGGATTTCCCTTCAGGCGACAGCGCTGTTCAGAGAAACAAGGAAGAGTGCGGAGAAACGTATCTCGGAGTTGGTGAATTCCAAGATTGACGACATTTTAGAGCTGGCTGAATACGACTGGCACCCGTCGAGTATCGAGGATCTCCATAGCACATACATTCAAGAATTAGTTTCGTTCCTCTCTATTGTCATGAGCGCCACTTTGCAGAATCTCCCGGATACAATCAGGACTTTCGTGTACTACGATGCCCTGGAACATCTTGCATCGCAGCTGCATGTAAGTTTCATCCTGCAATTGCACTCCCGGACTTCTTGGTTTTCAGGTGCTGATGCATGCGCTCACCGTCATTAATTGGTCTCTGTTATTTTAGGGTATCTTAACGGATCCAAATGTAAAGCACATCAACCAGAACTTTGTCGCCATCTTTGACAAGGACATTCGATACCTGGAGGATTTCGTAGAGACCCTGGACAACCCTAATGTCGCCCAGACGTTCCTCCCTCTACGACAGGTAACACGCTGTCTTATCGCTCTGTCCTGTTGCGTTGAATCATCATGAAATTTCTGTACTTACGACTTGTGCTTTAATCCCATATAGCTCATCAGTCTGCTACTGTCAGAGAATACGGAGGAATACATGGACCCAGCTATTCGAAACCGAAACTATGCCCAAGTCAAGGCTGACGATGTCACAAGGATGCTGGAGAAGTAAGCTTCTCTCCCAATCTATTTTCTCTTCATTTCCCTATTCTTCTGTTATGAAGTGGCTAATTTTCTCTCTCTGTCTCTCTCTCTCTCTCGCTAGGTTGATGACAACTCCTGCTGCAACGACAGCGACGCAAGAGCGTGCGAAGGGGCGAGACTGGGGCAAGGTGCTGGAGTGGGGTGGCATCAAGAGCAGCTCTTCGTGAGTTCACAAAGCAAAAGAAGTCAAGATATGCTGCGTGTAGCGTGAGAGTGAAGGACTCGTGGCCTAATGTTGCGAGACATGTCCAAATGAAAGGGCGTTGTAATTAAAATAATGCGGACGCCGGTTTTTTTTTTGCTTTGAGTCTTTCAAGAGACGCCGAATGGGGCGAAGAATGAAGACGTGAACATCGGAACAGCCAAAGGGCGATTCGTATGCGTGATCTAACCAGATAGACAAGCGTTGGCATGGTAACAAACGTTCACACGACAAAGAGTTAGCATTGGTCTAACCCACCAGTGCAGATCGTTGTCCAACAACAAACAACAGGAGCAGCAACAGCTCTCCGGTGGATGTTCCGAAGTTGCGGTGCGCACAACAGGTGCCAGGCGAGGGCGCTGATTTCCTTTTTTAACCTTGACATGCTTAAAATGTACGCCTAAGTTGTACGCGTCTTATAGGGCTCAATCTAGATTGTCTAGTGTGCACAACAACATAACAGAACGCAGACAGACATAAAAACAGAGAGGGAGCGTCATGTCAAGGGCGAAATGATGCCAGCAAGCGGAAGTTGGATCCGGGTTAATGCTGATAAAGAGGAGGAAATAATAATAATAATAATGAAAGAGGGATAGAATGGATTAGCTTGAAACGTCGTAACGAAAGATTAGTCTTTGTTTAAACCTGTCTTTCCTCGATAACATGCGAGACCATTAAGGTTATGCTTGGAATTCGACTACATTTGGCAGTTGCCGCATGGAACCATTGCCACGCTAGTCCACGATAGCGTGAGTCTTTTTTCCACTTTCCCACCTATCCTCCTTACTCGCCCCAGTCACCCACGCACCTACTCAGTGACGTTTCCTTTCATGCCATTGTGTATACCACAGCCGTTTTGACTTGTTTGTCATTTTCTTCGCAGTAGGAGAACAAATAGGAAGACATAAGAGAGGGTCGAAAATCGTGAATGCATGAAAGTGCAAAAAAGACATTCTCGACTCTAGCACCAGAGCTGCATGTGCGGCTCTGCATCCGCAACTATACCGAAATCCACCAAAACGGCCGTTTTTTCTTCTTGTTTTTCACACCTTATTTCTGCTGCAAGTAAGTTTAAACGGTTTTAACGTAAGATTGTTCTTTTCCTCCCAGCCCACTCCCTCTGGTATTGATGAGCGCGTCCTCTGAATGGCTAACCTTCGCTTGTACTCCCGAAACATAGGCACGCGCTTGGCTGTACCTACTTCAGCCTATCGTCTTGCGAAATGCCCTAGAGCCAGAGCAGGAACACAATTCGGCCCTATACTTTTCGCCGTTATGCCTCATCCTCGATGGGCAAAGGCCAGCATTGATTATGTTTCTTTAATTTAATATTTGCCGCTCTTGGCCATCGAAACCATGACACCAAACCGTAAACGAAAACTTACCGAGATTCGACATGGCCGGAAAGCTCTTGGACCCTACTCCGGTGTATTGAAAGCCGTAGTCACTACCAACGCCAGATCGTCCATTCACTTTCACGTTTGGCTCATGAAGAGTGTATCCAAACAAGCACCAAACGACGGCCCTTTGTTGTTCTTCTTAACGGGTTCCGGGCGATCGTTAGTCTCTTCATTTTTGCAGACATAAAAAGATCCCGTAGCCCACCTTCATCTCATTTTTTTTCCTTCACCTTTGGTCCTCTATAGATACTCCCTCCATCGTGTAAAATATCGCCTCCTCCTTCCTTAATCCTGACATTCTTCATCTTACGCGCATCCCGCTCCCCCCTTTTAATCTCTCAACACAATAATGACTGGACACGACATCGTGCCCGACCACGCCGTCTTTAGGGACATGGGCGATGGCACACGGCACCTGCGCAGGGACAACGAATCTTTTATCAAATGGCAAGCCCGTCGACTCACCAACACCCGCACATTCGCCTCCCTCGATCACGAATCCGAGACCTCGCAGATGAAGCGTGTCTTGACAGTCAAGGACCTGAGTGCCATGGGTATCGGTGCCATTATCGGCACGGGTATCTTTGTCCTGACAGGTAAGGCCAGCATACTATATCATCACGCCTGCCCTGGAACGCTTTAGCCATCCCGAACAAGCCTGTTAATGCTATGATCAACTTTTTCTCGTATAATATTTTAGGTGTGGTTGCACACGAAAGGGCTGGTCCTGGAGTCGCCATCTCGTTTGTGATTGCCGCCATTGTTGCTGGTCTTGCTGCATTGTCCTATGCTGAAATGGCCTGTCTGGTACCAATTGCCGGAAGTGCCTATACCTATACTTATGCTACCTGCGGAGAACTCCTGGCCTGGATTATCGGTTGGGATCTGTAAGCTGCCCTTTTTTCTCTCTCTCTCTCTCTTTACGCACTTATGCAGTTATGCAATATGCAACACCTTTGTACCCTTGTGCACACTTACTAACCTCTCACTTCCCCTCTTGTGGATTTCAACGACCGCTTTCCCATCAACAGCATTCTCGAATACTTGGTCGGTGCTGCTACGGTCTCTGTCGGTTTCTCCCATTACTTGGAAGCCTTCTTCAAAGATGCGTTCGGATGGGAACCCCAAACAAAACTCATGCGAGCGCCATTTGCATACCAGCAGGATGCCTTCAGTCTCACAGGAGACTGGTTCTCATTGCCGTCGTTCCTCATTGTCATCCTTTTGACGATCCTGCTCTGCCGAGGCGTCAAGTCCTCTGCCCGTGTGAATAATATCCTGGTCGTCGTCAAATTGATCGTCATTGTGGTCTTTATCTTTGGTGCCTGTAAGTGGGTCGACCCAGCCAACTTCAGTCCCTTCGTCCCACCAAACACGGGCAAGTTTGGAGAATTTGGCCCAAGTGGTATCTTGCGAGGCGCGACCATCGTCTTCTTTGCGTTCATTGGTTTCGACGCTATCAGCACTGCTGCCCAGGAGGCACGTAACCCCCAGCGGTAAGCACAGCAACTTTGTTTTGTTTTCCCGAAGGTCCATGTGCGACTATGAATCCAATTTAAACTAATACAGTCCCTTCTTCTCTTTCCTGTAGCGATCTTCCTATTGGTATTGGCTTGTCCTTGGTCATCTGCACAGTTTTGTACATTGCCACCAGTATTGTCATGCTGGGAGTCGTCAACTACACCGAGATCGCCGGCACTGGTCGCGGAGCCCCCTTCCAGGTCACTGCTGCGGCGACTGGTATGAAATGGCTTTCAATCTTCTGCGAGATCGGTATCCTGGCCGGTCTGATCTCTGTCATGCTGGTCCTCTTGATCGGACAGCCCCGTATCTTCTTCTCCATGGCCGTCGATGGTCTCTTCCCGGAGATTGCCTCCCGCCTTCACCCCAAGTACAAGACCCCCGTGATGACCACCGCCATCGCCGGCGTGGTCTGCGCTGCTGCCGGAGGCATGTTCCCCGTCGATCTGCTCGCAGATTTGACCTCGGTCGGCACCCTCTTTGCTTTCTTCTTGGTCCATTGCTCGGTTCTGATCCTTCGCTGGAGGGAGCCTGACCGTCCTCGTCGCTTCAAGGTTCCTTTGGGTCCCGTTCTCCCTGTCTTGGGTGCTGCCTGCTGTGTAGGATTGATCGCTGTCGATTCCGTGTCGGCGATTATCCGTCTTGTGGTGTGGTTGGCGATCGGACTGGTGTTCTACGCTGCATATGGCTCCAGACACTCAAGGCTGAATAACCCTGAGCGTTATGCACTGTCTGAGCCTATGGAGGTCGTTGGCGAGCGTCATCATACTACTCATGAGGAAGTCAAGGGCGATGCTTCGCCGCTTCACACAAGCACTCCTAATGACGTTAAGGTCTAAGAGAGGCAAACAGGATATAATTATATTTTATTACTTATTAAACAACAATATGTCAAAAAGCGATCAAATACCGCTGAGAATAGAGTAGTAGTTTATGAATGGTTGGTAGTAAACTTCCCCCCCCCCCTGATGTTGACTCAAGAGCCATCGAGCCGAGCTGTTGCTTAAGCTGCCCTATTCATCCTTCCTTGTCGCGCAATAGGCATTCATAACAAACTTGAACATCAAGCGCGTGTCGTTATCTAACAATTCGTGATGAAAAGCAAGAAGCTAGTGAGTCGCGATAGGAAGAAAACAAGTACCGTGTGAATATGACACTTTTTTTTCTTCTCCCGCTCTGTCCTCTGTTACCTGCTATCATGGTGAGCTCTTCTAGCCGTTTCAACTGCTCGCCAATACCTCCGCTTGACGGCGGCCACAGGACGGGCCCTACTACCGCAGCACCCATCGCACCTACTAACCAAACTTGGTGCAGTACTGCAATTTGCTCAAATGTCACTCTATGTGGCATCACCCAACCCATAACGTTGATTGGCCTTGAACTAAGAATCATAGTTAATTCCCATGCGTACATCGCTCCGAGGGTCACGAATCTCCAGTACCGACCGTACTTGGCTCTGCTGAAGGGACTGATCACGGCGAGGGCAAAAAATGCGGCAGAATAATAGGCGTTCATGATACTGAGCCCCGTGTGGAGATGGTCTTTGTACGTGACGCAGGTAGTGCATTTTGTGGATGAGGAGCCGAATCGGTTATAGGCTTCTCGTAGAGTAGGGTCTGACAGGACCTCGTATGCGCCACGGATCCTGACAAACATCTCTGCAGTATCAAAGACACGTAGCGGAGCACTCAGGTCAGTTTGCCCAGTGCTATGTGTGGTCTATCCAGATCTCAAGTTGCTTGACTGTACCTGCGCCTGCCTCTCCGACCTTGTCCGGATGGTACTGCAATGAGGCCTTTCGAAAATTTGATTTCAACTGCCTCTGAGTGAATCCACGGAACTCGATGTCCAATGTGTCATAATGGGTTGACACGAACGACCGATCAACTTCAATGACGACAAAAGCGAGATATGCCAAGGCTACTCCACAGAAAATCCAGCTATTGTGCTTCCTGAAGGCGGTGGTGCCTTTAGATGGGATTGCTCCTGGGTTGGAATGGTATTTCTGTCGGTACCAAAGATGCTGCAGTAGGTTGGTAAAAAAGGACGGGAGAAAGAGCCAGCCTACAAGTCGTGCCATCGTTTCCTTGATCTGCCGTTCTTCCATGTTCAAGATTGTAAGACACTTTTCATGAAAGAGAGAGATCGAATTGTACAGAGTGTTCAAGATTATTGGGAGATAAAGAAGCTGACAAGAGTTGCAAAGTGTTCGTTTGTGTGAGGATGAGAAGAATGAGGGGGCTAAGCCGAGAGGGACAAGCTAACCCTAAGATTGTATGCAATAGGAGACAGCCGCGTCAAAGGCTCCCTATTCCTTTTTGCCTGAAAGGGGAGGGGGGGCGAGAATGCAGCGCGACAAGGATACACTAGTCATCCGCGCACAGACATGGGATGTTATCTATCGAACCGGTATGTTATCTTCTGCTATATCGCGATCTGCACACCGGAGTCGTTTCAATATAGGGTAGAAAATGGTTCGGTAGGGGAAACAATGGGCTGTAATGTACGATGAAGCCGGTAAACCAATTTGAGTGTCTATTGCTCGAACGCATCGTCTGATGACATGGCGTCCTATAGAGCTGGTTGATAAAGAAGGTGGATAGAAGATGATAAGCGGCACCGCATCATACTGTGTTTCTTCGTGTTTGATTATCCATCTGCAACGCGGTACTCGCGCGTAAAAAAAATCCGAGGTAGATGTGGCGGTAGAAAAATAAAGTGTCCGCAACTTCACTGTGAAAAAGCATGAGGATGAGCAAAGATCTCTGGAGTAGCACGCCATGTGAGCCAACTATCCTATCCCATATCTTTTAAGGATTGTGAGAGCGGATAAACGGACAAACAAATGCAAAGCGCGTTTGTTTACAGGAACACATATGGACATTCATAACCTTGTTTGGACATATGTCCACCCACTCGATCCATACACACACAACCGGCAATGGATGTAATAGACTCATCTGCTTTCTTCTGTTTAACGTTTGCTTAAGATCGGCTTTGTATGGCTCAGGTCTTACTTCTTACTCTTAACCAGTAACTAACGAAATCGATAAAGAAGCTTTTAAGCAATCAGCTTCCATGGCATACAGAAAGTGTTGATCCTTCTTCCAGTATGTTTCCTCTTGTCCTCTTGGAGCTGGAAAAAAAGCGTTGCTTCTACATCCCATCCGTATGCACGATGCGGATGTTGTGGGCCAGTATCTCCTCAGCAGCACCAGCTGAGGATGTCTATGGCATGCCACTGGCGCCTTTTAAGCCCGGCACATGCATGCAGGACGAGAAGCATCGGCGGCTAAAATTCAGCACTCAAAGAGAGGGAGTGCATGCGCCCATAATACTTTATCGGAAGTCTACTGGGCTAAATGTCGGCGGGCGTTGTTCTCAGTCAAGGTTTGGGCCAATCGCGGGTCCATTTCGCCCTCCGACGAATATGACTCCATTTCGCACACACTTTTTTCCCTTAAATACAACCGGAAGTGAGGGAGGGGCGAGGGACTCCATCTTCTTTCCTTGGCTCTCCATTCCACTCTCCACTCTCCACTCTCCACTCCTCCATCCCTCCCTCCGTCTCCATTTGAATACGGCTTCTCCCTACTATATACATATTTACTATACCCCCACGAACACATAACAGCGGAGAGAAGAGGAGAAAAAATAAAGGTGTCATCATTAATACAGCACACAGCGAAAAAAAAAAAAAAGAATACTTCACGCCTCAATTGCACACCTCCAACCGACTTTAACAAAGATAGAGTACCATGCTGCCCTCATCTTCATCTTCATCCCCACCACTGCCGTCGGCGCAGCAGGGGCAGGACCAGCATGTCCCGACTACTACAGCACTACCCTCGGATCATACTATCACCAATGACCAGCACAAGGCTCCAGGAGACCCATCTCTAAAGATTGGTCATCATCAGGGGCAACAACACACTTACGATCTTAAACAGGAATATGACGAACAGGATGCAGTAACAGCCGCAACCCCCATCGAGTCAGAGCCTGCCTTTGTCGTCCCCGAACAAGATGAGCCATCATCGCACCAGAAACAACAGCAACAGCCAAAGAAGGTCTCCTGGAAGACCAAGGCCTGGGATCTATGGATGAAGAATTGGTTCCTCCTCGGACTCATCGTTGTCATCATCCTTGCCCGCTACTTCCCAGAGTGGGGTCGCACCGGCGGTCCGATCCGCCCCGAGTACTCTGTCAAGTACGGTATCACCTCCTGCATCTTCCTGCTCTCAGGCCTGTCCCTCAAGACCAAGGACCTGCTCATCTCTGCGGTCAACTACCGGGCCCACCTGCTCGTCCAGCTCACCTCCTTCATCGCCATCCCCCTCATCGTCAAGGCCATCACCGCCCTCATCGGCCTCTCCTCCTTCAACGCGACCCTCCTCGCGGGCATGGCCGTCACCTCCGCGACCCCGACCACCATCTCCTCCAACGTCGTCATGACCGCCAACTCGGACGGAAGCGAGTCCCTGGCGCTGTTCAACGCCGCGCTCGGTAACCTCCTCGGCGTCTTCATCTCCCCAATCATTGTCCTGATCCTCCTCCACTCCACCCCGCAAACGCCCTCGGGATCCCATGGACTCGATTACCCAACGATCCTGCGAGACCTCGGCACCACGATCTTGGTCCCCATCCTCGTCGGACAGGTGTACCTGTACTTCTTCCCCAAATCCATCGCCTGGGCCAAGAAGAAGGTCCACTTCCCGACGCTGAACTCATCTTGTCTGCTGATCCTTGTCTGGACCGTGTTCTGCGATGCCTTCCACAACAACACCTTCTCGTCCGTCACTGCTGGCGAGATCATCGCCATCGGTGCTCTCCAGGCCTTCATCTTCTGGCTCATGACCTTCTTTCTCGGTTTCATTGCCCGTGTCCGCCCCGCGAAACTGCGCATCCTCAAGATCATGGAGCGGAACCAACAGGAGCGCGAGCGAAGGGAGGCCCAACTCGAGGACGGGTCCTCATCCTCCAACGCAACCGTCGAACGTGGGGAAGACAGTGATTCAGATGTGACCAGGGGCCTGTCGCTTCCTCGCACGCCGCTCCAGAGGTTTGCAGAGCCGATGTCGAAGAAGGATACCGTCGCGATCTTGTTCTGCGGAGCAACAAAGTCCGTGGCCATGGGGATCCCGATGATCAAGATCTTGTACTCGAGCGAAACAGGATCAGCACTCGCGGGTCTGTTGGCGACGCCCTTGTTGATCTACCATGTGGAGCAGCTCTTCAGTGGTGCATTTATGGTCGCTTGGCTGAAGAAATGGGTCAACCGTGGCGAGGAGTCCCTCGAGTCCTTTGAGAAAAACGATCGCAAAAAGCTGCAGAAGCAGGACCAGGACCAGCAGGACCAGGAGCTACAGGCGGAGGAGTTGCACACGACAGCACAGCAGGGTGGACCTTACAAGGCCCCATCATTGGTATCGTCCGCGTCGACCTCGGTCTCTGTCAGGAAAAATCAGGGAACATCCGCATAGACGAAGAATTCAACCGCTTCATTTCATCCGTTCATTCGCACCAGCATCGATATCCACACCATTCCTTTCTCTCTCTCACACACTCTCACGCCCACTCTCTCATATGTCAGTAATCGCGCCCTTGTTCTTAGCCCATCGTAATAAAATACCTCCTGCATGAAAACCAGGACTGCAGCCCAGATTCGCTAGCCCGCCTGTTTGTCCTTTGGGGATATCTTTTCTTTTCCCACGCCAGAAAGGCGCTCGTCTTCAGTCCATGGTCTGTTCATACACACTCCGATGCTTATACATCTTGGGTTACACGGTGCCATACAAAGCAAAAGTATGAAATATACACAGTTTTTCTTTTTTAAAGGTATCGAGTATAAAAATAAAATAAAAAAAAAACATCCACGATGGTTCTACAATGAGTCGATGCTGCCCCGTCCCCATCCATCCTCATAAGCTGTAAGTGGCGGTGGGATCTTGCCGTTCGCATTCCTCAGTACCACCATGACCTTAGTCTTCAGTCCAATATGGCGCACATTCTCAATATTCTGCCACACACGCTCCTGCTGCTCTGCATTCCGTCTCGCATTCTTCCGCATCCGCCTGCGTGGTCCACAAGGCGTACACGCCAACGATTCGACATCAGTGGGCCAGTGCTTGAAGATCTGGACCTTGATCACATCCAGAACCACGAACGACACGAACGAGATCCCAAACACCGCCAGGGCCTGAGTGATCGGTACCGCAGGCGTGAGCCATCCAAAGGACACCATCAGCAACGCCACGACCTGCGTGCCGATAATCACAACGACAAACAGCAACGACGGCATGTTCTCCCAAAAGTATCCTGCCAGGCGCGTCGAGAAGATCAAAAAGTGCGGCGCCGAAGAGATGTGGAGATACATGATCGAGTCCAGCCTCCGGTCCACAAGGTTACCAGCAGCCTCCGGGTAAGGAAAATATTCATGGACGTTCCAAAAGTAGTAAAAGTGTCCAAATGATAGTGCTGTGAGGAGCAAGCCAAGGATGCAGGACAGGATGATGAGCTGGTCTACCCGCCAGTTATCCGGCCGAGTCGAGACCTGGGCATTGTCGACCGCAATCACCAGTGTCGCTGCATCGTTGAGGATACAGATCAGGATCAGAAGCTTGGCCGGCAGAGTCCAGTCGTAAATGAGGACCACGACAAAGAAAAAGGTCAGGAAGTGGATTGTGGACGTGATCCGGTAGAGTGCATACGACCGCATCCGCTGAAAGATCGCTCTTGAGGATAGAATACCCTCGATGATCGTCGACAGTCCAGGGGCCAGCAGCACAATGTCCGCCGCCGATCGCGCAGCATCTGTGCATCCATGTACTGCAATACCAACGTCCGCCTTGCTGAGTGCTGGCGCGTCATTGACACCATCGCCCGTCATCCCGATCAACAGGCCTCTACTCTGCAAAGAATACACAATGTTGTATTTGTGCTCCGGTGTAACTTCTGCAAACCCATCCGCCTTGTAAATCCGGTCCGACATTTCTTCTTCTGTGACACCCATGTTTACTAAATGGCTCGCGTCCAAGATGACCTGGCCAAGTCCTAGGCGGCGCGAAACCTCCTTGGCAATGATCCCCTGATCTCCCGTCACCATCTTGACTTCAATACCCATTTGATGACAGCGCTCAATCGTTTCTGCCGAGTCTTCTCTTGGCGGATCCAAAAGACTGATCAGTCCCACGAGCTGCCACCTATCCTGAGACGCCGCAACGGTGCGGGCCACACCCAAAGCACGGAGTCCGCGCTTCGCCATCGCCGTATAGGCCTTCACAGCCGCGTCATTGCCCCCGACCAGCTTGATGATCATCTGCGGTGCGCCTTTGGCCACCAAGAACTTGGTATCGTTTTCCGTGTTCCTGACAGTCGCCCGTGTATACTTGTCATGCGGATTGAACGGCACAAAGTCGGCGATCTCATATCCGGGAACAAGATGTCTCTGCGTCGCAGGTCTGTTCCTCAACAATGCGACCTGATGCTCTGCTGTTGACCGAACCACCATCTCGATAGGATCATTCGCTCCGAATTCGGACGCCAGATACGAATACAACAGTAAATCCTCAGCAGAGTACCCCTCGCACAGGTAAGGTTCATCGAGCGACAGCTCGTTCTTGGTCAGTGTTCCTGTCTTGTCCGAGCAGAGGATCGAGAGCGCCGACATTTCCTCGATAGACGCCAAACGCTTGACAATCACTTGCTTTGTGGCTAACCCACGCGCGCCAACAGCCATAGTGACTGCACACACCGTTGGCAGACCAACTGGAATAGCAGCGACCGCCAGGATCAAGACTGGACCGAGGATCTTGAGAACCTGGCCACGAATGGGGTCGTTACGGAAGGTAATATACTGAATGATGATGATGAGGACGACGAGAACCAGCGTGAACAGGATTAAAAAGTTGCCGATCTTTCCAATGATCTTTTGAAAATGTCCCTCTTTCTATGTTACGAGTTTTCATGAAGATCAGTGTTGTGTTAGAAATAACATCCCCGACAGCAAAGCAGTTGCTATGTCAAAGGCCCTCGATGCCCTGCGCGTAGGTTGATTACCCTTGCGTCAGCCATTAGGCGTGCCGCAACGCCGATGTGAGTCTTGCTTCCCGTCTTTGTCACAATCGCCATCTGTTGTCCCTGTCTAACGATCGTCGATGAAAACGCCTCGTCGGCCCTCGTTTTGGAAACCGGCAGGGATTCTCCTGTCAAGGCTGACTGGTCAATCACGAGCTTGCAATGGGTTTCGATACCTGCGGCATCGACGCCGAGCAAACGGACATCTGCAGGGACGATATCTCCGAGTCGCAGGACGACAATGTCGCCGGGCACAAGCAAGGCCGATTCGATCTCCTGCAAGGTCCCGTCTCTCCAGCATCGGCTCTTTTGGGCAAGTGTCTGTCGGAGTGCGTCGACAGCCGATTCTGCGCGTGCTTCTTCGACGTATCCGATGATGGCGTTCAGGAACAAGAGGCCCAGGATGATTGCAAAGTTGAACCAGTCCTATAGAAGAAGAATCAGGTTAGGTTATGTCATCATACGGGGACGAGAAGAAAAAGAAAGCGAGGTAAGAGGCATGGGAAGGGTGCCTCGGAAACGAACCAATTAAGTTTGCACTGCCTCCATGCTCCATTACTCCCTGAAATACACAAAAAAAAAAAAAAAAACAATAGACCTTGGACTTTGGCTATTGGATATCTTTTTTTTTTTCTTGCCATCGTCAAGAAAAGCCCTTACTAGCATCCATCCTCATCGCTCCCCCTTGCTCCCAGATGACGCTTATCTAAAGCAAAAGATATGAAGACAGCTCCTTCGTAACATACCTTGATAACAGCCGAGATGATACATGCCAATTCGATCAAGAATGCAATTGGTCCAACAAAGTACCCCAAAAACTTCCTCAGCCTATTCTCCTTGACCTCGACCAGCTCATTCGGGCCAAACGTCCTCAGTCTTTGTGATGCCTGTTCCGTTGTCAGACCCGTCAACGGGCTTGTCTTGAGCAGTTCCTCCAGTTCCAACTCATCGTCATTGCTCTTGCCACTAGAACGGCTATAGGCGCCGAAGCCATTGTGCCTGGTGTTGAATTGGGTGGCATCACTGAGATCAAAGTGTTCCCTTTGAAGGGAGGACAGTGACCCGGATCGCGACCTTGAATGGTCATGCGAGTCGTATTCGCGCAGCTCCTCGTATCCTCGTGCCATCGCTGTCTAGTGGAGTGTGGCTCCTGTCTATCGAACACAGTTCCACAGGTCGTATCCTACTTCAGGTCGAGTCGATCCCAGTGGACTGGTGTTAGTTGGATAAAGAAGCTGGAGAAAGAATCAAACAGACCGCAGGTTCCATACGAGAGGACATACGGCGTGCGGGTACTTGTGTGTTCAGTCGGACTGGCTTGTCAGGAATGAGAAAGGGAATGAGGAGCAGAGTCGAGTCAAGGGCAGGAAGGACAGGGGTATGTGTTCGCAGAGGGGAACACTAGAAAGTCAAGAAAGTATAAAAATGTGTGCGTGGCTGGCTGGGCTGTTTTTTTGCCCTGTGCTTCTTCCCTGCCCAATGCCCGCAGTGCTCAAATCAAGAGCACAGTGTGGCTGAATGCTTGATGCTCGTGTTGCTGGGCATTCCAATGCAATCAAAAAATATGTTGGCAGCGGCGGTTCCTTATCCCATCTACTCGTTTGTCGATGATGTCCTCATTGCTGTCAGTTGCTGTTTAATGGCTCATGGATCGAATGGATTGCGATAAGGGGGTAGCATCCCCCCTCCCCCCATGTCTTCATTTTTATTCCATTCAAGAGATATATTACAGATCACAAAAACCCAGTTCTTCTCCTCTTCTTATTCAAAAACAAAGAAACACGACCGATCTATAGCGACGATGCTGATGTTGATGGTAACGGTGGTAATGGCGTGGCGACTGGACCCGATGTTTATCCAATAATGTTGACATTGCTGGCAATCTCTATCTTTGATTCCTCGGCCGCGACCTCAAGACCCACACGGTGGACAGTCTTCAAGAACAGCTCCATGGCCTCCACAGGCACAGTCGGCAAGATACCATGTCCCAGGTTAGCAATATACCGTCCTGTCGATCCAAAGCCTCGAACCATCCTCTCTACGGCTGCGACAATCGCCTCGTCCCCTCCATACAATACATTGGGATCCATGTTGCCCTGAAGCGTCACGCGGCCCTTCGTCAGAGCCTTGGCCTGGACAGGGTCATGAGTCCAGTCCAGGGACACGGTCTCGTATCCGATCTCCGACAGCTGCTCGAGTGCGTACCATGAGCCCTTGGCAAAGACCGTCATCGGCACAGCTTCCGAACCGAGCGCAGCCTTGACCCGCTTGGCAATCTGAGCCAAGTAAGGGAGCGAGAACTGCTCGAAATCATGAGGACCCAACTCTCCTCCCCACGATTCGAACACTTGCAGCATCTATCGGTCCAGTCCGGTCAGTCCAGGAAAATGCAACAAAATCCAGTTAGTTAGTTAGTCCCACAATATCGTGTCACACAGTATATGGAAAAGGAAACACATAAAAAACGAAACGCGTTTCCGCGCAATGAGCTACAAATCATGCAAACAAGATAAAAAAAAAAAAAAAGGCAAGGCTTGATGGGAGACATTACCTGAGCTCCGGCACGGACTTGACCAACCAAGAATTCGACACAGACATCCGTGATGCGGTTCAGCAGCTCATGACTCGCCTTGGGGTGCTTGAAGATCCACTCCTTGGCCTTTGACAGTGTCTTGCTACCGCCTCCTTCAATCATGTATGCCTATGCGTTAAAGAAGAAAGAACTGCTGATAAGTCTCACGTCGCAATTGCTCCTGCAAAGATACATTCCCTCTGTCAATCGGTTTTGTTTTTCTGCCTTACCATCAAGGTCCAAGGTGCGCCCACAAATCCGATCAAGGGCACACGTCCGTCGAGCGCGTGTCGGGTCATGGTGATCGCATCAAAGACGTACTGCAACTCCTGGTACACATCGACCTTTTCCTTCAGCTTGGCTGGCATCTCCGAAGGGTGAACCAGAGGATCAGGGAAATGGGGCCCCTTGCCGGGGACCATCTCAACAGTCATGCCCATGGCCTGGGGGATGACCAGGATATCGGAAAAGATGATTGATGCATCCAGCAGGCCGTCGTAGCGGTCAATGGGCTGAAGCGTGACCTTGGTCGCTAACTCGGGTGTGCGACAGATCTTGAAGAAGTCGTTCTCAACGCGCTCGGCACGGAACTCTGTTGTAGCGGTATGCAAAAAAAAAAAAAAAAAAAAAAAAAAAAAGAGGCGTTGAGTCGATAAGAACAAAAGACCATTGGTAAGACAGGCTATTGGGCACCGTAAAGAAGACAAGAAGCATTTCCGCTAAAGAGTACACCTCGAAAGTGCAATCGCTTGTTTGATCCGCAAGGATCCTTCTTGACCAACAGTTCTGATGCATATATGGTTGCCATCGCCAAAAACAAGGGAGTGCGTGTGAAATGGTGTGGAGGGGAAGGGATTGGATTACCAGGCAGGTAGCGACCAGCCTGACGCATGACCCAGACGGGTGCACGCTCGGTCTTCTCGCCACGGGCGGCTCTGAGGATCAGGTCATTCTTGAGAGGAGGGAATGGTTTTGTGGCAGACATGCTTGTTGGCTGTGCTGTTGCTGAATGAGTGAATGGGTGCGAGATCGTTTGGGGAAAAGGGAACGAAGCGGACGGGAGGAGCGATTGAAGAAAGAAAGATGGAAAGAGGAATGCCACTCCACTCCAGGCACCACCCGCTTATTAACAGTGCGATCGGACGGACATATCCGTGGAGCAGCGTCCCAAAAAGAGAGACGGCTCATTTCCAGTACGCGTCAAATTGGTGGCAACAGAACACACACTTCAGATGGCATGGCGCACTTGATGATGGACATCCTCATGTTACTATCAGCGTTGGTGCTGGTGTTGGTATTCGGTGCTACTATTGCTATCGATATTGAATATATACATATACATATACATACACATATGCAGCATGGAAGGATACAACGATGTCCTTTCACAGCGAAAAAAAAAAAAAAGCGCGCGAAAGGGGCGCTGCTACTCCTGTTCACTGTCCGCATCCTCCAGCTTGAACAGCGCGTCCTTCTGTATTCGTCCTCCTTCCTGCGTGTCGCTTCCCCGTGGTGTCTTTAGGTGTGCAGCACCCTCTTCCTCATCATCATCATCATCATGGTATCGACTGCTGCTGCTGGTGACACGCACATCACTCAGCTCCTGTCCCTCTTGCTCCTCATCATCGTCCCCATCCAAGTACCGCTCTAGCCGCTTCATAGGCTTCAACGGTCTTCCCTCGCCAAGTCCGCCGCTTCCTCCAACCATATCATCCATCTCCTCTTCCTCATCATTATCATCATTGCCATCCTCATCTCCTAATTGACCCTCGAGATCCTCCCAGTCAATCCCTGTTGCGCCCGCGAGGTCATCATCCGAAAGTGCAATGGGTCCACGTCCCGGACTTTGACTGTCGTTGTTGTTCTGTCCAAACATCTGAAGTTGAATGTTGAGGTTTCGAGGAAAGAGCTTTGAGGCTCGCCGAAAGCAGAAGATGAGTCCCATTAACGAGCATACTGTTACGAGTATAGACTATCATGTTATTTCAATGGCAAAAAGCAAGATGTATAGCCAGGTTAAATATCTCCTTTGTCAGTTGTTTTCTCCTACTGGCTCGACCTCCACAAAAAAAACCCAGATCAAACACACATAACATCCATTTTCCTGAAAAGAAGTGCAGCCAAAGAGAACAGACAACTTACAAAACCCATGCCCACAGTCGGTTCGTCGTCGCGCAGCCCTTCTAATCAAAAGTTGAAAGCCAGAGGAAAAAAAGCGCTGCGTTAGAAACAGTCACGATCCTGCGAACGGAACTGGAACTTGTGCCAAGGAACCAAGGAACCAAGGAGGCCATAAAAACAAAGGGTTTATGTTCATCTCATTACTCGGCATCGCAGCGGTGTCGGAGCGTATGGTTGGCATCGTGGGGTGAAGGGTATATGCGAGGTGTATGCAGCAATAAGGAATGAGAACGGGGAGAGCTCTGAACAACTGTGGTGAAAAAGGAGTGCTTTGGTGGAGGGCAGAGGGAACGACCAAACAGCAGACCTCATTCCCCTTAAGCTCACCCTCCACGGCAGCTCATTTGCGCCGCATGGTAGACGTTCATGTTACAGGCACACATTGGCCACGTTTACAAGTATCGCCTCAACGGCTAAAAAAAATGTGTGTCCTACGCTTTTATTCTCGATACTTCTACTGCGATGCCATGTCTTGGAGCGCTATGCTACCATCCCGCAGCGTGGCTATCAATCGCCCGGTGCGCTGCAGTCCTTGTCTGTCCCTCGTTTGTGAATCCATATTGTCTTCCTGGTCCGTCCTTCAATTCGCACTTTTTTTTTCTTTTTTTCTGGCCGATATACTGTTGCTGTATTGTACACAAATAAAAACAAGGTCCTGCTCCCCATCCTTTTCTTTCCTTCATACAGTGTTTCCCTCCCCATTCCATTGTTCGCATCGAGTCTCTAGTTGTTCACGTCCGCCATTGCGCCCGACTCTACCACCGAAGAGTTGCCCTCGATCGCCTTGCTCTTGAAGTTGTTTTGCTGTCCATCCCTGGTCGAAGAAGAGCCCTGTGCCGCTGTTGTTGGAATGCCCTCAATGCCCGCCATGATCCTTGCATGGCTTTCCTCCCGAATCATATCCTGGTACCGATGCTGTTTCGCGACATCATGCAGTTTGAACCCAAAGATGCGGGGCACATAGCGGTCCGTGCTCTTGGGTGGGACCAGTTGAGGGTAAACCTGGAAGAGCATGTGAGGGAAGCTGCAGCCGAAATAAGCGCCGTCGATCGAGGCATGGCGAGTCGATTTGGGGTTATAAATATCCTCACAGCGGCAGCAGAACAGCTTTACAGATTTCGTGTAGGGGATGTCGGAGAGCGCGACTGGAAGAAGAGGATGGTTGTGGCAGAGAACTCTGGGGCACCGTCCAAAGTCGCATTTCTTGAACTTTTCCAACTGTGGTTGTGCATCGTTGTACAGTTGAAGTGGACGATGGATGATTAAAACAGCATTCGTAATAAAATCGAAAGCAAAAGTTATCTCCGCAATATAATCGTTAAGCACATTCGCCCGTACCATCTTTGTAAGTCCATGGGTGGTAATGATGAACCGGGCGTGAATCAGGCCATAAAGATGACGGGCCGACTTTTCCACAATATCCCGCATTTCCTCGTCCAAATTCTCATCTATGTGGAGGCAAATTTACAATCATCAGTATCAAAGATATGAAAAAAAGAACAAGCCTTATCAAATATCACAGCACCATGCCGAATTCATCAAAATCCACAACGTACCGAGGTTATCGGTAATCAAATCCAGTGCCTGCGAGTAGTATTGCACTTCCGTGTTCAGTCCAGTCAGATTGAATCGGTCCAGAATGTACTCTTCATCGACCTCGCAAAAGTACTCGTTGCCCTTGGTTCCCAAAAACCAGTCAATCCAATACTTGGTGTAGTCAGAGTCGGATCCGCTCGTGTAGTCATCCACTAAACAGATAGACGCATAACAATAAATAAAACAAGTGTGAGCATGACAAATACCAATTGTTTGGCATTACCATCCGTAGCATATCCTTTTCATGACAGAAACCTAGCAAAATAGCAATAAAAAAGCATGACTTACTGGCAATGCTATATGATGGATAATGCCCATGAGGTGATAAGAGTGTAGAATAGTGCAATATCGTTAGTAAAGAAGAGACTTGGGTAGAAGTTCTCTGCCCCTTGCACTTTGAAGCCCAAAGCTATCTTTCAATTCGAATGCTGCCAAGTAGCCGAGGCAAATGCTCTTCCATAGTGCTGCTGAAACTGTCTCCACAGTGTCCTCCCAAGTAAAAGAAGAGTCGACTGCCAGACGAGTGCCTTCGACCCATGCCCTCTGCGCCATCAACCTTAGCCTCGAACATAAGCATAATAATAATAATAATAGTAATAATAATAATATATGAGGCTGTCTAGAAGGAGTGCAAGGGTCCATACTTGTAAAAGGGATACAGGAGGATAAGTGAGAAAAGGTAAAGGTTGGATTAACGGGTATTGGAAGGAATGATGGGTCATCTATTTTCTCTGCTGCTCCTCCTTCAGTCAAGCGCAAACTCTTTTAACTTCCTTCCACCTGCCCTCCAATAACAAAAAAATCCCATTTGACAAGCCACTGACAGTGGTCGCATTCACGCACGCATGCCGCACGAAATGGCATACTCCTTCGGCCTTCTCTCAGTATATCACAATATGGCGTTACCAAGAGCGAGTGCCAGCAGTGGATGGCTCACTATCGCGTTTATTAAAATGGCAGAACCTGAAAAGGCCGCTGCTTTGTTTCCGTAGATTTTGACAAAAAAAATATCTTCAGTGGAGGGCTATTACTCTGACATATCGTCCTCTCTTCCCCACTTCCGCTCATCCAGGTTGTGGTCCTTGAGCTTCGAGAACCCCTCCTCCTCCATTTTTCGTCTCTTGCTATGGTGCCACGCAGCCTGAGCATCCGAAGGTCGTCCAGCCCGTTCAAGTCTCGGCTTCTTGTGGGGTGGGAGAATGCTATAAATGTCGTCAAACTGTGGATCAATCGACTCATCGTCCGCATCGTCGTGGGAGGGGTGCCAGGCCCCTTTAGGACCATATCCCAACCCTCTGGGCCCTCCAGGGTCAGATGTGTGTGTTCGAAACAGTCTGCGGAACCCAGCGATCCATCGATGTTGACCCCCATTCGACTGAGAGGCATTCGGAACAGTGGATGAGGATCCCATAAGACTCTCTGGGTTCTGAGGAGGTGAAATGCCAAGGTCCTGAAAGGTTCGTACAAATTGCGCCTGCCGTAGAGGGTCTCGTCCAAGGTATACAGCGATATAGCTATGGACCTCGGCATATTTCTGAATAGGCGGCAGTTAGTACTAGGACAACCAAATGCACCCCCTTCGTTCTTGCCAGTATCACATTGCGTACCTTCCCTGACGGGTCCATGCCATTGGCCTGCTCAAACTTCAGTCCAGACATCACAACGCAAGGCCAGTCTGCCAGTTCTGTCCTTCCAAACCAAGTGGCTGATGTTGGTACGAGTGAGATAGCTTCCTCCACATTTCCTGATATCCGGCATAAAACATAGGTTAAAGGATGTCATCTCCTTGCAATCTTCAAGAAGATGCTCTTTCGATGCAGACGTACCGTTCGAGAATTCTTCCCAAAGCTTTGAGTTGAGTTGTCCTGCAAGTCGAACGTCGTCCAGAAAAATTACCTCAGTCTCAGTCTCGAATCGTCGCTTCGAGGGCAGAATGGGTACATGTAGGAAGCAGGACTGCATCGGAGCGAAGCTTTGCGGCGCGCTTGCTGAATTACTGCCAAAGCCGACGGGTACGCGCCAGCCATCTGTATCCATGATATCCGGAAAGGGCACTGAAATCATGGCCTTGACAGTTGATCCTTCGAATGCTGCTGGATCCAGCTGTAATGAGCCGTTAAAAAACCGCTGAACGCGCTCAAGAACTGCCAATGGCGCATGAAACCGCCTTTCATCCATCAGTAGATGAGCTACTCTTTCCCGGAACGGCTCAGGCTGCGAGGCGGATGTAAGTATTGAGGCTTGCGAGGTGGGACTAGATGGTTGGGCGGCCGAGGAATTTACTCCGCTGTGTGAGGTCGGTATAGAACGAGTCTTAGGAGGACGCTCAGGAGCTATGGCTTGTTGAGATGGTTGTGGATGTTGATCCGTAGGCTGACGACCGGGTATATTCTGTGCGGTAGATATCACACTGTGAGGCAATAAGTGCACTTGGTGCTGGATATCAAGGTTTGGCAATGCAGGCTGACCGGAAGACAGAGTACTCGTTGCTTCCTGATGGGGCGTGATTGAATGGGCATGAATTTGAATGGTTGGTACAGGCTGTGGGTTGGGTGCGGATGACGCCTGAGGTAATAAAATGCTGTCGACAAAGTCGGCCGACATGTTCTCCACATCCACTGGTTCATTCGAGCTGATCCTGTACTGTACCCGCCATGCCCTCAAGACTTGTCGCCAAAGTTCCGGTGCTATTGATGTTCTTTGAAGTGCAGAGGGCTGCAGTGCGACGGAGGCTTGAGTCAATGCTTTGCAAACCTGTTCCGAGCATGGTCGTACGGGCTCCGTAGACAGTTCCTAGGCGTTTCAAATGACCATATACGCGTACATTCTATCAACAAACGAGAGCTCTCCATTCTTTTCCTGGACTCCGATGTAAACTGTTCACAATTCAATACTTACAGTCAAAAGCTCCGCGCATTCAATCTGGAGCGAGCCATAAAAAATCGAGATGAAGAAAGGAAACGAATGAGAGAGCTGTTGGAACACGCCGCTTGATTATTCTGTTCCCGAAGCATATAAGACGTTTGGTGATTTTTCATTACGAGCAGCGCCTTCCTGGGTTTAGCGATGCCCCATTGATGCTTGCAAAATTCGCTTTCGTTCTGGTACCGGTGGTCGCTCTTCCACAGCCGCTTAAATATGATCTCCCGGAAGGCTAAAACACTTATTTCGAATAAGGATAAGTCGTGCTCGGTCCTTTGCCGAGCATATCCCCGCCTGTGGCTCCTTGAAGATGGTGTGCCGTCCTTGATAATCGATGGGTCTATCTGGAGGGCCAAGGAGCGCGTTTTTCATTGGTCAGTTTTCTGCATGCCGTCATTCCAAAGGGCGCGTCGGTCCAGAAGTAACGCGCTCACTTTCTGCAGCTGGATTTGGAGCGGCGTCAGTCTCGGTTTTGACAGGTCGGCTACAGAGAGGTAGTCTTTGCTTGCGGGCTCCATGGTGATGGGTCTGAAGTGGCGAGACTGTGTTGAAAGGCAAAGCACCTATCAAAGAAAAGGAGGCAGAGGCGATTTTCAGGTGTTACCCTTAACTGTATTGTTCTTATGTTGAAGACTTTGCCCTGGAGAATCGGCTCCTTCTCAAACTCATCCCTCAAAAAATGTAATTGAACTGGACACCCTCTCTGTGGGCATGGATTATTCATCCCATCCATCGATCAATGGACACCATGCATCGATCTATCCATCAATGCATCTTATGCACTAGCAGGAGAAACGCAATATAGAGCAACTGTTGGAACTAAAACGCCATACGATTCACCCGCAGTATCAACAGCGACATCATCCTCAGCATCAGTCTTGTCTTGGGAGAGTTATTGCCAGTTCATACGGGAAGAGGCAACACTCATTACACAACGGGACATACTATCGCCTATACCGACTCAGACAGCTTTGTGCTTCCGAAGATGAGCTCTACTCCAAGAGACATGGAACACCGAGGATGATCACGAGCTCAGAGCAATCACCTTTGCTACCTGATTTGAAGACCAAACCCGAACGCTTAATCGACAAAGATAAGGCGATTGGCACTTTAGCCCAGGACGTTTGTTCAGCAGTCTCGATCGCAGGAACTTGACAACTCTAACATCTCAATACAACAATCGAACGGCGATTACAGCTGCTATACTCGGCATCACTGCCAAAAAAGCTGACAAATCCGCGAAAAAGGAACCAGGACGCTGCACCCGCACGAGGAGCCAAATCAACCGGTATACATCTCTGTTTCCTAACACGGTTCTCTGTCTGCTCTTCGTTCTTCGTCGTAGTCAAAATGGGTCGTCGTCCAGCTCGTTGCTACAGATACCAGAAGAACAAGGCTTACCCCAAGTCTCGCTTCTGCCGTGGTGTCCCTGGTGAGTAACCCAGACGCTTAGATTCCGCCCGCCTTATCGACTATGTTAGCACCTAGTCGTCAGGAATATTCGAGACAACACGCACAGCACGTTTTCGATCAGGGCGAAGAGACATTGGAACAGGATACGATTACTTGTCAATACGGATAAAACTCGATGAGGGCTGTCCGACTTGGACGGTCTTCACATGGGGGGGGGGCGCTTAGCAGCACTTCGGATCAACTTTATCTCGCCACCAAATACCCTTCAGACTGAATCAACTTGCTGCCTTTTGTTATCAGGATAGCTGATCAGAACACTATATTGCAATCGCGTCGCCATTTTTATCGGTTCTCTTTTCGACCTCATAGCTGACATTTCAAACTTGTTTGAACCTTGCTGTCGCTGCTAGACCCCAAGATCCGCATCTACGATTTGGGTCGTAAGAAGGCCGGTGTTGACGAGTTCCCTCTCTGCGTCCACTTGCTGTGCGACGAGAAGCAGCAGATCACGTCCGAGGCTCTCGAGGCTGGACGTATTTGCGCTAACAAGTACATCTCCAAGAACTCCGGAAAGGACTCCTTCCACATGCGTGTCCGTCTCCACCCCTTCCATGTCCTGCGTATCAACAAGATGTTGTCCTGCGCCGGTGCTGATCGTCTTCAGACCGGTATGCGTGGTGCCTACGGTAAGCCCATGGGTACCGCTGCCCGTGTCGACATTGGTCAGGTCATCTTCTCGATCCGTACCAAGGATAACAACAAGGCCATCGTCATTGAGTCTCTCCGCCGTGCCAAGTTCAAGTTCGCTGGTCGTCAGAAGATCATTGTCTCCAAGAAGTGGGGCTTCACCAAGCTCTCTCGCGAGGACTACGTCACCGAGCGTGCCGCTGGCCGTCTCCAGCCCGATGGCTGCTACGTCAAGTACTTGAACGAGAAGGGTCCCCTCTCCAGCTACTTTGAGAAGACCCTCCGTGCTCAGGCTTAAACAGAATTATTAAAAACCTGTAGGGATGACGGATAACATTTGCGCGCGAACCAAAAGAAATAACGACCAATGTCCCCTTTTGTTATGTTTCTTGTCGTAAACGTTGTTTTCGTTCTTGTCTTACTTTTCTGAACCCAAGAACAAATAAATCAGATCTTTATTGATCTTGTTTTGTTGAATGCGGCGGATGTTGGACAGTGTCGCGATTGAACACAATAGCAAAGCACATTCGTACAGGCAGCATCTAGATGTTTCAGGTTCCCGATGTCGTAGTAACGCGGCCCTTCTGAATTCAGTGCAATGGAATAAATATCGGAAGCAAAATAAAATGTATTATGAGTTCCTACGTTAATTCAGTGCGCGCGGCCTTAGCCCTTGAGGCCCCAGAAGCTACAGCAAAGCTGTATCCACGCGCACAAACAACATCACCTTATTAGTAGAACCCCTCGGTTCTGCATCGACTCCCAACTCGCTAGACCAGCTCAACCTACCTGGCATTTGATAGCTGTCATGGGCATACCCATCAAACCGCAGCGAGCCTCTAAACCAGATCTGCCTTATATTTTCATTCGCTTGCTTCATCCATCTGTCAGTTCGACTACGGTTTCATCTTCCCAGCCTTCTTCAGCCGCCGCCACCGCTACCTCTTTCAGGGACCAACAATAGCCGCCAAAAAAAAACACGCGTGCGAGATTAAAAAGCCATCAGGCACTCCCGCAGGAGCAGGAGGGACTAAAGAGGTTCGCACGACATGCGCAACGCATGTATGGACAAGACGCTGAAAGAGGAGCTCGGCAATATGTGGCGGCTTTCTTTGAAATGACGCATGCGCTGTACGCTGAGAACCTGCATGCTAGCCAAAGACTTTTTTTTATCCTTGGGCCGTCGTCCTTTGGTCGTCAAGAGGCTATTGTCCTTCTTTCCATCTTTTTGTTTTTTGTCTTCTCTGCTCGCTTTATCGTCCCCTTCTCCCACTTGGATCTCTTAAGCTCTAGGATAATTTGCGAGAAAGGACCAGGCGCGCGAGGAGATCAGCATGAAACTGTGCACAGGTGCCGAGCATGCCGCCATCAATTTTTGGCTGCCTAAAAAAGAAATGCTCTGTCCAAAAGCAGTGGTGTACTGGGCGCAGTCTGAATCTGAACTGTCGGTGGAGTACATGCATTGCATTGGGCATATACTATTTGACATGGCATTACCCATGCTGTTGTATCCCTTCATGAGGGTAAATGCGCTTCTTCGTTGCGCTCAATACAAGCCCTTAACAGTGGACACTAGGAGCTGCTATTTCGTGAAAGAATATGATCTTTGCATTACTGAAGAATGGATCGTCGGACGTGTCTCTCTGATTAAGTAAAGACAGTTCGATCCACTGAGGCACGTGCGCAGTCAACTGATTGGCTGCCTAACAAACGCGTTTGAGGCTCGGGATTGCTTCCCACATTTATTGGGGGATCGGCGTTCTGCAACGCTGAACGGCATTTAAGAATGAGGATATGCTTTATAGAATCCGCATTCATATGCTATGCATGATTAACGCTCGCTAAAGGTTCACAAGGATTGGAGGTAGGAAGGGAATCGCTTGATTTGTTGTAATGTCACCCAAGAGTGAAAGAGAGAATATCATTACTGCAGTATGCAGTACCGAATGGCTTTCTATATGGCAATTAAGAGCAGCAGAACAAGAATCAGAGAGAAAAAGGTTTGCCACCAACTTGGGTCAAGTCAGGGCGGGCATTTCATTGGCCCATACGCTTATGAAGAACGAGTTGTATTTTTTTTACTTCTTCCTGTCTGCTTGCTATGCCCTCAATTCAATCCATGGGAGGACATTCAACTTCAAGATGTATATATGAATGGCTCATCCGCTAGCGATTTGGTTTCTGTCAAAACAGAACGCGATAATATAATACTACTCGCATCACCTGTTGGCGCTAAGAAATAGGGTCGACCTACAAGAGGCACAGGATAATCATCATGATCGTCGTCGCGCGAGGGGGCGATGTCAAGGAGAACTCCTTTTTTCTCTCTCTAGATAAAATGCAAATCTCAGGAACAAGATGTACGTTTTAGAGTTTGTAAAGACATGCACGCACACAACGTTGTGCCCTGAATGTTAAAGGGGCATGGCGCTAACTGGTAGTGTCTAACTCACACACCTGCGCTTGTTGAAGAATGAGTTTGATGGACTTTCGCCGTAAGCGGGACCATACTGCATCGCATTCCATTGGTTCTACTGGATAGTAAAGGACTCAACTGAAGCGTTCAATGGTTTATGGACTTCGATCGTCGGTCGGCGAATATTGCTATTGCATTTTATTGAAAACGAATTACATGCAGGATGGACCCTCTTTGTGCTTAGCACAGATAAATGGAGCACTTGAACTTTCGTGTATCAAGCATTGTTGCGGAACAACATCCGCATTACCTATACTGCTGTACCCATGGGTTGCTCGTGCGCTGCCCGAATGGTCTGTTGTTCTTGTTGCTGTTATTGCTTCGAGAAAGAGGAGATGAGGTACTACATTGAGGGTGCGGGTAAAACGATTATAGGGGATGATGCACCAGCTGACGAGAGTACAAAACAAATGTTTCCCCTTGTTGCCACCCCTTGAAGTGCTTGAACAAAATAAAATCCGTTCGCTGCTCATAAACCGCCGATGACCCCATACGTCCATACCCTGGTCCATTGCCATGGTGGGTCCTCTTTCCCCTGCATTCCCATGTCTCCCGGGCGTTATTTTGTTTGCTGCTACTGTTCTGTCTTTCCTTTCTTTCTTTCTCCCGTCTTCTTTCCACTCCACATTCCTTACCCTATCCCACAGATACCCCGCACCATTTAAGTGTGCATTTCCATTCTCGCCCAAAGACAACTCTTCTTCATCATCATACCTGCCTTTCATCCATGTCAATCACAGCGAGCCGAGTACGTCGGCGATCCATAGGATCAATATCATGCCAGGATATCGCCAGCACCATAACCACAACCACAACCACAACCACAACCATCGGTAAAGACAACCTTCACTCGCGTTCATGCGAACGCAATTGGGCTCTTATTCCCACAACTAGACATCTCAGCGCAGAGCACCCTGCAGTTGTTTTGAGGCATAACCATCCTCGTGTACTCGACTCACACCTATCACCTGTAGCGACCAAGGGTGCAACCGCAGTTATCTTGACCTATGCGTCCTCGGCAACGTGCCTTCCTGTCTCTGAGGCGCCAGGGGACCAGTCAAGGATACCGCTTCCATATGCGCATCGCTCTCGGACAAGGACAGGATACATCCTCCCCCGAGCAGCAGTTCTTCTGCTACTAGTTATGGTATTATTGTGTGCCCTGCAGCCAGTTTCAGCGACATCCATGTATCAGGGACCGCTCCCGCAGGAACGACGGCCTTCGGTCCTGGCCAATCGTAAATGTGGTACAAACTCAGCCTCTATAGCCTCCACACAAAGACAGGGGTCCACTGTTTCGAAACAGATTTCTAGTGAGCACCCCACGAGGTGGAATACGGAGTGTTCGGTCCAACGAGAGCAATTGTATGCCAGAAACGCTGACAATATCAGGAGGAGGGGACAGCAATTGCATAAGCGTAGAGTGGACGGTCAAGCGGACGGAAGCAGAGATACGGTAACTCGGGCTTTGGACAACACCACTTTCCCGTTGCCCTCGTTCCAGGCCCTGGCTGCAGTCAACAGCACAAACATGACTTGCAATGGACGGGCAGATCTCTGTGATTTGCGATATAACCAAGTGGTATGTTGTCGCAGTCGAACGATCTCTTTTTTTTTCTGTTAGAAAGGTCTGGCTGGGGCTTTGTCGAAAACTAAATCCGTACCGTCGTCCCGCGGGACATTTTTTTTCTATTAACAGACATATCCAGGGACGCACAATAGTGCTGCATACGATCTCAAATACGATTGTCAGCTCGCAACCGAGACTTGTCTCCAAAGCAAGACGGTCTGCACTGCACAGGCCCAAAATTGCTCCATGGGTTGGGAGACGCGATGTACTAAGATGTCGAACACCTGTGTGGACCGTCTACCAGGATGGTTGAACTGGCTGTGTGGAGCTTTTACATCCACATGTATGGCGACGGAACAGGTTTGTCAGGGCTGGGAACAGATCTGCACGAGCAGTCTGGAGGTCTGCACGCTATGGGGTTCTGCCTGCTTGGGTGTTGTTCCGGACTGGGCGCTTCCCTGCCTATGGGAGAACCAACCTGACCACACAATTTCTCAGCAGCTGGCCGATGGTGAGTTGGTAACCAAACAGGCAGCATACATTTTTTATGTCCTATGAGTTCATTGGGCTAACGACCGATATACGAAACTGCCTCATTGCTAGGAATCCGCTTCCTGGATCTGGGGACATGCATGACCAACAACAACACTCAGATGGTGATGTGTCACGGTTCTGGCGTCACGCGCGCCATAGGGATTACGCTCGATTCTGTCCTTAACCAGATCCTGCAGTTCATGCTGGCGAATCCGTACGAGGTCGTCACGATGGAATTCAACGAATTTGACGGCAATGCAACCGTGATGGCCAAGATAATCCATGACAAGGTGTTACAGTACTTTACTCTTCCGTCAGGACAGCAGCTGATGTTCTCGCGCAAGAGTCTAGAGGAGCCTTGGCCGACACTGCGTGATCTAATCCTGGCAAACCAGAGACTTATGATCTTTATGAGTGACCTTTATTGGGCGCTGGAGCCGAAACCCGAATGGGCGAACCAGAAGGATACATGGAAGCAAGATGGGTTTGCATACACGAGCTTAGACACGCAGCCGGCGCAGCTAAACTCGACCTATTTTGACTACTGCACAAAGGGACCACCCACGGACGGGTCATTTATCAAGTGGCAGCAGATCGACATCAAGTAAGGCCCTCCTCAGTATCTCTTGATATGGGCAGCTGAAAACACACAAGGATTTTTGTCGCTTACATGATAATTTTTGCATTCTTGCGCTTCTTGCAGCCTTTCAATCCTAGAGGAGGACATTGTCAACTCGGTGAAGCAGGGCAAGATACCGCAGCTGTGCATTGGTCCATTGGCGGTACAGACTAACTCAGATATGCTGGATAGTCTTGCGGACTTTTGCTACTCTAAATGGCCATACTGGTTCCGGGTTCGCGTGAATGACTACTGGGAGGGCAATCTCTTCAAGGTCGTTAATCGCTTTAATGATATGAACGTCGCTCGGGTGAAGGCAGGGGACTCCATTACGCCATACTAGGCATAGCCGAGCCAAACTAGAAGTAGAATGCAGAGATAAAAAACACAATAGGAAGCACAAAAGGTATCGAGAAGAATGGGCCACTTGTTGGATAAGAACATATTCTCGTTCTTGTTGATCGAAGGCTCTCCTTCGTTATTGAGGCTATTTGTTCCGATGACTGGAACGAAAGGAAGAGATACATCGGGGGGATGCTGGATGTTCAAATGAAACTAGTTTGGCTCAGTCACTTCTCAGTTCCCCTGGGAGATGTCTTTATTAGGATGGTTACACAAGCCCGTTTTCGCACGTTGCCTTAGCAGTCGATGACGCTGATGCTGGGAACCCTGAAGCAGGGAATTAGTGTGCCATGTCATATCATGTCGCGATCATAATAATATGCTTTGGCCCCACAGTCATTATTGCCGCTATTCAATAGTATCTAAACTCTCGTTCCTTCACACTTTGCTCAAGTAATCCATCCTTGGTCCCTTCCCCACCCTTCCTTCTTTCGTTCCCATTCATTGATCATTCTCTCCTCTCTTTCTCATTCTCATTCCCCCATTCCTCTTGCATCAACACAAGTCCATACGTCTGCACATTCACACTTGACTCTCTGTCCTCGTGCCTTTCCAACCCAACCTCGAGCGAAGGAAAAAAAAAGAAAAAAAGAAAAGTGTATTCTCCATCTCACACTATCAGTGTGCCATAACCATTATTACACCATCATCAACAGCAACACCCCCACACAGCCTCCTCTTCTGATTCTAACCGCACCATCAAGACATCATCAGAAGCAAGGCTGAGCACTCTGAAAAGACGACAGCAGATACACAATTACCTACTCGACAAACGACGTCATGGACAAAAACAGCTACGACAACAACAACAACTACTACAGCCGTGGCTATGGCAATGGCTATGACCAAGGACAAGACCAGCCTTACGCAATGCAAAACATGACGCAACACAGCTATCAACGAGACACCTATGGGTTACCCTACAGCAACAGCAACGAGAACTACTACAACAATGACCAATACCCTCCAAACTATAACGGTGGCGCAACAGACAACCAATACATCGACCATCAAAATGCATATGCAGCCCCTGCCGCCGCTCAGCCAAAGTACTACAATGGATTCGAGGACGATGGTACTCAACCGATCCAGGGAGAGAACAGATACGACGGGACCAGCATTCGCAGCAATAGCGGTGTCACTCCAATCAAGCCAGTGAAGGAGAGATCAAGATGCCTGCCGTGCTTCCCTTGCATCCGCTCAACCTGTGGTCGCATCACTGCTTGTCTTTGCATTCTCCTCCTCCTGGTCATTATTGTCATTGTCATTCTCGTATTTGCGGTGTTCAAGATGCCAACAGTCGACTATCTGGGCATGGCAGGCGATCCCACCTTTAAGTTCAACGATGGCAACACGACGCTGGGTGTCAATTTCTTAGCGAATATCCAAGTCAAGAATCCCAATCCTATTGGTTTCAATTTTGAAAAAATTGTTGCTACGGTAAGCAGCTTGAATTCTCATTTGATCTGTGGTTTTTTCTTTATTCTGCGCTAAACTGTCCCGTGCGCTGTATTTACACGGATGTAAAAGAAAATGTAATTACACTTCATTTCCTTTCCACGGTCTGGGTACACAACAATGCAAGGAAACAACATTATCTTATCAAATTACGGAAGCGCATGCATGCTTGCAAACAATGCGGGCCTTTTTCTCAATGTGGGAAACAATGTGCACATAATGCGGTCAAAAAGAGAGCTTTACCATTTTGGACAAACATTGCCTATCTTGATATGCATCTAATCTTTGCTCCTTTTTCGTGAATGTGATGCTAGGCTTATTACCCAGGATATCAACCTCCGATCGGAGGCGGCAATATGACCCATGTCGACTTCCCCAGCAAATCCACCAAGGTCATTCAATTCCCCATCACGGCCAGCTACGATCAACGCCAGGATCCAGGATTTACTGTCATCCAGAGCATCCTGACAAAGTGTGGTCTTACAGGCGGGAATGACGGCGAGATCACCATTAACTACGACATCAAGGCAACCTTGAAGATCATTGGCATCCCAATCTCACCATCAATTAAAAATCAGGCTACGAACATTGCTTGTCCTACGGATGTAAGCGTACTTCCATTCCTTCTCTTTTTTTTTTTTTTTTTTTTTTTTTTTTTTGCAGAGTGTTAACGCGTTTCTTTCTGCATGCTTTCATTAGATATCTCAAATTACAGGTGGCATTCCTGGAGCAATCGTTAGCGGCATCGGCAGTCTCATCAGTGGCAAACGACGATAGAGCAAGCCATCGGATGCATAAAGAAAAAATAATGAGAATAAAAATAAAAAAGGCCTTCATTCATCATGCTTACCATCAAGCTTTATAAAATGCATTGCATATCCCATATTTGTTGGGCTCAAAAAGGCGCCAGGTCGAAGGCCTTTTTTTTAGCCCTGTTACAGTTGTCCTAAGGCCTGCGCAGCAATTACAATACCTCATCAGTGTTAAAAGCCGAAAACTCCTCATCCCCTCCATGATTGTCAACCGTCTCCTCCCTTGCGGGCAGTCCAGTAGCGTCCGATACGCTGCGGGGCCAGGGCAACCCAGCTTTTTTTTTTTTTTTATTAACATAATTCCCCATGAGAGGCCAGGGCAACCGGGCCTTTTTTTTTTTTTTTGATAACTAGAACCCACGAGGATATGTGGGATTTATTAGTGAGGGACTCTAGACTAGGGAACCCTATTGCTAGAGGCATAGTAAAGGGTGCTCAATAGGCAACCGGGCCTGGCAACTATTGCCGCACATTTTTTTGGAACTCCGCGTCTTCACGTGATTAAACCTTAAATTTTAATACTAACATAGAGATCTTTATATCACGGTGCTCATCGAAAGAAAGCGTGGTTGGTTTAGTGGTATAATTACCGCCTGCCACGCGGTAGACCCGGGTTCGATTCCCGGACCACGCATTAATGTTTTGCTACTCTTATTCTTATTTTGATGTAGAACTCAAAAAGGTTTGTCAGGTTCGTGCATTTAACTTCTTTTTTCTTTCTTATACTCTTCCCATTAGACTGAACTTGCCTGTGCACCTCTTTCACATTGTCCACTACTCAAAGCTATTCCACATTTAGAATGCCGGCAGCTGCAACACGGCGGACACCGGTCTATGTCAACGTCTATGACATGGTACATTCCTATGCGCAACAAAACACATCAACAGCTCTATAGCTCCTTTTTGCAATCAGGACACGGGATCACTGTAGGCCGGAGACTTGCTCAGAGAAGTGCTAACGGTCCTGGGTCTTTCATATCGACATACACAATAGATCCCATCAAGTGCGCTCACGTCAATTGGCTACTTTATGGGTCTAGGTACAGCTTCCCTTTCTCCGTCTCTTCGTGTGCTACTGAGCTTTGGGCCATGTGAAGATGTTACTCACGCTATCGCAACAACTCGTTGCTATCACACATATGTCTAGGCGTTTTCCACTCTGGTACAGAGGTTCTCGACAAAGGCACGCTAAACAAATGGAATAGAAGGATCAGTGCAATCTTCAGCTACTCGCCATGTTATCCTACTTCTGCACTAAACCTCCTATTTTTATTTTTGTCTGCAACTACAGAATTCAACTTTGGAGGACATGAGTACAACTTTACGGGCGTCTTTTGTGTCGAGCCTCGCGTTGGACCTCCCGGAGTTATCTACAAGTAATTTTACAGCAGTGGTTCCTGACAAAGATATTATACGCTTCGCCCGCCCAGAACGAAGATCAGTTTTTTCTAAAAATGCCGATGTCCTTTGATTGAATGGGATGATATCGATGTAGGGAGACCATTCTGGTCGGCTTCACCACCATGTCAGACCAGGAGATCAATCAAGTTATCCAGCAACTTTCCAAGGAATACACAGGTAAGCGAGCGAGAAAGTGTCGCCGCCATGAAACAAGCTTGACCCGGTTTTGCTTTTGTTCATGTACCGCAATCATATAGATGCACACAGCTCGAGTAGGGCATGGCCAACTGAAGCTGATATTGATGTCCGCTTTTCATTTTTCATTTATCATTTTGTGCTCTCTGGACGATGAAAAATCTAACAATAGGCGACTCTTATACACTACTGACAAGGTAACGAAGAAAAACAGGGCATTCGGCTCTTTCTCGCGACATGCAATTATAGGGTCGCTCACTCTCTGTCTCTATCTTGTTATCTTGTTCTCGCTCGCTTTCAACAGGAATTGCAATCACTTTTCAGCAGATATGGCGTATCGACTCACAGGATTAAGGCCACCAGGTTGGTGCTACGATGCCTATGCTGATGCTGTTGTCTTTCGAAATGACTATCAAATCTAGAGATCGCGTGTGTTAACGTTGTCTTTTTGCGAATACTAATGTACTTAGCCTGGATCAACCGAGCAGCCAAGTTAGGCACCATGTTCCCATGCGTTGTACCCCAGGGTTGGGTAGACCCGCCTTCAGCAGAGGATGAGGAGGTTGTCCAGGACCGAGAGACGTTGCTGCCTCGGCAGCAGTGAGGACATGTTGCCTTGGTTTTTGTACTATACCCCAGACTTTTTATTTGAGACTCGAAATAAAAACGTGCTGTCCAATTTGGCGGCGTCCTTTTTATTCATTTGACTGCATCTATCTGTCTTCACATCCTTTTAGGCCACCCAGCCAAACAACGATCCATCACCGCCATCTTGCTCAGGGCCAAGAATGAGCAACTCCAGTGCTGATTGAGCTGCGATAGCCATCCGTTTTTCTCTGCAGCATCTTGAACAGACACGATTGCATCCAACCTCCATTTGCCTCGTGTGCGATCATCACCAGCTGCATCAAGACATCTGGTGAAGTTTTTATCGCTTTCTCGGTATAAAGTTTTGAAACTACAGCATGAACAGTCGAGGCCGCATTGCCAATCCGAGAAAAGGACGGCATCGTAAACAACAGCCTCAGGCGCAAGAACAGGAGTCAGAACCGCATCAGGAGCCAGAATGTTCACAGGAGCAGGAACAGCCGTATCAGGATATATTCGCAACACAGCGATCTACGGACGAGAATCCCTTTACAACGCGACCAGAACGGGCTTCAGAATTATCATTTGATCCCTTGGCGACACCAAACCTCATTCGTCAGCAACAAAAGCACCAGCTATATGGACGGATACTAAATGAAGAATCGCCTGGTCTCAGTGCCTCATCAGCTTCGCTCTGGAGCCTTGCTGAAGACGAAATCGATAGTGCTTTTACTCCAGAGGATATCAACAATTTGCTTCCTTCGACAGCAACAATGCTGCACCCAATATTTCAACGTCACCCCGCCCTTGCAGCACACGACAACGTAGATGTTGACGGAAGAGAGGACGACCTCGGCTCAGAAGCACTTGACTTGGATGTTGCTGATCTGCAAGAGGATGGAGCAGAGCCTTCGATTTACACATCATCGCTGTTACTGAAGCGCAAACTGGCTGACGCATTTGAGCTGGACAAGCATGAGGACGGGATGCACGAATCCGCAAGCAACGGAAATCGGGGAAGTCGGGGCGAAGGAGAAGCACAGCTGGCTCGAGGACAAGCCCCAGATTCGATATTCAAAAGGCTTGTCCACAGCAGAGCGCGAGTCTTGGAGCGAGGTTATCGTCAGCCTTCAACATCAGCAGCAGGATCAAGCACACTGACCCAATTTTCGTCGCCGTCTTTATCAATACCACCAACATCGTTATCATCGTCGTCATCAACGTCGTCAACGTCTATAGGTATGACAACGCCAGAAGGATTTTCGCGTCTTCTTCCCAAGCCAACAATACCATCGACCAGACATGTGGCTCCAGATAGAGCTTTCCCTGTGACGCCAACAGCGAGGAACAAGAGTCGATTGAATGATGCATCTTCGTTGCCGTTATGGACGAGCGTTGGTCGTAGGATGGCGATGCAGCTTAAGTATGGAAGATACAATGAAGACGACGAAGACGAGAAGGCGTCGGGAGCTGAAGCAGAGAGTGGACCTGAGGGGGATGCTGCAGCGAGGCCAAATGATCAGTCGACGGAAGATGGTGGGGGTGAAAGAGACCGAAACATTTTCCTGGATACCAATCGACTCTCATGGCTGATGAGTCGTGATACCATGGCGGGGCAATGTGAAGGAGTTTCACAAACCGGACGCATTGAGAGCGAACATGCAAGACATGAAGGAGGAGATTATCGACTATTGGAACGTCAACGCAAAGACAAGCTCAATTTCTTGGAAGGGCTTCTTGATTCGGAGGATCACTATAATCCAGTCGATATCTTTAACAGCGAGCCCGATCTAGAGGACCTAAATGGCGAAGGCAGCAATAATATCGACAGGAGCAGTAACGACATGGAAGCACGAGGAGACAACGCAAACAATGTGTTAGAATCTGGGTCAGACTCAGAGTCAAGGTTGGAGGACGCTGTAATCGAGAGACAGCTGGAAGCCGAGATGGCTACAGAACTGAACGGATATCAAGGTACAGGACGAACGGAAAATGTTTTCAAGCGTGCTTTGCTTCTTCGTTGTCGAGAATGGCACTAACACGCATTTATATTCTGTTGTTGCTCATTGTAACTGTTACCAGAGTCGTCGTTCGAGGAACTGTTGGAGTTGAGCGCGCACCAGGTGTCTTCGAGTGCGCTGGTCGAGGAACTGAGACGCGAATACTGCGAGCGATTGACGACCTCGGAGGAACTCGAGCACCGGTCGTGGATGTATGAGACAGCACGGGTCAACCAGCCGCAACAGATGGGGGTGTTTGCACGACGATAACTCCGTCTAGCAAAGTATCGGAAGGGGCAGTTGCTTTTGTATTATATTCCACTGTATACGCTTGTAACAATACACTATAGCATTCATCGGTACCGCAATGAATTCGGATACCATGGTCCGAAAGGGCGTCTGTTCTTTGGCCAAGCCTAGGCCGAGGAGCACTGACGTACTGACATAATGCGTCCGTCATATTCAGCCCATTTTGTCCAGGTGGACACTCTCACTTTAAAGACATTAAGGTCACCAGCCAGACCACCATAATCACCATCACTTCCCATCCCACATCCTCATTTCTCTTTTCCATCGCACTCCATGGACCAACAGCAACAACCCTCTTCGACAACCAACCAAGCTGAGTCCATTATGCTGCCGGAAATGGACGCCCTCTCCTTGGACCAGGACGAGCCTCAACAGCCTGTTGCTGCAGCACGCACCTCCGAAGCATTTGCTACCCAGGACAGTGAGAGCTACAGCGAAAGCGATACTCCTTCTGTCCCCATCACAACCGCTAATCCACTCCCTGAGGTACGCCTGCAGCAGCAGCCCTTGCCTGCTCCTCTGTCTCAGCCTGGCCAGAACACAGCAGCACAACCACAACCACCTACTGTGCCCGTTGACCAGCCCCGTGGTAGTCAAAACCGCTCCCGCATGCTGACAGAGATCCCATCAGCCTACGACCTCCATCCCAGCCCAGTTCCCTCGAGCAAAAGTCACTCTGCTGCCTCCTCAGATACGGGCGTATCTTCAGGCCGATCCTCCAGGAACGAGAATAGACCCCGGTTCGAGAAATTACCCAATGGTACACATCGCCATAATTTGTGCGCACCCAAGCGACACCAGTTCCTGGCGAATCATGTTCGTCGTCTGCGGGGTCTTCTCGACGGTCAGAAGGATGGACGTGGTCCCGTACATGGAGATGGCAATGGTGCTGGACACCATATCAATAAGGAAGCCATGGAACATCCGCTATCACTGCTGAACGAAAAGATTGGCGAGTTTGAAGGGGTTCATCACCATACGCCGATTATCAATGGCAAGAATAAGCATATACTCAAGAAAGAGTTTGTGCAAAAGTATGGCGATTTGCAGCAAGTTGTCGGCAGAGGTAAGCAGGCTGGTACGGCATTCATCGTTGCAAAACTGCCTCAATATACGCTGCTCTTAGACTAAGCGATTTTGCACTGATCACTTAATAGGTGCATTTGGTACGGTCCGACTATCGATCAAAAAGGATCCTCAAACCGGCGGAGAGGTTATTTTCGCCATCAAGGTATACAGACATATGACTTGTCCTATGCGCCATTGACACTGTCTTTCTCTCTTATCCAGAGAACGAGGTCTTAATTCTCGATTTGATCTTCGTTACTATAGGAATTCAAACACGACCACGATGAGTCGCAAAAATCGTACATGAGGCGTCTGACGAGCGAGTTCTGTATCGCCTCGACTCTCAACCACATCAACGTGATCCAAACACTAGACCTGCTCCAACTCCACGGCGACAGCTACAGCGAGGTTATGGAGTACTGCTCCGGAGGCGATCTGCACTCATTGATTGCCAGCGTCAGTGCTCTAGGCGAGACAGAGGCGGATTGTTTCTTTGCGCAATTGATCAATGGCGTTGCATTCCTACACTCGATGGGAGTCGTCCATAGGGATCTCAAGCCCGAGAACTTGCTTCTGACGGCGAATGGGTGTGTCAAAATTGCGGATTTTGGAAACAGTGAGGTATTCAGGATGCCGTGGGAGGAAAAGGTCAGGGCTTCGACGTCGATCCGTGGCAGTGGACCGTTTATTGCGCCGGAGGAGTTTACCACCAGTAAATTTGATGCTCGGTAGGTTTCTCTTCTGCAGGCCTCCATGTATACATCCTGCATGCGCATTGCATTGACTCTCACACACTACTTTCTCTTCGCTTTATATCAACAATAGCAAGGTGGATATGTGGTCGTGCGGGATCATTTACGTGTGTATGAGACTCGGCTGCTACAGCTGGGCAGAGGCATCCAAGGGAGATACTAATTGGGATAGCTTCCTCTACAAGGTCGAACGATGGCGTGAGATGCAGGAAGCCGTCCCCGGGGCCCAAGTCTCGACCACTCACGCGCAGATACCAAAATTCATCCACTTGTCCGCAATCGAATCGGTAACCCACACGACCTTGGCCTGGCCTGACCGTATCTCGGAAGTCATTGACCATCTGCTTGACCCCAACCCGAAGACCCGATGGCAGGCCGGTCACGTTCTCGAGAGCGAATGGCTAGAGTGTGTGGACAACTGCCATCCAGCAGAGAAACCTGCGAACCAAGTTTTGGACGAGACCGATTTCGATCCAATGCCTACTCAGCGAGTGGGATCGAAGGTCATCCCGCAGGATGCTGATGTGACAGGATACAATATTGTCAAGGAGGTCAAGAGCAGAGATAGGGTCGTTGATGGTAACTCAGATCCAGCTCTGGCTTCAGATCCAGCTCTGGCTTCAGATCCAGCTCTGGCTTCAGCTCCAGCTCTGGCTTCAGCTCCAGCTCTGGCTTCAGCTCCAGCTGGGTCTCCCGCTTTCGCGCCCATAGAGGAAGTCAACTGATCGCGTGCGCACGTGCGATATAACGATGAGGACCGTATTAGAGTGCTTTTGTAGATAGTGTATATTATTGTCCTTGCATGTCTAACTCTTGATAAAATAAAAAAGAGTATCTCGAAGACTGAAAACCGGTGCAGGATATATATGGAAGGGCTATTTTATAAATGCTACTTGCTATGCTGCGGGCGTGGCGCCCGTAAAAGGATTGCTGCCTTTATTTTTCTGTTCAGTACTCGAACTCCGATAGAAGAGCTAGTTGGCCCTGCTCGCTACTGGCAATGTCTCTGGACTCACTCTGGTCAAGGGACCAGATGATCGCATCCATGAGCTCTCCCTGGGCCCGCTTACAGCTGGCCGGGAAGTCTTCGTCAATAAACGCGGTCAACAACGGCTCGATCCGCTGTGCGAGCAATATCTTCAGCCGTGGGTCTAGAGTAAAATCTGGGCGGCGTTTGCTCAAATAAACAGAGCAACTTTTCTTGGCGGTCGAGGTGTTTCCAAAAGATGAGGTTCCTTTTGCTGAGATCTCGGCGGCTTCCCGATCCTGGACAGTGTGCTCTTCAGGAAGACTGCGCTCTTGAGGCCGATTAAAGTAGCCACTACCGCTCGGCGTGGATCTGCCACGTTCGTAATTCTCGCCGCTGTCCATGGGATCGTCCTCAAACTCGTCTAGCATAAAATCATCCTCTTCCTGAGTCCCTACTATGAGATGGTTCAGGTTGTCCTCCTCCTCGTCATCTCGTGCCGTATCCTCATCTTTGCTACCAGTATCCATCTCCATGCCGTCCTTGTCTTTTGTATTCTCAAAGTCATCGAACAGATGTCCGGTGCTGCCCCAGTTATGAGTTTCCATTTCTTGGTCCCAGAGCTCACGATCCTGACCTCTTGATCCTGAATCTGCCTCGCCATCCTTTGCAGCGACGCCAGGTCCATCTAGGATCGAAGGGGAAGACCACATCCAGTCGTCGCTCAATAGATTCAGTTTATTAATGTGACTGAGTGTGATTTGGATCGCCTCCGCCAGTTGGTGGCTAATAAGGACAGGGGTTAAGACCTCTGACATGTAGCTGATCACGGCTTCCATAGCCACCTCAGTCACGATGGGGATCTGACTTTCGTCCAGCTCAGTACTCCTTGTGCCTGGGCGTGATGACTTGAGTGCAGGTGGTAGCCGGAACCAGACCGTCGCTTTCTCCTTGTTTTCCTCCATATCATTTTCTTCATCCTCATTAATTCCGTCTGAGCTATTGTTGTTGGCGCTGTCGTTATCGCTCGACTCGTTCGAGTCCTTGTACTGAATTCTCTGGAACCCGTCCCATCCGCCTTTCCTGCTTACACGCGCAACATTATAGCCATCGTCCACAGGTAACAACCCCGCATCATCAACGGCCATTCGAATAACACGCTGAATCGCTTCATAATCCCTCAATCGATCCGAGGCCTGCTGCATCACCTGGACAAGCTTCGCTCTCATAAACACCCTAGCCTCAATGTCGGCTATGGGCAGCATCATAAGAAGTCTTGATAACCTTGAGACCAGCGCACCAGAGACTTTAGAGTCGAGAAGTTCCAAGAAGTGAGTCGTGCATTGGTGGAGAATTTGGTCGCGGGTGCTTCGGAGCGTTGGTGAGAAAGGATAGCTCTCTGCACTGTGTCTGCGAGGTCGTAGTGATTTGAAACTCGAACGTGAGCTTACTGCTGTTGGTATTTGCTTGAGCGAGGAGTCCGATCGTATGATTGGACCTTGGGCTGGATACGAGAAATCGGTAGAGTCGTTTGGATTTTGGTCAGTCTCTACAGAAGACGGGAACTCTAGTGGAATGATTGCTGGAAGTGCTGTAGAACATAAAAGTAGGGAAATGGCAACAGTGAGGCCCAAGAGGACGACTGTGGTTTTGTGAGTAACCATTATTGCGAAAGCGAGGTGGCTAGGGTTGTCGTGTGAGGTCAAGGATGGAAAGTCAAAGGAAAGGAGATGAAGAATGGAATGGAAGGCGCGGAGATAGGTTGGAAGGATGTGTCCAAAGTGGAGGCGAGAATGGAAAGCACACACGTGAGAACACACACAAACGAGGTTCTTGTCGCTGAGAAGACTGTGCTGGTGAAGTTGGGAATTTTTGAAAAATGAAGACCCCTGGCTCCTTTCCAACGCATTTTTTTTTTTCATGAGCGCACCGTAACAAGTCAACGTCTACATTGTATGGTTGCTCCTCGATCCTAACATGAACTGATGCCGCTAGCTTAGCTTGTACTGGGCTGTCAAAAGTCTTAACATGGCCCCCGAAAAGGCGCCTGGCCTGGCTTATTTGTCGGAAATAGCGGAAGGAACTTTACCAAGGTGACGAAATCTTAGGAGACGACCTGAGAGAGACGACTCAAGGAGAAAAAAGGAGGCGGCGAAAGGTACTCTCTAGTCTCGTTCCAAATGAATAATCTACATCTCTGTGATTCACGAGTTTCGAAAGATGGAAGGGAAAGAAAAGAAAACAAGGGAAGTGGAGGGAAGGAAGGAGCGAGGAAAAGGTGCAACGGTTACAGAGGCAGAGATCGATGGCAATAACAATGAAAGAGCGACTATATCCGCTGCAAACTATAAAAGACGCGTGTGGATTATCCAATCAGATTCCTGTATTAATCTAGACTAAATAATTATATACCAGATCTTGATACCCTAACGAACTTTACGAGCTGCATCTCCATACTCAGCCCTGCTGGGTCCTGCTTACCATTATATTCCATAGAGAAGGGGCGAGAAAAGATTAAAGAATCGCTGGCAAAGGTGACTGAGGGTCGCTTGCAGGTTGCTAGCTCTCAGGACGGAATATCGAATCTCTACTCACAATATTCGCCGGCAGTATGTAATGACTCCAGATAAACAGATAAGACTTGTGATTGATTCAGGTAGCTGCCACGAGATACCCCAGCCTGCCTGGGATATCTGTTCCAAGTTCTCAACAGTTCTACTATTCTTGTTTGCCGAACCTCGTTAAGGATGCGCATCAGGTCTTTTCACATCTATGGCTAACCGACCATAGTAAAAAAAAAAAAAAAAATGGAATAAATGTACGATAGAAGGAGCGCATATCAACCCTATTTTTTTATCATCAGCACAATTCTCCTCACTCCTTTATAACTCTTGATCGCACTCCACTAGAAGCAGAAGCCGACTACGCAATCAGTTTAGTACTCGCACAGCAACAATGAAGTTCATCGCCTCAGCTTTCATGATATCTGCTGCTTTTGCCACGATCACGTCCGCTGTCCCTTTGAGAACCCAGGTGCCCACGGACACAAAGACCATTACACATGCCATCTCCAAGCGCTGCACTGAATGTACTAACACAGACAATGTCGCCCTTGACCTGATTGTCAAGGCTTCTGCCGATCACTACTCTGATATTGCACGTGCGCGCCTCGATAGCCTCATGAACGAGATCAAGTCCACTAAGGTCACCCCTGGAACTGAAGAGTCTTATCAGGAAACAACCGTGTTAAGCGTCACTGTCCAGACTAAAATTGATGAGGCCAAGAGGGCATGTTCCCCTGAGGCTCTGGCCCCTATTATCAAGGAGACTGTTGCTGCGGACGAGAATCTCAATATCCCCTGGTCCAAAAAGGAGGAAATTGAAAGGAAGATCGCAGATTTGGATACCATGATCACTAAGCTGATGCTGGAGCGCATCCAAAATAATATCGATGCCGAGTCATTATCGAAGGACTGCACGGAGAAGATGACCAACACTGAGATTACACCTGCGCCTGCTCCTTCTCATGCTGAGGAGTCTGCCACTGCACAAGAGCCTGCCCCTGCACAGGCACCTGCGCACGCACCCAAGCCAGTTCCGGCTGCTGCACAGCCCTGCACAGAGTGCACGGGAGCCTCTTCCTCGAATACCCAGCCCGGTATCGACGTTGCAGGAAACGTGGACTCGAAATTCGTGTGCAAGACTGGATGCAAGGACTCGAACGATGCCAAGACTGTGTTGAGTCTGCGCGTGGATCTTGAGAGGCAATTCAGGCCTCGCTTGGATCGCTTTTATGTCCACGAGGTCCCAACCGCTTGCGAGGAGGAGCGCGGGTTGCTGTTGGGAGGCGTCTTGAAGTTGGTTGCAGATTTGAACGATAATACTGATGCTTAATGCCGATGCGAGAGCGAGGATTTAGGCTTAAGAATGCTTTGAAGGCGACACATGAGATGTATATACCCTTTGCATGCGTTTTTTGCGTTGCATGATAAAGCCATTATGATGAAGTATAGGCAGAGAAATAAACATAATACACTGGTTCTTCACTGACTCCGGCTATCTTCTCCACTTTTCTTCTTTTTCTTACTCCCTCTCTCCCTTCTTTTTTTTCATCATTTTTACGATAAGTGTCGAGAACACTTTGTTGTGTTTAGCTTATGTCTGACGCGTTTATGCTGATCAGCGAGACCATCCGATACCTCCTCTACTAGTTCAACAACGTGCTCGAAGACCTTTGCATCACCGTACTGGAGCTGACTATGCTATGATGGGGCATATCAGATGTTGTATAGTGAGGCCTGCCATGCTAATGCACATCCCCGGATTAACAGTGCAGGGTACACTTCCGAGTAAGCGCTTGTTGGAAGAAGCCTCTATTTGATATCGATATTTCCATCTCTGAGCGCTGTATAATTTTCGATACCTGCAAGAGGAATAAGCAGGTTCCAGAGGTGCGGCTGGTTTACACCCTGATGAGACTTTTGAGGCTGTAGACTGTATTTTTTTTTTTTTTTGGCAGGTTGCCGGCAAAAACTTTGATAGAAAGCGCGCCCATGAACTTCGTTCCGCTGACACAGAAGCACTAGAGGTAGACCATGAGGGAAGTGACCATTGGTGAGAGAAAGAAGAACGATGGTGGGGAGAAAAGGCAAAATATACAGTAAAAGGAGCAAGTCCGCCTTCCATCGATGTTGACATACAAACATATTTGCAAATTTGCAAACTGAACATCCTCTCTCTATCAAAGCTGTTGACAGGAACGTTTCGTACCTCAATTTTTTTTTATAACAGTTTGTCTCTCGAGTTGATTGACCCCGCGAATCTATCAGACCTAACTATCATAGATCTACTACATTCGTCCTTTCCACCAAAGTAGAGCCGGTCCACAGTCGCCAAAAGACAGGCCACATTCCCCAGGCCTGCCCCTAGGGCCGTCTGGGTCGAGCACTGGGCCAGTTTTTTTTTTAATCCCCATTCGCTCCACGGTGGCCAGCCACCGCATCTACGCAGGCAAGCCAGTGGCATTCGGTCCGCAGCATCAGGATCCAGTGCGGGGCCGGGGGGTTTTTTTTTTTTTTTGATAACTAGAACCCACGAGGATATGTGAGATTTATTAGCGAGGGACTCTAGACTAGGGAACCCTATTGCTAGAGGCATAGTAAAGGGTGCTCAATATTCTAATAAACGGCTTTTGCCGCACCGCTGCTGGTCACTCGCAGCTCCAATCCCCTTCACAATCCCAGTCAGCATGAGTGGTAACTCGACCCCGCCTGGGGTCGGTGACTGAGCCCTGCTCCCTACTTGGCCTGTTGTGCGCGAAGGTCATCCTTTAGCCGCGTTCCTCAATCATCAAAAATTTACAGTTGCCGGTGCGTTCCATCACGTTTAGCTCCACCTGCTGCATGCAGCTTTGCAGCACTCGCTTGTCCGCTCGTTCCTCGATCTCTTTCACATCCAATGCACGTCGTTGTCTCCTGGAGGATCCAACAAAACCACTACCACTACGTCTGTGCTCTCCAACACAGTTGCGTCCCCGGGCGCGTTTGCTCATGGTAGTGATCCCATTTTCTCTTTCCCAGTCGACGGTGACTTTGCATCTTTTGTTCCAGATTTCTGTCCGTCCGAATTCCTCGATGGCCTTGACGAATCGGCCGACCATGTACCTCGCGATCGAGGTGGTCGTCTTGAATAGGCTCTCCCAGTCCTTGGTGAGAGCCGCTGGTGTCAGTCCGTGGTACAAATCTTGAGCCGTCCAGACCCCTTGATCGTTGTCCCTTGTCTCGTCCTCCACACGGCCGAGTGTGTTGCTTGCTTGCCGGATCGCCGAAGCTCCCTTGATCTTGTTCTTGAGTGCTGTCCAAATGGCCTTGTCTGTCACCTGTGTGAAGCTTGGTCCCTGTCCTCTCGCGGCTTGTCCTCGCTCCTTGGCTTGCTTTTGCTTCGTCTCCCAAAGCTTGCGCTCTTTATTCCATGCTCTACGTCCATCCGTGTTGACCTTCTCGATTGCTTCCTGCCAACCGTCCAGCTGCTGCTGCATCGTCATTTCGCAGCGCCATAGATGCTGCGTGTCCTCTTTGTCCACCTCACAAAGTCTGCAGGTGTCTGTGCTATACAAATCCGGCCGCCACTGCTTCATGTACGCAAGCGTCGGCAACATTCCGTGCAGCTTCTTGATCCTGTGCGCACGACGCTGACAATCGTTAAGGCTAGTGAATAATCCCTTCGGTGTGTTGCCGTTGTGAATGATGTGCAGTGTTGCTTTCCAGTCCACCAGGTTCCAATATCAGGATCCAGTGCGGGGCCGGGGGGCCAGGTCTTGACAAGCAAAAACCTACAAGTCCCGGTTTCACGTGACTAAACCTTAAATAAATATGAGATAATAATAAATTTTACGTACCGATATTCATCGAAGCAAAAGCGTGGTTGGTTTAGTGGTATAATTACCGCCTGCCACGCGGTAGACCCGGGTTCGATTCCCGGACCACGCATTGATATTTTGCCCTGGCTGGGTGGCCGGTACATCATGGCCCCGGAGCTCGTCCTTTGCTCCGTGTTGCCAGAATAAGCCACATTGTGGGAGGAAAACCACTTTTGAGGGTTGTGGAGAAGAAAACAGTTTTTCCTCTCGTCTTGTTCGCTCAAAACACCCTCACTTTATTTTTCCATCTCAAATTCAGGAAGCGAACAAGGACCATGGATCGTTACAGCATCGAGAACGAGGGCCTTGCCGGTCAGGCTGGAGCTCATTCGAGCGGCGACAGTACCTTCACCCATAATCAACAGGAGCGAGAGGGCATCAGGGCTTTCCTGCCTCCTGGTTTCGACTCTCTAGAAGAATACCTCGCTTGTCTGCAATCATTCCTCGCCAGCTATGAACCTATCACAAATCTTATGATCGTCGACTATTTTACCACCAACTCGTGGGAAACTCGGATGCCCAAGGACTGGAGGGATGCGTTCGAGTCCGAACAGGGCAAGCTCAGCTCGCTGGATCTCATGGAACTCGTCAGCCTAGGAAAGCTACGAGACCTTAATACAACGCGGTCAAATTCAACAGCTACTGGATCTGAAAGCCCAGCTCCACAGGATTGGCCAGAGTCTTTGAAAGAGTTTGTGCGAATGGTCAAGAAATTGTCCATCAACCGTACGCTGGATCCGGATTGTAAGTGGAATGGATAACAACACTGGCTTTGTACCGGTATCTACCATTCCGCAGCTAACTCTTCAATTGTATCGACGCATTCTTTTAGTCACAAAGTTCAAAAACACGCTCGATAGCCATCTGACCCCTGGCATGTCACCCAAGAAACTGCACGAGGTCGAGATTCTGAGCGGACTAATCGCCTTGTACGCAAAAGAGCACGCAATTGGATCGGTCATTGATCTGGGCGCAGGACAGGGTTACTTGAGTCGGGTCTTGGCTTTCCAGCACCATCTCCGTGTATTGGGCATCGATTCAAATACGATTCAGACATGCGGAGCCCAGACGACACAAAAACGGACGGAGAAGCTGTTTGTGAACAAGTCCAAACTCAAGAGTTCGGGTGCAGGCAACAAAAAGTCATCGTTGACATCCTCAGCAATAAAACAAAATCGACAAAGCCGAGTATCGACGCCAGCCTCGTCTTCATCAACACGAGAAGCACCATCACCAGCAATAACGGGCGAAGAACCCTTGGAGACATCTATATCATCCTTGCAAGTTGTCGCATCCACATCCACCGACGCCACGCCCGAATGCGCGATTTCCAAGCCGTGCAAAACGATCAAGGCGGGCTCACGATCCAGGAGTAGCAGCCCAGCAGAGTGTCTAAGAAGAAGCAACAGCAGCAATTCATGTAAAAGGTCGAACCGCAGCAAGAGAGCGAAAGCAAAGAAGGATGAACAGAGTATACCCAGCTCAAGAAGCAGCAGCCCTGAAATTCCAGTAGGATCAACAGCATGTTCAGCATCCATACAAGCTTCAGCATCCATACAAGCTTCAACATCACCATTAGGACCAGCTTCTACACAGTCTGTATCAGTACCTGGGGATCCTGCATTAGTATCCATATCCTCATGTCCGACAACAGCATCTCTGTGCGATACCCAGTTCTCTGCAACCGATAAGCAACAACAGAGTCAAAGCCCAGCTACGATCGATTCGGCAAACGATCCAGATCTGGCAACGACGCCTGGCAGCAATTTCCAACTGCAGCACATCACTCATCATATCACAGCCTCTACATTGCCCACACTGCTCAAGGAGCATTTTCCCAAGAAATCAAAACCACTCACGCACTGCGAAGGAAACAGTGACCTTGACGGGTATCACAAGGACGACGCGGAAGAGGAAGGACGGTGGACGCTCTGTGGACTGCACGCCTGCGGAGACTTGACTAGCAACATGATCAAGCTGTATCTCGAGAGCTCCGCGACATGCCTCTTTAGCGTTGGATGCTGTTACCATTGCATTACAGAGAAGTTTGATAAAGATGGGAATATCGCCATTTCTGACGGTAAGGGCGTGATTCATTCCGTTACCATCTTATTTTAGATCCACTTCATCCGTAAACTATTGTTTAACCTGTTGCTTTCTACTAATTTTAATAGGAACACATGGATTCCCGTTAAGTGCGGCGTTCAATCGGCACAAGGCTCATCTGGGTGAGCATGCAAAGATGACTGCTTGCCAATCTCCAGAACGATGGCTCAAGTACCGAAAGGAAACCGAAGACGCTATTCATGGCCACTACTTCCGCGCACTTCTTCACGTATGTCATAAAGAATCCGAACTTGCGTACGGAAATGGTAGGCCTGCCCATTCACTATGTACTTTTCTAACACCTTATATTTATGTTCTCTGCCTTGTACAGAAATTAATGGTGGAAAGGGGCCTTTATCCTGGTCCACCGATGATCGCGCCCGTTCTCGGTAGGATGGGGAAGCATCGACTCAAGGGATTCCCACACTATCTCTCCATTGCAATCGATCGCCTCGAACTCCCTATTGACGTTATCCGACCCGAAGAAGCTCAGGCAGCATACGAAGAGTTCTTAGAAAAGGATTTGTACAGGATCGGGATTCTTTGGGCACTCAGGACCATGCTGGGACCACTTTTTGAGGGCATGATCCTTCTAGACAGGGCCACGTATCTGCACGAAAGCGTTGTCGGAAACGGGGACAAGAGCAATGGAAACAAGGGATTGGTGCAGCTGGTGGCAGGATTCGATGTTGTGGAGAGTCCCAGGAATATGATCCTTATTGCGATCAAGGACTAAATTGCCTTCACTATTAAAGGAAGCCGTTCTTCATTGCCAGTCTCTATGCTCGTCGTTTCATTAAGAAGACCAAACTGATATACCTTTTCTTTCTTCAGCTCATTCATTTATCCATTTTTTTTTCTATTTGTTACGATCGTAAATACACATATTTCAAAGAAACTAAAATTACATGGGGCAAGTCGAAGCGCCAGCAGGATCCTTAGGCGCCAAAAAGTGCTCGAGCGAGAAGAACGTGCTCAGGATCATGACCGCAATACCGAATCCTAGGCAGGCCAGATACGGCAGCTTCTTCGTCGATAGAATTGGACCCGAAGCCAGCTTGAGATAGCAGAGCGGCGGCAGGATGAACGCTAAGGCGGTGGCAGAGAACCCACCAGTCACCTCGAGGACGAATCCGAGATTACAGGTCATGAGCGCAATCAGGAGCGCGACGCTGACAAGACCGGTAGTGATAATTACATGGCGCTTCATCGAGAATGGCTTTCCGGCAAAGTAGTACGTCTCAATGACCTGTGTAGATTTAAGGAATAAACGCACGCATTAGATTCCTTGGTCCATTTGAAGTTACCAGCGACAGCAGACAAGAAGTGCTACTTGCCTCGCGACAGACAAACGATTCCAAGGGCAGGGTCGTGAACATGTTGACACCGAAGCAGAAACGCGCAATGTTGATAATAAGATTATCAGACGGAAAGTTGTTGAGAATGTTGCCTAGCGGGGGATGAATCGAAAAGAATGGTAAGTTGCAGATTCCTGTTGTGGCAAAGCAAAAAATAGGCCACGGCATGTTTCTTCAACGAACCTTGCGTCTTGTTCGAAAAGCTGAGATACCCCGAGAGCGCTAGAATCATGCAGGCCAAGAGTGATACCATCATACTCAAATGGGTCACCATCTTGACGCGGTTTATCTACTCGAGAGAAAAAAAGGAAGGAGTTAAGTTTTTAGGTTTCCATGAGATGAGCACAGTTTGTCGTTTGCATTTTTTTTTTTTATTGCCCAGGTTCGGTATCCATACTGTTGGTTTCTGAAGAGATCCGAAAATCAAAAACGAATTGTGATGGCACACAAACGCTGCGTTGTAACCAAAGGAGCAAAGAGAACAAGAAAGGATCGTGTTAGTAGTGAACCGGGAAGTATTGTTAGTCGCAGCTTGAAAGCACAACAATGTCTTCACGAACCGAAACTGATGACGCCAATGGACTGAAAGAGCTTGGGTCTCGCAAAAGACCATACTGCGTCTGGATCACCTCGGATCTCCATCGGTGCCCTGGGCCCCTCGATCATGACTGCAATAATAATGACAACCAATGCCAACATAGCAACAGCGCTTGTCTTTGCCAGCTTCGAAATGTCGCGGTAGAGCGACAAAGGATACGATATCATCACAGTGCAAAAGATGATGACAAAGCTTCGTCGCGCCATGAATCCGATAACTGGCCAGTCCTCGATCCCCGGGATTAGTGCCTGAAGCACATGTGGCAGGGTATCACCAACAATAACGGTATAGGCGCACATGGCTGAAATAAGGGAGGCAAGGAAGAGGTGGTTGATAACATTGGTGAGAATGTCGCACAATGATGGAGCAGGACCGCAAATGCAGATCGGTAAAGGCTGTGTCTTGCTTACCTCCAAATGCAAAGATAAACTGAAAGATCGAGATCGCGATGAGGCCTGTCTTGCCAAAACAGAACTCCAAAAGATCCTGGTATGTGGTTCTGCCCGAAAGCTTACCACTGTGAACCAAGAGCCCGACAGTCCAGTCCACGATCCATGTCAAAGCACAAAGCAGGATGATGCCCATTCCCAATCTAGCGCACATGATTGAAAATTAGATGATTCCGATAATTAATAACGGAACTAGATAGAAAACAAGAAGCCGTCGCTGATCCATCGCGGTACATACCCGGCTTCCTGGAACGCAAATGGGAGACCTGTTATCGAGTCGAGTCCCGAGTAGTAGGAAAAGAGCACAATATAGTCAGTATCAAAGACATGCATGATATCGCAGCGACATCTTTCCACAGTATCTACACAACAACATGACTTATTACCGATGATGCCTATTGTTCATTCGCAAAAATATCCGTGAGAAATACGCATTAATATACGGACTATCGGGACTGACATATAAAAACAAACACGCAATGACCATTGGATGGACACGCACCTGCTCCGATGATACTGTTAGCCATGTTCAAGAAGCTACTGAACAGACTGCCTCCATGATCCGGAAGTTTAGCATCCAATGCTTGATCGTGTCCATACTCGCGCCTGTTTCCAATACCGCTACGATTGGTCCTGCTCCCCGTCATCATCCCCACGGCCTCTTCCTCCTGCCCAAAACTCAAATCGCCATCATCATCACCATCATCATCCTCATCATCATGGACCTGTCGCGAGTGTCCGGTGTGAAAGGACTCGTGCGAGATCCTTCCATAGTCTCCTTGCTTCTTGGGCTGAGTTACCCTCGAGTCCTTAGACTTGTACGGGACTAAGGGCAGCTTGGTCGATGACTCGTCAGGATAGTCGTGTGAATCGAATTCGAAGTCGAGATCCGCGTCGCTCTCGTTGTCGCCATCTCTTCCTCTTCCTGTTCCTGAACGTTTGTTATGAAGGACGCCGTCGGGACCAAATCCGCGCTGTTGCTGTTGGTTTTTGCTCTTTCCTAAACTGTTGGACTGGAGCGCCGTGGTATCGCTGCCACTCTCATCACCGCTTCCTCCCATGCTGTATCTGCGGTAGCCATTGCTCGCTGTCGTTGCACTGTAACGCGCGCCAGAGTCGCCCTCGGCTCCCGAGGATGGGTAAGAAGAACCGTTGGACTCGACTCCTATTCCTCGCCCTCCTGTATTGCCCCTATTTGCTCCCTCCATCAATTGATCGCTGTCGATCTTTAGATCGATAATGTTATTGCTGCCCATTGAAGGCAAAGGAGGTGCTGTCTCTGTTCTTTTTAGTTTTCTTTTCAGGAACGCCCGCTTTTTGGTGCTCCTTGTGTCCAGTCTGTGTGCGCAACGGTTTCTATTCTTAGGTGCTGCAAGTTCGTTTCACTTTTATTCCTTCTTGTAGTTGGATGGGGAGTTGAGACTGAAGGCAACGGAGCCAAGAATGAAAAGATGAAGGAATGGAGGAATGAGGAAGGATGGATGGGAAGGATGAAGAAGACAGAAGCATAGAAAGCAAATATATCCCGCCCGGTGAACGAGGCCAATTGCACGGGCTCATGGAATCAATAGACTATGTTGAATGGGACTATGCACCAAATGACGCACTTGGCCCAACCTTGTCTAGATAAGTGCGGGGAGGATGGAGGGACTAAAAACTTCCAGGCACCAAGGGCGCAGAGCACACATTCACTCTCCGTGTACTTTTGGCTTCAAAGATACGTCCTTTATTGTATTCTCCTGGTAGAATGCGATCGATTAAAAAAAAATAAGAAGAATGCTCTCGTACATCCTCTATCGAACATCAACTCTATTTGCTGGCTACTGGAGCCTGAGATGTCTCTGCTGCTGCTGCTGCTGATCCTGTTGCTGGTGCATCCGACTCTTCCGCCGCCAATGCAGCCAATGCAGCCGGGTCAGGACCACCCTATATAGCAGGAACGAAAAGTAGATTCCTTTGTTAGTCAAAATATTCATTGGCGTCCTTGACAGCAGCAACTTCGCAAAGAAAAGAAGACAAGCACGCACCTTGGTCATGATGTCCCATACAGAGATCTTCATCGACTTGAGCTTGCTTTCGAGTTCCTTCTGCTTCTTCAAGTTCTGTGCAGCTTCCTCCTCCACAGCCTTATGTGTACGCATAAAGTGCTCCTGGAACTGCTGGCGCTGGACCTCAAACAATGGCATAGGCGGCTGCTCCTGCTGCTGTCCTCCCACACGGAAAATACCGAAGCCTTTGCCCTTCTTGCTCTTCTGTTCCTCCTCCCACTGCAAACGCATCTGCTCCTTCAAGTCCTCCTCCCACTTGGCAAATTCCACTGGGATGTTTTTGCCGCGGAATTTGGCCAAAGGAGCACGAACGTCTTCGACCTCGGTCAACGCGAGAGCTATCACAAAGAACAAATAAAATACAAAAACGATCAGCGCGCTGTTTCAATGCACAATGGAGCATAATTTCATAGTCTGACAAATACGACGAAGGGAAGCACATACTCTCGAGGAAAGGAATCATGGCAACGAGCTCAGTATCGTTTGGATCGCCAGTCCATGGCTTCATCGCAATCGCGTTTTCGGGCTGAAGAGAGTACGCATCAGGGTTCGAATCCATAATGATGACCTTAGACAGATCGCGGTTCAGATGTGACAAATCCTTGACATGTTTGCCATCGATATAGCGTGTGCTCTCCCTGAACAGGCGATATGGTGCATATTGGTAAGGATCCAGCTTGTCCAAGATACGAAGTGCAGTCTACATAAAAAAAAGAAAAAAAGAGGCGATTAGCAGTCTGATCAGGCAGTCGATCATGTCCCATTTGCAACTGCTATCTGTTTCTTGCCAGCAGTACGATGCACCCATAAGCCTCATGTAGCGACTTACATCAGCAGTCTGGGTGGTGAAGATGACAATCTCATAGTGCTGGAACAGATACGCCAAAAAGTATTCAGCTCCAGGACGCTTAGCAACTCTCCAGCCATGATCCTTGTCCCAGGTAGAGTGGATTAGAGTGTTGTCAAGGTTAATAACGAGGGTGTAAGGCTGCTGGTAAGGTGCAGGAAGAGGATCGGGCAACAACTTGTCCCAGATCGGGTTCGACATCTTGTCGCGGGCTGCATGGTACCGCTCCTGTGCTCTGCGAATGTATCCCGCCAAAAATGCCTCGTCCGGGTGCTTCTCTGCATCCTTGACTCCTTCTTCGTCCGGATATGGGCATCCTACGTTTTCAGAAGCAGATCGAAAACAAAGACTTGTGTTTAGTCAACTGACCATCCATCGTTCGAGTAAATACACTTCTCGTACTTTCGGAAGTTCAACATACCGACGTTGTAGGCGAGTCCGACAGTCGTGATCCCCAAAAGCGCATAGAGAGCGTAGATAGCAGGGTTGGTGGGGGTCTTTTCGATCTTCGACGGCTTGTTCTTTCCCTTGGGTGCAGTGGGCTGAGTAGGGATATGGCCGGTCTTTTGAGCAAGAGCCTCAGCAGCAAGGTTCCTGGCGGGCTGTTGTGAGCTGTTTGACGCTCCGTTGATGGGCGTGGCATAGGTGCGTCTTGCAGCCCAAGTGGGCGATAGACGTGCGACCGAGGTGGGCTTCATAGCCCGTGAAAGGGCGATGCGTGCGAAGGATGCCATGGTGGACAGGGTGTGAATGAATAGAAACAGGCTGACCTCTCCGTTTGGGCACGCGGGTGGTCCGAACTTGGCAACGGGGGAAGGGCTGTGGCTTTGGCTGTGTCCAATCGAAGGAAGCAGTCCACTGTAAACATCGATGCTTTCTTTTTTTTTTTTTGTGAGCGACAAGCAAAAGCAGCCCGGCTAGACAGTCGACCCATCTCACGCACTCCTTTACCTTTTACCCTTCCCATTTGCATCCCTCATGGCCAAGGCTGTAAAGGCAACAGCCTCAAAGGCAAGCTTCAAGAATGGCGTCAAGGGCATCGTCAATAAGGGTGCAGTAGCCAAGGCAAAGGACGGGGCAGCAAAGAAGAGCGGCTCCTCTCATTATCGCAAGGGCAAGAAAGCCGCCGAAGACGAGGAGGAGATTTCAGACTTTGAGGAAGTCGCTATGAGCGATTCGGACGTCGACATGGAGAATTCTCTGGTCCCACGTAAGAGGCCTGCAGCTACCATGGACCTCGACGACCTTATGGGAGAGACAATCGAAGAAGAAGAGGAGTTTATCGCTAACGCCAACATGGTGAGTGAATCGCGAACGTTGATCCTGCTGGCACAATGGTGTTAATTGATGGGAAGAAGTACTGATGTAAACTATCATGGATCATCACAAACATAGGCTGCCAACAAGAAGCACAAGAAATCGGGAGGATTCCAGTCAATGGGTATGCTTGAACCACGGCGATTCTGCTCGATAGTGGCACTTTGATTTCGCAGCTTCCTAACACCCATGTAAATATTTTAGGCCTGAGTTTCCCGATATACAAGGCTATTATTCACAAGGGCTTTAAGGTACCGACGCCTATTCAGCGCAAGTGTATTCCTTTGATCATGGAGGGAGGCGATGTCGTAGGAATGGCACGTACAGGATCAGGAAAGACGGCAGCCTTTTTGATTCCTATGCTGGAGAAACTGAAGTCGCATTCAGCCAAGGTTGGAGCTCGCGCTGTAGTCATGTCCCCTTCCCGTGAGTTAGCGATGCAGACGCAGAAGGTTTGCAAGGAACTCGGAAAGCACACGGACCTCAGGAGTTGTATCTTGGTTGGAGGCGACAGTCTTGAGGAACAGTTCGCCATGTTGGCCGCCAATCCCGACATGTAAGTTGCCAAGTTATTTTATGTGGTACAGTCAACGCTTTGGGAGATTTCTGTAACTATCACTTACCGACCCGTTGTCTGTTTCAATGCTAGTCTTATCGCTACTCCTGGTCGACTTTTGCACTTGATTGTTGAGATGGATCTAGATTTGAAGAGCGTCCAGTATATTGTTTTCGATGAAGCTGATCGGTAAGTCTTGTTGGCAGTCAAATCGAACTTCTTGTAAATACAGGTCTACTAGCAAGGGATCTAACGTGACATTATCTTATTGCACCCATAGTCTGTTTGAAATGGGCTTTGAAGTCCAGCTGCACGAGATTTTGCACCGCTTGCAACCAAATCGTCAGACCCTACTCTTCTCTGCAACACTTCCCAAACTGCTGGTCGATTTTGCTAAGGCCGGTCTCCAGGAACCCACACTTGTCCGTTTGGACGTCGATACCAAGATCAGCAAGGACCTAGAGATGGCCTTCTTCAGCATCAAACATCAGGACAAGGAAGCTGCGCTGCTCACAGTCCTTCGCCATGTCATCAAATTGCCTCTCAAGACCGGCGTCAAATTTGAGCGGGACGAGGAAAACCCGAAGAAGCGCAAACGTGTCTCGAAAGAAATCGTTGGTGCAGCAACAGAACATCAAACCATCGTCTTCGTCTCGACAAAGCACCACGTCGAGTACATCTCCAACATTCTCATGACAGCAGGATATCAGGTCTCGTTCATCTACGGTTCCTTGGATCAAGTGGCGCGTAAGACCCAGATCGATCGCTTTAGGAAGGGGTACACCAACCTGCTGGTCGTCACAGATGTCGCTGCTCGTGGTATTGATATTCCTGTGCTCGAAAACGTGATCAACTACGACTTTGTCGACAACTCCAAGGTCTTCATCCATCGTGTCGGACGTACTGCCAGAGCAGGAAAGAAGGGCTGGGCCTTTTCGTTCGTAACTCCAGAGGAGCTACCATACCTTATTGATTTGCAGCTGTTCTTGAATCGCAAGATGATCGTGGGATCTTCGAGAGATCAGGAGCCAGACTATACCTCAGACGTTGTAATTGGGGGGCTGCCGATTAATCTACTTGAGATTGACAGCGAATGGGTCAAGAACAATATCCTGGATGATTCCAATCTGCAGGCGCTGAGGGGTGTCTCTGTGAACGGCTATAAACTGTATTGCAAGTCAAGACCATCAGCAGCTGTAGAGAGCTACAAGCGCGCCAAGGAGATTGTGGACATGGACGAGTACGCAGAGCTCAGTCCTTTGTTTGGTAAGGAATACGTGTGTCTCTATTATTTACAAGAACGATATGTACCTGCACGGCACCTTAACTTTTGCTTGTCTTTCCCTTTCTCTTTTTCTTTTGATGTCAGCCGACTCGGTGAATGAGGAAGAAAAACAACGCGTCAATTTGATTGCTTCAATATCCAATTTCAGACCAGCAGAGACCATTTTCGAATTTGGACAGCGTGGAATCAAAGGAGCAACCATGGCATCCAACATCATGAAGGAACGCCGTAACGTCGTCGACAAGGTCATCTCAATGACCCGGCAAAAGAAGGCAGGTCTGACCGTAAACCTTTTCCCTAGCGAGGGTGGCGAGGGCAGCGACAGTCAGGCCAAGGCATCTCTCGGCCCTGAAGCCTCGGAGGCCGATCTGGAGAGTGTCTTCAAGCGCACAGTTGGATCTTCCAAAAAGAAGGAAAAACCTACTAGCTTTAAGGACGAGGCCTTCTACATGTCGCACACACAGCAGGACAACAATACTGAGCGCGGTTACTCAATGGTCAATACCAACAGCTCTTTCCTCGAGCAGGCCGCCAACGCAACCATCAACTTGAACGGGGATGAACGCGAGACCATGAACAGAAACAAGAACACTGTAAAGTGGGATGCCAGGAAGAAGAAGTTCGTCAAGGGTTTGGGCATCGGAGCCGACAACAAGAAGCTGATCACAACCGAATCCGGCAACAAGATCTCGGCCTCCTTTAAATCCGGCCGTTTCTCGGACTGGCAACATAAGACAAAGACCAGCCTGCCGCGTGCGGGAGAGATGGAGTTGCCCTCATCCAAGGCTGCACTGGCAGCGAAGCGGTTCCGGCACAAACGCCAGGAGGAGGCCAAGCCTCTAGATCCATTGGCCCACGACTACGAGCGTAAACTCAAGAGGGCCAAGTTTGAGGAGAAGGCTACAGCAGCTGCAGGTGGTGCTCCTTCTGCTAGGGGTGGCCGTGGCGGTAGTCGTGGTGGCAGTGTCAAAGCCCGCTCAGAACTTAAGACGTCGACAGTCATTGCCAAGGAGAGATTGGCGAAAGAGCAGAGAAGGGAAAAGACTGGACGCCATGCTGGTTCAAAGGTCGCTCGCGGAGGCCGTGGTGGTGGTCGAGGTGGCGGACGCGGAGGTGGTCGAGGCGGCGGACGTGGAGGTGGCAGTGGCGGTGGCGGTGGACGTGGTGGTGGTGGCGGTGGACGTGGTGGCGGTGGTGGACGTGGTGGTCGTGGCGGTGGCGGTGGACGTGGTGGTCGTGGAGGAAGACGTTAATCCCAAGGACGATAGGCCGCCGCATCCTCGCTACCACTCACCATTGCATTCTCACAACCACAATCATAATAAATCCTTTAGAAGCGTTGCATTTTTAAGCAAACTGCCATCTACATTGACCTGAGGCATGCGGAGCAAATTGTGGACGGACTTCAACAAACAACTGCAGTCTGAAAAGACCAATGGATTGCAAGAAAGATATTGCGAGCCTGTAGTTTATTGGGTGGCAGGTCTCTCGCTCTTGCCTTTTTTTGGGGGGGGAGGGGAAATTGGTAAAAAAAAAAGACGTTTATGCGGACTCTTCCTTTTTCTCCTCCTTGGTCTCCTCCTTGGTCTCCTCCTTGGTCTCCTCCTTGGTCTCCTCCTTGGTCTCCTCCTCCTTATCCTCAGCGGCGGGGGCGCTCTTCTTCAGGTCAGTGTTGATCTTCTGGGCTTTCTCGAACTCGTCCTTGAAGATAGCAGCGTTCTCAGGGTTGGCGAGACGGATGGCCAAGGTGTTGGGGCCAGCGCAGTCGTCCGAGCTATCAGACGTGACGTTCCAGACCCAGGATCGGTCGGATCCGACGTTAGGGGTCAAAGTCATTTCGGGGGTGACTAATGAAATAGAATGAATGGACATTGTATACGTCAGTTCATATAGCCCTGGTATTTAAAATGATGGGAGCACGAGCGATCACACCATGTCATACCGTAGTGGTTGGCGCAGATCTTATGGGTCTGGTCACGGCGCATCAAAAGACGGACCTTCTTAGTCTCCTTGTGCTGCAAGAAGCGGACGTCACCCGTACCACGCTCCTTCCACTCGTTGGACTCCTTGACGAAGCGGAAGAGCTTGGCGCGCCTAATTGGGGTAGGTAGCAAGTAAAAGAATAGATGCAGTGATGTGTAGGGGGTTTGCGTTAGTGAATCTGACCAACAGCAAAAAGTAAAAATAAAAGGAAATCGTTGACCACGCGACTAACATCTTAAAAAGGACTTCCTCGTCCTCCTCATAAGTCTTGACCGCAACAGCCTCCAGCTTGACAACGGGCTCGAAGTGAACCTCGGCCTCCTCCTCCTATAGCACACGAAAGATGAGAGAGAGAGAGAATATGATGAGTATTAGCAAACGCGCACCTGTAATGCGTCGAGTTATTAGTCCGAATAAAAGACAGCGCCTCCAAGAGAAAAAAAGAAAAAAGGCAGTTGTGGTTCGTGGGCTACACCGAAGCAAGTGCCGTTTTTGATAATGATTAAAAAGAGGCGGAGTCAATATAAAAGGTCGTTTTCTGTGTCCATCTGACTTCACCCAGATAACGAGCAAGGACGACAGAAAGCTACACTAAATCGTATCCAAAAGAGCCCGCAGCTCTGTTGTCCATGTCAAAGGAACTATTGTCGGCTCGAGTCACTGTATTATCGGAGGATTGGTGGCAACATCGAGCGACACAAGGCCCAGGGTCCAGATTAATTTCCTGAAATCCATCTTTCCAAACCAGATGCAGACGACTCTTGAGACACAGGTAAAAGGCGAACAATAGACATAAAGACAGAAAGGGAAGGAAATGAAGGGGTTCTTTACCGCAACGACGGTATCGTGGTTATCAGACATGGTTAGATAAATGGTGGTTTAGTGATGAATAAAGAGAAGAAAGTAATCTTTCACCCTGTGTTTGGGAGAAAAAAAAGTAACAGCAAGAGGGGGCGATAAGCTATGCGATCCTCAAAACAATGACGTCATTGTCGCGTCGAAAACGCGAGGCGAACTTGCACGAACCTCAAGGAGCGCGGACCAACCAAGTTTATTATCAGTATCATCCTCAGGCACTCTTTTCTGCACTGCCTCAAAGTTTCCCTGTGCATTTCGTAGCGTATCCGTCCTCTACACGCTTCGCAATCGCTCGCAGTGTCTTCATGGCCACCTCCAAATCCCTGCATAGACCCTAGCGCCTGTATCATCACATCCTTCAACACCTCCCTACCTCCCCACCACCACCACACCACCACACCACCCCCATCAGGCCCTCCTCTACAACCAAGACCTTACCATTTGCGATCGCGTCCCCCACAATAACCACGATTCTCTCCTCCACATCCCACGGCAATATCGCCTTCAACTTCACACCCAAACCACCTGATTCTCCTGAAACTATCACCTACGGATCCCAACCAAAGAAGCATCTAGGCACGGGCGTCGCTCTGGCCTTGATCATTTCCTCCATTAGAATCGTCTTCTTTGGGGTCGGCTGCTTCCGTCTACATCAGGCGGGTCGACTCTCCAAGACCATGGCCACAGGCCTTACAGGCCCTCCACCGGGAGCAGAAAAAAATAGGGCTTTATCCATATCAGACCCAAAGTGAGATTAGGGCTGATCTACTGGAGAGCCGACGAAGTGATATCAGATATCCCTCTATCTTCCTCAATGCCCATGTTTTTCGCGCCCTCCATATCTCCACCCTCTTCAACTTTCCATCCATTTGCGCGAGCATTGCCACTGTCGATCGCATTACCCAACTCTGGCGACGAATTGGAGGTGACGCGCACAACAAGGCGGTCGAAAATAGAGACCCAAGCTGGCTATCAATAGAAATTTAATGACCCTTCATTCAGAGACAGAGAGATCTTGTCTCCGTCATACGAACTTTCCGTTACTGAAGTAATCGTTGCCGTTATTCTGAGCAGGCGTACTAAACTAATAGACCACTTTACATCCATACATGGCGAACAAAGGCCCACATAAACTAAAAAGCTGGTGCAATTGCATAGTTCTAGGGCTGCGGCTGTATAAAGCGGAAGGAAGAAAAAAAAAAGGAAAAAGTAAAGGAAGCATAAGCAAGTAAGAGCCCATCTGTGTGTCCTATCCTCTCGGTAACGATATGTCTTTGCGTTTGAATGCTTTTTAATTTGTGATGTATACAAGTCAGCCGCATGCTGCGTTGATGTGGGATGCGCTGTCAATTAGGCCTTGCTTCCCCTTCAAGCCAAGGGCTGTCTCTGCGCTCAATAACCTATCCTGGTCATATCGTATCAGCCTTCCTGCTCCTACCAGACATATCACTCCGTCTTCTGCTGCAGGACATGTCGATTCGGCGCAAGACACTGCTCCTCAAATCCAGGAATCAGTGTCACCTCGATCCCCTGCTTGACCATATTCTCAACCCCAACTACCATCTTCACAAAATGATCCGGTTCCCGTACTCCCACATAGACCTTCCTCACGTGCGACTCAATCAACAGCTCCGAACATGACCTGTTTCCCGACAAACGCGTACTACACGGCTCCATTGTGCTGTACATAATCCACCCTTGCCGTTGCTTATGCATCTGGTGTGCCACGACCGATGCTGCTCCTGTTGCTGACAATCGTCTCTTCAATGCCATTGGTCCCAATGGCTCGACCGCAGAGTCTCGTTCCTCCTCGGCTTCTTCGGCCTTCAGTGCTGCCAGTTTGATTAGACACACTTCTTCAGCATGCGTGTTCCCGGGCAGCTCGCGCGAATAGCCTGTCGTCACCACACGAAAGCGGTCTTCTTGTGGGAGATCCGAATCCGGGTCTGGATGTGTCTCCTGCACAAGTACGGCGCCGACGCAGTAGCCTGAAGGTACTGGCACCGAGAGGTTCGCCTGCTCAATCGCCAGTTTCATGAAATGAATGTGGAACGCTGCATCTATTCATTCATCGAACCCTCATTCTTGGTTAGCAAACGATTGAATGCAATGAGCTAAACAAAGTTCATCGTCATTCGTTCAACAGCGTCGGTTTGCCGACTGTAGTATGTACCTCTGTGGTCCTTCTCAAGGACCTTCATTCCTTGGTTCGTAGGCATGCTTGTATTGAGAGTATCAATGTCTTTCCAGCGATAATAGCAGTGAGAATGGTGGTGGGGCGATGTGGATATGAGATATGTGATATGGATGTGGAATTGCAAAAGAGGATGAATGGTTTGACTTGAAGCATTTTATTTCTCTCCCCTGGGTTCGTTCAGAAGGGCCGATCCGTCATCACGCGACTATCGTGTCCCCATCTGGGGACATGACCATTCGAACCCGGCTGACTATCTATGGACGAAGCATATAAACGGCCTTCTCTTTCTCCTCTAGCCAGCAACGGATCCAACAATCTCGTCGGCCCGTTGAAGAGCTTCGATCATCTTCTTGCACTCCTTGCGACGGTTTTGTGTGAACTCGCTCTCCTTCAGCAGCTCGTCCAACACCTCGGTCTTGTACAGCTCCTGCAGCAGCACGCGTTGCAGCTCTTCCTTCGCCGTGTTGACTAGGTTCAGCACGATGGCCTTTGGCACCGTGTCAATGATCGTGCGCTTCACAATGTTGAAGTAGGATGAGATCAACAGCTCTATCAAACAGCAAAAAATAAAATAAAAAGGTATCTCGTTAGTCCGAAAATCCTTTTCCCACGATCCCAATCATAACCAACTGCTGCATAAATAACTTACTAATAACCTCTGTCTCGATCTGCTCGCGCTCTGATAAGTTGCCTGAAGCCTTCAACACGGCTGGTGGCTATTAAGGTAGATGTAGGGGATGAAAAGTAATAGTAATAGAAAAAAATCATTAGATCTAAAGGCATAAAAACGCACATAGTGATCCAAAAGTAAGACCAGCAATTAGACATACAGGCTCCATAACAGAGGATCTCTTCTTCTTGCCGGAGAAAAAGCTACCAAAGAATCCATTGTTGGCAGGCTCGGGCTCAAGGCTTGGAGGAAGGTTGGCGATAGCAGAGTTGCGACCCTTGGGATCTACCGGTTGGGGGTTCTTGGCTTGGTTCACCCTGTCATTGATCACAGCCATGGCTTTGTGTCCGTTCAGAAAGTCTGGGTGCCCAGTGTTGATATAGCAGCCCTCCATGCTGATCAGATCTGTAACAAGTTTGTTGGTCGGGTTGAGCTGCGTGCGCAAAAAGTTGGTCACGACCTGGTAGAAGCGGTCCTTGAGCTGAGGGAACCGCTTAAAGAGCTGTATATAATGGGGATTTCAGAGGCGGATTAGCACTCCCGTTAAATCAAGCAAGGCGCATCCAGTAAAAGAAGGAGCGCATGAGCACCTGCCTGTTTGGATAAGAGCTGGGTGAGAATGCGAACCAACTCATCAAAGACAATGCTGACGCATCGCAAACTGGGATCCTCCAGACGCTTAATCTGCCGCTTGATAATGACCTCGAATGCCGTAGTGCCGACAAACAGAGCAGGCGAGGATCCCTATTTCGTGTAAAGTCCATCTATAGTTAGAGATGATTACCCCCGCCAGATAACATGCACAGCAGTCGTGGGAACTTCAAAGGACAACATACTGAAGAGTTGTACAAAATTGTGCGGATGTCGATATCCTTGACTTGGTCAAATGGGTCCAGGGACTTGACGCCATTAGAGAACAGTTCGTGGAACACGAAACTGATGCGAGCACCACCAGACAGCTCAAACGAGGTCAGATCTGTCGAGTTTCCGTCGATGATTGTCCGGAACTCATTACAGAACTCGGTGATGATGTTCAGAACAATGCTAGCCTGACCGGCGGCCCCATCGCCCAACATGTCGCCCAAGCTGGCCAGCTCCGTCTGATATTTGACCAACGCTGCCTGAATCTTGGCCTTGATCTCTGGCAGAGTATTACGGATATGGTGCATCAAGATCTATTATCCAAGTCGATAATTAGTCCTGCTGGGGAGGAAAGTACATGAAGCGGCCCTGGCGATTGCAAAGAGGGTATCTGCACTCACCATGTTCAATTTCCTGGCGAGGTAAGGGGTTCCACAGTACTGAGCTTTGCTCTTGTACGCTGCATGGTTTTCGAAAAAGGCCCGCTCCGCATCCAAGGACCGACTGATGGGTTTTTTGGTGTCGATATCACGCTGACCACGGTTCACAACAGGAACGTAGCCTACGGAAAAAGACAATGGCGTCAGACCAACTTGTGCCGATTCGATTCCATATCGATTAAAGATAAAAAATATCATGTCCTACTTACCGAGACGGAGTGGAATGACACGACCAGCCAAAATGTCGACGACATCAGTACCAGCATCCCTATATTCGTAATGATATTATAGCAAGAACGATGATTTGTGAGGAATGATCCGTAGTTACCAACACTTGAATCTCGGCCTGTGCAAGAACACCTTACATCAAATCGATCTTGGTCAGGACACCAATGGTTCTAGCACCCTCAGGATCGACCTCCCTTGCTAACTTGAGACCATCTGAGTTGGCGAGATCTGAGTTGGCGGCTGTTACGGCTAGGATGATCGCGTTGGGCTTGGTAATATACTTGACAATCATATCGCGAATCTGCTTTTCAATATCCTTGGGCTGGTCACCGACTGGAAGCTGTGAAGTTGAGAGTGATAAAGTCAGTCCTTTCGTTCCTTCTGAACGATGAATTGGTGGGTTATTGCATTATGTTTCATGCTTGCAGTTGTCGCTGCATCCACGCTGGTACCTTTGTGAGTCCAGGCAAATCGACAAGAGTCAGGGTCAGGACACTAGGAGAGTAGATGCGAAGATTGATGGGCAGGGGCGAGATACCTGTCAGAGATGGGAAATGGGAGATAGGCATTAGATCTGACCCAAATTACAATGGCGCGTTTCTCTCCAAGGGAAAAGGACGATTTGATCCCTACCGGCATTCTTTCCGGTCTTTGCTTCAGTGTCGCGGACAATCTCGTCCCGAATCAAGTTAAAGTCCGTGTACTTGACGCCAGGCTGATGCAGGAATTCGCCCCACTCCTCAGGCTCCTTCTTTTCCTTTTCAGACTCTTGATCGGCTTCTAAACAGGATTACGGCAATGAGAAAAAGGGAGATAATGATGATAGGTTAGACATTCAGAGCAGCTGATCGCGCTCACCCGCCCCAATAGACTACTGAAGATATGCAAATATGAAGGCATCTGCAGCAGGATCGCCTCACATCTTGTTCTCAATTTCCATCTTTTTATTTTTTTTCTTCCAGACCATTCTCTTTCTCCTGAGGGAGGAAAGACAAAATAGGCAAAAAAAAAAAAAACGATGACCGAATATTCGGACGGACACAGCCAGGCATGCCAGGCACCATTGTTTCGTTTACACTTGCATTTGCACTTGCACTTGCCTTTGGACTCACCGTTCTCGGCTGCGGTAGAGGCCGGTGCAGGTCTGTTGATTAGTTGCAGAACCTGTAGTGGAGAAAATACTTATTAGACCAACTTTGCTTTACAGGCAAGTGTGAAGAAGCTCTTAGAGGTGTGCACATACCAAGGGTCGACGAGTGACGATACCAGAACCGCGGGGCAAAAAGTCGCGTCCGACGATATTTTCGAGGACAGAGCTCTTTCCCGAGGACTGGGATCCAATAACGACGATTTGAGGCAGGTCGACAGGGTTGTGGACACCGACGGTCGAGAAGGCATCCTGCAGCTTGTTTATCGTCTTGATTAAAGAAGCGTCCATGTGGGGTTATGGAATCGAATGAAATGAGAGCAGCTTGATGAGACAGGGAAGGAGGGGAAGCAAGCCAAGGTGATTTGAGTAGAAAAAGAAGAAGAAGGGTTGAGGCTGCTGGTTTTTATTTTATTTTGTGGGGTGGAGAAAGAAAGGATAGAGAGGAGTTTGACGAGTAGAAGGTGGAGGGTGGAGGAGCTGTAACAAAGAGCCACATGGAAGACGGCTTCAACAAGGAGGAGGGCTCGCACGCGCTTCGCTCTGGCTCGTGACTCCAGTGCCTCATGGGCTTAGCTGCCAGTGGATACTATAGATGCCCAAGCAGCCCTTGGTCCATCCCGGGAGCCAGACAGCATGCCAAAGGACCCGTACAGGTCTCGCCTCTTAACCGCTGTTGTCGCAGTTGAGCCCATGGATATTGCACATGCATGCTGGGCGGTCGTATGACAAAAGCGCGGCTGTAATGGTCCATGCAGACATTTTCTCATCCTCTGTAAAATCAAATTTGCTTTTACACAGATTAATCATTGAAAAGAGAGTCAAGTCCCCGCCTCTTTTTTATGCTTCCTTCTCTTTTTTATGCTTCCTTCTCTTCACTCCCTTTTCATACGCCCCATTGCCTGTTTGCTGCTTCAAATATCGCGTCCTAAAGCCTTTCCCTGGCTCTCTTTACGCCACCAACTAAAGCAACAACAATAACGACGATAACAACGGCTGCCCCACTGCTTCTTATTCCTTTCTGCTTTTCTTTTCTTTTCTTTTCTTCTCTTCTCTTCTCTCCTCTTCTCTTCCTTCTTATTCCTTCGCTCTTTCCTTCTTCTTCGCCCCGCCCCGCCTCTTCTCCTAGTCAATGCGGTCGTCACTATGACAGTTATCACCGAAACCACACCGAGCCCAGAGCAAGCGCTCGACTCCGAAGAATCACCGCCCATCATCCCATCCGAGTCGCAGTCCCAATTGGACCTTGTTCTGCTGGAGGAGGACACGCTTGTTCGCAGGATCCGAGAACCGTCTTTGTTTGAAAAAGGCCTACTGTTGGAGCAGGATCAGGATCAGGATCAACTCACCAGACAACAAATGCTGGCAGTTGCACGAGCTGGGAAAGCTGTCAATCGCAAGAGACAGGACGAACCATTATCACTTTCTTCGTTAATACCATCGCCAACCGCTCGAGTCTTGCCAAACGAGGTCCTCATCCAAGTCTTTGAAAACCTACTCACGGATCAGCCAACGCTTCTCGCTGCTTCATCCGTCTGTCTCGATTGGAATCTGTGTGCCACCAGCATTCTATACCGATACCCACAATTTGCCAGCACATTGCATTGGGCACTTTTCATCCAAACGCTGTGCAGGAGCAAGGATTCGCAGCGACCGAAAACTCGCCGACGACGTTCCATCATTCAAAGCCTTTCTCGTGATCGACAATTTAGTCGCCACCCACCATCACAACTAGCCCCTGCTCAGATTGAGGTCTATGGAGGCCGAACCCAATGGAACAGTAGTCGTCTGTGCAATAACCTCGGAGATTATGTACGAGGGATCGATCTATCGCGGAAAATAGTCCAGGTCGACCAGTCGCAGTGCACCTGTCCCCAGTCTACAGGATCGTCATCAGTATTGTCATCGTCATCGTCATCGTCGTCGTCGTCATCTTCATCGGCATCGCCGCCTGCAGGGAACAGGATGTGCATTATTCACCCAGAGGCGCATCCTTCGACTTCAAATATGTCTGTGGCTCTCGATCCTTTACATGCAGCCCATCCTGTAGACGTAGGCACGAGTCGCGTGGATCAGGGCACAAGTTTCTTTGTGAGCTATGGCGCATCTGATTGGGACGAATGGTCTTCGAATCGGGATTCTTGGAGGACAAGCACGGACCGAGGCAACTCTTCAACGTCCAGTCGACAGCGAGCTATCTCAGAGGGATCCAGTCTCCAAGGTAGCGGCAATACCGTGCCGTCAAGTTCATTCCGCAACCCCAACCTGGCAACAAGCCAACGGTGGTCGATCCTTTGGTCCATGGAGAACGAATATCGCCAGTCGATGGGGCAGAACTCGTCCTCATCAGCTTCTCTTCCACGGACACACGCGAATGTTACGGCAACGTTCCCTTTGGCCAATCATCCGTCGACCATGCAGCCTAATGGGAGCTGGAACAGGGCAGTGATGGATCTATTGTCGCACCGACAAGGCGCAGCACAGAACTCGGCACGGAGTCTTTATAACAGCCAGGGAAACATGGATCGGGATCGCACAACCCAGACAACGCCTGCTAAGGCAGATGTCGTGGAGGTTCGCTATATGAAGCCAATCACGGTTACGGTCTCATCGCTTATTCAAATGGCGCGAAATTGCCCTAACCTGGAGTCGCTCTGTTTGGGGTCGACCTTGACGCCAGATACGCTCTATTTGGAGACTGGAGATTATCAATCGACGCTTCAACCTGGACCTCGTGCTGGATTGACATATGTCCCTGTGACGGCCGCCGATGGCGCCAAAGCTCTAGGAGAGTTCTGTCCGAAGCTACAAAGATTGTGGTTGGCAGGATGTGAATGGGTTACTGCGGACGAGGTCCGGGTCTTTCTGACGCATTGTCGACAGCTTCAGACGCTTGATATCCGACATTGCAGTAAACTGGACGGACGTCTCGGGCAGCTCTTCGTAGTCCAGGAAGAAGAAGAAGCCCGCGAATCTCCTAGAAGCTCAGAAAGCGAACTGAGCGAGCGAGACGACGATGACGATCAGCCGAGTGAGAGTTCTTTTTTGCAAACAGGTGAGCGGGGAAGGAAGCGGCGCAACAGAGGCCATTTTGCTGGTGGCGAGGCAGCGATGGCTGGGTTTATGGCAGCAGTATTGAATGCAACAGCATTGACGAGACCCTCCACAGAAGTAGCACCGCTCCCACTGACGTCGACGAGCACAGCATCCTCGGGGTCGAAATCGATGTCGATATATACCAGGCCGGGTCCTAAGAAACGGGTCCGTGATGGGGCCATGTTTGATTTGGTGAACACGGCGAGTTCTGGACGCCTTGCTGCGATGGCGACAGCATCTCAACAGATGCAGCAGCAAACACAGCAGCAACAACCTGCACAGCACCAACAGCAAGACCAACAGAATCAAATACGGGGGCAAACGCAGGAATATGAACAACAGCACTCACAGCCATTGTGTTCTAGTTTGGTTGGTTATTACACTCCAATTCAATCTGGCAATGGAGATACTTTACAGACCCATGCTAGTGCTGAGCAGTCACCGTCTGGGTTTATTAGCAGAGTCAACAATGAATATCAGGCCAATAACAGCGTCAGGGTCAACGAAGAAACCAACAACAACGAGTACGATAAGGATGAAAATCAGACTGAGTTATCGGATGCAGAGAAGGATGAGGTCGACGTGGTCTATGCGCACTATGGAGTGTAGGGCCACTTGTACTGCACCCTCACATCCGGATTTGGAGTCACAGGCATACTTACTTTCGCGTTCGCATTCGCACCCTGCATACGCATACGCACACTGCACTCACACATCGCATTATACCATCTGTAGCATTTGTTCCGCGGCAGGATTTTGCTAGGAATTGTGAACCTTGCTCGAAATAAACGACAGAAAGAAATGCAGAGCGAAATTGTAATTCCGAAAAAAAAAAAAAAAAAAAAAGGATATCGGACACTAGATGTGTAGATGTGTAGGTGTCTATTGCTGGGGCCTGGAATGGGAAATCGAATTCCGCCTCTTTCCTATTTGTGCGCCCGCCGCATTTTCTTTTGAATTTGCAGTCGGGAATGTAATGAAATGAAAGTCTTTGAGAACACCCTGAAAAAGAAAAAAGATGGGCACACGAGCAGCACAAGCACACAAACAGCAGACGAAAAAGGGGTACAAAAAGCAGATATCCATATCCAATGGCGCTCGTTTGGTGCGACAAGCATGTAAATTGGAGGATCGGCGCGACTAGAACGAAGAGAACACAAGAAAAAATGTTTCATTGGCTCCTAAAATAGCTGGCGCACCTTGATTGGGCGTATACTATTGTGCTTGCCCAGCCTTTGGTCGTGTGTGTGCTGCCTGTTTGACTACAGACTGCTGCCCATGTCGTTTGATAGCGTTTGGGCAAGACGATCGTTGTATGAAGAAAGGAAAAGATTCCCCTTCAGGGCTAGACTAATCGGACTAGGGTTATGCTTTCATGTGTAGAAGTCTAGGCCAATGGCTGGGTCGCTGTGGTTGTGTGGTTGTGGAGAGAGGGCGGAAGTTTGACTGGATAGTCAAGAAAAAAAGTGAGCCAACGATTTAAGATGGATCGCGTGCCAAAAAGGAGCTCGCCCTCGTTTCCATTCAATTCAATTGAATCCATTCGCCCCTGTCTCGCACCATTGTACATACGATATATATAAAGTCGATCGGGCTAGAGCAATGGGCGGGGAAGGGAAGCAGTCATTCCGTGCCCTGGAAGTTTGAGAGTGGTTCTAGAGCGAAGAACGCCCCCTCTCTTTTCTCTTTTAATCCTGTTTTCCCTTTCCTTTTCTCCTTTTCTTCCTGTCGTCCCCCGTCCCTCTTCCACTCGTTGATGACCCCTGTCCCTTGTTCTTGTACACATTCGCTTTCACCTTCACCTTCACTTTCACATTTTCATCACACCTTTAAAGCGTCTCTATTATCGTTTTCCCTTAACACTGACTGTACTCTCTCCCCCATCAGAAATTACATCCAGGCACGCGAGCGCTTTTTCCTAATAAGTCAAATCCACTCACGCTAGTCTACAACCCATCCTATCACAACACTCCTCCACATCCTACCCTCCCTCTCCCTCTGCTCATTATCCCTCTTTCTCCATCCCTGTGTAGTAAACCTCCACAGCCACCTCGGACATCCTCCTCAACCATCGATTACTCGTGTATCCCCGCCTCTGTATCTGTAGATCGATTTGGTAGCGTTGTGTCTGGTACACCTTGCACACCATTTCCATTTCAGCAATACCGTTTCGGCAGCATCTTCCTCAGTATCATCATTCGTCATCTTCGTGTCGTTCTTTCTCCCTGTCTTGCGCCTTAAGCAAGCTTCCATTTTTGCCGGCCCAACTATCAATTCTTTTTTGATACCGATAGCCCTGTTATATCTAGACCACTGTCTCTGTTATATCCAGACCACTATTTCTTTCTTTTTCATTTTTTTTCATTTCTTCATTCACTTTTGATTCTCCTCTCGCACCTTACTTCACACACTTCACAAATACGTACGACAGCCATGTCGACATCAGTACTACGATCTTTATGGACAGCAATTCAGTCTATGGGCCTCACCTTCATGCTGGGCTTCTTGCTCTGTATCTTCCAATCCTCCGAATCCATCCTCGTCAAATTGGCCGGCAACCGCCCAGACCCACATCCAAGTTCTGCAAAGCTCTTGTTCCTCTCCGAGCTGCTTAAACTCTTCAGTAAGTCATTTAAAGTGCGCTTTGTTTCTTAAATCTGTGTATATTTGCATCATATCGCAGCAAGGAGAAATGGCGTAAAAAAAAAGCCCCCCTCCCTGCGGTTGGACACACAGTGAAGAGGGGTTGCGGATAAAATTACTCTGACTTTTGGACTCGACCAACGGCGCCCTTTGTTTCTGGAAGAAACAGAAAAAGTCAAACTGGCATAAATCCAGCAGCGGGATTAAAAAGGCTGTAAGGTTTTTTTTTTGCACACGACCACAAACAAAAGGCAAAAGAAAGACAGCCCAATGGGCGCACACCACCCTGTCTTTCCTTTTTTATGCGAACGGAACAACTTAAACGCGAATTTAGACAATAGCGCGTCAATAGTCTATGAACATGTACAACACACACGACACCATGACATCTGGATTGGAATGTGATGTGGTGGATATGAAGATAAAGATACAGATGACGGTGACGGCAAAGAAGAAAGTGAACCTGTAAAAGTGAACCTGTATACATTACTGACGTCCTTGTATGTGTCCACATCGATCGTAGTCTCATACACGCTCCTATGCTTCGAAAGAAAGGACCTGGTGGGAATGAACTTTAGGCGGAGCAACAACACCGCCCCACTGCAAGATGACGAGGAGAATCAGCGGCCCATTGATAGCAGCAGCAGCAGCAGCAAACAGCATCTGCTGAAACCCAAAGAAGCCAACGACGACGACGACGAAGATGATGATGACCAGGGCGAGTCTGCCCCTGGATCATCACCATCCACCAGATCTTCCTCAGGATGTAGCATCCCCCCCATCCTCTTCTTCGCCGTCCCCGGGGCCATCTATTTCTTCAACAACAACCTCACCTTCGTCCTCCTCGCCCTCATGCCCGCTCCCACCTACGTCGTCCTCTCCAACCTCAAGATCCTCACCACCGGTCTCTTCTCCTACCTCTTCCTCCACCGCCTTCTCTCTCCCGCCCAATGGGTCTCCCTCGCCATCCTCTTCCTCTCCACAGCTGTCTCCCAAATCGACCTCGAACGCGGTCTCACCCTCTCCATCTCCCTCCAGGCATTCCTCCTCATGGTCCTCTTCTGCTCCCTCTCCGCCGCCGCATCCGTCTTCTCAGAGTATGTGATGAAGGAACGCTTCGCAAAGGAGTCCATCCATCTCCAGAATATGAAGCTCTACATGTTCGGTATCCTCTTCAACGGCATCACCTACGTCCTCACCCCTTCTACCACACCCGCCGCCGAAGGAGGTGGATTCTTCTCGGACATGGCCCCGATTCACGTTCTGATCATCATGGCCTACGCCTCTCTGGGTCTCGTCACCTCTGCCATCATCAAATTCTCGGGCTCGATCACCAAAGTCTACGCCTCCTCCATGTCCATGTTCTTCGCTGCCCTCGTCTCATGGCTCCTCTTGAACGACCGCCTCACCGTCCTCTTCTTCATCGGATGCTTCGGATGCTGCTTCGCCCTGCATCTCTACTACCGCGCACCTTCGGTCCCAAAGGATGAGGAGACAGCGACCAATGGTTCTGCAGCATTGCAGCATTCAGGACGCGACTCGACAAGTTCGGCGACTTCGAGCACCACACTGGCGATCTCCCCTGTGTCAATGCCATCATCGTCGTCGTCATCCAAGGGTAAGCAGAACCCGACAACGCTGAGTTCTGTGAAGGTCATGGACCGGAATGAATACATTTCTTTGGATACCATGGATGATGACGATCAGTCCGAGGGTAGGAGGTAACCACACGGTACGGATCCAAACAATAATAGTAATAGTAATAATAGCTTATGAACTTATCACTTACCCACACATACACACACACACATACACACACATACACACACATACACACACATACACACACATAGACTATACATTGTACCATCAGTCAATAAAGGTTACTGACGCGTCAACGCGTCCATGCCTACGAAACAAGACGTACTTCTGTCTGTGCGCGGAAAATAAAGTTGGTCCTTTTACTCAACGAGCATTGATATCTAAACTTCACTCATACGAATCATGAATATCTCGAAAATCTCTAACGAAGCACTGAACAAATATCCCATGACAGTCTGGTTCAATAGGAGAACTAAACCACAGCATCTTTATTATCCATACACCTCTAGGGGGAGGAGGGAGGGGGCCTACTCCTCGGCTTGAACATTGCCATTGCGCTTCCAGCACTCCCGAAACGCCTGCATCGCATCCTTGCACGCCCGCCAATCATGCTTCTCCGCATAACACATCTGCAACGCCTCGTTCTCTGCCGCACACCCCGTCCGCTCAATCCGTTTCTCGTACTCATCTTCCTCTTCCTCCTCCTCCTCCTCCTCCTCTTCTTCTTTGTCTCCGTCCCCCTTTTTATCGTCCTGCGACTTTGCCTCTGAAGGTGCCATTGTCTTGCGGTACTGCGCGTGAACGTGTGGCCGAGGTGTAGGCGCCCAGTCAGGATCTTGGTTGTGCTGATCAGGCTGCTGTGTTGCGTTCGTCATGAGTCCTTGCGAAAGAATGAATGGATGTTCGTTTATGGTTAGAATCGAATCGAGTCAACGTGGACAGGACAAAGGTCAAGTGTAATGTCGTTCGCTGGAATGATCGTGGCAAGGTGAAGCCAGTCGGTGGGGATGAGGAACAAGACAATGAAAAAGAGGGATCGCCCGATCCATCAAGTCCGTTCACACCCCGGAAACACCGCATATGGTAGTCAATTTGATTCTTAATGGTATCGTATCTTTTTTTTTATGTATTGTTCTCACAAATGACCCTTTTTAGCTTAAGATGGCAAGGACGACGATGCCGGCGACGACGGCGATAATCAACAGCAGATAGCACGACTTCTTGCGCGCATTTCTTTGATGAATTGCCGCTGTCGTCAATTCCTCGGACGCAGACTGTGTCACCATGCTAATCGATGTAACATTGTTCTCAATCGAGTCTACAATCAAGAAAAGGCAGCATCGTTAATATTTGGCTGCAAAAGAACAGTATTCACAAGTACAGGCGATCCAAGCGGTTCAGAAGGACATACCGAGCATGCTGCCCTGCTCATTGACCATGGTTCCAAGGTCCCTGAAGATCTCATTCAGCTCTGTGATGCCACTCTCGATCTCCCGGATCTCCTCTTCGCGCTGCACAATTAACGACTCATTGTACTCGAGTTCATTATCGACCACCATCAATTGCATCCGGCGCTGCGATTCATTTATCAACGGCTGGTCGCCCGACTCGCTTGCATCCTCATCCCTATTATAGTTACGTCTAGTTAGATAGCTGTATGCAAACGAATCAAATAATGTCGAATAAAATGAATAAAAAAAAAAGCGCGAACGAAACTTACTCATAATCATTACGAACGTTGGTCTGTCGAACGCGATCAACAAACTCCCGCTGCTTTTCCGCCGATACCCGCTGGACCTTCTGGAACTCCACCAAGACCTTCTGAAAGTCCTTGGACAACTTGTTATGCTCCAATTTTTTCTATGGACCAAATTCCAATTCATTCATTCGAGAAAACACAGAGGGTAAACTCAGCGTTAGCCTCACGTCCGATTGAAAGGATGCACACAATAGCATCGGATCAACGCATTAGTTCCGAGTCACCAAGTCGTCCAGTCGCACTTACTCCATGGGTGTTATCGTGTTTGGCGAGATCCTTAATTTCCTGGCTGGTATCCTTGACAAGCTCCCTTGTCTGCTCCGTTATTTCATGCCTAGCATTTTGTTCAGAACACAAAGATGATGAAATGATGCAAAAGCGCGCGCGTGAGCAAAGAAACCGAAAAATAAAATAAAAAACATGGATGCACAAAAATCTAACACGTTGCCAACGCAGGTCAGAAGGTCAGCAACACACACAAGAGTCGATAAAAATAAAAAATAAATCAGCTCCTTCGAGAACACAGCTATGTGGACCTCATCAACTGTCGTATAAAAAAGAAAATAAAAAAGAAAAATATAAAAAGGCGCCCGAATACGATTTGCATATTGAATTCCTAGCACATACAGTTTGTTCCGCACGTCTGGCGTATCCTTGTTCGTGCCAAGAAATCCAACAAACCGTTGTATTGAAGACACATTTGATGAGATTCGAAACACCTGCTGCGAAATCTGGTTCACCTTCGCACTAAACGCCGCCGCCGTTTGTTGTCCCGCTGCTATCATTACATTGTCATGAGGGGGCAGAAGTGAGGTGGTACTTGGTTAGTCTCTCTACGCTTGGTCCACGAAAACGGTTTGAAGTGTTCACACTGTGCTCGCTCGTCGCTTCTAGAGAGTATAGCGACTACAAAGTAAAAGCTCTCCTTTTCTAATGAGAGGGGACGCTTTACCATTGTTGCCGCCTTGGTTGAATCGGTTGTTGCTATTGTTATTGTTGCTGCCACCGTTACCGCTGCTGGCTCCGTTTCCGCCAAGAGGACTGGGTCCTGAGCCAGCAGTGCGTCGAAAGCCACCTTCGCCTCGTTCCAAGTCTGCAAACGACATTGTTTTCTTGGTGAGCAATAAGGAAGTGAGGAGTGAGTGGGACTGAGAGTAATGAGGATGTGAGAATGAGAATAATAGGAATGAATGAGTGAGGAAAATGAGAATGAATGAAAAAACAGTGCGGGGAGAGAATGAGGGGAAGAAAGTATAGATAGTAGTAGATATGACTGAAAATTGTCTCAGGAGAGAGAAATGGGACAACGCGTGTCATCTCCCTGTCCAAATAATGACGCTGTGTGGCAAAGCACTTGCATCCCAGTCCAAAAGGGCCTTTTTCTTTTATTCATCCGTTTCTCTACAGTGAATGACACTTTCATTCCGCATGTGGTGCTAAGCTCTTGAGCTCGCTGTCCCTGACCTCGCCTTCGCCTTCCTGGGCCTCCTCACTCTGTGGTGAGTACAGCGTCTGCAGCGCCGGCAGATACTTTGCCAACCTCCCAATCTGACCCAGCTTGACACTCATCATATCAAAGCAGATACCGATCTGCGTCGTCTTGTCCTCAGAGTCAAACTTCGGGATCTTAGGGTATCGCTGACTGAAGTGCGTCAGCATCGTATACTTTGCCTCCATGCCCTCGCCCACCATGATTGCCTCCTGCGTTGTCGAGTGCTTCTTAGCCAGGGCAAGCTCAGACATGTCATCCTCGAATGTCGCTTCATGTAGCACCACTGTAGCACCATGGCCCGCCTGTACAAGGTTCTCGCAGGGCCGAGTGTCACCCGAGTAAACAACCTTCCAGCCCTCCTTGTGTGTCATGCTGATGCCATACGACCAGGGGCAATGGATCACATCTACAGTAGAGATCTCATCGAAGCCAGATGACTCCAGAAGGCGGTCCAGAATAGCTTGAATGTTCTGCCTGCGATAGTCGTACTTGTCCCGCCAATACACCATGTCCTCGCAGTTGATAAACTGTACATTCTTGTACCCAAAGTCCTGTACATCCGACAGTTCCTGCAAGAAGCCGTTGAACTTCAATGGCGCCACCAGATACAACGGCTCTGCGTCCGCATCGCGAAGCTATTTGATAAACAAAATAAAAGTAATTACACACCAGAGATATCTGGTACAGTAGACCAAAAACTAGCCTGAACAAACAAAAAGAGGCACCCTACCTTATTCCAGCTGTCAATGACGGTGACGACGCCGAGATGATGGTCCGCGTGAAGATGCGAGATAAAGATTCCCTTCAGTCTCTTGATCCGATCCTCAACATAATTTCTTTGCTCCGCAGATCGCTTGTAGCCGCCAAATTGGCGGAACATCTGCCCAAAAGTTCCTTCACCACAATCCAAAAAAAAGGTACCACCGTTCGGCATGTCCAGCAACGTAGCGCTGACTAGAGACCAATACAGCAAACAAAGATTAACATCAGCAATTATAGCTTCTCGAAAAGGTTCATCCAGCGTGATAGATCAATTGCTTACCGTTTCTATACTTTGAGGGATGCGACGATCCAGTGCCAAGCGCCGTCAAGATAACGTCCTTTCCTGGGATCTCCTCCGAATACGTCTTGATATCCTTTGCAATCTCTTCGTTCGCCTTGTCTGCCAACTCATAGTATTCCTTCATATATGGCGGGGTCTTCTCACTCGATGCATCGTGGCCGTGAAATGGTTCCATTGGGTTGATAATTTCTGAGCGTTCCCACCCTACCGAGGGCTCCAATTGATATCCCAGCAAACTCTCTGCCACTTGAGCCTTGACCACTATTCCTTTAAGATCAGTGGCCAGATCATGTGCTGGTGTATTGTCGTGGTATGGGATCGGGAAAATGGTCGGATCCAGTTTCGACAGCTTGTGGCAGGTGCGCGACTGACTTTGCCAGATCAGTTTTTGAGAGCAGTAGTCCTGATTGGCAACGATGTGCTGAGTGTCCGGTCCGAAGAGCTGCATCCAGGCTTTGTAGTCGGGGTGACTCAGAACAGAGTGGCTACCCAGGTGAACAATACACTCAGCCTTCAGACGGTCCTTGCCCGCCTCTGACTCTGATCCTGATCCTAATCCTTGAAATCTCTCGAACTCCTTGGATTTTACCAGCGAAGAGATGTATTCGACAGTCGGGCAGTCAATCACCATGAAGACTCTTCCTGGACGAGCACCACTGATGACTTGGTGAGGATGGATAATCTCTCCTGATTCCAAAGAAACGGAGATTCCCTTGACGAGATTACCGTAGAGCCTGCCAGGCTTGAGACCAAGTTTGATAGCGGCCTCCTGATCAAACTTACCGACATAGTCTGGCGTCTGAAAGATATAGCTGATCGCGCTGGTGTTGGGGCTCGTCCTCGGCAGCTCCATGAACCGTCCATTATTGCTTCTTGAACGTGCCGCCTCGATCGCGTCAACATCCGTCACTGCCGCAGTCGCCGTCTGAGCAGTGCAATTGCCCCCATTGGTATTTTTGTTCCGCTTAATTTTCTTGTTGGCTGTGGACGAGTCTCCTACAGTGCCGCTCAAGTTCAGCATGCCAGCCAGAATCTGCTTCCTGATCTCCTGCGGATCTTTGACTTGATCCTTAACAGTCGGCGATGAAGATGGCTGCAACTCGTCCGAGGACCTCTTGGATCCGATGGCGACGGGAGTGGAATCTGTCGCAGATGAAGCAGGCGCAGTAGAGTTGTCTAGCGAGAATCGGCCGCCGACTGATCTATGATATGGCCACTCATACGGTGAATCACGAACAAAGTTGTCGGGATAGACCTGAACGGCAGTGACACGGAGGTTCTCGTCGCTGTATGTGTTTTCGTTCTCGCTCATCTCCAAGGTGTCGACAGCCATGGTGTTCCTGTAAACGAATTGGCGTGTGGAGATCAAGGCATGGGTCAGGTTTTCGCCTCCCACCAGCTTGATGTGTCCGGTTCCAACGTCTGACAGAGTCAGAAGCATACCTAGGACATGGATGCAAGACGCGTGTTAGTGTGATTGTAGCCAAAAAAATACAATAAAAGCGGATCAGCTCAACTGGGTTCTTTGAAGGACGGTACCTGGAGCACCGCCGATGCAGTCCCAGTGGGTGCGGGTGAAGAAGATGGTCTTGATCTTTGAGAAACGGAATTTGGACTCCATGCAGAGGCGCTGGGTGCCCTCACCGCAGTTGATCATATATCGCTGCGCGTCAAAGTGGAGGATCACGGAGGAAGGACAGTCTGCGGTGCCGGTGCTGAGAACCTGGAGATATGCCCTCATGTTGGATCGATTCGATGTAGAGAAGAATCGGCGCGAAGGTAGGATAGGGGGAAGGGCGGTGGTGGTGAGAAGAAGAGGTGAGTCCGAGATGCAGACTAGGAGGGCCGAAGTGCTTCTTTGGCGGCAGTGGTAGTGGTAGTGGTTGTGGTGGCGAGGGAGTGCAGAGTGGGCGCGGGAAAAAAGTGGTCGTAATGACCAGTGGAGCGCCTTCAGGGACTGAATATTGGCGAATAAGACAAGAGGAGGATGGAGGAGGAGAGGAGAGAGGAGGAAGAAGAGGAGGAGGAGGAGGAAGGGTGTTAAAGCAGGGGCGTTCTTCAATGGACCAAAAAAAAAAAGAGTTGTGTTTGGGTGTGTATTGGGGGACTTCGTTAAGGGGATTCCAACCGAATGTGACTAGCCTGTGAAACCAACTGCCACGACGAACGAACATGAAGCGGAGCATGCATCATTTCCTCACTCAAACCCTCAGCATAGACACATCAACACCATGGCCACCCGTTCAAGAACACTGCTCTTCCTGCAGTTCAGGAATTCATACTCGGGCGCACACGCCGCCACTCTCCGTCAGCAGTACAACCAGCAACAGCAGCTCCAACAACAGTCATCGCTCCTCGCCACAGCCGACGACAATGAACGTGTTGGACTCATGGACAGCGCAGAGACTACCATCGAGTTGATGATGCTTCCTCCCAAATGGTATTTATCTATCAGAAAAAACACATGCACACGGACACGGACACGTATAGAAAAAGAAAAAAAAAGGGGGGGGGGCTGCAATACAATACCGCCCCAGAAACTGCAATCCTGGACAAGGATGAGCGTTGTCATACCAAAGTGAATACACAACTGAACCTGACCCAAACATGACATTTGTCCCATCCTAGGATCGATATCGTCGATGAAGTGGACGAGGAACTGGAGAGGATCAAAGCCAATAGTACGATATACTATGCCTCATTGTCATATTTTTGATTGACGAGTTCAGTCCTGCGACTATATACTGATCCCTGTCATCCTACCTCTGTGTACCATAGTCCAAAAACTCGACGCCATGCACAAGAAACATCTCCTGCCAGGATTTGACGATCGCATCCAGGAAGAGCGGGATATCGAGCGTCTCACTGAAGAGATCACCCAAGTAAGACCAAACTAACTCGCATGGAGAGAAAAGCGTACTGTGTTAGACCTCGAATTGACCCATCTTTACATTCATATCCCTCTAGCAATTTCACGGATGTCAGCGGAGGATAAAGCGGATCAATTCCGAAAGCAGACATTCGAGCTCCAATCAAGAACAAGTCATGTCTAGGAATGTACAGACGAGTCTGGCGCAAAAGGTTCAGGACGTCTCCACCACCTTTCGACAAAAGCAAAACACCTACATGCAACGTATGATCCTGGCTGATATTGTTTCTTGAACAGGTGAAATGGAAAGTGTACCAAAGGTCTTGCATTGGCATTCTGATGACCTTTGCTTTTATCAATCATAGGCATGCGTGGAGTGGAGCTTAGAAACAAAGATATCTTTAACGGAGTGCAGCCCATTAACTCTTCAATATCAGACGACCCAGAAGAAATTGTACGTTGACCACAGATCTGTGGTCGATTTGAGCGGAACCATGAGCCATCTTGACCCGAAAGGCAGAGACTGATAATACTTCATCATTTTTCAAATATAACATTTAGGGCTTCACGGGTGCACAGCTGGCTTTCGCGGAGCAATCAAACACATCAATCACTCAGCGCGAGCAGGAGATCAACCACATCTCACGGTCAATATTCCAGCTCGCAGATATTTTCAAGGACTTGCAAACCATGGTCATCGATCAAGGCACATTGCTCGACCGCATCGATTTTAATGTTGAGCAAGCAGCCGTACATCTTCAGGACGCGGTCTACGAATTGGACGAGGGCGAGAAGTATCAAAAGAAGGCTAGGAACAGAAAGATCATCCTGCTGCTTATGCTCCTCATCGCAGGCTTGTTTATCATCCTCATCTTCAAGCCCAAGCGTTATAATGCTTCAGTTCCAGCCCCGGCACCAGCGACTGCACCTCTCGTCCCCAATACTCCACCTTTAACGCCACCACCTCATCCATTAGCAGAACCTGCATTGGCTCCCGAGGTGGAAAATCCGTTTCAGAAGACCTAGGATGCTTAATGCATGCCAGCTAATGCTGTCATTGTGCTCATCCACATCGTATACTTGGCCCAATACCCGCAATTGCAGCTACCACCTTGGCACTTCAAGATAACAACATAATAAAGGCCTATCGATGGTAGATCTACAAAATAATTTACTTGTGGGCAATGTTGTACATGTGCAATTGGTAAAGCTAAATCAAGTGCGTCCGCTATTCGAGCTTCCGGACATTTCTTTTTCGTATTCCAGCTCTTGAATCCTATCCAACAATGCCTTGTTCTCAGCCCGCATCGCAGCCATGGACTTCTCCAGCCGCTTGACCTTGTCGCTCTCTTCCTTCAGTCGCTGTTCCAGATCAGAACGGCTACCTTTGGAAGACATGGATTTCGAAGAGCGGTGCCCCTTGTTTCTGGTACTCGTCACATCTTTAGGAGAGCCGACAGCGTCCACTGACGCTGACCCAGAGCTTTTGCTGCACTGGCACCGTGATTGGCAGTCCTCACAAACAACCCGCTTTGTACTGGCAGACATCCCCGACACCAACTGTGAAGCCGAAAGATCAGATACACCGATCCCTACTCCGCCAGAGGTCTCCCACGTCTTTTCCCTACTTTCACTTTGAAGACTCTGTCCTGATGAGTTGGCTCCATTACCAGATAGAATCTCATTCCCCATGGGCGTAGTAGCAGCACTGATCGGCTCCTCCTTCGGTTTGCGAATAAGATCGAACTCCAAGATCTCGCGCGCTGTCGGTCGCAACTGCGGATCTTCCGCCATCAGCCATAGCACGAAGGCGGCTTCTTTTGGCCACCGACTCACGAACTCCGGAGGCAACTCTCCAGTCCGAAGCGTCCTCAGTACTGCATGGCGCTCCATCAAGGTCGAAAAGGGATGGTAGAGCTCGAAAAAGATGATGCCGAGCGAGTAGATATCCGCCTTTTGGTCATAGCCAAGATTAGGCCTTGCAAGCTGCTCCGGCGAGGCGTACTGTGTAAGGAAGACGAGAGAATAGAGATTACCAATTAGGCGTGCGAACATACAAATATAAGAAATACACATCCTTGGACATCATCACTTACAGTAACAGTCCCAACCGCAGTAGTTCTTGTCCGTGAAGACCCCGACCCCGATGTCACTGTATGTCAGAAAAAGATAGAATATGAGTGGTGTGCTAAGAAGTTTAAAACCTCTCCATTAACGTCTCTCAAAGGCATAACTTACCTGAAGAACTATGCCGCCGCAAAAGTGGAGGCACAGAGCTGACCAAGTCTGGGACAGATGAAGTCGTGCCGCCGTTGCCTTCCAATGTTGTCGTTCCACCCTCCATATCCGTCACCAAGCCAAAGTCACCGATCTTCGGAATCATCGATTCGATGTTCATAAAGAGTTCCTCCTGATTCTGTTCCTTCGTCAATGGAGGCTGGCTAGGGTCGTTCGAAAGCAATGCCGCTGGGAAATCATGCTGGCTCTCGTTGCCGGACAGCATCGCCAAAGTACCCATGTGATTAGACCCATTAGATCCCAAAGAGAGCGAGTCCTGCCCGCACTGATCCTGTCGTAGCTGTTGCGCCCGTTGATGTTCCAGGGTAGCTGGCATCCCCAAAAAGATATTACTCGGCTTCAGATCTCTGTGAATCATGTCCTGGTCATGGATATATGCAACACCCTCGACAATAGCCCTGAAGATATGCTGGTTTGCGGCTGGGTCGACAAGATCCTCATGGTACGTCTGCTGCAGAGGCGATCCAGGCATGCTGTGCGTTTTTGGCTCTGCAAAATTAGATGAGGACGACAGGAGGCCAAAGCGATTCGCCTTGCTCAGCTTCCTGCTCAACTCCGCAACCGATGTCCTCGGTAGCGGCACCGAACGCTCGTTACGATAGACAAGATAGTCCTGCAGGGTAGTCTGACACAGTTGCATCTGAATAAACAGCGTCAAGTCGCGCGCTATCAGCTGCCTCGTGCTGTTGCGAAGTCGACTCTGACCAAGACCGCTTCTTGATCTGCCCTTACCATGCAGGCCTCCGAGACCGCCTCCGACGAAGTCCTTCTTATTGACTTCATTTAGGTTAGGGAAAGAAAAGGGCCGAAGTGCATATTCGCCCTCGGGTGTTACTAAGGCGCGGTCATTGCGACGAGAGCGTTCATAGCGAGATCCGAGTCCAGAGTATGAGGATGGTAACGATCTCTGGATTTCCTCGATCGACGAGGAAAGTGTCGAGTAAGAGTTGGACAGACTGTTCCTGGTTTTTGCACACGAGTTATCGGATTCCTCCCAGGTTGGCGTGCTGTCGCACATCTCTAGTGATACTGATGGCGACTTGTGCTTGCGTCTATGCGATCCGTTCCCCGTGGCTCCTGGGATGTTGCGGCTTGTGAGAGTCGAAGAAGCCGAATGGACCCGTTCCATATCCTCGCCATTCATCAAAGCAAAAAGTTCCGGGACAGAGTCATGACGGCCAGCGTCTTCTTCTGTCGGATCGTTTAGTCCCTGCGAATCTTCAAAACTAATTCCCGTATCCTCGAAACTGATACCATCGTCTTCTTCCTCCTCGTCATCGTGGTCAAAGACAATGCCCATCGACAAGTCCTCGGGGTTGGATGAATGCTGCTCCTTGTGCGGACCAAAATAGTCGGTACTACTTCTCCTCCTGAAACGCTCGGGCATGTTCACCTCCTCCTGCATACTCATCGTATTTGTGTATTCGTCCTCATCCCCATACTCATCATCGTACTCGTCGTCGAATTCTCCATTGGTGTCCAGTTCACCGCCGTCGTACATTTTGCGCTGCGGGAGCGGATAATCGGCATGTTCGAGCCATGACGAATAGTAGCGAATCACGTTCTTGTGGTCGAGACGCGCCAGGAACTTAATCTCACGAAAAATCTTCTCGTATCGCATTTTGGCGCTCCCACGCAGTCGAATCTTCTTGATCGCATACTCGATCCCGTCCAGTTTGTTCCTTGCCTTGAAAACACTTGCGAATCCGCCCTTTCCAAGCTTGCAAATCTCCACAAAGTCGTGCTTGTAGCGCGTGGGATCATTGTCAAACATGTCGCCGAAGGACATAGTTCTCATCATGGCAGAACTAGCGAACACCGAGTCGTTGATGGGAGGGGTATGAAGGTACGCAGAGGGAATAATGCCTTTGGATGAGAACGAGTCTGAATAACTCTGACCACTATCCTCTGAATCCAAGCCATGACTAAGACTTTCTTTGCGAGTTTGATTTCCCGTTGGTCTCGAGGGTGGGGCCATGATCCTCCGACTCTCCAGAATCATCTGCTCCTGTTTAATCGAGGTCAGCGCTGAAAGGACCAAGGATCGGAAGGCTCGTTGGTATGATGATCGTACGGTACTCATCTCCTCAAGGTACTCTTCGTCAATGATGCCCATGTTGCTCAGCGTCTTGCAGATAACTAGGTCAAGCAAAGTGCCAAAACTCGAGTCAGTGCTACTCCCGTACACGCATACTACATAAATACCTGACAACTCATAGCTCCCCATTACCATAAAAGAGCTTTCGGTTCCTTTCCGGGCTCTGGTCGTAAAGAAGACAAAAGTTATCGAGAAGCGAGACGAGCAGCAGCTTTCCTTGCCTACGCTTGTTTTCGAGGATCCGCTCTTGATCTCTCCGTTTATTCTTTGGAATGACCTGGTACGGGTGTTCTCCAAGCCCAATTTGGTCCGACTCTGATAACGCCGCATGGAATCACCCAGGAGAAGAAAAAAAAAAAAAAAAAAAAAAAAAAGCAGCGTTGAGTAGCCTAGTAAGCAGAGCGCTTTGCATCTACAAATTAACTTATAGTTCAGAGGACACATTCTTACCATCAAATTCATTGACTCCTGCAAAAACCTGGAACCGTTCTGCCGCCTCATAGAAGCCCTCAAAAGCGTGAGCATTACCCTCGACTTCGTCATCATCAAAGCCCATGGGTGCCAAGAGGTAGCTGCCAAGAAAGTTTTTCCTCCGAGATGGCTCGTCCTCAAGTTCGCTCTCATCGTCGTCTCCTTCGTCATCGTCATCATCATCGTCATCAATGCCGCTGTGGCACGCTCGCCCCTCGCAGTCTTCGTCATCCTCGCTATCAATGTCGTTGGCCTGAATGAACGTTTCGGACGGATCAACGCTTCGATCGTCACTCGATGTAGCTTGGTCGTCATCGGATATCTCAGATTCCGGCCCTCCAAAACGATAAAAACGGCTCCTCTTTGTGCTTCCTGGCTTTATATTGGTAGCTCCATGTCTATTTCGGATGTTGGTTCGATTGCGTCCTGAATCTTCCGAAGGGATACTTGACAGACCATTGTCGAAAATAATCGTCATACCGTCCAAGGATGCCTGGTCCTGTTGTGTTGGCGAATCATGGCTACTCTCGTATTCAGGGTCTGAGTCCGAATGCATCGTCATTACAGTGGTATTGCGCATCATTCTCCCACCCCTCTGTCCTGTTGGAAACGTCATGGGCGAAGCTACTTCGTATTCAGGTTCAGAGCCCGAATGGATTGTCATAACTGTGGCGTTACGCACCAATCTGCTCTCTCTCCGCTCTACTGGAAATGCCATGGGCGAAGCAACTTCATATTCGGGCTCAGAATCCGAATGAATCGTCATGACGGTCGTGCTGCGCATCATCCTCGTATCTCTCCTGTCTGATCGGAATTCCATGGAGCTGAGTGGCCTTTGATCTATCTCTGGAGCTTGGCCCCTGCCTAGGCGGACCGAGCTCAAGTTCACACTGCCGGCGCCAGGGTCGATTCGGACCCTGGAAGAGAAGGTGCTTGAGGTGCGACGCGACCACATCGGATTGTTATAGTTGGGCGAGGAGAGGTCCTTGAGAGACCTATCGGTGTTATTGTGGGCCATATTTGAGATCTAGAGAACTGTACACCCTTGAAAAGTAGGCCCGACAGGACCAAGAGAGGCGTCTACGAGAGGAGAAGAATGGATCATTAGGTCGGTGATAGCTGAGTACATTTTTGCATTCAATTTTCAATCTGCGGTACAAACGCAGTAAGCAAAATTTATCAGAAAACGCGGCGGTCTAACACAGCGATCTAACGCGTTCGGTTGTTCATCGCTTTAATTTCGATGGGGAAATAGAAAAAGGGAAAAAAAAGTATCTTTGGAATGCATAGGGAATGCAGGGAAAAAAAACAGCTCGTCCAATAAAATGACAGCAGCACAGCACTCAAACATGCAGACACACATCCATTCGCACAAATCCTTAGCGCACGGGCATGATGATATTATTAAATCTCTTTTTTTTTTTTTTTTTTTTTTTTTTTTCCTTTTCCTTTTCCTCGCCAGCATCGTCGCAAAAGCACCAGTCATGATGACCGCCTCAATGATCGGATACCATGACCAGCAGGTCCATGTTCATGACGTGACGAGGGGACAGCCCCATTCAATGAGATCAGAGATTTGGGTGTATTTGTCATTGGCAACTTGGAGGATTCAGAGTATAATAAGACCAGATAATCGCACCTCCATCTTTTTTGTTGTTTCATCTGAGAGGTTAACCAGTGCGCATCATGATGAGACCAATTGAATGCTGTAAGGGGCTTCAATTGCCTTATGAGCTCAGGGCCAAATGGGGGTAGTTGCTTGCCACGTCAACGGAAGACTGGAATAAAAAAGAACAAAATGGAAGCCTATGGAATGGTTGAGCCAAGTATACCTTGGGGTTTCCGGTGGATAGGAAGGCGATCTGTCTAGCCAATGATATATTGACACTAAGATTGAATTCTTTATGGCGGTTCGCCCAATGAAAAGATGACGACGAAGGTTGGGTATAAAGGCGAGAGGGTGGGGTATAGAGTGAAGAGGGACAACAGTAGGATAAGAAGAGTGCTGGCAGAATTTTTTTTAAACAAGAAGTAAGGTCGTGCTACCGGTTGGAGGATGCGTTGGAATGTGAAAGCGGGGATGTGATGGGTGTGGTGCGATGCGATTCAACGCAAAGCAAAAGTGATGCAAAGCAGATTGGAGTCGCAAGAGTGTCGAAGAAGCTGAAGGTCATGTTCACGTTGCAATTGGAGAATGATGCATTTAAGGAAATTTATTGTATTGCGGTGTGCAGATGGATCATGATCCCTCCGTTGTCCGCGGTTTCTTTTCGAACCGCAAAAAGTCGACAGCAATATCGAGTGATTGTTTCTTGTGGAACTTGTAGCTCTTGTCCAGGTTGTACTATGGGTATTGATAGAAGCAATTGCCGCTGTTACCAAGAAGAAAAGGCGCGAGGAGCTGACAGCGATTACAAATGTAATATGGCATGTGGTCTTTTATGTATGCTTACCCGCAACTCTGCCACGACTTCACATTCAACACCCCACTCCTTAGCCTTTTTCAGAATGTGTTCTCGTGTGGATGTTTTGTGCAGGGAGTAGACCGCATGATTTGCAAGCTATCAAAAAGCAATTGATGGCCGTTTGAGGTTCAGGGTAGATCAGTGCTTGAGAAGGGGCACCGTGACACATAATCAAAGTGCGGATAAAAATAAAAAGGAGCTGTGGGTCCTTACATCAATGCCTTTCTTCAAGAACACCATATCAATACCCTTGAGCTTTGTTCCAAATGGTGGGTTCATAAGGATGGTATCGAGCTTTCCTTTCATCATCTCATAAGAACCTCGACTGCTCGAGGGGTCTCCGTCAGCAGCTGCAGGTGCTGGTGTTGCTGAGAGATCTGTGAGAATAAAATCCATTTCGATCTCGAATTCCTCACAGTTCTGTTGAGCAATTGCGATGGCATCAGGGTCGATATCAAAACCAACATTGTACCTGTCGAAAAGTAAAAGGGCATGTCAGGAACGCGTCAATTGAGATATGCATAGATCCCTGTGTGCGCAATTGAGGGATGTGAGGATATAAGGAAATCTTACGCGGATCCCAACATGGCAGCAGCAATGCTCAGAATGCCACAACCGCAGCCAAAGTCACCTACGGCCTTGTTCTCGATGTCATCGTAAGTTGTATGTGCGGTGTAGAGCATGCGGGCAGCCAAATGAGCCGTGGTAGGGTACTGTTCCAGTTTGATCTTTGGCTCCTCAAAGACGGCGACATCCTGCAGGTAGCCCTCGAGTTCCTTTAGCTTCATGGTGTTGTGAGACCACTGACAAGAGCGTACGAACGAAGAATCAGCACACGAAGGAGTAATGGGACCAAGGACCTAAATCTCACATCCCGCATCGCTTATTTCTGCTCTTCAGGACCAAGTACTCAGCCACACTGAACGCATTTTTTGTTTTTCTCTCGAAGTGAGCTCCGGTTGTAATGCTTTGCCCAGGGGCAGAAAACACTGCTATAGTTCCATGCTACAGATGCGCATTGATGAGCACAGAGGCATAAAATCCAAGGCGGCAATCCTCAGTTGCTTGGATGCACAGCCTACTATACTGAAAATCGCTGTATAGCAAAATGACCAGACATTGAGCGCCTGAATGTGGTGCAAAAATTTTACTAAGTTTTGTTGCTCACTTTTGTTCAGTCGCTCGTTTCTCATTCCTTTCATTCGCCTTCTTTCTTCATTCACTCACTCCCGACCTTAGGTGCGAGGCAACACATTACTCCCGGACTCTCCAAGACAGACATGCTTACTCAAGTATCAACATATGTGGCCAGTGGCAATAGCAGCATGCCTCCGCCCAAGAGACGTAAACCGGACAAGAGAAACAGCCTGACAGCACCCAAGAGATGCCCGACACAAGAATTAAATTCGCCTTTGTCCTCCGGATTAGCAGCTGTAGTCAAGGATGCCACCAAATCATTGGGAGCACGTAGCAGGAAGGGAAGAACAAGCAGACTGAGAAATCAGAAGAGAGATCGGGAGCTCAGTGGCGATACACAAAAAATCGAATCAGGCAGGTCGCATGCATCCATTGAAGCTCAACCCGCTTTCTCCTGTCTTCTTTTCGGTCCCTAACCATCGACTCGGCTTTGATTGGTATGTCAATGTCACAACAGCTATTATCAAGGACCAAGAGTATCTGGACTTCCTCGACTGGCTGAAGAAGATGGGTTGTCCCAAGACAAAACTGACCTTGGCAGAGTTCTCAAGTAAGTCCGGGACAAGACGAGGGCGCAAGGCACTGCGGCGTAGGCTAATCGCGTGGAACGTCCGAGAAGTTTCACAAGCTCAATTGCAATTGCGCTTTTTTTTTTTTTTGGTACTAGATACTGGTCGTGGCATGATGGCAACAAAGGACATTAAGGTACCGAAAAGGAACTGCATCGAACAAATACGACACCAGCAACAACATTTACTGCGCATACATAATGCCTTGTAAAGGAGTTTGGCGTCGACACCTGCATGAATACCTTTGGCTTTAGCCCTTCCCACGCGTGCAACCTTTTCTGACCCGTTGTTACACACATTTTACTAAATCGCTTTTCAGGCGGGAGAAGTCATCGTACAGGTGCCTGAGAGCAATCTCGTGACGATGAAGACGCTGCAGTCGTTATATGGCGCAAGAATCGCTCGGTAAGGCACTAGCTCTCCCCTCGTGAGTCATACGATTGAAAGAAACAAGAGGGGGACGCGACAGTGGTTACTGAACTGGAGGTCTTTGTCTTTACGATTGTACAATGTAGATTCGGGAACAAGGTCAACTCGCATATGATCATTGCGCTGCATATTGCACTGTTGGTCCAGGCGCCGGAGAAGTCCGGATGGTTGCCGTACTTACGAATGCTGCCAAAGAAATTCGACACTATGCCTGTGCGATACCCACAGGAACTCTTTGACCTACTACCTCAGAATGCGCAAGGTACGGAGCATTGTTGGATCATGACTAGATCCTGAATTGGCAGCTACAGATAACAGCACGGGTCAAAAATACAGCACTCATTCTCACTCCTTACACGCCACATATAAAATCTCCAGCTCATGTTAAAAAGCAAAAAGCAAAAATCATGGCCGACTACAAGGCAACGTTGCAGTTCTTACAGGTAAGCGATCAGCTTTATTTAATGTAAGAGATGCTGATGGTCGTCTTGTTAACATCTCTGTCATGATTTGCGCTCCTTCAGTCGAATAGCGACCTGTTAACACAACCACTCCAGTATGAAGAGTACGAGTGGGCATGGCTCGTTGGTGAGACCCGTTTTCCGACCTACTCTATATATACGATATGAACATCCAAAACGAACGGCCTACTTACGATTGTCCTCGATTGCCGGTCATTAGTCAATACCCGTTGCATCTACCTCGATGCCAAGAAGCAAGTTGCTGCTGATAACATTGCTCTTGCGCCTATGCTGGACTTTCTCAACCATACACACGATGCTAAGGTAAGCATGGTACGCGTGATTGAAACCCCTTCTGGGTTTCGTTGTGGGGTTTTGATACTAATAGTATCATCTGTCGATAATCCTTCAAACCGTAGACGGAGGGCTTCTTTTGTACTAAAACAAAGTCGTACAAAATCAGGACGCTGCTTCCTTACAAGAAGGGCGAGCAGGTCTTTATCAACTATGGTCCACACGACAACTGCTTCATCCTTGTGGTAGGTGCACTTTACAGATATCTTTTGTTTTATAGAATACATCACAGAAGGCACTCTTGTTGGGTTTCTAACTTGGATGATTTTTTTATTTTTTTATTCTTATTACTCGATCTTCTGTAGGAGTATGGCTTCGTAACGCCAGACAACCCTTTCAATTACGTGACAGTTGACAGCAACTTTCTACAGCTCTCCATCCCGGGGGAGACACCGACAGCCAAGAAGGAAAAGCTGGAATTGTTGGATATGGCGGGATACTTTGGGTAAGCTGACATTATTTTTGTCTATTCGAATACGTCTAGCATGTATCTTATAATTTTTTTCTGACGGGATGCTGTTCGAAAACCGTAGCGACTATGTGCTTCATCGAGATGATGTCTCGTTCCGGCTGTTAGTTGGCCTGCGTCTCCGACTTATCAACTCCTTCCACAAGTCCTCTGCAGCCACACAACTGGCCATCGCCCAATGGCACAACGTCGTCAGTGGTGAGCTGGACCAAATCAGCCCTGAGAACGAAAGAATGGTACCGGTGTACGTTGAGCAATTGTGCGAGGAGATGCTTGCTCAAGCCAAGACAAACCTGGGTATCTTGGTAAGGAGACCATGCGAGCTATTTCAGCTGGACGAGTTTTATGTTTCTGCGTTGGCCAGTGCACTGACCGACTTGTTGCTGCAATGCGAATTTTGTACGATCAATCTAGGCAAGGAAAAAGACCACGTTCCCAGTGATGCATCTGCAACAAATGTGGATCGAGGCCCGAGATATCATCTTATCTATCATGGACAAGATCCACAGAAAAGAGCCGTTGTAGTGTACTCGCTCCGGCGTTATATCCATTGTATTTATCCTATTCATTGTATGTATCCGTTGTGCTGATTCTGCAGAAATAAAGTCGCTTTTGCTACCCTGAGGGACTCAAAATGAGGTACGCGCTTTATGCGTAACTGTTTAAGATCCATCCAAGATGATACGCTTTTTTTTTTTTTTTTTTTTTGTTGTTGTCGTTGTTGTTGTTCGCGAGCAGTTTCCATATTAACAGCATTAGAAAAAGCTTAGTCGATTGCAATAGTTTATTTCACTTTTCTAGTGGTATATATCACCTGTAAGTGAGGTAATCAATGGATAAAATGCTTTAATAGTATCTAGGAGCAGGACCCTGTGGCTGTGGCTGTGGCTGTGGCTGTGGCTGTGGCTGTGGCTGCTGATACCCAGCAGGCTGAGGCTGGTAATACCCGTTAGCTGCCGTGGGCTGGAACTCCAACTCATCAACAAACGGATGTCCCAAGAAGTAGGCCTGCAAATCGACCGATAGGATACACAATCCGATCAATTCGAGCAAGGGTGAGAAGACAAAGAAAACACCGGTTGTCTTTTGTGCCTCCGGAAAGAACGTGTAGATCAGCTTGTAGACCAAGGTGATGTCAAACACAGTCGTGGCTAGAAGTGCAATTGTGAACGCGCGGCGGTTGCCTGGATAACGGTTCCGGTAAGTATATGCGGCGAACTCATACCAGAATCCCAGCACCGTCAAGAGTGAGACGCCGATTTTGCGGAGGACCAAGCCCAGGTCTTGATCGGACTGGGAGTGATCAGGCGTCGACTGGATCGCACCGACAACGACCAGTATGACTAAGGGCAAGAGGAAGAACCGAGTGCGCTCGACTAGACATCTTTCAAAGAGGTCGGGGCCTTGGCCGGTCTGGGCACGTAGTTTGGGAAGGATGCACTGATAGAGTTGGACCATGAGCTTCATGACAAAGACGACACCGATCGAGAGCAGGACCATCTCTGTAATGGCCAAATTGAGGTAGCTCTTGTCCGTGGGTTCTATGGCTCCCGAATCGAGATAGGCGCGGATACCGTAGGCGACGATGCGGAGGATGATGAAGATCATGATGTAGTGGTAAATACCCCAATGTGATTTCATGTATCGGAACGCGAACTGGATCAGGATGACGCAGAAGAGGATGCAGGCAACGATAGAAAGGATCTCGTCGGCGGACACCATTGTGGGCGATGTGTGTTAGGAGAGTGTCAAGTAGACGTAAAAGGACGCTTTTTAGAAATGAGGCGGAAGGCGGAAAGGGCAAGCAAGCGGAGTGTGTGTCAGGGATGAAGGCGAAGTCGCTTGAAGAGGGTTGGGGAGGGGGGCGGATACGGCAGTTATAGATGTTGTAGTTGTAGTTGCTTTTCCTGAATGGCTGAGAATGAAGCTGAAATAGTGCAGACTGTGGCCGGTATTTATGCGAGATATCGCCTGGTAGTTGCATGTCTAGAGCAGTGGAGCAACAGGCGAGGCTGAAGGGGGAGCCCATTTGACCAATGGCCAAAAGAACTTTCGTTCTCTGACGGACCAAGTCTGTGTATCGATGGAGCTGCACGACGATGCACGACTTGATGCCTCTTCCCTCTGTCGTCTTGTTTATGGTGGGCAGTCGATGGCTGCCAACGTTGGATGCAATTTATCCATGTGCCAAGAAGAATTGTTAGACATCAACTTAAGGCGCGACTTTAACCTTAACAGCGTTTGCGTAAACTGCGGGGGGCTGTTCCATGACGATCGTTCATGGAAACACACACCTATGATCTAGTACCTATGATCTAGTCGTTCCTCCTTCGCTTCGAAAACGAATCAGATGACGGCGTCCTTGGTCCATGAGCACCGCCACCGCCTCTAAGCGGTATACTACTACTACTACTACTACTACTACTACTACTACTATTGGGGCAGGATCGGTTCCGCCTTCGTTGCTCCATACATAGATGGTTTTCATCATCTCTTTCGCGGCATCTTCAGTCGGGACAATAGCAATCTTGGATTTGCTTGGTAACAGCTACTCCAAATGGAAAACACATATATGCGCACGCAGATGAACAATGTACGTATACGAGTGTGATTGAGCGTTCGCGCAAAGAGAGAGAGAGAGACGGAGGGGAGCATGGAGCAATATCTGCTTTTCCAGTGCTGGTTGTTTCTGATGCTTCCAAATAGCTTCTAACTTTGGGCTGTCGTCTGACCACATTTGTGTCGTCTTTCATTTGTCCAGCTGTACTTCCTTCTCCCCGGAAGAGCAATGCAGTATACCAGCATGCACTTCAACGGGAAAAAAACAAACAAATTTTTCTCTGGGGGCTGTTGCCTAAACAGCATCGGGTAAAGTTCCTCCGGCAGCCAAGAAAACACTTCTGCCCTTACGCCCCTCCTTCCCCCCCTCGCAACCCTCTTCAGCCACACTTTCCCTGATGAAAACCAAAGTCCAACTGGATAGTAATGCACAATGATAGAGAGTGCAGATAGGAGACACGTTTAGAATATAGCCCATCACTTCTTGGAAGTTCCCGTCATTCCACCAGCCTATTTTTTTTTATTAGCTAACATTGATGCTGCGGTGATACTGCGGTCCTTTGCCACGCGAGTGAAATCTATTGTTTCTCACCGCAGTCGTAACAACAACTATGCTCTTCCAACAAGCCATGGCATGTTACCTTGTCGTTTAGTCTGCCTCGTAGACACTTGAATAGTGAAGAGGGCACAGTGACATCAGTTATCCGGCTGGACACGCCTTGGATCATAGAGTGTCTCGTGGAACTTCTCCAGAGCTCGCTGGATTAAGAAGGTGCAAGCCAAGATTCTTACATTGGTGCTGAGCGTTGAATCCTCGGATGGAACCAAAACAATCTCCAAGTGATATTACTTTTTTCAAGCAAGTTACTATGGGTGAGATGTAAAGTTCGAATCCCTCGGTCGATGACCCGTTTATATGGATGCTTTCTCGACCGACACTCATTCTTAAAAAAAAAAAAAAAAAAAAAAAAAAGTCAAAAAAGTCGACAAAATGAGCTCTGCATCAAGCATCGGTGTATGTTTAATAGTGTTTGAAAAGAAACCACTGGCTCCCCAAACTAGGGTCCGCAGAAAGACTTTTTGCTCTTTTCTTTTTATTCTTGTAGGTAATAAAAGATTGTGTTGGTGAACACATCTTGCTGCTTCACACTTTAACATCGTCTGCGCCTCTGCAAAGATTGCTCCGACGATCACACAAGGAGCAACTGGCAGCAGGAGCAATCGTGTATGGTCGACGAGCGTACGCTCAAACTTGTCGCGGTCCTCACCGGTCTGGACACGGAGTCTGGGCAGGATTGATCGGTAAAGCCAGACCAGGAGAAGGAAAACGACGATGTGGCCAACGGAAAGGAAGACCTGCGTAATGGTCATGAGTGAGATATAGGCATGAGTGCCGTACTCGACGGAACCGGAATCGACATATGTCCTTGTAATGTAGGCGACCACGCGAATTGTGCAGAAGAAAATTATAACGAGATAGAGGCGCCAGTGAGACTAGAGGAACCGGAGCCAAGGATGGCTGTATAGAAGGCCGCAGCGACAATGGAGAGGACCTCGTCTGCGGAGGTTATGTTTGCGAATATTCAACGGGAGAGAAGGATGGAGGGTATTACTGTGGTGCCAAAGTGGGGAGGCAAAGGATTCTTTTATACTCTCTTCTTCCGTGTCAACGAAATGATTGGATATCTATTTCGGATTGGAATTGACAGTTCTCACGGGAGTCCAGGCTGCCTTGGAGACTTTCTTGGTAACTCTGGATAAAATGGACCCCAGGTTGACACATAGACCACTTCAGCAGGGCCGTTTGCTGTAGTTTGTTCGAGAGCGGCTTGATGGGATTAGATGATCATTCCCGCCATTTGGACAAATGCATGCACTTACAAAGCATGGTTTAGTGGTGTGAAAACACATGAATAATATGCAGCATTCTCTTGCTTCGCCCACTCGATTCTCAGTCATCCGTCTTGGGCACCACGACACAATGAAAGTTCCGCGTCGTTCTTTCCGCAGACATACTTTATTCAGTGTCCGACTTTGTCCACTCTTTGTGCGAACACCAGCTTAATCTTTTAGACAAGGATATACGCCAGAAGCAGTGGTACACAGACCCATAGACCCATAGACCCATAGACCCTAGACCCATAGAAATATAGACAGGTAGGTAGAGGGAAAAGGCGAGGGACCTCCTACTGTTGGTGGTGGTAGATCGGATCGCTGTAATTTCTCGAGAAGCCATCGGGCGATAAGGGACACGCGTTGTTACACACATTGAACTGATCATCTCAATCAAATTAACGGTGCGAACTGTAGGCGGACTATCAGCGTATAGCGGAGCGTATGGGCAAAGACAAGGCACCCGGGCACACTCTTCACTCGCTCGGATGCCACGCCCTTTGATGAAGCTCTGCTGCCTTTGCTCAGCCGGCGTCGGCGGGTTGATCCCGATGTGTTTGAGATGGATGGACCTTGAACTGGAGGGGGGAGGGGGCAGGTTTTAATGTTTCGTGCGACGCCGATTAGTGCTCTGCGGTGTATCCCTCAGAAGGAGTGGATGCATGTGAAGAACTCTAAAAGCGGGGATGGAGTGCGCTTCCATCTTCCAATCTGGTTTTTTTTTAAACTCTCTCCACACAAACCTCTGCTCCCCCTTCCCCTCCTCCTCCTCCCCCTCCTCCTCCTCCTCCTCCTTCCTTTTCCACATCCCACTCCATCCCACTCCACATACGCCCATCGCACCCATCGCCCTCCTCCTCCATCCCCATCGCCCTCAGCAAGCGGACGCTCTTTCTTCCTCCCCTCGTGCCCTTGGCTCCACTTGACACGCCTCTCCCATCCCTACAGGGAAAGCCATATCCCAGTCCTCGCCACTCCGCATCCCCTCCCCTGCACGCCTCTCCTCCGTGCAAAGTCTCATCCACTCGATCGACAATCGCTCATCTCGATCAACCGGAAACTCCACCTCCAGCTAACCAGTCCTGTGTCCCTTAACCCCTCCTTTCCTCCCTACCCATCATTTTCAGTAGGTAAACTCTTCCCCCTTCACCCCTTTTTTTCCCTTTTTTTTTTTTTTTTTTTTTTTTTTTTTTTAATCCAGCTGCTGTCTTACACATCTCGCCCCGCTATCCCCAATGAACTTCCCGTCCCTGCTCTCGGATCATGAACAGAGGGCTTTCTCCGAGTTCTTGAACCAATTGGCCCAAGAAGACAGCTCCTCGAACACCCTGAAGGCCGACGGCTCCAACGGCCCTGCCGGGGTCGACCCTTCCTTGACACAGCAGCAGCAACAGCAGCTCCAGCTCCAGCTCCAGCATCATCTCCATCTTCGACAGCTGCAGCAACAGCATCAATTGCAGCAGCAGCAGCAGTCGCAACAAGCGCCAAATGGGGTCCCAGGGCTGGCGCGCCTCCCGCTGCCACCTCTTGTCTCCACAGGGATGCCCTTGGATGATACTGCACAGCAGCTCGCCCTTGCTCAACAGCAGCGCGACTGGATCCAGCAGATCAGCTCCAATCCCTTACTGGCACCCGGTGGTGTCATCAATCCACATGCAATGAGCCAGGCAATGCTGCAGAATCCTCTCTTGATGGCCCAGGCGAATGCTATCTCACAAGCCATGGTACTGGCTCAACAACAACAACAGCAGCAGCTCCAACTCCAATTGCAACAGCAACAGCAACAGCAACAGCAACAGCAACAGCAACAGCAACAGCAACAGCAACAGCAACAGCAACAGCAACAGCAACAGCAACAGCAACAGCAACAACAGCAACAGCAACAACAGCAGCAGCAACAGCAACGCTTGCAGCAACAGCACCAACAGCACCAAAAACAGCAACAAGACGGCAATATTCACTCCCTTCATTCAATGCAAATGCAAGCGAATCTCTATCAGCAGCAACCCAATGGCATGCCGCCGCCATTTCACGCTCAACAACACCAACAGCAGCAACAGCAGCAGCAACTTTCGCCTCATCAGGAACCGCTTTCTCCCATTAGTGACTCTGGAGTATCTGTTGGCCACCAAAAGTCAGCAAAGAAGCCTACGACGAAACGGAAATCAAACGCTGATGCATCCTTGCCTGGCTCTGCTGGAGCGGACAGAACTGGCGGTTCCGGCTCTTCTCGGTCCTCAAGCCCTTCTGTCCAGCAAGGCGCTCTGAACGGTCAGCACTCTTCGGCAGATAACACTACGACCGTTTTGAACGTCAATTCTGCTCATGTACCGAACCTCGAAGGCGATACTGAAAACGGCTCAGGTGGACTACCATCTAAAAAGGCTGCTCGGCGCAAGGGCTCTACCACAAAATCGTTTTCAATGGACTCGACCCCTTCAGGACTGGTAGCCAAGTCAGCACATCGGACAAGTCGGGATGGGTTCGACCCGCTGCAGGTGACAGGGCGCAGGAAGAACAAGACAGATTTTGAAATCAAAAACGGGGTGTTGAATGGCAGTGCAAACGCGGATGCAAATGCCAGTACAGAGGAGAAGAGCGACGCCTTGAAACAGGAAGGGGCTAGTCCATCGCCTTCAATACAACAGCAACAGCAAAAGGCAGAATCAGCACGCTCCCCAACTCCGTCGCAGACTAATTCAGCTCAGCCACGATCAGGAAAAAAGCCCCATCATGAATTGCTGACCGAAGCAGAGAAGAAGGCGAACCATATTGCATCTGAGCAGAAGCGTCGACAGAATATTCGAGTGGGATTCGATTCGTTAGTCGAGATTGTGCCAGAGCTGGGCGATTCTCATCGGAGTGAGGCTGTCATTCTTCAGAAATGTAAGGAGCAGCCAAAGGAGCTACTGGTCGCAAGGGGTGGTGATCGTACCACATGCTGCACGGTCAACGTTGTCATAACATTTTTTTTTTTTTTTTTTTTTTGTTCTTTCTATCTCGATGCAGCTGTCGAATACATTCACCGGCTTCTCAATCAGAAGAATGAGCTCAAGAGCAGAGTGCGTGAGCTACAGGTGCATCTGGGTGACCCTGTGGATGACTTTGATTCTGTAAGTGCCTCATTCTGCTTTTGTGTGTCGATAGAAGGGTGGAACGTGCTTTTCACATGCATTTGTATATTTGTTGATGTCGATTGCTTTCATTCCGCGCATTCATTTCGCCCATGGTCGCACGAATACGACATTAAACTTACTACTGCACACACTGTAGGCATCGGACATGGAGGTCGAGCAAGGCGAATAACATCAGCCAACCCTCTTGCCCTAGAATCCATGCAAGCATCAATCAACTTTGGTATTCTTTAGTGCACTTTATTTTAATTCAGGAAACGCATTCACTCCTGTTTCGTTTTTCTAGTACCCTGTACTCCACCCCTGTAAATAATACCCACTGTTCTTTTACGCTGCTTATTGTTGTTGTTGCTTTTTTTTTTTCTTTTTTTTTCGTATTACTCTGCTTTATTTTTGGAATTTATTTTGTATTCTTCGAATGCACCGGTGTTACTCCTTCGTGGTAGGTAGAGTTCTACGCGATTAGAAAGGCAGAAAATGTGGGTGTAAAACAGTTAACAAATGGCAACCTTGCATTCAGATCGAAACCCTGTGCACTACAGACCTGCAATATACGAGCGCCGCTGCTGTTGCTGCTGCTGTTGCTGCTGCTGTTGCTACTGTTAAATTGCATGGCCAATGGAAGAGTGGCCGTGCGCAGTGGATCTCTGTCCATTGAGGGCCACACGCAGTTGACTTGGGGCCATCTGAAGTGTATAGCGTGCAGTGTGCATGCAGTTGAGTGCGTCTAGTGCCTTCCAAAATGAAGAAGTGCTAGGTTAATTGGTGGGAAACCGTCTTCTTTAATTCGATCCCCGTTGTTTAGCTGAGCGGGACACATAACACGCTCGTTATACATTATGCCATTCAATTTTATTATCAGTACCCAAGTCAAGATACAAGGTCGCGCTTTACCGGTTCTCTCTGAATAATTCGTTTCCTCTCTGGAGACAGTCACATGACAGTGAAGGCGCCGAATCCTGTCCAAACCCAGCATGAGGACCTGGACTTCAAAGTCGCCTTCATTTCTTTCCTCCGGACCGATCAAGACGAAGGACAAGGACGAATACGACGACGAGGACAGGGATAAAGCATGGAAAACCTTCATCTGCATCCTGCAAGAGCTCCATTACATCACCAACAGCACCAGCAACAGCAGCTTGCAGATCCATCCAGTGCCGAACAGATGTCGATGCAGACTGCAGGCGTCCAGTTGGCGCTCGACGCGTTTGTCCAGCAGAGCAGGGGCCTAAATCCATCGGACATCGGAATCTTCATGGATCACCTTGAGCTGCTCATGAATGATTGTTCGCAGGCGAATATCCAGGTAAAGCAACGGGAACGACTTCAAACGCGGACATCGGCCGCTGCGACAGTATGCGGCATTGCTACAATCAAGGCTAAATATCGCGTCTTTTATAAAACAATAGGCAGGAAAGAACTGGGTTGTGCATCATTGTCAGAATCCACAACAATACGATCTCCTCGCACGCGCCCTGGTCGCCATTGCCATCTCTCGCCATACCTTTGACAACAAGTTGCACATTGTCTACCTCACTAACGACATCCTCTCCCACAGGTGAGATACAGGATAGCAGGAGAAGACAAGCAAATATGGCAATTGCTTTTAGCAAACTGATCTCGATGCTAATTCGGAAGAATCTTGTCTTTGGTAACGGTAGTGAGCGGAAACAGCAGCGATGGATCAAAGATGCACTCTATCCACATCTGGTTCCTATACTGCGCGTCGCATACTACTTTCCTGGAGTCGATGATGCTCAGCGACAGCGAGTCATCAAGGTACGCCCGCAGTCTGGATATGACAGTGCTTATTACATTGTCGTCATTAACATCGCTCGAATAATCATCCATATTAGGTACTAGAGATATGGAGGAGTAAAGAATTTTTCCCGGGTCATGCTGTCGACACCATGGAGATGAACGTCAAGCGACCCCCACTGCTACCGCCACCACAGGTAGGCGGCCCCGGGCCTATGGCTCCAGCCACCCATCCTACAGTACCATACCACCATCCTCAGACTTCACATCAACATCACCACCCTCAGCAGTATCAGCAGCATCATCAGCATCAGCAGCAGCAGCAGTACTCCAAGTTTACACATCCAATGCAGCACCAGCAGCCTTCGTCACCAGCGACAGGACCACCTCATTCAGGTCCTTGGCCTCCACCGCCACCGCCCAATTCTCATGTGGCAGGATCCCATCATCCATATCCCCCATACCACCCACCACCGCAACAATTTGGACAACATGCCATGCAACTGGCGTTTCAGCAACCGCCGTTTCCTCAACAGCATCCACCCCACTCAACCCATCCACATCAGCATTCTCCGCCTCAACCTCAGGCAATGTACCATCCGCCACACGCAACAGCAGCGTTACAGCCATTTTCAGCACCAGTCGCAGGGCCAGCTGCAGTTCCAATACCTGTGCCAGCGCCAGCACCACCACCTCCTGCGCCTACCCATCGAGATGTTCTCACCCGGGATCTACCCGCGGGGCTCATGATGTCAAAGATTGAGGCATGTTTTTGTATAATTCCTTTGTAATTTTTCTTGTGAATATATCTTCGATTAACATATATCTAACATGATAATTCTGTTTATAAATGGCGGTATAAAGGCTGATGCAGAATACTATGAAACCATGCCAGCGTCTGTATCAGTCCCGGTCCAAAAGAACACTTCCCTGCCAGAGACAATCCTAAGCAGCGTGACGGAATTCCTTGCTGAAAACGCATCGATAATGACCTCATCAGGACGAGACAGTACTATCAAGGACGAGGGCTGGCATGAAGGATATCTGAGCGAGTTCTATAAGACTGTATCCGAAAAGAGGAAACTGGCCTTTTCAAAAGATCCACCACAATCTCGACAGCGACGACGACATGGTGATCGGCACGATGAGCGCGAGGGCGGAGGAAGAAGCGATTCGAGAGGCAGAAGACGACCTTTGTCAAGGTCACGCTCGCGGACGAAATCAAGATCAAGATCTGTTTCTCGACCCAGACGACGTTCTCGTTCGTATAGCCATTCACTGTCACGTTCACGATCTCGATCGCGCACACGGTCAAGGAGCAGATCGCCTGGGCATCATGGCCGTGGGCGAGGCAGGAGTAGAAGCCGAAGCCGAAGCCGGGACCGTGGTCGAGGTACTATATCAAAGAGTCGGAGCAGGAGCAGGGGCAGAAGCAGAGGTCGAGGCAGAAGCATGAGCAGGAGTAGGAGTAGAAGCAGAGACAAGGGTACGGGCAGGAGACGAGGTGTAAGTCCAATGAGCCGATCGGCGATAGAGGACGCCTTCCCAGCGAGATCGTTCTCAGGAATAGGAGCACAGACATATGCACATGTGCAGCCACCATCGCGCCCGATGTTCCAACCTGCCCGCCATGCCTAGGTGCTATGCTTCGGCAGTAGCATTGACCCGAAGAGCTGATGCGTACGTATGCATGGCAAGGCTCTATCGGGAGTGGACACAGATAAACAATGTTTTTACAATGAATGCGTGGATGCATTGGGAAGACCAGGAAACCAGCGACGGAGCGGCACCTCAATTGCATATAAATATCATGTGCAACAGCCATCCACCGATCGCTCAGACCGACCGATCCGGCCGATCGAAAAGGCCTGCTTTCATATCAGCTCGCACAGACTTAGACCGCATTACGTTCTTCCTCCCTCATTAAATTAAATTAAGAAATCGTTCCTCCCTCATTCTTCATTCCTTTGTTCTCATTGCTCCTTCATTCCGCCATTCACCTTCACTTCCCTATACTAGTCTACTCGAATCATATAACCATATAAAACATGTCTGGAAGAGAATTCGATTTGGTACTCTATGGAGCCACAGGGTTCACCGGACTCCGTACATGCCAGGTATCATCAGTCGTTCACTGCCGATACAATCGAAAGCTGTGAACCCATGCGTGTTCTTATAAGAGATTTTCAAATGCCTAACCCTCTTCAATAGTACTTGGCGCGCAACTACAAACAAGGCGTGCGCTGGGCCATTGCCGGCCGGAGTGCTTCCAAACTGGAGGAGGTCCGCGAGAAGCTCGTCAACATCGATCCTGGTCTCTCGGTGAGTTGCTGTTGGTCTTTTTTTTTTTTTTTTTTTTTTCTCATGAGCGGAAAATGCTTTGATCTTCATGTCATATATTGCATATCTCACGCATTAACTTACATTGCACCATTTGGTTTTATTATTCTGGCCTTTAATCTACCAGACACTGTCCATTATCCAGGCAGATGCATCCAGCCCAGAGTCGCTTGAGGCCATGGCCGCACGTACAAAGGTCGTCATCAGCACTGTCGGCCCCTTCCTGAAACATGGAGAGCCTTTGGTCGCTGCATGTGTCAAGCAGGGAACTCATTATGTCGATTCCACGGGAGAAACGCCATTTGTTCTCGTAATGTCTATTTCCAATGAAACCTATTTTTTTTTTCTTTTTTTCTTTTTTCTTCCTTTTTATTTTGGGTCGCGACTAACACTGCAATGGCAATGGTAATGGTGTAAATACCTATCGTACCACCGTTGTGATCATTATAGGACATTATCCGAAAGTACCATAAGGAGGCACGCGACAAGAACATCATCCTGGTTCCCGAATGTGGTTTTGACTCTGTGCCATCTGAACTCGGCACCAAGATGTAAGCGGAACTTTTCTTTGTTTCTCTTTTTTTTTTTTTTTTTTTTTTCCCTTCCCCTTTCTTTCTTCGGTGGTGGTGGCGGTGGTAGTGGTGTTCGACTTGATGGTTTGACTGACTCGCCAGGTTCCTCATCTTTCTCCTTACTACAAAAACAAAAAAAGGGTTGTCGACTTTCTACGCAAGGAATACAATCTCCCTACAAAGTCTGTTAAGCTCTCGGTCACGAAGCTGCGCGGTGCCGGTAAATGTTCTTTGGTTTTCAACGCATAACCTTTTGCATTTTCCCAAAGAGAATAAAAAGGTACTCACAGCACCCCTCCCTTGATGATAGTCTCGGGAGGTACGTTGGCTTCGATATGCGAGGTCATGGAGGGCAAGGAGGGTGGGATGAAGGACACGCTGGACCAGAATCAACTCGTTCCCGAGGACGTCGCCTCCAAGGTGGTCCCCGCCAGGATCACCCTGCCCTCCGTCTTTTACGATCACGATTTCAAGGCATGGCAGGCCTTCTTCATCATGTCTTTTGCGAACGAAAAGATCGTCAAGCGTAGTCATGGTCTCGCCGTCGAGGCCGATGGTGTCGGATATGGCCCCGAGTTCACATACAGGTATGTGATGTAGCAGCGCAATTCTTGTCTGGTTTTTTTCTTTTTACAAACTGCTGTCTTGCGTATCCGTACTAATGATCATCGCTTGTGTCATGTTTTTGTTTTGTTTGTTTTTCAGGGAATCCATGTCAGCACCTGGCTTTTTCACCGCAGCGCTCGCGTCACTTGGTATGGGTCTCGGCGGTGCCGCTTTGTCCGTTGGTCCGCTTCGCCGCTTCATTCAGAATCGTATCCTCCCAGCTCCAGGTACCGGTCCCTCGGACGAGAGCATCACCCAGGGCCATTTTACCGTGAAGATCATTGGCGAGAGCAGCCTTCCCGAGAACGTCCCCGCCGATGCCTCCGCCGATGCACTCAAGCCCATCAAGGCCATCGCGACCATCCAAGGAGGCGAACCCGGTTACTCGGAGACCTGTAGGTATCTGGTCGAAGGTGCTCTGTGTCTTGTCCAGAACGAAGATCGCGTCAGGAACGAGAACAAGATCACAGGAGGCGTTCTCACGCCCGCCTACGCCTTTGGACATATCCTCATCGATCGCCTTCGCGCCCAGAACGTCAATCTCACCGTCTCCAAGCTGTAGACTCCGCTTCAAGGAGAATGCACAAATAAATAAATAAATAAATATCAGTTGTGATGAACGAGTCATGCTTCACTGTGGTGATCGATAGGCGTTGTTGTAAGTGCTGGCAGTCTGCTTTTAGCGCTTTATTATTTCACTCCACTAGACTCGGTCGATGATGGCCCGAGTGGATGGAATGATGTGAGTCTCTGTTTCTGTAATGCTTCATGCTTTCTAGCCCGCAATCACTATTCGCCCGACGGATATTACTCCGCGAGGACGACCGACTGACTGATGACGCAATGCTTGGTGTTCTCTCATGCCTCCGATAGTCTCTTCGATCCCTGCTGGTCCCGCTGCCGCTGCCGCTGCCTGTTGCCGCTGCTCTGTCGCTTGGATCTGTTTCACCTCCTGACATTACATCCGCAGCCCTCGATGACCACTGAATTCCCAGATCGCCATCAAAACCCAGACTGCGAGCCAGGTCCGCCTGTCGATCTTCCTCATCATAAAAGTCCGCATACAGCAAATTGGACTGGACATGGTTCTGGAACCGACGCAGCGTCGAGAGCACGACCGCGAGCAAGTTCGTCGTGCGCATACCAAGACTACTATTACTACTGCTATTCGATGTCGAAGTTCCTGTCGATCGTGACTTGATCCTCTGATCCTTATGACAGATATCCTCCGGCATTGGTCGATCCTTTAGTGTTGGCGAAAAATCGACCTGCATCGGGTCAGATGAATAGGGTCGATGAGGGTTGGATCGCTTTCTAGTCTGGAGCCGTTTCAGGGTCTCAAAGGATGCTGCCGACATGTTCTGCTTAACTTGCTGCTGCAGTGATCCTTCGCTGCTGCCGCTATTGTTGTCGGTTGGTACGGATGATTCTGATGCGATAGAGCTCTCAGTCGTAGATTCTTTGATTTCTGCAAAGACTTTTATCGGGCTCAGCTGCAAAAGAAATCAGTCGCAATATGAAAGGGTTTGTTCAATAAAAGATATCATCGAAGCACAATTCCTTCCATGTGTTCTGTTGCAAATACTCACCATAGTCGCTTCACTCATGCTAGCGCCATGTCCATTTGACTGCATTGCTTGCAGGGCCAGCTCAAAGGCGTTAAGCCACCCTATCTTCGCAGGAACCTCCAACACCATGTCGGCCATGTCCTCCATCTCAGATTCATAAATATTAAAGATCGGCCTTTTGGTGACAGCACTTGGGTAGGTAAAAAGAGGTTGCGATCTCGAGGACGAAACTGCCTGATCATCCACACCCCTTGGTCGACTAGACTGCCGTGTCATTGAAGGGCGGGCACCTGTATGCTGCAGATCTGCAATATTCTGGATAACAGCCTGAAATTCAGAGGAAGAGATTCGTCGATGGACTGTGGGTCTTGATCGATACTGTCGAAGCAGAGACGATGCCCTTGAGGACGAGCTCTCCCACCCCCGCTCCGAATCCACATCCGAGTCGAGTTGTGATCTGACACTTCTGGCTGTTGTAAAGTTGCCGGACCCATCGTGAAAGGGCATCTGGTTTTGAAAGGTGTGCTCAACAGCCATATGGTGGGGACTGGCCGCAAAGGATGGCGTCGGGATATTACTCAAAGATATGGCTGTAGAAGAAGCAATGAAGGGAGAGGACGGAGATGGGAGACGACGAAGGACGGGGATGGAGAGTGACAGGTTATCGTCCTCGTCCTCGTGCGACCATACCCCGGGGTCCTCACATTCGCCCACACTGCCAAGACCATCGCTTGTCAGATCAGAGAACCCAAAGATGCTGGCTCCTGTGCTAATAAGATTGGGACCGGGACTGGCGACGACCGACGGAGTCTCTGTGCCAGAGAGGATATCTTCGTACTCATCCGAGGAAACCTCTCTGCTCGTGGCTGCAGCCGTAGTCGTTGCTGTGGTCTTGGGTATAATGGCTAAACCAGGGGGCGAGAGGGATTGGCGATGATGTTGAGCAAGGACAAACTGCCATTCTCTTGTGCGCTGCTGTTGCTGGTCCAGGTACTGCTGTTGTCTTGCTCTGGCACGGGCGCTGGCAGTACTGTTGCTGTTACGGATCGATGTCCATTCATGGTCCGAGGTATTCTCGACAAACTCATCCTCAGGGTAGTGGAGACTGCTACTGCTGCTGTAGGGGTGGTGATTATTATTGTGATGTTGGTGGTGGTGGTGGTGCAGAGAGGTCAGATGGACAGTTGTAGCATGGCTCGTTGCGGCAACAGCAGCAGCAGCAGCAGCAGCAGCTTGTTTCGTGGCCCCAGTTGCAGGTGGTGCGTCATCAGAGTAGGTTGCAGCAATACGCTGATAAGGAGTGCGTTGTTTGTAAGTCGCCATGTTGTGGGTTCAATTGCTTCCTGCTGGAATGTGTCTCTGGATAGCTAGCCAAGGAGGGAGTCGAATGTGAGTGTGTGAGTGTGTGAGTGTGCGGTGTGAAGGGAGAAGAAGGGCAGAGGAGACGGTAATGGTGACGAGGATGAAGGAAGGTAGGAAGGAGGAGGAAGATGATGAAAGAATGGTGGGGCAGCAGGAAAGAAAGAAAAGAGAGGTTGTGCGCAGGAAATGAGGCGATAAAAACGAATGATGAGGTGCGATAACGAATAAGAAAAAAGATAGGGAGCCATAGACTCTTTTCATGCAGCAGAAAGGAAGCCTTCAACAGGGGAGAGGAAGAAGCGGGTGCGGTAGACGACAGCAGGGGGAGACACAAAGATCGTCTTAAGCACGCGAATATCTTGCATGTCCACCCATCACTGCAATCGGCGATAGACAATCCATGCGATATCCACATTCATATCCATCCGCATATCCATCCCTAGGGGTATGTTTAACCCAACCACGGGATTGCTTCCTGCTTGCCTACTTGCCTACTTGCTGCCCATTCAAGAGATCCAAGAGGAACGATGGATAGGGACAAGGGCAGGCAAGGGAGACCCACAGAACGACAAGCAGATATAAATACAACCACCCATCGTACATCGTATATGAATGTCTGCATCTCGTTATTGTTGGTTGCTCATTTTGATACACGCATGACCACAAACAATATCCTTCCCGCGCCTTACCTGTAGCATGTACCCCTTTCGTTCCCAGATCCGTCCTCTGCTACCTTTGATTATTATTCTATTCGATTAGCATGTATATCTCTTTTTCAGAACACACCATGGCGTCTTCTCTCCAAGAGTATGAAAGAAACATGAAAGAAAAAAAAATGATGGCAAAGATACGAATCTGTTCACTCGACCCCAGTCAAATAAATGGTTCCTCGAAAAAGACTTCACAGTTACATCCTTGTTTCTACTTGAAACCGATAATTGCGCTCATACCTCGAGGCAGGCAATCTCAGTATGCAGAAAGTATTGAAACACAGGACGAATAGCAGTGGGTGTAGAGGAGAGAAAAGAGGCATTGCGCTTGGAATTTAAAAAGAAGGGCTGCGTTTTTTGCTGTCACATTTTCAGAGAGCCCTTCTGTGCATTTCGCCCACTTGTATCTCAATTTCTAGCCACGAACAAAAAAAGAATATGTTTCTCCCTCATGAACCCACTACGGTATAGAAGGAGCGCATCGACTAAATCGCATGCCTGACTAGAGACCTGAAAAAAAGGCGGTGATGAAGGAGGTGGTGATGGCGCCGCAGAGGGAATAATCCTATTGAGCATTTGCGACAAAGAAATAGGAAATAACCCTAAAGTGTTCTTATGCTTGTAGAACGCGTCATTCGCATGGAATCGAATGAAATTATATGTCCCCGCTCATCTTTTTTGAGTTAGCATGGGTAGAAAGCTGTACGAAAACGTTCAAGGCGTCCTTTTTGGTAATATATTATGTAATTCCCTCATAAGCACTCAAAGCATAGCCTGCCATATTACTTCAACGCACTTCAAAGCGTTGCTAACAATACAGCTATACTTTGCAGTAAAGGCGCGTTGTCCACATAAAATTCAACATGGGACGTGTCGAGGTGAGCGCGTTGTTGGTGCTCCGCCCGTCGTGACTCGAAATTGGGCACTGACTGAGCAGAACAACAAATGTACCAAAAGACAAAGCCACCTCTTGCTTGTCTTGACCCTCCTTTGACCACTTGACCGCGGTCTTCTTTTACACCATTGAGCTCCCACTGTTACCATGCCCAGTCTAATCTCACCCGCAGAACGCGACTACATCCTCAAGGGAATCGAATGCAACATCAGAGCTGACGGACGCCAGCGACCTGACTACCGGGAAATCACCCTCGAAACGGGCGTTGTCTCTCAGACTAGCGGCTCTGCTCGAGTCCGTATTGCAGGAGGAACCGATGTCCTCGTCAGTGTCAAGGCTGAGATTGGGCCTGTCCAGGTCGATTCAGAGACAGGAGATGGTGCTGATAAAGGACAGATCGTGTGCAGCGTAGAATGGTAAGTATGATACAATCTTTTCTTTTAACTCGGCGTAATTGATCTATACAAAGCTGAACAAAGATACTAACTGGCCTGACCTTCAAACAATCATAGTGCGCCAAGTGCATCGCAACAGTTCGAAGGACGAGGCGCCGACGATCTCAACAATGAACTCACACAAATGATGTCCAGATTCCTCAGCCAAACCACCAATACCAATACCGCAACATCACGCTCTACGACTTCTTCAGGAGGCATCAACCTTTCAAAACTCTGCATCATCCCTGGGCAACAATGCTGGATCCTCTATATCGATGCACTCGTCATGGACTATGGTGGCAATGTCATGGATGCCATTTTCATGGGCGCCCGCGCCGCTATCTTTGATACCCGAATTCCCAAGACCGAGGTCCAGGACCTAGGTGACGGCCAGTTTGAGTTTGAAGTTCTCGATGATGCAGAGGACACAGATATTGTCGACGGCAGGGAAGACATGCCTATCTGCGTCACATTAAACAAGGTACGTACAGCGCAAGATGATACTTTTGGAGGAAGTATGCTATCAGGACCAAATGGAGCATTCAATGTACTAAGCATGCGATCATTACTTGTTTTTTTTTTTTTCCAATTTTGACAATAGATCGGTGCCCGTCATATTGTAGATGCCTCACCACTGGAGGAACTGTGCACAGAAGCACGATTGGCAATTGCTGTGAATCGTTCAGGAGAACTCTGTGGACTGCAAAAGGGTCAGGACGGAGGAATCGAACCCAGTCTGTTGCTCGAAATGATACAATTTGGCAAAACAACAGGCCAGACCTTAATTAAACAATTGGATGCCAAGATCAAAAATGAGGCAGATGCCGACCTCGCAAGGAGACAACGCGGCGAACCACTCCACAAGTTGGGCTTCTTTGCACAATAACATCCAGATCAAACAAACATACATCAGGACCAATGTCATAATAAAACACGCATTCAATTCAGTTTGAAGAAACAGGATGCCCTCCATAATTCATGGTGGGCATCAACACATTTTTCTTATTGGGCAGTGGTGTTCGAAATGGGGTAAAAAAAAAAGAAAAAAGACAAAAAAAAAAAAAAAAAGCCAGGATGGAATGCTCCTGACAGGCCATCGTCCCTTGATAGACCCTCATCATGCTTCATTCGCCCAATTACCCTCGTTCAAAACGCTATCTGAATAAAATAAAGAAAGAGACAAAACTAGAAACCGCTTTTGTAGAGTACAGGAAACGAAAATGAACCCCAAACCATAGTCTTCGGAAGAGAAAAAAGTAAATGTACAAGAACAAGAACATTAAAATCACCGAAAACCTGTACAATTGATACCGAAAGAAAGGAACAAAAAAAAAAAAAAAAAAAAGGGGGGGGGGGGGAGAATGAAAGAAATAAAGAAAGGAAAGGAGAAAGCGACCTTGCGGCGGCAGAAATGTTTGACAGAATAACAATAAAAAAAATAGTAACGAACGGCGCTAGCGACGCGGTTGCTGCAATCGTTGCTGATGCTGATGGAACTGCTGCTGCTGATACTGCTGCTGCACCTGTTGCTGCTGCTGCTGCTGCTGCTGCTGGAAGTTCTGGTGGTGGCTTTGGTGCTGCTGATACTGTTGATGCTGTTGATATTGCTGACGCTGCTGCTGTTGTGGAAAGTTCTGATGGTGGTTCTGATGCTGCTGTTGTTGCTGGAACTGCTGTTGCTGTTGGGTATGCTTTTGCTGTTCTTCGTGCTCATTGTCATCAAGAGCAGAAGGCGCGACATACAGACTCTTGTCAATGACGGGAGGAATGGCCTGGATCTCAGTTCCGAGCTCTTGCTCAATCTTGTACAGGTTGAAGCGATCTTCGTACGTGATCAGATTGATGGCTAGACCCAAATGACCAAAACGACCACTGCGTCCGATACGATGAAGATAGGTCTCGGCGTTCTTGGGAAAATCAAAGTTGATGACGACGTTGACAGCCTGAATGTCGATACCACGAGTCAAGAGATCAGAGCAGACCAAGTTGCGGCAAACCCCGTTCCTGAAATCATGGAAAACTCTGTTACGGTGCGACTGCAGCATTTTTGCGTGGGAGTAGAAGCAAGAGTATCCGAGCTCTGTAATCTTTTTCGCCAGTAGCTCCACGCGATTAGTCGAGTTGCAGAAGATGATGGATTGATTGATTTGGAGCTAGAAGCCAAGCGAAAAGTATGAGCAATAATGAGTATTTATCCATCAGGATCTAGGGCTCGCGGGTGTTGAGCAACAACCAGAACGCGCAGAGGAGGCATACCTTGGAGAAGAGAGTGTTGAGGCAATGGACCTTTTGGCGCTCCTCCACGAAGGCATAGTACTGGGTAACGCCACGCAATGTCAACTCGTCCATCAGGTTGATCTCGTAGGGCTTGACCATATGTTTATCCTACAGATTTCAAGGTAAAAATGCCATTAGAAGTTAAGAATACAATAAGCTGCCTCGACTCCCAGCGCAAAAGTCATGCCATGATATATTTACCTTGAAGGTCTTGACGATCATAGGAAAGGTAGCACTATAGAGCATGACCTGGCGTTCTTTTGGGAGATATGTGAGCAACTGCTCGATGACAGGTGTGAACTCGGGGCTGAGAAGCTTATCGGCCTCGTCCATCACGAAGGTCGCGCACTCGCTGAGATCAGCGACACCCTTTCCAGCCAGGTCCAGGATGCGACCAGGTGTGCCGACGATAATGTGGACGGCCTCACCGAGACGCATGATGTCGTCCTTGAGAGTGGTGCCTCCTGTGGTGACCATGACCTGAACTCCCATGTGCTTGCCCAGGGTCTTGCAGACCTGAGCGGTTTGAAGGGCCAGTTCGCGCGTGGGAACGAGGAGGAGTGCCTGGACCTTGTTCTTTTTCAGGTTGACCTTCTCAAGCGAGGGAATAACAAAGGCTGCTGTCTTGCCGGTGCCGTTCTTGGCTCGAGCAAGGATGTCTCTTCCTGCAAGAGCAATGGGTATGGACTCTTCCTGAATAGGAGACGGGCGCTCGAATCCAGCCTCGAAAATTCCCATCAAGAGCTCGCGCTTCAAGAAATAGTCTTCAAACTCGTTGCCCTTGGTCGCGGTGACATCCTGTGGACAAAACGTACCATGCACAACAGTAACCTCGTCGTTAGGAGCTGCTGCAACATTACGATGAACGAAACAATAGAAGAAAAAAGAGGCGCGTTCAACCAGAGCGTTTTCATTCTCGCCCGCCTTGTTATTGTTTGGTCCTTGACGCCAACACTGAGACCAACGCTGAGACCAACACCGAGGAACGCGTGTATGGGCCATGTGAGTAGGGAACGTACCTCAGTTTGTGGGCGGGAATCCTTTGTGGGCAAATCGAGCTGCTTTTTCCAGCTGTCGTTCTCGTGCCTGCAAGCATGCAAAGACAAAGAGATTGTTATGGACCAATGCATGACACAGCACTACCTACAGAGAGCGATCGATCATTCTTCCATGGGCAACTGTAAACTTACGCCATATGCTGTTGCTGGTTGGCGGCCATTGGGCGGTGTTGGGTGGATGAAAAATAGAGGGATAGCAAGGGTGTTTGATCAGGTCAACACGACGAGACTAAGGGAAACAAGGGTCGCGTGTGAAATAAGAGTGAAAAGAAGGGCAGGAGTAGCGTAGGTCGAGTGCCTCTGTGATCAGTTGAATGTGTGAGCTACTGCTAGTGTTGGTGTTGGTGCTGGTGTTGCCGGTGTTGATTAGGGTGGGTTGCGTTGATGGTTGGGTGATGAGGTGGTTGATGGAGTGGTTGAAAAGATCTTTTTGTTGTGTGCGAATATGGTTGTGGGTGGGGTGTGGAGTACGTCAGGTCAAGGGAGCGCGAGAGAGGCCCTTAATCATCGTTACAGTCGTATCTGACGCGTTGCGAACGCGTTTCTTTTTTTTTTTTTTTTTTGTTTTATACATACGCAGTGCGTTCGTTCCTTTAAAAAATAAATAAATAACGTCCATACGTCCCGATATGCGTTATATGAATAGAAAAACATGCAGCTCATTCATATCGAAAGCAAGCATCACCCCTGCTCCTCCTAGACTAGACTAACCTCCTCCTCTTTGATCATCGCACCGAACTCTTCCATTCAATGACTCACTCTTCTTACACCTGCCACCCATCCATGGAACGTGACCCACTTCTACTGTTGCTTTGTCCAGGTCTGCAACGCTCCTTGCTTCTTTTGTCTTGTCACTTAATCCAGATCGCCTTGGAGGTCTCAAGCGCCTTCGTCTACCAGGACTCATTCGCCTAGCCTCATTACCATCCCGGATACTATCTCCACCTCAGCAGTTCAATGCAAAGGATAGTGTCCCCATAATGGGGCCTGAAGGTTAGCGCAGGACATGTACTCTGCCTATGCCATTAGATATATCTCTTGGATCGAGAACAAAGCTGGTCGAAAAACTGGAGAACGAGAGCCGTCATTAGCATCAGTATGTCCGCAGGCGACGTTGGACTGGTGGACGTACGAGTTCTGATCAAAATCAGGTTCGGTAGTTCTGTACAATGAAAATTGGCGGCGCCATAAATACCCGAAAACGCGAACCCGGTCTATATCCGCTGCCATCGATTGATGAAAAATAGAACACAAAAAGGTCCACAATAAACCGTAGTCAACTGATCGTAGAGCGTTATCGTCGGTTTTCCTACGAGGCGATGTTAAGAGGCAGTGTGAATATAGACTTTTTTGCGGGCAGGGGTCCAAGTCAAGTACAGGATGAGACACTCAACTCTTTTCAGGACAAGAAGTAAGGTTACAGCTGCTCCTTGAGCTTCTCATCGAAGGAAGCGAAGACATCGAGCAGCATGATTGTTACCAAAATAAATGAATACTACTTGGATAGGGAACCTACTCATGAATACATCGCATGCAATGCTCGAGGATACACCCAGGGATGCACCCGGGGATGCATCTACTCTCGATGCAGCCCTTCGGCGTCCTGGTTAGCGGATAAGCGCGCATGTGCGGTTGTCGCGTGGATCCAGTTTTTTCTCAGGGCATCTTTTCTATTCGCCGGAGCGATTTTTTTTAAGTTACAATTTTTTTTCCTTCTCTGCTTCCTTTTTTTTTTTTTTTTCCTTCTCAACCGATTGCCGCTTCTCCCCCGTTTCGATATTCCGTCACCGTCAAAAAGTCGAACCTGAACCCGAATCAAGCAATTCCTGATCAGATCGAAGCGCTTGAAGATGTCCTATCAATCGAGTGCCTTTGCAGCTCTTGTTCCTTTCCTGCTGATACTCTCAGCGGGGTTCCTTGCCGTTGTCGAGGCTCAGAAGCAACAGGCAAGTGAGCAGACCCGATTCAGGTTCCAAGGATGCAGGCCCGCCTCAATCAAGCACATAGTCGTCTTTGGCGACTCTTTCAGCGATAACGGCAATGTCTTTGAGCTCTCTCACGGGTCCTGGCCGCGCTCAGCCTTCTACTATGACGGTCGATTCTCTAATGGACCCGTCTGGGGAGACTATGTAGGGAACACTCCAGCGATCTCTATGAACACTACCAAGTATCAAAAAATCGGTTCTAACAAGTTCTTTTATCCATGCGGATATTCATAGATCTCGATGGACGGACGGATCAACATGACGAACTATGCATTTGGTGGAGCGACTACGGACTCTGAGACGGTACAGGGATACTCTGGAGCAAACGGCGATATCCCCGTTCCCGGATTCATTCAGCAGATCGAGGACTACTATCTCCAGGATGATTATGCCCCACACACCCAAGAGATGAATTCGACCCTGTTTGTGATCAATTTTCAGGGCAATGATTTCTACTTTAACTCGACCATTGACACACAAACGGTACTGGCGAACATTGAACGGGGTATCGACCGGCTCGTTGATTTGGGCGGCAGACATCTGGTTGTGGTTGAGAATATTGATTCGGGACGGCTGCCTTGCTACCAGAGGAACTCAACGTTATCGAAGCTAAAGAGTGCACAGTCCAGGAAGCAACATACTGAATACCGGGATCTGATGCAGAGACTTGCTGAGAAGCATGGTCGCCAGGCAAGGACAGGCAGCAGTGTTTTCTACAACTGTATGGATAGCAACAGCAATAGTGCTGTGGGAAAAAAGGTCAACATTGCGTTCTTTGATCTGTTTGCGCTCTTTGAGCGACTTTATGAGGGCCGTCAGTTGAAGCGAATGGGTATCAGCGATGTGGTCCATGGGTGTGTGAACGAGGATGCGACAAAGACATGCAGTGATCCCGGAAGGCACTTTTACTCTGACCTGTTTCATCCCTCGACCAAGGTCCACCGTGAGGTTGCGAATGGTCTCCTTCAGTTGCTGTAAAAAAAGACGCGGAACCGAGGCGGGAAACCATGCGCGAATATGACTAAATAAAACTAAATGGTTTTCTTTTCATCCATCGCAACGGCTCTTCTTCGTTCTACAACACGGATCAACATATGAACAAGGGGCGAGAAGAGACGGAGAAGCCCACGCGCTTGATAAGCCCATTGGCGAGATGAGATGATAGGAGGAGTTGAGCAAGTGCGGTTTCCTCTATGATGCAGTGGCTGATCAGGTATGCTGGCTGGGATATGCCATTTGCTGTTGGCCATGGGTGTGTATCACAAGTGAGGCCCAAGCGGAACAAATGCTCTTTCCCACCCTCTTTCATTCTTTTTCTTTCCTTAACCCCTTCGTTGATCCTCATTCAACTCCATCCATTCCTTCTTTCCTTCCTCCTTTCCTTTCTTCCTTCTCCCTTCTTCCTTCGCTCCAAGGAAAGATCCACAGTCAACCACAGTACCCTTTCACTCGTGTCGTTCACTCCTTCGGCTTCTTCACCGCCGCTTTTTTCAAATAGTCTACACACGTATCCAAAGCGCCACTATTTCTTCCTCAACTTCTTCGATCTTTTCTACAAGACTCAGACACCAAGCATGCTAGCGGGGGACCGTCCTCTGCCTTCCAAGACCACGAGCCGTAACAGCTTCCATGGCGAGCCTAGTCCTGTCTCGAGCCATGATCATACCAGAGTCAAGGCCAAGAGACTGACCCATCAGCCCTTTACCGCCCAAAGCCCCTTCGGCTCAGCTCCACCACCCTCCTCGCAGTCGCAGCTCCAGCAGACCCCTGTCCATTCGGGACATCGACCGGTATCCACAGCATCAGGAGCACGACTATCTACGTCGTCTGAATCTGCGCTCGCAAAGGAGAAAGAGTTCATGGCCAACACCAGAATCCTGGCTATGTCCAATTTGATCGACTCCTTCACCTCGGCCTCACACCATACCAAGCAGGGATGCTACAGCAAACAGCTCAAAATCATCGGCACAGCTTCGACGTCTCCCTCAGTAACAGGAGCAGAACTGGATTTGACAGTAAAAGTAACAACTACTGTGTTATTCCACCCATCGACATCGATGACTATACGACGTGGTTTCAAAATCGAGAGTAATACTCATAACTGGATCTCCTTTTTTTATTTTATTATTATTACCACCTTCTTTACCTGCAGATCCACGTCATTGAAAACACATGGACAACATGTCCGTTGCTACCGTCCTCGACCATCCTTCACCGCTGGAAGGTCACGCACCTCGGCACGTCCAGCCAGGCCGACAGCGGTTCCGTACTTGAGGATATTGCATCCGACCTTGGTATGAAGATTCGGTCAATGCTCTAGTACCTTGGTGGCATCATGCGCTCGGTGGTGCGTTATTCAATGTTGTAGGATTACTAACAAATATCGTTCGTCCCTGATTCGCGGCATATACAGTGTACTCCAAGGACGACAAGGATTCCTCGTGGGTCCATTCAATGGAAAGGACAGAGACAATCTCGCCAGCGCCTTCACCTACATACGATCAGCAATCGAGGCGGCCACTTTCGACATCCTCCGTATCGTCCTTCTCAGCAACTATTCGCGCGCCGCGGACACACGTGGCAGTTCTGTCGAATGCTCTTTGCTTCGTCGCTAACAGGGCAGGTGATTACCTTGTGCAGTTATCAATACATATCCCATTCGTGGAAAGTACAGGTTCTCGGGGCATTCATCTTTCCCTTATCCCAAAGTGCCGAAGCAACTTTATCAAATTCCGGGTTCAACCTGACGGAACGACAGATAAGGACGAAGGAGACTTGGTGAAGGATGTCGATACAGTAAATAACCAAGGAGTGCCCAAGGAGATCACTAAGGATGCCAGCAACGGGTTCGAATTCAACATATATCCAGAAGTTGTGTCCTTGGACGAGGCTCACCTGAACCCAGATTCGGACGAGGATGCACAATTCTGGCTGGAAGCACAGGAGCTTATGGTGGGGCGGGATCAGTTTGTTGGAAAGCTGGTGGCAAGCGACGGAAACAAAAAGACAGCTACATTATCCGAATCATCAACAGATGAGTCGATGCAGAGACAGGGTGATGCAGCTGCAAAAAGCAGGTTTGAAATCGCAGGATGTTTCACGCCGAGCTCGTCCTTGCATGTGTCCTGGATATCTCAAGGTGCCACGGATTTCGTCCAGAGTGTTGAGCAAGAGTTGACAGTTCACATTATGGGCCTCCCTGATCAAACAAAGTCATCGGCACTGTTGCAGCATCGTAAGAGAAAGGACCCAGAAGACAGCCACGCGATTGACCATACGGACCAGGAGGAGGATCCGGTGGAGTACGAGCATCTCGAAATGGACGACGGCGATTTGATTATCACAGTCGATAACACAATGGCGGTCAATATCCAGAAGTTGGGGTGGAAGCAACCATTCATGGATCTCACCATTCACATCTCCGACAATCTGTCCGGACAGAGCAACGACATAACGCTTCTTGACATCAGCGGTGATGCCGTACAGAATTGGGAAGCCGTTGAAGCGATTCAGTCCGATAATCTGGGACAATCATCTGCCCTTGAACTCGATAATCTGGACAAGGAACCCGTCGCAGACCCTGGATCACATTCGCCTTCAATATATCGAGTTTGGCTCTTTGCAGGTACTGAGGGTATGGTGGATATTCATGTCAGCATTTGTGTTGCACAGGCTGTGTCTGTTGGCTATGGCAAAGATATTACCTGTCTCATCCCCAGGTTCCAGGTCCAAGGCGTGAGTGAGGACAAGGGTCGAATCCACGTTCACACAAACAACGATCTTGTTGTTCAGCGGTGCATCGCTCGCAATGTGGAGTCATCCCCGCTTGACAGCCACTCTCCGCTCGACGACGGGTCATCAACAAGACATCAGCCTGTTTTACATTTCCATTACCAATCCTTCGAATATCGGCTTGCGGTTATTGCTCAACGATACCAGGCATTGGCTCGAATCGCTAGGATCGAACGAGTCCGGGCAGAAATCGGTGTCAGCAGCCAGCAACAGCCAGGGTTTGCAAGGATTGTGCTCTCGAACATTGTGTTGCCGCAACAGGATGATCCCTATCTTCGGGTATATCAACTTGACGGCGCAGAAGTTTGGAGTGTGCTCGTGAATGGAAAGCCGTGCTTAAAATCGATACAGTTTACGGATCGGAAATCTGCAGGACAGCGGACAGTCCTGATTCCTATCGAGGAGTCTGTAGAGAGCGAGAGCCCACATCAGGTCGAGATCAGCTATGGGTTCAACACGCTCGACCGTGAACATGAGGAGGATCTGGACGAGGAGGCTGTGATGTCGACGATCAAGCTGGTTGTCCCTGGATTTAGTCTACCAGTGGGTGAATATGTGGTCGTCGCTAACTTGCCTAAGCTAGACGAAGGTACTAGCTTGTCTGCGAACGTGGAATTAGATCATTGGCGGATGAACGAGTGATAACTCATAGGTTCTGTTTTTTTGCTCACTAGATATGGACTACGGTGAGCCATCAGGAGATTTTGAGATTACGTCGAGGGTTGGTTTAGTAGGCCAGCGAAAAACCATCACATATGGTGCGTATATGACCCTCGGTCGACCCAAGCTCTCTATCAAGACCGTCAAGGGTGCAGTCCGGACTCGCGTAGAACAGGACCAGCATACGGAATCAACAAGAATGGCTGATCAAAACTCGACTACCCAGCTGGAGCAGATTGGCAGGAGTAACGTTCATGCATCTGTGGTTGTCCATGACCCTCAACAACCGCCGTTCAATGCCGGGATTGCCACCGCACAGCAGGCCAGTCAGAGACATCCACAACAGCCTCTGGAGCTGCAGAACCCCCAGGCAGAGCAGGGACTTGATGGAGAGATTCTTCCTATATTAAGCGCGCGAGCGAATGGTGGGGCTGAGGGTGGAGCTGGAGTGGGACCAGGACAGACATCGAATCTCTCGCCGCAGGTTGGATCACCGGCTCTGTTGCAATCGGGCGGTCGGATGGCATTCTCTACTCGCGAGCCGTTCTTTTTGAAGACACTATCGTTTGCACAGATGCAACATCTGGTCAGAATGTGGTGGAAACAGATCATGGCACCGGTGGCAGCTCTGGCTTTAGTAATCATGATCATCAACGTTGCAGCGTTCCAGGATACGAAATCGACGTCGCTAGATCTGGTGAATATACCGGCCTGGCGACGGCCATTTGCTGTGATTGGGCGGCTATGGCATGATTCTTCTGTTACACAGAGGTATTTGACGAGCAATGGCGAGTTTGATGGGTTTATGGACGACCTTATCTTTTCGGAGAAGACTGTAACAGTTGCAGAGCCAGGTCCAGTGAAGACGATGCCAATTGAGGAGGACGCACCAGCGATAGAAGCAACACAGGAGCTGGAGGCTCTACCACGACCCGATGGAGGTCATGAAGATCAGCTTAGCGCAGATGACCAGGAAGAGGATAAGGGCGAAGAGGATGGTACGCGGCCAGAATCCGCTGGACTGATGAAGTTAATTGAAACCCTGAAACGTATTGCAAATGGCTTCAAGTCCTGAGACTGGTGTCGAACCAAGGCAGCAAGGAGTAAAGAGGGGTTTGTTGCTTGCTTGAACGTATTGTCTCCGTTCACTCTTTCGTTTACTTTGCACATTGCCCTATTTGCACCAACACAACCAATAAAAAGCGGTGCCTGGATTTGCCTCCCCACGTGGCACAGAAATGATAAAAATATCTGGTCGTTGTTGTACGCCTTGGGCAACAACTCTGTACAGACACAAGGCAGACAAATATTCGTAGACGGCAGACGATATCAAAATGGGACAAAAAAAAGCTGTTCCTCCAGGGTATAGATATGGGCGCGAAGTGTATAGTAAGATAGTCCAAGAGGAGGTCAAGGCGATGGGCAAGACGAGGTTCTAGATGAACTGAAGAGTGAGGGATGCTCACAAGTTGCAACCATAACCACTACTACAGCCATCCAGCCGCCCTTACAACAACAAAAGAGTGTCAGAAGAGCAGTTGAAGCAGCGACAGAGCCAAACACGAACAGATAAATACTCAGACATACGAAGATGCCAATGCCGATGCCCATGTTCCTGTTTAATGTTCTGCATGCGTAGACTAATGTATGCGAGAAAAATGAATTGTATTAGTGAGCAGAGAAGGGCAGGTATTCGAAAAGAGAGTCGATGAGAGCACCGACCAGGCAACCGCAAACACTAGCAATACTGGCAGGTCGTGGACACACTTGTAGCATGCTTCCTGCGGGGCATGAGAACTCAGTGGAAGGCATTAACCCTTGGAATGGTGGCAGAGGACGTGCTTTGCCTGTCAAACACATCTACATCCCACTGGGACCAAATAGTGGATTGCATCGAGTATTGTGCTGTACAGTTTTGTGCACATGCTTGTTATACTTCTGTGTTCGAGAAAGATAACTCGGATGGTAGCCCGATTCAGCGCAGACTCTTGGTACAGAAATAGATGGAAGTGTACACAATTGCACAAGCACTCTCTTCTGGGCGCCCAAGGCGAGGGAGAAAGACAGGGCGCTGCTGCCACGCTTGTGCCTCTGCCATTTTGTCTTTTCTTCCTCTTTTCTCCTTCTTCTTCCGCCTCCCTGCCTCCCTGCCTCTCTTTCTCCCTGTTCCCGCCAGCTCCTACCCAACGAGATCTTGCAGCACGACCGTTGAAGTGTATTAAAGAATAAAGAAAAAAAAAAAAAGAAAAAAAAAAACACCAGGGGAATCTCACTCCACTCCTACTGTCCCTGTTATCGCTACCTCTCTTTTTACCCACTTTCTTGAATCTGGACCGAAGAATGATGAACCTTCAGAAGACCAGATCAGGATCAACAGCAATGACCTGGTGGGCCTGTCTGTCCCTCGCCGCAGCCCTCGGCCTGGTTCAGGGACAATCCCCTGTATGGAACAGTAATTGCTATTCGCTCCTGGCCCTAGAAATAAAAATATGAAGTATTAACCTTGGTACTGGAATCTCACACCTCCTATTAGACGACTACAGCGGTCTCTTCGACGCCAACGATTACACCGCCGACCGCAACGACGACGCTAACACCGAGCCCAACGACAACGACGACGACCACAACCACAATTTCCGTCACCACTGTATCCCCGACTTCTCCCATCACCGTCACCACCATACCCTCCGCAACGACCCCTTCCTTCACCACCACAGCAATCTCCTCCGACCCCCTGCCTCCACCTACCACTGCATCAACCCTTCCCCCAACGACCTCCACCCTATCAACGACCTTCAGTCCAACACCCACCATCGGCACAAGCAGAGCCTCTACCTCGTCCAATGTCCCTGTCATTGTCGGTTCCGTCGCAGGAATAATTGCCGTTATCATCATCGTCGCCACGACCATCATCTGCTTCCGCCGCAGGAGACGCAACAACCGCGAGCTGACCTTCGACCCCCTTCAGGGGATTGGCGCCTCGGGCGCAGCCTCACGCCAACGTGCCAGTCAGCGTTACACTACCAACAATACCGGACCTGCCACTGTCGGCATGGCCAACATAGCCTCAGGCGGATATGACGACGGATACGACTATGGTGCCCAGTCCAATGTCGTTGCCTCTCAGGCCTACGGCAACGGCCATGGAGTCTATCCCGACAATGGCTATGACACCTACGGCGCCCATCAACAGGCCTACCAGAACCCGTCCATTTTCCAGGAGGACTCCCTTGCCTACGCAGGCGCTATGGGTAGGAGCCGCGCAGGCTATGATCAAAACCTACCCGAGATCATGTATAGGAATGGCGACGATTTGGGCACCGCCGGCGATACTACTGGATACTACGACGATAACATGTACAACCAACAGGCGGGATGGAACCAGAGCATGAGCGGCGGATACATCGGACCCAAGGGTCTCTGGATTGCCAACCCTACAGCCCCATACCAGCAGGAGTACCAGCAGGAATACCATCCAGAGCAACAGACCGACATTGAACTCCATGAGCATCAGTCAGCGCCGGTACCCATGTCTTATGAAAAGAACTCGATCAATCAATACGACAACTCTTCAGATACCGTCGTGGACTCTGCCAGCAGTCCCTCAAGCAAGTTTCGTGGCCACAATCCCCAGGCTCTACCGGAATCTCCACGTTCGCAGCAGTTGAGAGGCGGCGATCTCTTTGGAGAGGATGCGAACGCTGCTCCATCTTCGCCTCGTACAACGGCTGCTGCGGCAGGATTACCAGCTCCAGGAAACCCACAGGATACCACGAGGGCTGCCACGCCGCCATTGAATTCAAGTCCTCGGTTGATGAGCAGAGGAGATATGCGAAGCTTTGAGATGGCAAGACATTCGCCCACAAGATCCTCAGGAGAAGGAGTGCAGAGTTATGCAAACGACTATGTAGGGGGGCGTCCTTCAGTCTCAGATCGACCTTCGCTTGACAGTGGATCCAACTTGAACCCTGGCAAGAGTTTGCGGACACAGCGTCGAGAAGACTGGTCATAAACGGAGCAGCGATGTTCTTACGATCATTCTCAGTGCCTTCTTTTTTTTTTTTTTTTAACCTTTTCACTATATCTAGTACCCCTGACAATAATTCTTAGTTATCATGGTTCATCCACCATGCTCTTCTTCTCTCTCCATTTTGTTTCGAAGCATTTTCTCACGTAGAAGACAAATGTGTGAGCGACAAAGGAAAAGAAAAGGACGATGCACCCTATGACTCTTCAGTTCTTTACGATACCAGTGATATGACGACCTGGCCTGCCTTGATGGCAGGTTCACAGGATATGATTCTTTCATGATGGACAGCTCTGTGAGCTGGCCCAAGCCCAAAAACCCCCCCCCCCCCAATAAAATCCACTTTCCTGGACTGGGCCTGATACGAATGTGATTCGCACATGCTTTAGACAATCGTTTGATGAATAGTGTCAGTCGAAAGGATGGCTCGCACGAAGAGCTTTGAGATACAATGCAAGACGACTTTATTAATGCGATGTCGGTAGAGGTGGAGATGGAGATAGTGATGGCGGTGGTAGTTGCGACGGTCTAGTCTACTCTTCGGCCTTTTTCTTCTTTTTCTTTGGCATGTCTTCAACTGGTGGCACATATGCCAACTCGCGCTCCGCCTGTCGCTTCAGACTGTTTTCCTTTTGCTCCTCCTATCGACGCGTTGATTCAACAAAGAAGCATAAGCGGTAAGTATTGCGGTTTGCACAGAAATAAAACTGACGGCCCAAAAAGAAAAAAAAAATACAAAACCAGAGAAAAAGAGATTACGCACCTTCTTCTTCTCCATGGCTCGTGCTTCCTTCTCCTTGGGCTTCATAAAGTATTCTCCGCTCTCCAATTGCAGATCGATCTTGCTTGGTGTCTGAGCTGGTGGGAATGGCGTGTAGTCCTTCTTGTCCTTCTTCGACACCTTCTTCTTCTGAGGCTTGACGTTCTTCTTCTTGAAGTGAGGCAAGAACCGATCCCAGGACTCCTCTGCTAATTTCGGATCCTTGGCCAACTCACGCTTGATCATCAGCTCCTTGATGTGGTAAATAGGGTGAACGTTGTTCATGCAGTCGATAATAATTCGGCGAACCTCCTTCAATCCTTTGTAGGGTCCCATGCACGAAACTGTGTTGCCCTGCACCATAATGTAGCACTGTGTCAACAACTCCATGGCCTTCAATGTCGATCCGTTGGGTCCCAGGAGGCGCTGGCGACGCTTTACAAAGCGCTCCTTGTTGCGCACAATGTTTCCAATCTTGATAATATCACATGCAATGCCATCCTCCAGAATCTTGAGGGCCTATAAAAGAGACGTTTATGTTAGAACATATTTCGCAGTCGATCTCCAGGTCGTTCGTAACCAACTTTTTCCTTCCTTTCCATTACCTGAGGCAAAGGAACACTTCGTGCCAACAGCTTGATCAAATCTCTGGCCTTGAGAATCATATAAGGATCCCAAGTTTTACGGGTTGTCTTAACAGTCATACTACCCTCAACCAAATCCAGGACACAAGCAATGCCGACTTTCTCCAATGCGCGAGTAACATGTCCCCAGACCTCTCTCAAATAGTTTTCTCTGTATTTGGGAAACAGTGTTGCGAAAGACGATTCTTCTGTGAATGGTGCTGGATTGAACTCGGGCTTGAACTCCTCGACCCTCCAGTGATCAATATCGTCCGTGTCCCAGGCTACGTGAAAGGCAGGGGAAAAAAGCAAAGAGATGGTCAGTGCCCGAGAATAATTGTGATCGCAAACAAAGCTCGGGGTCATCTTTGGGTCGGTATGAGTCTGAATTGCCCTATTTGTGCTCCAAAACGTCGTTCCTCTCGGTTCATATGTTTGGGGGGCCACCTTGCTGTTTCCTTGCAGAAAGAATTTGCTAGAACAAGAGAGCAAGCACACTTACGCTTTTCCCTGCGATATTTTCCTTGCTTTCCCTTCTTCTGAGGGATCTCCTCGACGGGATGATCCTCCTGAACAGTCGATGCAGCCTCTTCAGCAGACATTATGGGTGATGAATGATGAGTGTGATGAGTGTTGAACGGTGCAAGTTAATGGTTTCGATAGCGAAGAAGGAGGCTAAAAAAAAAAAAAAAAGTTGTGTTGTTAGTGGCTTTTCTTTGCAGGCCATCAGTCAATTGAAGTCACACTGGTGCTTGACCCCTCACTCCACAAATTGGGCTTTGACCTTCTGGGCACGCGTACTGTCCTTCCCCATATTCCACTCTCCCTGACAACCCAACGACCATGGCATCAAGAGAAAAGACAGCATCGACTTCTGCATCCTCAGGACGTGTCTCCTTTGGCTCATCTTCCACCGCCACCTCAGCCTCAACCAACGTCGCAACGTAAGGCAACCTCTCTCTTGTCATTCTCAAGGACCAACGCCTCTATTCACACTTGCGTCTTTGAGGGTACACGCTCCTAGTGAAGGTGAAGGTCGATGCTGCAGTAAACTGACAATGGACTTGTTATCGTCTCTATTTGCTAGTTCGACTTTGATCAAGCTCGCTTTCTTCACGGCAGCTATGATCTTCCTCCCTATCGGAACCTACTTTTTTACGCTCGACCGGTACTTTGGTGGTAAGACGTCCTTGGACAAAACAGCAAAGCAGGGGTGACGGAAACAGGTATTAACAGCAGCATCGCTCAAACCCTCTTAGGGAACGCAACCTATTCCGGGATCAGCGCCGCGGTGATGGCCAACGTTGTACTCTTTGCATACGTGATCGTTGCTGTGCTCGAAGACTCTCAAGCAGGACCGTCACCAGTCTCGATGAAAAAGCAGCAGTAAAAAGTGAAATAGGAAAGAATAAACTGCAGACAGGCATGACTTAATAGATACAAACACACTCTGGAAAGGGTACTTGAAACTAGGAAAACGGGCAATGTTTTGTTTATTTGTCAACATCCGACTTCACCACCGCTGATTTCTGCTCCAATGAAAGACCCGGGACAGCAAACACCAGGCATCTCTCAGTATCCTGCTTGTCCTTGTATGCACCTTCGAAGACCAGAAACTTGAATATTTCCCGGACACGCTGGCCCATGCCGCTGCCAATCTCCAGGATGATATAGCCATTCTTGGACACAATGTGACTAGGACCTGGCGTCTCGAGATCTCGGAGCAGGCAGGCAGCCAAGAGTTCATACGCACCAAAGCCATCCTGATCTGCGAACAGTGCGACTGGCGGCTCATATTCAGTTCCCGCAAAAGTCTTTGTCAGCTTACTTACTTTCTTGCTGTCCAAATATGGTGGGTTGCAGACAACAAGATCAAACGACTGTGAGAGGCCAGGGCAGTCTTCCAAGTGGCCCATGTCCCCAACTTGAAAGCAGGCCCGATTGACCAGATCATGGAGCACGCTGTTGGCTTGTGCAATCTCCAATGCTTCCTGACTGATGTCAACGCCGACTCCTGTAGCGGACGGAAGCGACATGAGCAGTGCCAGCAGCAGGCAACCACTCCCTGTACCCACGTCCAGAATTTTGACCGCCCTGTTCTGAGCTCTAGCAATACCAGCCTGGACGAGTGTTTCTGTGCTGGAGCGAGGGATCAGTGTGGCCGGGGACACTTTGAATCGCATATCGAAGAAGTCCTACGAATGTCATCAGTTCAAAAAAAAAAAAAAAAAAAAAAAGCGTCAAGTGTGGTTCCTTTGTCAATAAACGTCTGCGTCAAGCGGGCGGTTCCTTTATCCATACTCGTTACATCTACAAGCCCTAAAAGCGCATCAACCTCACAAGACGAACCTTTTCGCCGACCATATAGGCGATCGGTCGATCGGCCATACGATCATAGGTTGATAAAGGATCAAGACCTCCTTTTCGAAGTTCGTCCTGATCGCTCTCCTGTCGCCGTTGGGATGCCTTCTGTTCTCGGTTACGCAGCTGTTCGAATTTGAATGGCTCCTCTATATGTACGTCGATCAATTTCTTGAGCGTAGGATGAACAAAGGCCACTCTGACAAGCGCCGACATTAGTCCCTTGCCGCGGCTTGATTTGAGGGGCTTCGTGTTGCCGCTTTCGCCTACTACAGGATGCTGTTTCGCCATCAAGTATCGACGTACATTTACGCCCATGTAGGGCGAATGTGGGGTAACATCCAGCGTTGAGATGCTGCCTGCTTCATTCGATGAAGTAACTTTGACCACTTCGATATCACTAATGCAGTAAGCATCTAGAGTAGCAGGATCAGCGGGAACCGGCCTGCCGTTGTCGTTGACGGTACTGGGAGCTGTGTCCTCATGACTGCCAGGCTCGCTCCCTGTCCAGGCGCCGTGACAGATAACACGGAAGGTCCTGTTGATCTCTCCGTCTCCGTGCATTCGCAGTAGTGTCGAGCGCATATCCATTGTCCTTGCCACAATAACCTATTTGCAGTGGTGGGTATGATTTAACACTTCATGCCAACAGTATGGTAAAGAGTGCAGCACGAGTGTCTTTACGAACCAGCCCATTGGATGCTTTTTCCAGCCCATGTACAGCGCACGGGAGACGGTGCTGCTGCCCTAGTGTTGGTGAGATGTTGGACAACATGTAGTAGTCGTCGCCATCGTCGTCGTCCCGTTCTTCCTCTTGATTATCGCGACCCTGTTCCTTGATCAAGCATTCCAGTTCACTTGTCTCCTTATGTTGAGCCTGGGTCTCGGCATCCCCGATAATGGTACTTGGTGAGAGCGAGAATGGGAGCATGTAACTGAAAGAGACCATCGTCTTCCCTGAGGGCTTGACCACCACAGCCAGTTCGTCGTCTTCGTAACGCACGTCCAGCTTCTCCCTGCCATAGATAGACTCGTGGGCAGCATGGCCGTCAAAATTGATCTGAACCAAGTCGCCCAAGGATAGGATCCTGGTCACTTCTGCGGTAGCGCCATTGATGGAGACCTATGCATGGCCATCAATTGCTCGTCAGCAACACCATATTGAAACGCATTCTTGAGCGTCGTTTGTCACACAACTGTTCCCTGTGACCGACGCAGATCAGACTCATATTTTTACCTCTCCGCGCTTGAAGCATCTACGCATCTGTTCTCTCGACTTTACAATTGCCTTCCATTGGCTGAGAACGAACTTCCAGACTCGCGTCCCGTTGTCCTCCTCCTTGACGACGGCCTGGTATATCTTCATATGGTCCTTTACCAGAGTCTTATGAGGACAGCTTGCTTTGCAGTTGTTATTGCTCAGCTGCAGTTCTTCGGACTGTCATTTGTTCCACTCTTTTGTTTCCCACGACTCAGCTATTTTGGTGAATCTCCAAATTGAACAGCGGCCTGGATCACCTGGATCGCCATGGATAGCTATGGCGATGGCGTTATCCATCGGCACCGACTGTTGGCACGCGGCCTATGGACTAGGCTCTTCATACTATATAGTTAAAGCCAAACGGCGATTTTTTTTCTAACGCCTTCTGGACTTATTGTACCTGTGCCCAACAACCAGCAAGCAGCTCTTACTCACTTTTCTTTCCGCTCTCACTCCATCACCAAACCATGGCCTCTCCATCGCCCTCGACTTCTTCCATGTCCTCTCAGTCCCGCCCCGAAAAGAAGGCGTCTGTCCTTGTCCGTCTGGCAACTGCAGAGGACGAGGCACAGATCAGCCAGATCCATTCAGTCATCAACCGCGCCTACAGATCAGGTTGGTTGATGAGCGCTAGAGTCTAGTTTCGTTTGCAACAACGGCTGGCCCACACTCCTAGCATTTTCAATTGCTCGTGGATCCATGTGTTTGCAGTATTTCAATACATGCAGACTAACATAATTCTTCTCGCACCTGCTGCACGCTGAATATCATTATATTTCTAGAGGGCGGATGGACCACCGAGGCACATTTGGGTTAGTCTACTGCAACCACTTCCGTGAACAGCGCCACAGCTATCCATCACCGTTCGAAGTACTCATTTTCGCATGCTTCATTTTTTCTGCACGCTCGTAGTGAGCGAAGAGCGCATCACGGTCGATGAATTGAAGGCGGCCTTGATTGATAAGGTCAATCCGCTTTTGCTCGCCTTTGACAGCGAGACTGGGCAACCTTTGGGCACACTCCAGCTTGAGCCTGCAGAACACTATCCCGATTTCGGCGAGTACAAGAGGGAGGGCTTTGTGCCAACTTATATTGAAAGCCTGCCTAAAGACCAACAAATTTTCTTGGGTCTCTTCTCCGTGGATCCGTCTCAGCAGTCTCGGGGCATTGGCCGCAAGCTGGTCGAGGCGGGATTGCTTCACGCCAAAGAAAACATGAAGCGTACGCAGTGTATCGTCTATGTGCTCTACATGCGTGACGAGCTGATCGGTTGGTACAAGAAGCTGGGTTTTGTGGACTATGGCGAGAAGGTGCCTTTCCCCGACGTTAGCCGTCTTAAGCATGAGGACACTCACTTTTCAGTCCTTCGTCTTGCTCTGTAATTTATCGAGGAAATAATAAAAAAGACCTTCGAGTTCTCTTACCCAACATCATTGCAAAGTACGGAAGATGGAGGGAAGAGCATGCTTATGTATAAAAACAATATTTTCTATTGGAAAAATGCGATCTATCCGAATCGATAGGCGGTTGCTTTCATAGTAGGAATTTGAGCCAGTCAAGCCAGCTTTCGCTAAAAAAATTGGTGGCGAAAAAAAGGAGGCCGCAGGATTTTTTTACACGGGTTTTGTGCGCGCTGCTTAGGCCCCAGATACCGTAGAAGAAGCCGATGCCCTGATAAGGAACGAATGTCGCTTTACTTGGATAACTCGGGCGTTTTGAATCGATTGATATAGTAGCTTTTGACAAGTCTGGAGCTTATCGGGTCATCCCAACTTTGAGCGCATTTTCCTCTCTCCTCTCAATTGTGGTTCGGAGTCAAACAAAGCCACCAGTAAACACCCCACAGTTGCCCCGGTTGCTGATCAGCGTTCACACTTCAGCTCATCCTGCACCTTCACCGCCATTCCTCTTTCATGACCATGTTGCGCTCGGCTCTTCGTCTGCACAAGGTACACGCATAAATGCTTTCTATCGTTCTTGTTTGCATGAATATAGATGGGTATACAGGAGCAAACTGACGCTGTTTCGCGCCTGCGTTCGTGATAGTCCTTCGCCTCGCCGTTGGCGTCCTTCAGGGCAGCTGCCAGACTGCACACTGTTCCTCCATTGCCATACACCGTCGCCTCTGGTGTTAGTCCCCTGCTGTCCCCTGCAGCTCTGAAGATCATCTACTCGGACCACCAGACAGGCCTCGTTAACCGTCTGAACGAGCTGATTGCAGGTACCGCGTTTTTTCATTTTTTTTCTGCAAGTGGAGGGCTTACAGGGCCATCCAAGAGAACACATCTTAGGCATATCATTGTCTTCATATTTAAAAGATGGACTAATAACAGCGACTGTATCTTTTATGGAAATGTCAAATCGGCCTTAGGCACGCCATATGAGGAGAAAGCATTCTACCAGGTCTTGATGGATAGTGCGTGCTCGCTCAACGAGGCCCAGATCTTCAACAATGCTTCGCAGGCATGGAACAACGACTTTTTCTTGCGCTCTTTGGTATGTAAATCTCTGGTTGCCGTCTTGACGTCCTTCTGTAGGCCTCTGAAAGATATAATTGGATACAATTGTGGAGTCTAATTTTGTCCTGATTGCTTCTATATTAGAGCTCAACACCTAGCAGCATTTCCGACGCACTTGCCAAGCGTCTTTCTGATTCATTCGGGAGTGTGGATGTATTTAAGAAGGAGTTCACGACCAATGCGCTAGGATTGTTCGGCTCAGGATGGACATGGTTAGTTGAGGACAAGGATGGGCGTCTGGTCTTGCTGAACACATACAACGCCGGATCGCCCCATCACCGACGCAGAATGCAGCGCAACGATGAAACAGCAACCGATCAGGATTTTGCTTCGCAGGTCCAGAACCCATATTCAGGCGCGTCTAAATACTCTGCACCAGCAAAACTGATGGCCAACAACAGCTACGTCCCTATTCTTTGCATCTCGATGTGGGAGCACGCCTACATTACGGATTACGGCATCACGCGGGAGGGTCGCCAGAAGTATCTGGGCAACTTTTTTGAGACCGTCGATTGGAGCGTAGTCGAGAACCGGGTTTTCCGCTCCGGCGGATTTTAAGGAGGAGGGATCAGGATAGACTGACATGGTCATTGTTGTTGGACGGCCTGACAATTAAACACATACATACATAAAGCATTTCTTTCTTCGATAACAAACTGCCTACAAGAAAGATATATGATATGTCTGTCCATTTGCAATTGCAGTATATGCAGCCTGCATTAGAGCCCCACAAATGCGAGAACTGAAAGTAGAGCACTCTATTGGCTGAAGAGGCGCTGCACGTAGAATCTAGATCGCCTGCCTCCTTGCCAATTCCACAATCTCTTCCTCTCCTTCTTTCCCGATCCCCTTCTTCAAACGTCGTCTACAGCCATGGTCAATCCCCGCGTGTTCTTCGACATCGATATTGATGGTCACCGAATCGGCAGGTAGGTGATCTGATTCGGATTCGACACGTCCAGGCTTGTTTACTTAAAAAAGCACCCCTGTCTCCCCTCAGATATGCTAACCTCCTCCTTTTAAATGTCCTTCAGGGTTATTATGGAACTCTTCAAGGATGAGGTTCCTCTAACGGCCGAAAACTTTCGTGCCTTATGCACAGGTACGAGCTTGTAGAAAACGATCCATGTGAAAATGGCGGTATCAATTGCACTCGCTAAACCTTTGATGTGTATCTTATCCCTTGTGGTCTTCAGGAGAAAAGGGCGTCAGCAAGATCAGCAGTGTGCCATTACACTACCGCGGATCTATCTTTCATCGGTACTACAGATATCAGGATATCGGTGTCAATTGTCTAGATTGCCTGTGCAAGACTGCAACCTGATTTAACCAGCAGAACTTTTTTTACAGGGTCATCAAGGGGTTTATGATTCAAGGTGGAGGCAAGTATTGCCCATTACAAAAAAAGGCTATCGAAACCCATGGTCCAGGCCCTTCCAGGTGTACCCTGAGACTGACCGCCGATGCTTTTTCCTACATTCATAACGATAGATTTCACAAGGCGTGATGGAACAGGAGGTGAAAGTATTTATGGAGGACTATTGCAAGATGAAGGAGGATTCAAACGGAAACACGACACAGAAGGTATGAAAACATTGACAGAGCCGCATGGCGATCATTTTATTGCATGGTCGGCTGTTACCAGGAGCACTTAACCAAAGATACCTTACTCTCATGTTTGACAACTTCCTGTAGGCCTGTTGTCAATGGCCAACAAGGGACCCAACACATCCAGCTCTCAGTTCTTCTTGACTACTCGACCAACTCCTCATTTGGATGGTACGAAACAGCACCCTCCGAGTATTATGTGCAGTACAAATCGTTCGGTCAACTCATCTTCTGATCGAACTCATAATCATAGGGAAACACGTCGTGTTTGGACGCGTTGTGAAGGGATATGATGTGGTGGAAAAGGTTGAAAACACTCCGACGGACGAGCGCAATGACAGACCATTGAGCATAATCATGATCTCAAACTGTGGCGAACTCGAACTCAAGATACCACCCAAGCTGCTGGAGCAGCAGAAACAGCAACAGGCGGGCGCGGATCTTAAGCCGCAAGGTCAGAGCGGAAGCTCAAAAAAGAGCCGCAAAGGCAGGAGCGACAGCGACAGTGAGAGTGCATCCGAAAGTGGAAACGAAAGTGACTCCGATCGTCGCTCCGCAGGAAAACAAAAGCATCGTAAGGATCACCGCCATTCGCGCTCACGATCTCGAGCCTCTTCTGACTTGGAATCTGACTCGGAAAAAGACAGGAGCCACCATCGAAAAAGAAAGGAGCACTCGTCAAGGCATGATAGGAAGAAAGGGCGCTCCAGTAGAAGTGGTCGTAGCCGCAGTCCCAGTCGAGGCCGCAGTGAGCGCGGCAACAAGAGATCGGAGCGATCTCGCTCTCGCTCACCTCCCTCATTAGCTCCAAAGAACGATACCACACAGAAGGCAGATACTAAAGACGACGTTGAGTACTACAGTCGTCGACGCGAGGCCGTGCGGATTGAGCAACGGGCACGCTCTCGCTCTCCTGAGATCAAGTACAAGGGAAGAGGGATTATGGTAAGCTAAGCAGAGTGGACTGGAGCGCAACCTTGTTTTGTTATTTTACATGGTGACACATTGCATCGACGTCCATCGTCTCACATGCGATGTCGTGCTTCATTTATGGTGTCTTGACATAGAAATATCGTGAGAGTCGACCTCGCTGGTAGACTGGTTGTCCTAGTCCCTTTTCGCTTAGGGCAAACCTCTGGAAACAAGCAAGAGCCCCCCCCCTCTGCATGCACGTCTTGGCAGCGCGATCAGTATCTAAAGAATAAAGGCTGTATTAAAGAAACAGGTTTACGCTCAACACAGTGAATGGCTCAAGAGTCCTTTGGAAGAGTAAGCGAGGTCAACCAGGGTAGGGCCTATCCGCAGAGGGGTGTCTGCGACACCTTCTGCAGCTTGACGTTTGTACATGCACATGCACATGTAGAATATACCGCATGAACAATGCAAAAAAAGATTTTGTGTATGTAACAACTGCGCCCTCACTGGACAGAAAGAGAGAAGAGGGTAACAGGGTTTGCCACCAACGCCCGTATATAAACTTGCATCGCCACCACCCATATATAAACTTGCATCGCCAACCGCAGCACCTTTGTCTTCTTCTCCTTTTCTTCTTCATTTTCCCCGACCCATTCTTCTCAATCCCACTCTACACCCCCACACTTCCACGCCTCCCTCCCTCCCTCCCTCTCTCTCTCTCCCTCTCTCTCTTATCGCGCTTTCCTTCAGAGGCATTCTTCTTTGTACCCTTGGTTGATTGTAAGTACAATGTGCAGGTTTCGTATCTAGCCTCCTTCGCCACGTACCTGCGAATCTACTCGATACCACTCGTTGACATTAACGACGTCCACCCCCGCTTGCCCACCATCGCCAATAGCACATTTAACACATATATCGAGCATGAGTTCTGGATGTACAAGCGACGATGACTTTGTGGGTAGGACGCGTCGCAATCAGTTTAAACCTGTGTCATAGCTCGACCAACCTTTTTGTCAATCCCACACAATCGCGCACACGTGGATTTTTCTAAACGTCCTTGTGAACTGCGCTATAGACTCGTCTGAGTATGAACACTATGGTTCGCAGGATGAAAGTTCTGGTACGTCGTTTATTATGGCAATGGAATCTACTCTATAAAAGTGCTATCCAGCAACCTCTCATTCTTACTGACTCCCGGTCTTTTTTTTATTTTCATTATGTAGTTACGGATTTTGACCAAGTGGACGAATTTGAATTCGCAGATATGATGGCCGAAAAGTATCGCAAAAAGTCATACGAAATCGAATTTTCTGTTCTCTTTCAGGAGGATATCACAGCAGCTCAGGTCAACGCCTCGAGCCATGTGGCTGGCATGCTCGGGGTCTCAGACAATCAAGCAGTGGTGCTACTCAGGACATATAAATGGAACATCGAACGTCTAATCGAGCAATATATGGAAAACCCGGAGAAGACATTCGACCAAGCAGGTGTAGTCGTTGATGCAGCCCAGGCACCAGTCATGGATCGGCCGAGCGAATTTGAATGTTTGATCTGCTATGACAACAGTCCTGGCGGCGATGCCCTGGGATTGCAGTGTGGACATATCTTTTGTCAGGCCTGCTACGAGCAATACTTGACTCAAAAGATCGTCGATGAAGGCGAATGCCGGAGAATTCGATGCCCCGAGTCGGGCTGTGCCGTTCTTTTGGATGAGCACACGATCGGCAAGATCGTCTCGGTGCCAGTGATGGAAAAGTAAGGAACACTACACCTGTCATTTTGTACGGCTTGACGATGCAGCATTCTCTTACACGTATACACAACGTGCCTTTATGTTTGCTCTGCGTAGATATCGAGTGCTTCAGGATAGAGAATATGTTGCTGAGATGGACAGTCTTCGATGGTGTCCAGGCCCCGATTGCGAGAACGCGGTCGAATGCCAGCTTCCCCACTCCTCCTTCACAACCATCGTACCCGCCGTCAAATGTGCCTGCGGATATAAATTTTGCTTCGGATGCGGCCAGAACGATCATCAGCCAGCGCCTTGTCGTCTGGCCAAGCTGTGGCAGAAAAAGTGCGCAGACGACTCTGAAACGACCCACTGGATTTTGACTTACACGAAGGAGTGCGGCAAGTGTCAGTCCACGATCGAAAAGAACGGAGGATGCAACCATATGACTTGCCGCAAGTGTCAATATGAATTTTGCTGGGTCTGCATGGGGCCATGGGAGGAGCACGGCTCGAACTGGTACACCTGCAACCGGTTCGAAGAAGTGGAGAGCGCGGAAGCGCGCGATCAACAAAACAAATCTCGCGCTACACTAGAGCGATACCTTCATGTGAGTATCAAAAAGTAAGATATCTTGAACACTGCAAGTTAGACCAGATGACTAACCAAGAGAACTTTTTTTTTTTTTTAATGCAGTATTACAATCGCTTTGCAAACCACGAGCAATCAGCCAAACTCGATCAGGAGCTGTACAACCGGGCTGAGAAAAATATGGAGGAGATTCAGCTGACGAGCGCCCTATCGTGGATCGAGGCCCAGTTCCTACAGAAGGCTGTGGATACTTTGACCTCTAGTCGCATGGTGCTCCGCTGGTCCTATGCGTTTGCGTACTATTTAGTTAAGAGCAACATGACGGAGCTATTTGAGGATAATCAGCGCGATCTCGAGATGGCAGTAGAGGCGCTCAGCGAGTTGCTAGAAAAGCCAATTGAGAAGGAGACAATTGCAGAGCTGAGGCAACAGATCATTGACAAGACAGTCTATGTTTCCAGCCGCCGGGAGGTAGTGTTGGAGGACACAACAAAAGGCCTTGCGGACGGTCTTTGGGAATACCATATTGACTCTGATAAGGCGGAAGTACCCGCTCAGGAGCCCGAAGTGGAGCCAGCAACCGCCCAAGCCGAGCAGGTCGAGCAGGTCGAGCAGGTCGAGCAAGCCGAGCAGGCCGAGCAAGCCGAGCAGGCCGAGCAGGTCGAACAAGCTGAGCAAGAGGGACAAAACGATCAGCCTGAGCGAGTTGCGCGAGTTGCGACCATTGTGTTGGACATGACGAACGATCAACCCATGCACCCCGGAGTCGAGCAAGTAGTCGAAGACGAGCAAGTAGTCCAAGTCGAGCAAGTAATCCAAGTCGAGCGAGTGGTCCAAGTCGAGCAAGCGGTCCAAGTCGAGCAAGTCGAACAACCTGAGCAAGCTGAGCAAGTCGAACAACCTGAGCAAGTTGAGCAAGTTGAGCAAGTCGAACAATAAAATATACCAATCATGCTGTCACCAAAGACACTCAGTTCTGTGTATTTGCCTTTGATTACATTCTTCGATACGGACAACTTACGTCCGTCCGGGCGACCATAATGCCTCCCTTCAGGAGGGCGGTCTGGCAAATATTCGCCATGTTTTAAACATTGCAGATCCTCATACTTGCGCGTGGAAATGGAGGTGGATTTATCTTTATCTGAACATTCATCGGCGCCGGCTTCTTTCATGCCTGGCTCTGGATCTCATTAGAGAACGAGACCGAGAGCGGGATCTGGAGCGAGATCGAGAGACACTCCGTGATTGCTTTCTCATCCTGTCTCTCGACCTGCTGCGACGCCGATCTCGATTAGGGCTGGCTCTACGTCGCTGGCTGTGGCTGGTACTGCTATTATGGCTTCTGTTCCTGCTCCTGCTCCTACTGCGAATCTTGCCACGGTCTCTGCTTCGACTTCTGCCACGGTCTCTACTGCGACTCCTTCCATGGGTGCGGCTTCGAGAATGATCACATTGCTGTGTACTAGCTCCACTGTGACGAGATCTGCCAGGGCTTCTGCTAGAGCTCCTGCTGCGACTTTGGCGACGCATACCACTTGGGCTTTTTCTGCGGGAACTGATATCGCTGCCGCGACGACTATGCCTCTCTGACATAGTGTTTTCGCTCGAGGGCTCTGGATCTCGAGGGCTTGTGTCGAGACGTTTCTTTTCCAGAGGCATTAGCGCAGAATCCTGTCCTGCGGATGGAACATCGCCCTTTTGGCGCGCCTGAGACAACTCTTGCTCGCGCTCCTTGGCCTGCCGCTTGATTTCGTTGGAGCGAACTATAGCACATGAGGGCCATATCATTAAGTCGTTAGTGTCTCCATTCTAAGTCGCAACAGCTATATCCCGAAAGAGTTGGTCTGTATATTGCTTTGAACACAGCTCATCCGAAACAATATCAACATACTAGATTGATCCAAGCCTTGACGCATCCGCTGCTTCAGCTTCTCAGCGAGGCTCAATTTAACTGGGCTGCTCAAACTTGTCGCGTTTGAATTGCTCGCTGTAGTCGTCACAGGAAGGCTGATTCCCAAAGGCCGCCGCATGGTCAAAGGATCTTTGATCGTCTTTTCTCTCGAGCTTGGCGTGTTTCGAGTGTCCGTGGAGCTAAATGTCAACGACGATTCGTGATCCATCCAGGAACCATCCCCTTCGCCTTCGCTGTCAGCTTGAAATTCCACGATGAACTCCACATTTTCTTCCTTGGGCGATGCAGATGCAGAATGTGAGGAGCTAAGGCCAGCAGGTAAACAAATGTTAGTAATAAATACGTGCAGGCTCTGCGACGCTGTTTCCCGCCGACACTCACCTTTCACGATACGGTTCGTAGGATGGGCTTGAGCGCCTCGTGCTTCGATAGGCTGGTGACGAAGACCGGTTGCGTCGTCCTCTGCGTCCGCTGCCGCCGCTTCTCCGTCCCTTTAAGCTATGCAGACTTTCAATCTCTGATGCTTTCAATGGCCTCTTTCCTGCCAGTGTGCGTTCAAGATTCTACCAGTGCAGCACAAACGCTTCACATCATTAGTATCTCCGTGGTGCTAGAGAGGGTACGTTGTCACAAATGATCAGACATATTAAAGGAATAACTGGACCTACTACAGCGGCGACCTTGAGCTGCATAACTCTTTGGTCCTGTTCTGTCTTTGCAATCCGCAAAAGACGATGATAATCCTGAATGTTGAATTTGGAGCCTAGAGAATCTAAAATATCCCGCTCGCGTTGTGAGAGATCGTCCAAATGATCCAAAATGTGATCCTCTTCCAACGGCGACAACTCTTTTTCGATAAGGCGGCCGGTTTCCTTTTCATCATGTACAACCTCCGTGCCGTAGTTGAAAGCAAAGTTGGAGGCTGTACTTGATGCATCCGCGGATTTGTGCTTTCTGCAAAAAAAGCACCACCATGAAATGTGATGTTAGGACCCTGTTCAGTATTTGACACACTTCCGCATCCTTTCATTCAAACATGGAGCTGGAGTACTTTTCGGGTGTTTTCCCAATCAGGGCTTGGTGTCTTGCGACAAGTTCATTCCATTCTTCTTCATTATCGATAAGGCATTGCTCCTCCGATACTATGTGCAGAATCGTCAGGAAACTTTGGTCAGAGGCTTCATTTTCACCGCTTAATGCACCTTCAAATCGACAATGAAGTCAAGGTTACACGTACCATGAAGACGTTCCTTATCGACTAAATCATGCCAGCGCTGAAAGCGTAGTTCATTTCCGGCACCATCTTCGTCTCGATCAAGCCTCAGTCCAGATTCAATCATGGCCGCTGTTGCCGACGGCAAATAGTCAAGCAACGCCCTGCCATCAAATCGATCGATCTTTACGGAAGAATCGCTGCCCCATGGCATCCTGGACAATAGGTGGAAAGGCAGAGGTTGAAATTAGCCCACTGATTGTCAAGGTATTTGGTCCGCTGCGTGTACATCATATGCTGAGACACTTACAGGTTGCTGGGGTCTTCGTTGAACGTGTACGCCTCAGGATTGGTTACTACAATGCAACAGTTGATTGTAGGTGAGCATGCTGAGTATAAAATCCTCGAGAGTACAAGCGCTCTGGATGTTGATCATCCATGTTACCTAGCGGCACTGCTGTTCCTGAAACTCTCAAAAGTTGCATTGGATCCCCTATCTGGATATAAGAATATCAAAATGAGTAGATTGATTAAGCTCCCATATGTCAGTTGCAGTAACCTACATTTAGGAAGAAACCAGTTGATTACCCTTGAATCATAATAGGCTCTTCTCCTCTGGGCCCGGCGTCTGGCGTTCTCGATCAGGTCCTTGACCCTCCTCTCTTCCTTTGCCACGCTGTGACGATAGGGTATGTATAGATTCGGATGCGAAAGCGAAGGAGGATATGTTGGTCAGCACTTCGTATACAACACAAACATTTGAGCATGGGTGCTTCCAAGGCGTAGCGATCCAGACAATGCCGTACGTTTTCCACATGATGCGTGAATGAGTTGATGAAAAGAGAATGAAATATGAATTTAGCAGTGATCTCAGAACTCCTACTTGCGTTTACAGACGGTCACATTTTAAATAGTCGAGAGGGTCGCGCATTGACGCGAGGCGCGATCCAGAAAATCTGCACTACATGTCATTTATGTGTAGTTACGGTCCAACGATCATCTCGAGGAAGGTTTTATTGAAGTAGAGTATATACAATATGGTGCTGAGTCCAATTCATAAGGCGCGTGCGTTTTGTGCCGCGAATGTGTGGGCGAGTAGGAAACGCAATGCAGGGCCAAAGGAGGAATGACGATATCTAGGCATGATTCCAGTCATCGTCATCATCGTCGTCATCATCTGCGTCTTCTCCGTTCTCGTCTTCATCATCCTCGCGCTCGATTAGTAGGTCCCGTGTCTGGACGCGGCCTGACATCTGCGATGCACTAAGACCCGGCTTGGACCGACGACGCATAGCATCCTGACGACCGTAAGCAACATCCGCTGATTTTTTGAACGTCCTACTGTACGAAGAATCTGTGGACGATGACTCAACTAACGGATCTGTCCCCCTCCCAGCAGTAGCTCGTCTTAAATTTGATGACTTCAAACGTGGCATAGACCTTGATTGGATCTGAACAATGCTTTGACTGCATCTGTCCTCGTCTGCTCCAATGGCCGAGATCAGAAGATGAGCAATCCACAAAGCAGTGCCTATAATCGTTGAACGTGTTCTTAGATGGCATTGTTCGCGCTGAGCAACATCGTTTCAAGCTACTCTTTTTTTTTTTTTTTTTTTTTCTTACCCCCAAGGACGATGCCAATCATTGCTGCGACAGCAAAAAACGAGTAGACAGGCAAAAAGGCTTTGCAGACGTCTCTGGTTACCACGTAGGGTGTTTCCGCCATCGCTGCAACGACCTCAATGGGCTTGGCAACAACGAATCTGGCTCCTTGATAGGTCTTTCTGACGGACCACATGCCCATTCGATATCCCATCCATACTGCTGTGCGGGACATGGCCCAAATGTGGACGCTCTGGATCAAGGACGTCTTTTGCGGCTGCTCCTGTCGCTGCTCAGGCTTCGGCGAGTGGGGTGTTGCTGTGATGAATGAGTGTGCACGAGTAGGTTGAGCTGGTGATGGTTCGTCGGGCTGATTATTGTTATTTTGGTTTTGCGCACTCTGTTTGCCACTGTCGGCCATCTCGTGCAGTTTTGCTACTTGGGTCCGAGTATTCCTGTCAGAGCGACTCTTGTGGTCGACCTCGCCGTCATGGACACTCGCCATCGCTAGAACAGACTTCTCCTCGCTTGGTACCAGGCTATCGAGACGCGATAAGGCCCATCCCGCGCTCTTGAGAGCTGCATCCTGCTGTATGCCAGGGCCTTGTGAAAGGGACTCGCCCGAACTTGCTACTGTTGTCGCTATCGCTGTTCGGGAAGGGTCGACTTTGGGGTGGTGAGCAGAGATGAGGTTTGGAACGGACTGGCTGATGATGGCGAGAAAAATTCCAATGGCTGAAAGTACAAAGAATCGGTTCAAGGTCGAGGGTTCTGAGAGTAGCAGCAGTTCAGTGTCTTGTTCAGGACGAGGTGTGCGAGTGGGCTCTCGGACCGGCACCCTCTGGATGCCAGCGGCAGAGGCTGCAGACATTGCGACGACTTTGGTTCGAAGTAGGTGATTGGGATGAGATGTGTGGGTGGAATGATGAGTCTGGATGAACGAGGAGATGTTGTTGCTGTTGTTGTTTTTGCTGATGTTGTTGTTGTTGGGGTGACAAGAGGCCGTTGGACCCCCTCCCCACGGGCGATGTGCGAACTGGATTTCCTTGGATTCCCTTGGACTCCCTTTTCATTTTCAAAAGCAGCAGATGGACAATCCACCTTCCTTTTTTTCTTTCTTTTCACACCCGCGCCCTCATACCCTCATACCTCATACTCTCATACACAAAACACACTTCTTGGCCATAGCAACCACCCACCTATATATCCCTCTTCTACACTCTTAACTATCCCTTCCTTGTCTCTCTCTCTCTCTCTCTCCCCATCCCTCCCACATTCTACATTGTCTCACCCCATCAACATCATGCCAGAGGTACCCTCAGGACGACAGCGACTCAAGCAATGCGCACGACTGATGCAGCACCATCTCTCAGACCTGCAGCTGATCTTTGACAAGGACCTCCTCAACACCCTCGGATCCGACGGGACAGAATGTGAGTGCATTTCAATTCATTCTCTTCTCTCTATGTCACTCTATCCCCTTCTTTTTAGCGTTGTATCTCACTTTACAAGAATGCGCTGGCTGATGACCCAGTGGAGAAATCTTTTTTCTTTTGAACATAAAACAGATATCGATCTAGTCGTCCTGCAGGAGGCTATACCCGCCATTGGAGACCTCTCAGCAGCTCAATTGCGACGAGCTATCAAATACGATGCCAAGGATGTACTCGAGGTGAGAATCGGCACCCTATCACTTTTTAATTGCCCTTTCTATTTTGTTTCGCAATTGTTTGTTTGCTAACCTGACTTGTTCAATTCGCCGTTTTGGATAATAGCTGCATCCAGAGCTGGATATGGTGCGCCGATGCCGGCCTTTTTCAGAGCCCGAGGCCTTGGATCGGATGTTGTTTGTGGACGATATCGACATCAGTGGATACGAGGACGATCCGACCCATGTTTTTCAGCAATTGCTTCTTCCTTATCCGCTTGCTCTTTCACGGGAATCTGATTCTGGCGACCGCCAGCGCAACGACGACATTGCAACTCCATCTTCTGAGCAGGAGACCTCTGTGGATGAGGAAGCATTCAATCACCAGACAGTCATTCGCCCCTACGGCTATAAGCCCACCAGATTCTTCCAGGGCTTTTGTTACGTCGAGTTCGCATCGAAGGAGCTCAGTTTACAGATGTTGAGCAAGATCCTCGCTCGCAACAACTCTGTGCGTGTCATGCCTATGTAGGATCAAATGACACACTTGTTGTCTTCTGTCGACTCGCATTCAGTATGCAACCATGCCTAACGTCCTGTCTACTGTCTTTTTCTAGGAAACAATGGCGCAAGCTGGAAAGTGAATACCTGAGCCTTAGGACGAAAGGCTCATTTGCATAATGGATAGTTCTTCTCAGGAAGTGCTGCTCGTCGCCATATTTATCGATGTATATAACTCTACTTGTACAATGACAAACAAATAAAAATACTACTGTAGTGCACATTCGAAATGTAGAGCAATGTTTAGAAGTACCAGGGAAAAAAACGGCGGATCGTAATAACCGGTAGAACTGAATTAAGAACGAACTGTCATCTCATCTAATCTCGCCCTGAGCCATCATTTGATCGGCCGCATTGTCCTCCTTCTTGCTTCCCTGCATCCTTGGATATCTCTTTCCCGTATGATCTTGGCCTATTGATTGGATATGCTCTCTCTTCTCCGCAGCCAATCGTTCATGATACCATCTCGCATCTTGCTTACTATTCGCTCCTTGTTTTGTGCAATGCAGCCATGCTCAATGCCACATGCCATAACATCTATTTCGTTATTTTTGATCCTTTTGTGGGTTGCAAAACCATCCCCGCCAAATATAGCGACTGGCCAGCAGTCCACCTTGACCATCACTATCGTGTGGACGAAACCAAACATATCGATGCAAACAGTGTGCCTGAAAGCACGAGTGGCTCCTGTTCGCTGCTGTTCCTGACCATGAACCCCACACTCTCACGCTATTGGACGGCCACACCATTTCAGTTATCATGAAATACATGGTGGGGCGTCAGATGGAACATGTGCACTGTTATGCTTGATATGAACCTTGTCTAATGCGGTTGCAGTAAGAGTCGTTGCACGAGTTAGGCGAAAGGATGCAAGAGCAGGAGCTTCAGAACAAGGCTGCCTGAAAGGTGGCCCGACAGAACATCCCTCCGCTAAGACCCGTCACCTGAGCGAGTTCATGGTTTTTACGCCTACTCACTGCCGCAGATAAGTCAGTAATCAGGTCGACCGGACTGGTAATGTGTGAAAGTAAGAAACTTCTGCGCTTGGACTACACCAACTGGTGAACATCAAGCTACTGCATAATCCACAAGATGCTGCTTGGTGTGCTGAGCAAACTGCTACAAGCTGAATATGAAGGAAGATTCTGGAAATAAGCTTAATATACCCACTTACTAAATGGGGCGGTTGAGATTGGCCTCATTAGTCTAACTTTAAGCACAGGCATGGTGGTCTTTCCAAGGAAGCTATCGCGTAACTATACCAGCCATTTCTCTTATTCACAATTCGTCTACAAATGATAGGCAGGACATTCCTTATGCTATTGGCTAACTTTACCAGCAAGTCACTCACTTCGAATCTCGCGATGATGTTTTCAACCTTAAAGACACACCTCCAACTCAGATCGCCGCAGGGTAAAGGACAGGGAGTCTCTCGATCGCGACAGGGAGGCAATCAGGGCTGAGAAGCAGGAAATCAAAGAAATAGCCAGGGCGGTAGGAACCAGGCGCCAGCAATTAGAGGAAAGAAATGATCTATTGATAAAAGAGAATACCAGGATGCAAACGAACTGGCGCCCTTGAAACCGCGTGAAGGAGCCCAGGAACACAATGCACACTGAGTTTCTGCTGGTGGATAGATCTTTAATCGATATTGCTGTTCCTACGCATAAAGTTGTAAAACCCGCGCTTTCAATTCATCTCTTCTCTCTGCTCCCAGCTGTCCCTCGCGTCTAGCTATCGCCGCGTCTTCGTTCTCCTCCTCCCCTCTCTCCTCATCCTCCTGCACAGGGTTGACTCCCTGCTCAGCGCCATGACCATAAAGACCATCGTTATCGAAGCCATTGAACATATCTTCTCCATCTATTCGCAAGAAGTTATGTTGGACAACGCACGCAAGAATCCACCTGACTGTCCTTCTCACATGCGACCTCTTGCGGATCTTGGCCGGTAAGCTTCTCAGAGATGGAAACCTAGCTTTGAGTATGCCAAAAGCGTTTTCTATTACTACGCGAGCGCGGCCATGATGAGTATTGAATGGTAATTGGTCGCCAGTGGCATTCTTGTATCGGGGTATCACAGTGGGACTCAATGCGTAGGCAGCATCAGCAAGGAGGTAGTCCATGCCCTGAAAGTAGATTTCCTTACTCAAGTAAGCTTGTATGCCTGCGGGTCATGCATCGATCCAACGTAGCCGGTCGAGAAGTAAATAAAGATGTTGTGGTGGTCGGCGAGTCCTGTAGCACCCATTGCATACTCGCATTTTCCAGTGTTGCAAGAGTTGGTGTCGTATGTGGGAGCCGCCTGGAAGGAGAATAGCACTCCATTGACAGCTCCGATCGCGTTCGAGAACCCCTTTTCCTTTCAAAACCACTGTCTAATGTCAGCCTTTGTGCCGTCATCCGGCCAGATTATGTATCAAGGCGCCAGTTCCTTGATCGCACGGATGCACCGCCAAGTATAGTTGTGAACCGATCTCGGCTAACGCCTAAAAGAGAGCGATATGGGGAATGGACACTCCAGACGTTGCGAGCCGAATTAGCGCGACCTTGACTTGAACCTCGACACTCATTTGGGGCATGCTTTCGTTTTTGCTCTGGAAATACCTACTGCCTTCGATCGTTTCCTCTAACCGAGTAAATTGCGTTGGCGTCAATCGAAGACAACCCTTGAAGTGTTGCGAACTATAGAGTGTAAGCACCCTATCCCTTATGTCGGAAGGTATCGTGTCTGGCTGACTCGCAATGCGATAGAGCAATATGTCCTCAGCATAAGTTGCTTGGTTTCGGCTGGCATACTATCGGGATATTGGTGCCCCGTCAACGCAGTCAGTAGGAAGCCTCGTAGACACCGCCGGATGAGACGATCTCTTTCCGTAGGCCATTCCCTTGGCATTATGTGCAGAATACTTGATTATTATTATTATTTTGTGAGCTAAAGGACATGAGAGGAGAGGGTTGAGGATATAGATGTTGAGTGGTGGGGAAAAAATAATTCAGGGGGAAAAACAGTTGGCGATACCCTGACCATGGGCGCGCAATGCGTGTGCGAATTGAAGTGGGTCAGTAACGAGTAGAGTCTTCGATTTTAAATTCGAATTGGGTCAATTCGCCATGTGTCAATTGCCACCAGCCTTAAACGATAGACGCGTGTTGAAGGCTATCTGGCGCGTCAAGGTCGAAGTACTGGCTGCAACTATTCCCATCGATAGACACCAGTCGACAAGTACAAAAGCCTATCATAACAAAATGTGCAAATGAGTTTTCCCTCTTTTTCACACATCCATTCATACATTGCGCCCCCCATTGCTGTTGATATCTTATACATTTGCTCGATCACCGCCCTTCAATCGCATACTCAACATGGTCTCAAGGACCGCTACAAAACAATGCTGTTGAAATATGAGCTTGATTCAACTAGAGGAATGATAAGGCATCATTGTATTCTTGCTCATCCTTCCATTCATTCGCAGCGCATGACGCACAGGGGCGTAGCAGCTTTTGGAAATACTTCGCCTTTTTTTTTTTTTTTTTTAGAAAATGCTTCGCCTTTTGCTATTGCCTTCAGCTTCTGCATACGTTGCCTCGTTCTTCTTCTGCCTTCTCTTCTTCACTCTTTCTACATACTCCCAATTGCCGCCATTATCAGCTCTTCCCTGATTCTAGACATTTTGAATGTTCGCAACTTCCTCAGCTGGCAACTGACATTGTGGGCCTATAAGATGAACATCTTTCCATTCAGTAGCGTCGGTACGGACCACTGTACCGTAAGCATACCAGAAAATTCCGGTACCTGTTCCAACGCAGGCAACAATAGACTGCAAGAGGCTAGCAGTCAGAATGGCACTCAGCTTGACTTCACTCTGAACAGTGCTGTCACTGCTCGCGCAGGTGTTATCGGTGGCGATGCTTACGATCCCACGAACAGTAGTGAGAACCGTAACGGCAGCAGCAGCAGCCTTCTGGCAGCGATGACACGAATCCCAGTCAGAGCAGACAGCTTGATTTCATCCTCCTATACAGGTACACAGCCATACTAGGTGTCTGTAATTTGCTGGGTTGTGTGAGGAGTTGCCCCTGATCACGACAACTAGCCCATGGCTCTTCACCAATAGCAACAAAGTGGTACTTCTGCAAGGACAGCGATTGCATGTCTCCAGAAGAGTCCTTCATACTTGACCCGTCTAAACCCACTTTTAAGTGTTCAAAAACGTGAGACCAAACTGATGCCTGTGTTGCGAGATTGATCTATACTCTTCCAATACCCCGTCAGCTAACATATCATCCGTGTACTCTCGTATATCATACCTAGATTCTATCCAGGTGTGAAAATTGACGCATCGGATGCGTTCCCAACTGTAAGTGTCGGGGAGTAACGCTCCCTTTTACAAGTGGTGCTACGCTCAAATGCAGCGCAGTTTTATTAACTGTCTTTATGCCATCTGCACTACTAGGTGTGGGAAGTTAATATAGATGACTACGGCCCAGGGCTTTACAACGTCATCCTTGGGATCTCCACCAAAAGTCTTAATCTTGACAGCATTGATTCGCTGGCATTCTTTATCAACGCAGAGCATAGCGAGGCAAGTCATTGCATTGCGGGGGTTTACCCTATCTGTTAGGTACTCGCGTATCCTGTACATACTGACTAGCGCTGGGAAGCTCCTTCTCGTATTACTATAGGTTTTCCCAAATTCGCAACTCAAATCGATGCGTATGGCACTGCTGGCTGTAGCCTTTTGTTTTTATGGCGACACTCGATGGCAAGTTTTCTCATTCCTCTTACAACCGTGTTTTTCTCTGATAGGCAAACCCGGATCATTAGTTTCAGAATGGAAACTGCACCTGCAAGTAGAAAAGAGGAAACATAGGAAAAATGTAGCAATAACGATGGAAATCCGCAAATCGCGCGCAGGTTCACTAGTTCTTAATCCAGGATATCTAGAACTGTACTTTATGGAGCTTCGAGCATCTCTATCCGAGGACTTTGGCGCTGGTGATGGCTTTGGCGCTGGTGAGGCTTTATCCATGTGTATTGATCCCTTACAATAATCGAGAATAAATACACAGGCCGCTAACCTTCAATCATTTTGTTCTCGCGAACAGATTCTCCTCTTAGTGTACATCGACCCTTTGTTTGGTCGACGGATCTCAGGCATGAGCATAATCTTTTGGACGATGAACCTGAAGAGGGACCGATACGGTTCCTTCATCATGCGGTCTCTGGAGACGGAAATTATATAGCCACTCTGTCATCGACTGACAAGCGCGTGATCCTGGATCTTTGGGACGTTACAGCTACTAAGGCTTTCATCGGGACTTCTTCTTCTGGCGCAGAAGAGGAGCGACAGTCAGATCAAGGCTCCATTCGCCCCAGGCACTGTGCTACGACAGCCTTCTCCATGGAAAGGACGAGTAAAGATTTTGGTTGGACTGCCATGGTCTCTGTTTCATGGGATGGAACACAAGTAGCTTTGACAGATGTATCCAAGGTCAATCCGCTCGGTGAGCAGTTTTGGCATGCTCCCAGTCAGTTCGCAGTCTACAACTACTCTGCCGAATGTCGACCCTCTTCAAGGCCACTCGACCTGCAGCCCTCTTGCAACCTTCAGTATTGCGCGTCTCTCAAGGAAATGTTCGCATTTGGCAGGTTCCACATCCCAACTACAGAAAATCAAAATGTTCAGGACGAGATCTTTGTTGCATGCGACTGCCTCTCGGTCCTGGTCTATAGGGCCTTTGGCAAGTGGATCCAGCTGCTCACAATACCGCTATATGGGCCAACACGGAATCGTGACTTCGATACAGAATATCAGTCCAAAATGCTGTTACAAAGTCTTCGAGGCAGATACTTTACTCGGGTTGGTGGTGATGTAGGCTTCGCCTCGGTGTGGGACATCAAGGATGGGTTGCAGGTATCATTAGTGTCAGCCTTTACGCAGGATCGGGAGCCGAGCCATGGCGAGAACGTGCAGATTTCCGGGGTCAGCCTTTCAAGCGATTCCTCCATTATGGCGATCGCCGTGCACGGGTATATAACGATACACCAGACATCGACGGGCGACCTTCTTAGGTATTGGCTAGCTCCTGTGGAGTACGCCAATATTACCAACCTTCAATTCGTTTGCGGCGACACACAGATTTTAGTCCACTACGATGGTATCTATCGTGAACGCGGCCAAGCGCGTCTCGCGTATATTCTGGATGCCACCACATTTTCGGTGATCGGCGTCTTTTCTGGTTCAGAACTTTGCACTTACGTGTCCCAGCCACATTCAGGATGCAACTCTTACTTCTATACTACCCATGGTTCATTGTTCGAACTTATCCAACTACAGGATCATGCTATCACATCGTATCCTCAGTCCAGGGTTTCATACAGTAATCGGTGTCAAGACAACTCGAGTCGATTCAAGAATCAATCCAAGGAAATCACTGCATCTTCAGGGTTGTATTTCAAGGTTGAGATACGCTCAGGGCTCAGCGGACAAGGCGAATCCGTGGCTGTAGTCGTCAGGGACAAGAATGGAATGTTGCGCAATGTCGTTATCATTCCCTCAGCTGAAGTTGGCGAAGGCGGAACATGGATGCTGGATGTGGATTTTCTAGATGGCGGTTCACGGCTACTTATTGTAGGACTTCTGTCCATCATGGTATGGAGTCTGCCGACGACCCTAGGAGGGGACTTTAATCTGCTCCTGTTGTGGTCACAGCCTCCTTTAATATTGGGCATGTATACCCATTTACCGCTCGACGATATCTTGCGTCTGTCTGACACTCAACAGGCGTTTTGCCAGGGAAGAATAGCCGAGTTCGAAGATGGAGTTAATCAGCTCATCCTGATGTTCAGGACTGCAGACGAATTTCTTCAACAGGCCATTCTACGCTATCTCAGCTCCTATATCAATACCTACCCGGATCCAGACAATCTGTCTAAAAGCATAATGGGCTATCTTATCAAACAGTGGAGTGGAAAGGATCGCGCCGCGATCGAGCAACTCACATGCGCGTTGATCAATTGCCGCTTCAACCAATGGATCCCTGTACGCAAGACCATTCAGCAGTTCAATCCGGTTAAGATACTTGTGCAGAAAGCCCGGAAAGCACCACAGGCAATGGTTCTTGCCAAGATCTTCATCTATTATTGTATCGCCCAGGCCCGGACCGCACAAGATACCCTATACCTTATCCCGATTATGGACTGTTTTGGCGCTTTGGTCGATCTAAGGCACCGACACTCAGATCTCGCGCTGCTTATCCTACGGAGACTGGCTTTTGTCCCATTCAAGTCGCGCTCGTTCATCCTCAGCCATCACGTCATTGCCCACCCGCCAGAGTTCCGGTGGCGATTTTGGAGGCCTGTCTCTCGTTCACTTCTTGACTGCAAGAACCCGATCCTTCAACAGTCCAGCACCTCGCGCCATATTCCTGAGTATGATGAATTTACCCAGAACCTGTTCGTGGCGCCATTCGAGTTTCTGTGGTCTATGAAAGAAGGCTCTCCTTCTGGAACGGCGCCTAAAGCGCAACAAGCACGTGGAGAACCGATATTCTGGGTCCGCGCATTGGCCTATATGATGCTGAGTAAGTTCAAGCTGAGGAGCACGGAGACAGTCAAGTGTCATGATTTCTCACTGGAGATGCTCGACCAACCAATGATCGCTGCCCTAGTCGAATACAAATGGTAATCATCGCCTTTTTGCGCTGTTCTATATGCTCTTTCTACCTGCTCCCTCTGCTGCCTCTTCCGGCCCGGTCAGTACGGCTCCCCGTAGCAAACTTTACATTGACGAGTAATTTATCTTGTATATCCTTATTTTTAGGAACACTCTTGGATACATGTACTGGATGGTGCGATTTCTTTCGCAATGCGTATTCTACCTGCTGGTATTTTTCGTAGCTTTGTTTCAAGTCTACGGCGACCACCATGCATCCCTTGCGGGGCCTTGTATCGCCATCATGGCTTTCTCAGGCATGTTTCTGTGGTTTGAAGCGATACAATTCTCTCGAGGAAGGCGACGATATGTCTCGTAAGTCTCCGAACTGTACATCACTTCTCTTCATCTCCAAATGTGCCGCTTGACGCGCGCTTTTCTCTCTCGTCTGTGCTTTGCTCATCGAATTCCTGGCAGAAACATGCATTGGCTTAATACGGATATGTTGTATGACATTTGGGTTACTCAACTTTATAGGTCGATTTACAACGCTGTTGATCTGGCAGTGTTCGCGTTACCCTTGGCAGGGAGCATCAACCAAGTCCTCATTCACTTTAAGAAAATCACAGGCATGACCCCTCAGGACGGCCATGTGGGGCTTTTCAGCTTCTCAGTGCTACTTGCTGCATTACATTTCGTAAGTTGAATAAGTTGTATCCTGTATCACATCTGAAAAGTAACTTCGCGATGTTCTTAACAAAGCCTTGTCCTCCTCCACTGCTTTTCTGGATTCATCTACTATCACTTCTTTGGGATGGCAACTATTTTACTACATGTGTTGTAGTTGTTCGAGTTGCGAGTGAACAAGAGCGTGTGCAAGTTCGTGACAATTATTATTAGCATCTTTATCAAGATCAGGATATTCTTTATTATCTTTGCAGGAGGAATCATGGCGTTCTCCATCGCCATTTTGCATCTCCTTCGCTCCTGCCCGTTTGAGAGTTGCGAAGGTAGTGATACCACAGAAGTCGGAATGGAAGCAGGAACAGGAACCGAAGCAAAGTTCCCATTACATTTCTACAAGGCGGTCTCAACCACGATTTTTATTATCGTAAGTGCAATGTGGGCTGAGAGCGTGTGTAAAGCAAGCCAGCCTTTGAGGAAAGAGTGATTGCGGCATGTATAACAAAACATGCTTCCAATATCTGAATATCGTTTCATTATGAAAAACAGGGCTAACATTGTTTTCGTTCTGTTCCTGTTGTGTATTACTTTAGGGTGGTCGATATGACTCTGTCAGTGACGAGCTGGAATCCGACAACTGGCCATTTCTGACGATGATGATCTTGTTCTTTTTCTTCACGGTCATCCTGATGTTGAACGTTCTTATAGGTACAAAGATGAAAATATAGCGGAAATCCCTGCTACAGTTTTATCTAGATATGAACGCTTTCGTGTTGCAACTAAGGGCGCTTGTTCTGGTGAGCATACATCTCTCCCCGCACTAACACATCCTTCCACTGACGATGCAACTAGCCTTAATCAATGTCGCATTCAATGACGGCGATATCACATGGCGCCAGGAGTGGATCCAAAATCGCTTGCGATTCATCGAGCATGCAGAGAATCTGTCGTATGAAATTCCTGGTAAGCAAACAATAGCAAATGACATATTCATACGTTTTATGCTATGCCTCCATTCACTTCCAAGGACCACCGTTATTTTTTTACTTTTCTGCTATGCAAGATATTGAAAACATTGCCTCAAATTAGCGGGATGCAAAGTTTGACTTGGCATAGTAAGAATGAGTCGATTCAGTTTGCAAAATGGGCTTCTCACCAATATAATACTTGGACATATATCCCATATGATATCGTAGGTTTCCGAGAAGCATATGGCTGGTTCCCAAAAGAGATCTACTACACTGCTTCTACAAAGGAGGTGGAGGACTACACGGCTATACATGCAAAAGAAGGAGGTCAGAGTCGTGAAGATCGAACGGATCGATAAGTAGACATCACACATTTTTATATCTTCAATCCTCTCTCCATTTCATCAACCCACAACGAAACTAGTGCTAGACACTCATCTACTTCGTTCACGGCTAAATGACTTGAGAGTAAAGAGCTTCATCGCTATAAGCGCTATTCCCACTTTTTTCATTTTTCTGTATGATCTCTATTACCAGCACCTTACTTGCTTTCAATTGCTGTCAAACCACACAAGCGTATTATATTGCGGTTGTTCAACATTTCAACATCCTCAAAAGGTTTTGTCTCCTTAATCCGCTCAAAAATGGTTTCAATATTCGGCAACCTTGTCTGCTTTTTTTGAATTGCTCGACCTTCATGCACTCAATCTCCACCATACCTCGCATACCAATATCTTGTGGTTTCGATAATAAATCTATAGTGTTACAGCCTATTTGCATCGTTTTCTGATTCTTTTTTGTAAGAGGTGTCATTGAGGCATTTCTGGTGCCCTGCGCAAGATTAGCGGTAGCTCGATTCATAAAGTCCACCTTACTTCTTTGCTATCCATTCTCTTCAACCGATATCCCTTTACCTCCGTATCAAATATGGAGCCGTAACCTCAAGTGGAAGTCAATGGCGCTACCAAACTGATGGCAGAGAGTGTTTCTACTCGTGAAGTCGATCAATGACTCATGATGTCTCCTGCTACCGGAAGCAGAATATGCTCAAAGCACAAAGAAAACATGCCCCCATCCAGGCGTGGCCACCTCAGGGAGATTGCAGGCGAGACAGGGCGGTATCTCAAACGTAACCTGAAACGTGGGATTCTCACCAGTATAGTTGATATGAATCAGCTACTCCAACGGTCTGTATCCGTTAAAACAATTAGACGACGACTAAGGGAGGTAGGACTGATAATGGAAAAAGCTATAAAACGACCAGTGCTCAAAGGACGATACATTAACGACCGACTACAACTTGTCATAAAAGTACAGAGAGCGGACTGTGGAAGATTGGGCAGTGGTGGTGTAACCGGACGCGTGCAAGGTTAATGGGGTCTGTTGATGGACTCCACTGGACCCTGGATGATGCGCCAGGGAGGATAACGACGCGCTCAGTGCAAGGAACAGTGAAGTTTGGCGGTGGGAGCGCTATGATATGGTCCTGTATGTCGTGGCGCGGATCAGGTTGTATCGCCACGGATTGATGAGACTATGGGTTCACAACGGTACATCCGGATACGCCAGGAGAATTTGCAGATGTTCATCGAGGAATAGGGCCGGGCAAAGGAGAAGTTCATCATTCGGTATGATGATGATCCCAAGCACAGCTAAGGTTACAAGAGCCTACATGAAGTCGATTGACATGACGGATACCAAAAGAAGGCTTCTCTACTGGCTAGCGCAGTCTCCAGATCCCAGTCCAATCGAGCATATGTGAATATGCCTCAAGGTCCAACTCGGAAAGCATCCTGCACCTCCACAAAGCTACAAGAAGTTATTCGAGTGAACCTTGACGGAGTGACAAAAGATTCCTGTCGAATTTTACCGCGATCTTTTATCAAAAGCATGTCTAGGAGACTTCAAGCAGTTCATAGGGTCAAGAAAAAGCATGCAAAGTGCAGTACTCAAGCTTCGACCGTGGCTCTGATCTTGACTCATGGAACCTTTATTCTTCTGTAACAATGTTCAAAAAAAAAAAAAAAAAAAAAAGTCGCATACGTCCCAAATGGTCAAATATGTATTGTCCACCTGCTACTGTACCTAGGCTGTTCGCCGGCGGTCAACCTCCTGCACAATTATATCCACTTGATCCTCAATGGTGAGGTCAGAAGTATCGAGCTCCATGGCATCCTCTGCCTTTTTCAGTGGGGATACATCCCGGGTTCGATCCAGCTCATCTCGCCTTTCCAGATCCTTTTGCACATCCTCGACCTTCATTTCTAGCGCTGATGTATCTGCCCCATTCCTGATAAGCTCCTGTAACCGGCGCTCGGCACGTACGCGACTATCGGCCACGAGGAATACTTTAAGATCTGCATGGGGCAATACGACAGTTCCAATGTCTCTGCCATCCATGACTAGACCTCCAGCACTGGCAGCAGCAGATGAAACCTGATCAAGATCTTCTCTGGCCCCGATAGCCCGGACCTTTTGCAGCACAGCCTCTCTAACTTTCCCGATAGCCGCCACAGTGGAGACATGTCTGGAGACGTTTCCAGTCCTAATCTCTGAAGATACATCCTTTGAATCGAGAATGACGCGTGTCGCAGGTAACGGAGCCTTTCCTGAGAGCATGGCTGTGTTGCCCATCGATACATTCACGAAAACAGTCTGCAGCGCAATCCTGGACTGTTCTGCAATGCTTGAGATTTTTTCAGCGTTGGCGGGGTTGGATGGATCAATGCCCTTCGAAAGTGCGGCCAAGGTGATCTAATGTTCAGTAGGGTGCATGCTTTGCTTTCATGAATACATGTATACTTTGTTTTTGCCAGATAACGTCAATGGTGATAACACGAGTGTTTAGATAAAACCGGTGGTCGCCCATACACATCTGTAAAACGCTCCTGTGTCAATGTAGTCGAATCCAAGTCGCTGGGCAACCATTTTAGCAGTTGTGCCTAGCATTCAAATGGGTTTATAAAAAGGGATGCATGAAAAAATAGTCCAAGCAGTGAATCAACGCGTCTGTAGCATGTGGCAGCGACAGCGGCTTACTCTTTCCAGAGGCTGCAGGGCCGTCAATGGCTACTTGGAACGGCCTTGCGGGCTTCGCTGTTGAAAACCCTCTCCGCACTTGCAGCTGTACAACTCTTTGGAACATAATGGCTGGCTGGAATACTGGCCCTCAGTATCGATCGATAACGAGAAGGATCAAGCGCCGAGAGGTAGTGTGGTCGGGGAGTTGAAGAGGGAGAAAAGGCGGGAAAGAGGAATGAGCTGAGCTGATTTTTATGAATGAGGTCTGCTCCGGTAAGCTGGTTGGGAGTCGTGACTTGGACTCCACAAAAGCAACAAAGGACATCGATCAGCCGGTGCACCCATCGCCATTCCAGACGTCTTCCTCTCTTGCCCGGGATTACCTTGGACAGGATCGCTAAATAGGATCATCGCAACTTCATAAGCTCAGACATCAAAGGAGAGGCGTCATGGCAGATCCGACACGGGTATCACAGTACTATCGCAAGAAGCTGGAGCAGCACGAGCTGACGCCAGAGGAGTGGTCGGCTGTCCGCTATGCCGTTATCAAGCACACACTTATCGGTGCGTTCAGTAACCAATAGAGCGCTCTTCTATTACTGAAGACTGCATGGTGTGGCTGCATGTCTTCCGTACACTGTTTAATGCAAGAGTATTACCAAGGCTAACCACTGGGATCGCGTTCTCTCAATGCTTTAGCTGCTGCCACGACGGTCACCCTGGGTACATCCGCCTTCTTATACGGTTAGTAGAGCGTGAATTGGACAGAAGATATGAGGACATCTTCTGTTGCCGATCTTTATCCCCATAGCGCACTAGTAGAGGTTGAATAACCAATGACTCTCTCATATTGCTCATTACGTCCATAAGCACGATCTCGTTCATGGACTCGCCTGCAGTCCCTTTCATTCGCGACAGGTATGAATGCGTTTTTGTGCTATACGAAGCCTTGGCATCGGAGCAGCACTCATTGTTTAATATTTCCTATCTCAATTGTTTCCTCCCCCAGCTGGTAATGTTGTCGGTCTTTCGGTTGGAGGGGCTATTGCGATGGAGTCTGGCATGAAAACCGTCCAGGAGAGATTGCAGGGCTCGGGATCAGAGCTACTCTACCTCATGGACAGATACTCGTAAGCCAAGTGCCTCATTTTCTTTTTATTGAGTGGAAGACAATGATTTATCTCATGCTCACTCTGCTCTTGCCATTGTCCTGCAACAATAACAAAAAACTAGAAAATCGACGATGAAGGAAAGACTGGGCGCACAAGAGGGCGATGATCTGTCCGCATACGATGCCGCGGCTGGCGAGCAGACACTGTCCTCACCACGTATGATCCGTGTACAGGGTTCGGAACAAAAATGAACAATAAACCCTATTATGTCAACACGCTGAGCAATGTGAGCGCAAGCAGACCTGTTACGGAGAATATACATTGTACATGAGCACTGGCCTAGTGTCTGGGTCGATCGTCCAGACCCAAGACGTAGGCAGCTGGAAGCCGCTATTGAAGGGCAGATGCAAGCCGAGCCGGAGCCCCGATGCGGAAAATAGAAAAACAAAAGAGCTTCAGATGAGCAATCTGATGACCTATCCAGGGATAGCTTGTTACAGTCTAAACACTCAGCGCGTTCAACAATGCAAAGCACAATGGCTCACTCGTCGTCGTCGCAGACAACACTAAAGGCAACCTGCATTTAGCGGCCATTAAACATCGGTCCGTGATCTGCTGGTCAAACAAGAGAGCCATGGATACAAACAACAAAAGACTAGCAGTAGTGCGATGTAGAAGGAGAAGGAGAAGGAAGAAGAGGATAGTTCAGGGATGGATAAATGGATAAAACGACAGCTAATCCTGCCCCTACCCCTTTCAGTCGAAAACCCCCCTCGCTTCCTTCTTTCTTTTTCTTTCTCTCCATTTGCTCTCGGAGATTCCTCTTCCCCTCTACAGGCTCATTCCATCCCTCCTTTCAAGTCCTCGCCATGACATTCCATTCCCTTCACTACAACAATGAGGCTGAAATCGATCAGGTAAGACAAGACCCGCATACGAGAGCAAACACGTTTTGGTGCCACAACCCTGGAGATGCACACATTTCATGCATGCAGCCGCACCCAAACTAACCCCATATGCCACCATGTACCACTACGTATCCTTAGGCCGCTTTACTCTGTCAACGTACCTTCAAGAGCGGCCATACCCGCCCTCTCCCATTTCGTCGCCACCAACTTGAGCAGCTCTGGAGGCTGATAGACGAGAACGAAGATCAGCTCTGCAACGCCGTTCACAAGGACTTGCACAAGCATAAGAATGAGGTCGTTCTCGGCGAGCTCTGCATGTCCAAGGAGGAGATCAACACCGCACTAGTCCATCTCGAGGACTGGACTAAGGACGAAAAAACTATACCTGCCCTTGTGAACCGTATAGGGACGACCTGCATTAAGAGAAAGGAGCCCAAAGGTGGGTCTACCGTCGGTTTTGATGTTATTTTTGGGCGAAGTGAGCGCAAACTGATCTATCTGCTCTCAAAAAAAAAAAAATTGCATCTGCTTTTGCTTTTGCATCTAGGCGCAGCGCTAATTATCGCGCCATGGAACTACCCTGTCTACTTGGCCATTGCACCCCTGGCCGGAGCCATTGCCGCAGGATGTACAGCCGTCCTGAAGCCCTCAGAAGTGGCTCCACACACTGCACAGCTACTCTCTGAACTGCTATCACGGTATCTCGACTATTCCGCCTTTATTGTCATCAACGGAGCCGCCCAGGAGACGACACGTTTGCTGAAACACAAGTGGGATCATATCTTTTACACCGGCAACAGTGATGTGGCCAAGATCATCATGAAGGCGGCTTCTAATAACCTCACAAGCCTGACCTTGGAGCTGGGTGGCAAGTCTCCAGCGATTATCGACGAGGACGCTAACTTGGCGCTGGCAGCAAAGCGTATCATGTTTGGAAAGACCTTTAATGCCGGCCAGGTGAGTCCATCACAACCTCAACTTTTTTGCTGCGCTATTATGGATAGCAAATACTAACACTGACTATCTGTCTATGATATTCTCCTTATGCCAGACCTGCGTAGCCCCTGATTATATCCTAGTCACCGAGAAGGCAGAAGCGAAACTTATTGCCGCACTAAAGACCGCCGCTCTGGAACTCTACGGCGACAACCCTCAGAATTCTAGTTCTTATGGCCGAATCGTCAATAACCGACACTTTCACCGCCTTCACAACCTCCTCAAGTTTAACAAGTCGGGCAAGATTGTTTTTGGAGGCCAAGTGGACGAATTGGATCTCTATATCGCGCCGACCGTGATCACAAACGTCGACCGAGACGATAAGTTGATGGAGAACGAGATCTTTGGTCCACTGCTGCCGATAATCCGTGTCGCGGACGTGGATGACGCTATCGAATTCATCAATTCCAAGCACGAACCGCTCGCCCTGTACGTGTTCTCCAACAACAAGAAACTGGTCAAGAAAGTTCTGGACTCAACGCGTTCTGGAGGCGCGCTTGTGAACGACACGCTGATGCATGTATCAGAGTCGTCGCTGCCGTTTGGAGGAATTGGCAATTCAGGCATGGGTTCGTACCATGGCAAGAGTTCGTTCGATGCCTTCACACATGTGCGGTCCGTGATGATTAAGACACTCACTCCAGTATCGGAAATGGTCATGAATATGCGCTATGCGCCCTACACCAGTAGCAAGCTGGCAATAGGCAAACTGGCCATTGAGCACGTGCCGTACTTCAAGAGGGGCTTTCTCTTCAGGAATATGAAGTGGATTGCCTTGATGCTGGTCTTTGGGCTGGGTTATAAGCGCGCGCTGGCATAGTAAACATGTCGCAGACAACTATTTGGTTGATTTCTGGTGGACCCGTAGCTTTTGTATGAATAATGACCCCAATAATGAACAAAGCATTTACCATCCTCCTTGAAGCCACAGACTGATTTGATCACCCAGCGGCGTTGTGTCCGTTTGTTGCGTTGTGTTTTCTTTCTTGCAGCCTTGTCTGCATGCGTTAACCCCTCTCCCCTCTACCTCAAAAGCATCGAAGTGTATTTCCAATGGTCTTTCGAGGTACCCGTGTCGAGGCAGCACTTCATACGTCATTAGACTTCAAAGCATTTCATGCAAGAATAAGAGATCAGATTGTCAGTCTTTACAAGGTTTCGTACGACGACCTCGCTCCAGGGAATCGCGACACTGGCGGTTGGAGCGAAGAAGTGTATTTCCACGGCACTGGCCATTGTAGATGCCTTAACACGCGCAACTTCCAGACGGGTTCGGAGAGTTTTGGGAGCAGAGATTGGTGCGGAGGAGAGGTATGCGCGACGCAGGGCATCCTGAATCATGGGCATCTAAGGACCATAAGCATCAAAGGTCAGATATGACAATGAACAGCGAAATTGCAAAGTGACAACAAGACGTGGGTAAGGATGTACTCTTGCTTACCAGACGCTTTTGTTTCTTGCGCTTTTCAATCTACAGGACATTTCGTTACTCCGTACTTTGATTTGGCCAAAGCATTTGCACGGTTTCGGTCACCAGAGCAGAGGCTACTCTCGGTCTTTCTGTGCAGAGTGCGCAACCAGCGTTATTATGCCTCTCATGTGTATCTCGTTGATAACGACGCGGTAAGGGAATGGTGCTGTCAATGTTGGTCTTACGTACCGTGCACCGTGCACCGTGCTCGTGTGCTCACACTCTTTTTCCTTGGTTTGTTCTTTGGGATAAGACATTCTGCCGTGTTTTCTAGCGACGATCGCGAACGACAAATTTTTTCCTACACCTTAGTTGTCAATTACAAAGGTTCGGTCTTTTACCGCGAAGGTTATCCGAGAACCTACTTTCAACAACAACACTTCATTCCTCTCTTCATCAACATCACAACATAACCAGCATGGGAAAGAAGGATAATATGGAAGGTGGGGGGTCCCTCTTTTCAGCCTATCTGGCGGCTATACCCGAGCCCATCAGCGCTGCAGGAGAAGAAGGTATGGCCACACGTTTAGGTGTTGCTTGGAGATTCTGTGGAGAGATCAACTAATGCCTTTCCACTACTAACACCATTCTACATTATTTTGGGTGCTATTTTTGTTCCGGCTGTCGATAGACAAGTATCTGCCAGATTCGATGGTAATGAGTGTTTTTCAATATCTATGAACAAATAGTCCGGACATCTGCATGGTACATGGAAGTAGAAATACCGAACAGGACATGAAACGTTTACTCATACCCCTCAATGTGTGAACTCCTTGGATTTTAGAAAGCATCAACGCTACTGGAGCAGATTGGAGCAGAGCGTTCTTGGTCATCAAGAGACATTGAGAAGGATGTTGACGTCCTGGAGCGAAACAGACTGTATACAATCAAGGATCTCCGCGTGCTTTCCCTTCAGAGTTGGAAGGTAAACAAGGACTCTGGCAACGTCAAAGAGCAACGGAGACCATCTTTCGCTCTGCATGTATCAGAAATTGCTTGAAGGACACTCCTCTTATATGCGATGCATTTGAACATTGAATGGCTATAGGAGGTCGAGTTGCTTCCGCTAGTCAAGGATTTGTTGCGACAGGCGGTCAATCCGGCTATCGGTAAGAAGAAATCTGGTCGCTACTGACAGCGTTGTCCTTCGAGCATTTCTCTATGCACCCTGGGCTTTACACTTGCAATATTTTCAGGGATCTTGGCTTTACACGGATCGGTAACCGCTTCATTTCCCTAATAAATCCCATGCACCCTTGTTTTCCTTCTCAACTCAGTCGAGTGTCTAATGGCCCGCCAACAACGATTCTTCATTGGATTTCCTACGAACTTAGCTCCGCGCTAATACATTTTGTGGTACTCTCTATTCATTCATAATGTCGCTGCTCTGGCTCGTCAATTTAGATTATGGAAAGCAGAAGCGGGATAAGAAGAAGGCAAAGAATGAAAAGAAGCAGCGCAAGAAGAAGGAAAAGAAACTGAAGAAGGAAAAACTGAGCCTTAAGGGCAAGGAAGGCACCGAAAAGAAGGATGTAGAGAGCAAGGGCGGGGAAGCACCAGCGACCGAGGAGGGTCTCGTCACCATTCACAAATCCTCAAAAGAAAACAAGGAGAAGGGTGAGGGAGACGAGGAGTCCTCATCGTCTTCGTCCTCATCCTCTTCAGACTCGGACTCGGACTCGGACTGGGATTCCGACCCAGAGATGAAGGCCAACACACCCAAAGTGCTATCCAGCCAGCTTTCCTTTGCCAAGCCCTCTAGCAAATCCTCCCTACTTCCTGGCCCTGGACGAATCCAGCCCATGGGGAACCGCATTCGAGTCACAGCAACCAACGGAACCACCTATGAGGTGGATCGGTACTGTCCTCACAAGTACGTCGATCTTGCCACAAAAGGAGTCGTAGTCGGCAACACTTTGTTTTGCAACAAGCACAATTGGGCCTTTGCACTCGACAACAAAGGATACTGTAGCAAGCACGGAATGACAATCAATGCCTGTAAAGTCGAATGGTAGCTCAGATGGTCTTGGCTGCGGATCAGGGGAGTCCCAATAAAACCGTGTACGTGTATATCAGTCATCGGCATTTGAACGCGAAGCTTTTGGCATCTTAGAATTTTTGTCCGCGACCAACACGGTCATTCTATCGTCGTTTAGTGTTGGCATGTATGGTTAACAAATGACAACCAAGGAGAATATGCGTTTAGTGAATAGATAAGAATGATAGGTCTATGAAAACTACATGTACAAGTGATAATTGAGAAATGATCAAAATGGATGGCTTGAAGTCAAAAGGCGTCTTTAAGCCGAAGACGGTGCTGGGTCCGTCTTTGTGCTCGTGGTGGTAGTTCGGATTCCTTTTGTGCCAACTCCCTTGAGGATATCCAGGGTGTTCTGGTACACAGCATGGTCAAAAATCCTTGGGAAATATCCCATCGCCTGAAGCTCTTCGTCCTTGAAGGCCTGCTCCGAGTAGAAGATCTGTACGAGGATCGCTTTCTTCATCGCGTCCTTCGGTTGGAGGCCCTGCACAAACGCCTGCTTCTGAACCATCCTCTCTGTAATACTGATGCCGTTAGCAGCACGTAATAACGCCTCCTCATCGTCCACGCTCAAAAAGTCTTCCAGCTTCTTGAACGGCCTTGCATCTTTATCCAGGGTCACAACCTTGTGGATCCAGTTGTGAAAGTAATCCAAAAGCAACTTGTTACGGAACAATGGAACCGCATCGAAGAGTTTTTGACGTAGGACAGAGTCCTTATCCGTGTCAGCCAAAAGACTCTCAGGTTGGCCCATCAACCTTGACATCCGCTCCAATCGCTGTCGATCATAGAATACAAAGTCGACTGCTCTCGTTGGTACCTGCAACATCTTGAACCGAATCTCGTCAAATGGATTCAAGCTCGTAATCAACCATTCATGCCTCTTCTTGATATGTTTCATCCGTTCGAGCTCCTCCGGCGCCTCTAGCAAGCCAGTGCAAGACTTTTGAATGAGCGCCAGGTCGTCCGCAACCAACTTCACTATTTTGCCATCATATTGTCGGTAGTACATAGCGGGAGTATGCTCGACGGCTCGACCTCCCACTTTCAGCTTGGCAGGAGTTGATGCAGACTCTTTATCGGCCACTGGGGAATCGATGCTGGTGCTAGCTGCACTGGCTGCCTTAGCAACAGACTCTCTCAACCTGCGCACCATTTTGGCGGCTATAGTCTCCGACTCCGCGGCCACTGGTGCAGTAACGCTTGATGCTACCACGCTTGATTCCGGCGCACTCGATTCCATAGCAGGCTTGTCGATGATTTTGGTGTAACCTTTTGGTTCCCACACCAAATATTCCTTGTCCGCCTGCCTCCGTTCTTCGTCTTCCTGCTTGATTCGTCCCTGTTCGCTGATGCGACGCAAGGTATTCCTCATAGCGTCACGTCGAGATTGAGTTCGGGCCCCGCGTTTGCTAAGCGACACCTCTTCCTCCTTGTCCGCCGATGCAGCTGCAGCTGCAGCTGCAATAGCTGCCTCCTTCTCTTCGTCGTCCTTAAGAATCTCGGCCTGGATAGCCATGATACGACGGTACTCGTTCAACATGTGAGGCTTCTGCAGCTCCGCGATCTTATATCGTAATTCCCAGGCGTCGGTTGCCCTTTCATTCAAATCAAATGGACCAACGGTCGGCTCGTCGTTGATGTTCGAGTAGCAAACAATCTGCCAAAGACTCAGCTCAGAACCTGGCTGCATCTCAGGAGCACCATTCCCGTCAAAGACAACCTCGACATCGCGACCCCGCGGCGAGGTAGCAGCTCCCAGGGGCATGGTTTCGACCCAGACATTCATGCTCTGCACCGTCTCGTCCGTATCGACTGTGATTTTGAGATCCTGCTCCGGATACTTGGCCGTGATTTCGTCCAATGTTCTGTTCAAAAGCCGCAGCTGATTCTTGAAGCACTCGTCGCCCATCACACTGCTTCCAAAGAGTCTAGAGTCCATCTCATCTAGTGAAATATACTGGAATCCAAAGATTCTCGCGGTATTGTGGAAGGCGACGAAAATTCCGTCCATCTGTCCGATGCGCACTTGCAGACTGTACTTCAAAAACGCCGAACGCATCATGTCGTAGTATTCGCGCTCAAAGCTCTCGAGATAGCCGTGGGCCTTGCGCAGCTGGTATCCTTGATTGAGCTCATAGTTATGAACATCCAATCGAATGGCTACAGCAGCACGGGTCTTAAGATCGAATGTCTTGCCGGGCAGCCGAGGATCCTCGCAGTCCAGCTGGGAACGAAGCAAAAACTTGTCCACGGCAATGTAGTTGAAAGCCTCTGGCGTTTCTCTCTCTCCCTTTGTAACCTGCCATGAGTTTTCCTTTGTGTACCTGGAGAACTCTTCTGGTGTGCTCGTGAGCATCTTTTCCATGGATTTGCCCTAAATATCCATGCACTGGCTGTGAGTACAAATCTGAAGGGGTTTCAGCACGCACCGTCCAATCTCGAGATAGACACGAACTGCTATTGAGTAACCATGCTACTTACAAGTTGCATCAGAATTGTGGAGGAGTCGAAAGTTTTGTCCGCGTCGACCGCATAGATCCCATTTCCTTTGTAGACCAACTGAATACTTGCGGGCGCTTTGCTCAATCTTGTGAACCCCCTAGGCTAGTGAATGTAGGCATACAAAAGGCAGATGTGCGAGTTAAATAACCCATCCTAGACTATTCAAAAGCTTCATCCACAGCAAGCGAGAAACGGTGAAAACAATCTAACATACCTGCGATGAAAAGGCTTCCGACAGGTGACCTGTTTTGAGTGGTTTCCATCCAGAGATCAGGTAGTAATATTGCGAGAGGATCGTCGTCATGGATGAGGTGGAACCTATGTATTTTCCACGGTTGGCCAGAGCAACATTGAATAGTGCCGGGTCCAAGGATGATGTTCTATAGGCTGGCAAGGCGTCGTAGTCGAAATCGCTGGGCTGGCAAATAGATCGGAGATAGGGATCAAAGTTGAACACTGATGACCGAGGATCTTGTAGCCAATGAACTCCAGGACTGGATTGAAGGATAGTAAAAGTAATTCACATTAGCATATGAAAACCATAGAGGCGGGAAAAGACAGACCATAAGGTGAACTGACACTCACTTGAACAAGACTCGATCCAAACCATGCTCCAACGATGCAATTTTGGGCCTGTCTTTTGGTGTGACATCTACATGAGGCAGGAAAACGCATTCTTAGCAATGATCGTAAAGTCAGAATAATGTTGAACACCGAATAATTTTCAACATCGCTTACTTCTAATATCAATATCCTTAGCTTTGACAGATTCCCATTTTGCCCGCCCAACCAAGTACTGCGCCTGAACATCCGGGAGAACGATCGAGTTACGAGGAGGATTGGTGCTTCTCCGACTGGCCACTATGGCTGCCTCCAGTTGATTGGCGAAAGGATCAGCGGCCTTTCCGAATGGGTCGAGGCCCAGAACTGAGGTGGATGAGGAAAGAGCAGAGGAAGATCCAGACGCCAAGGCTGATTTCTGCTCGCCTCCTTTAAGGCTGGATTCGATCGCCCATACCATCTCCTTTGCTGATACGGAAGGTGCTTTGACATACGCAGGCCGTTCTGCTGATGAGGATCCAGATAGAATTGGTGAGGCGTGATCGTGATCGTGCAAAGATGCCTTAGAACCTTTGGGAAGCCTCTTTCGTCGCTTTTCCTTCTCCGCTGAGACTGGATACCTTTTGAAGGCGACAGTCGAGGTCGAAAGAGTCCGAGAGCTGGTGCGACCGACATTCTTACCAAAGGCCCTGGCGGGGTTGACATGCTGATTAATGCCGACTGACAGCAGGCCACGGTGAGAGGACTGCTGATTGATAGTATTCTTGGCTCCGCTATAGGACAAGGACAAAGGTCGCAGTCCAGCAAGCCGTGAGATACCTATGGCTCCGGACATAGTACTGCCAAAGTACGTTCCAGTTCTTTAATATGCTGCACTGGTATTGCTGCCTTCTGTGCCTTCCCTGTTCCTGTGCTGTTACTGAATTCCGGCCGAGGCTTCCTCGGTTGGGTTGAAATGGGGAAGAAAAGTATAAGGAAGGGCACCCTATGTGCCTGGAAGAGGAAACAAACAAACAAATGTAACAGTGACTGCCACTTATCCACATTTGTTTTGGGAAAGCCACGGGCACAGCCAGAGGATGTAGCGCACAATTTCTGTGCATCCAGGGATCATGGAAATCCACAAGGTGCAGGACCAGTCCTGCGAATAGAGAGCAAATGCTTCTGCAACAGGTCGTTTATTATTTCTACATGTAAGAATTGCTATATCGATGAGGTGCATCAAAGACCTCTTTATGACAAACTATCGCGACCGTCCCTTAGATCTTGATTTCAAAAGAGGTATCGCATCCGCAAGAGTGAGCTGCGTGTGGGTTAGCAAGGACCTTGAACGCCGATCCGATAAGCTCCTCGATAAAGTCGATCCTCGACCCGCTGATCATCGGCAACGTTATCGTGTCGACAATAACACGCCCTCCATCTTTTTCGAAGACACTGAAGACACCAAGAGGAAAAGGCATTGTTAAAAAGTGTCATTTTACAATAATCAGATCAAACTGATGGTCCGGCGTTCATTATTAGACATCACTATAAGGAGAGCTGCGCTCACTTACACATCGTCCTCGTTTACAGTGTCCGTGAGATCCATCAAGTACTGATATCCGTGACATCCGCCTGAGTCGACGGTGATTCTCAAGGCCTGTAAAGGGTTCTGTTCCCTGGCAGCTATATGTTTCAATTGCTATTTTCGATACCATACAATATCAACACGAGTCATTAGCGGCCTGAACACCTTTGTAATTAAAACATTTTATCGATCAATACTAGTTTTTCTCATTTCGTACCTTCACAGCTTTATCCGTAATATCAATAGTGAGTTCCTTTCCAGATTCATCATACTGCATGTTATGGATTTTGAGAGACGAGCCCGAAGACAAGATGTCAGCTGCATCCTGCGCTGTGGCAGCACTGCTGTTCAGGCGAAGCTGCCGTGCGGATCCTGACATTATGGTATGTTGCCTCTTTGAGGACATCGAGTATGCATGGGATTTTATGCTGGTGAAGGAACGAACTCTGGATGATGTCGCCGTGGACATGACCTTCGAGGACGAGGGGGTCGCTGCGCAGGCACGGGTACGTACGGCGGGAGTGACTAGTCTGTGAATGTGAGAATGGATTGCTGTGCGTGGAAACACGGCGATGCATTTGTGAAAAGATGCCATGGTGAGAGTAGGCGGTTGAAGAATGGAGGAAGTAGTAAGTCTCGTCGAAGCGGGAAGGAGAAACGTCTTGTCCACTCCACCTTTCCCGAGCTTAGAAGTTCGGCATTTCGGTCACCTGATGTATTTGACTTCCTGCAAATAAAACCTTACCAAGGCATCAGGCACCAGGCACCAGGCACCTGGACCCAGGGGATACATTTTTGGGCTTGAACTAACGTTTATTTGTCTTACGACTTCCTTTTTATGATGTAAAAGTGCGGCGCCAGCTCTTCCAGCCACTCCGGCTCTATTGCAGTGACCTCCCGCATATACGCCTTGCCCTGGCTGGTCTCCACGACCTCGTGAAAGATGACCCACTTTGGTGCCTGCTTGAACAGAATTGACGTAGGGTGCATCCAGAGCTTTGTCGGCATATACATCCCAGAGGACCCTGCTGCTCTGTCCTCACGCACGCTGATCCAGTGAGTTCCGTCCGGTGCAATCTTAGCTGCCTGGGCAAAATATCCAGACACGAGACACTTGCGGATCATGACCGTCACAGCCTTGAGATCAGGTCTTTCGCCTGCCCGCAATGAAGCGGAGGTGCTCAACTGGTCAGACCCTGACAAGTTCAATACTCGGACGAGATATCGCTCAAGGTGAGAACGAATGGAGAGCGCCCTGGACATTGCCTTGAAGTTGATAAGATGATTCGCGCACCACTTCGCGGACTTCCTCCCGCGACTCACAAAGGCATTGTATACTAGTGGAGCAGGTACAACGTTAGCTGGCTTGAATGCCAAAAAACTTCCATTACAAGGCTACGAGTGGAGATAACATACCATTCAAGAGTGTAACATGATCTCCTTCAAGTGCTCCAAACTTGCGATGTTGCTCTTCTGCTCCGGGGCTTGTTGGGTTCACGAAGACATTCTACGGATATTCACCAATCCAATGCATCAGCATGCAAATCACACACAATTGGATAATGGAAAGAAAAATATGTGAGGTAATCACCTGTACAGACACCATTGCTGCAATGGTAAGTATCTCCTGGCTGCAGTTGAAATTCCCAGAGTCCAGGAGGATTTTCCCTAGTAATGGATCCAGCGGGAACTCTGCCAATCGCATACCCAGAGGAATCGTCAGGCGTCCGTAATCATCCAGCGCTTTCAATGAGTATATCAACTCCAACGCTTTGCTCATCATTTCGGCCGGTGGGCTGGTCATGAAATCAAACCGGAGCACGTTTTCAATCCCAAGCGCCTTGAGCTGCAGGACCATACCGGCCAAATTGGACCGTTGGATCTCAGGGACCGAGGCTGGCGACATATCATTCAAGAAACTGGCTTCTGTGTATAATCGATAGGCCTTGCCGTTTCGGATGCGGCCTGCCCGTCCTGACCGCTGTTCAGCAGATGCCTGAGAGATGGTCGTTGTTGTCAAAGCCTCCATGCCTGTCCTTGGGTTGTATGCGCGGATCTTGACAAATCCCGAGTCGATCACAAAGCCAACGCCCGGAATAGTAATGGATGCCTCCGCAACATTAGTAGCTACAACAACCTTCCTTATGCTCTTCTCCGTTGGCTCAAAAACAAGCATCTGCTCCTCTGCGGACAATCCTGCGTAGATCGGCAAGGCCACGATCTCATTATATTTGTTGGGCGGAAGAGTTGTAGCTCTCTCGCGGATTTCTGATACGACCTGCTCAATTTCCTCTCGACCGGTCATGAAGACGAGGATGTCTCCAGCAGGTTCCTTGGTGTGGATGTCAAACACTGTTTGAATGGCGCCCTCGATATAGTCCGATGTAGGCTCTGCGAGATAATGGATATCTACAGGGTACATTCGTCCTTGGACTGATAGAATCGCAGCGTTTTCCTGTAATCTATCTGACTGGCCACTGTTGCTCGAGGAAAAGAAGGCGGCAAAGGCTTCTGCATCCAATGTTGCGGAGGAAATGATGACCCGAAGTTCAGGCCGCTTCTTCAAGATCCTAGTTCCACGCAGCGATGAGTGACACGGCATGAGTATCTTAAAGACGCTGGTTCCTACCGTACAGCGGATACCCTTTTTCTTGTTAGATCAGATCTTACTTTTTCAACACGCCCATCAAGATATCTGTGTAGAGACTGCGCTCATGTGCTTCATCAAGCATAATGACGCTGTACTTGGAAAGTAGCGGATCCATGAGTGCCTCTCTGAAGAGCATGCCATCGGTCATGTACTTGATCCTAGTTTTGCCACCTGGATCTGTGCAATCCTCGAAACGAATCGTGTAACCGACTTCCATGCCCAGTTTAACGTGCATCTCTTCTGCTACACGCTGAGCAACAGTGGTAGCCGCGACACGCCGGGGCTGCGTGCATGCCACAACCTTTCCTTTCGCGGTCCATCCAGCTTCGTGTAAGTACTGCGGTACCTCTAAGGAGAACACATGCCATGATATCAGTCAATATCGCTAAGCAGAATCGTGCAACACAATCATAGAATGGCATTTGAAGCACCATACGAGTAGTTTTGCCAGACCCTGTCTGCCCCACGAGAATAACCACTTGATGACTCTCTACTAAATACAGAAACTCGGTACCTAGCGTCCACGATACCACAAAACAAAGAGCGGTTAGTTCCAAGCGACTCAGTCGCCTACGTTCCTGAAACTAATGTTCAATTTGCGCTTACGATGACTGTAAACGGGGAGCTGCTTCCTCAGCTCACTTATAGGTAACGTCGAGTATTTATCAGTGGAGAACGCTATAATGACGGCCTCACTGTCCTTCTCGGCCTCTCTGTCAACCAGGCTTCCTGTATAAGTGCGGAGTTGGGTGTTAGCTAGGAGCTA